TCCATTTTGCATTTATTACATAGCTTATCGCAGTTCGCGGATGCCCACCAGGCGACAATTTTGTTCTTCCCACATTCTTGACTGCGCCACTCCAAGCCCGAACGCCAAGCAACACGGACAAGATTCAACTGCTTCCAGTAATGCGCAGCCTTCCGAACAGTTTCCACTGGAATTTGCCACGGGCCGACATTGAGAATAACGACAGCGGTGCCTTCGTGTCCAAGGAGATCGCCATCTCGTGAATGATTGGCGGCGTGCGCAATTGCCTGAGCCGATGCTCCTAAAAGCCTAGGGAGGTAGGACGAGGCCATAATGCATATTGCAAGCGCCGACGGAATCTGCTGCATGGTGCACGTATCTTCGGGTGGGACAAGCGTAGCAGTTGACCATGATCAAGGTGTCCGACTGTGTGCGGTATTCCGCCCTTGCAGGCGAAAAGGGACAGAGACATACCGTTCACTGAACACTGTCCTTGCTCGAACTCGACACTCGCCAAATGGTTTATCAACTACTCAAAGTATTGCGGCGCTAAAAAAAATGGACATGCTAATTCCGGGGCTAAATATGCCGTATGTTTTGACCGCGCGCTGACCTGCGTCGGATGAGTCTATTGCCGAATTGGCGCTGGGTTAATGTTGCAGGAGCTGAGTGGGCAAGCACACGGGTGCATACTTACGGTTTACGCCTTACGGTTGACAGATGGACGTTTCGAATCAGCTCGACCTGATCTATGAATCAAAGGCGCTGAGCACTTTCCACAGCGGTACAAATACAGAAACGATCGCTCCAACTAGCATCGCTTACACCCAATTTTCTCACCTGTCATCGCTTTCGACAAACTTCGTCTGCAAGTTTGGTCAATATCAAAGCAGGAGAAGTCCCTACAGTTTCCTTAATTATGCACAAGCCATGCACAGATAGCTAACAATGAGGCTGATGGTCAGTAGTCTCGCGGTGACCGCGTTGGCCACCTTTCAAGGCGCGGTTGTGTCAGCTGAGAACCATGCATCTCATCTCAGCGTCCAAGCGATACAGCAAGCGACTAAAGGAAAGTATTCTAGAGCTGAGCTTGTCGAGAGCGTCCTTGCTCAAGTCAGTAAGACGATTAATCTGTTGTTGTCTTCAAAATGAATTACACGATGAATATCACCGCCGAAACCAGGCAACAGAGTACATCTCCGTCGGCGGTGTCACCTTGTTCGCGGGAGAAATGACCCTGAAATATGCACGACCGGGCTAAAGCACTGCGAAGCTCCAGAGCCGGCATAATTGCAACGCATATTCCAGTGGTAATAGTTCCATTCTCTGCATGACAGGACCAGGTTTCGACTGCATAACTGCAATGGTGCAATGCTCTGACAAAGAGGGTTTCGGCCGCTCCCTCAGTGGCAAGGACTGCAGATGTAAAGGATGTGGCTTATTCGAACTTTTAGCCAATCAAGTCGGTTGCGCGTCCAACTTTTTTGCATCCCAGATTCAAGCAGGATGCGCAATTCGCCTGCTCACCTGGCTACTGTAGCTTCGATCTCCATGTTTACAAGAGAGAGTCGAGCACTTTGATTTTGTCAATGTAGACTGGAGAAACATTTCATTGCACAAGAGCCGCCATGGCAAGTGGTCTGTCATATGTGAATGGCTGCAAGACTCTGGCAGATCAGGCTTGGTTCTTGGCTGCAGCTCTTACAGCAGCCTTCGTCCAGAGGTCAGGCTCTTCTCCTGAAGGTCACATTCAAGCCTCTGTCATCCACTTATCGAAGAGGAACAATTTCTAGCTGCGTTGCTTCCAAATTACGGATCCACATTAGGACATGTACAACAGCTCATAGCGCGCAGCCATCGACCTCAGCGTCTCCTCGAATTCATCCCGGGTCTTGCCTAATAGGACTTGTGTGAAGAGGCAAACTAGAAGGCGCCATTGAGTCCCTATAAAGCTTTCGGTCTTTATCTCAAACCCAACTTTGACTGGAAAGTAGATAGAAGGAGCCGCATTCGCGAGTAAAGACTATGAGACCTATAGCCTGGTCACTCCATAATCTTCTCCCAGCCAGCATGAATATGCAAAATAACTTCCCGTTGTGGGGGCTTGACAATTGGTGGAGTGGTCGCTAACGTCTCCATGAGCATGAGCATACGATTGCGGGAGAAGGGTTTATGGTCTATGCGTCTTTGGTGTATTGCAATTGTATATGAGCATATCGTATTCCCTGGCTTTCCAACGCCCCTCCAGCAGCCTGTTACATCCAGATCGCATTAAGCCGTTTGATATGATGGAATGTACCGTATGGCCACATAGTCTATCGCATATATATCGTTTCGAATTCTCTCGCATGGTACACCGCGACTTGCGAATGTGGTCCTGCCCTCAACCGCAGTGTCCACCGAGGCCACCTTGCAAGTCGCACACATGGTGCAACCCTGCACACTCTGGTTCTTGTTGAGGCATTCATGTATAGCGCGAGGTCAGATCGATCGCAACGTGCACTCTTTTCGATTGTGCAACGGGTATAATCGTGATATTTCATCGCACTCATTACAACTTTGAAACATTTCTGATGAATGCACTTCAATATTTGATTCCCGGACAGCAAGAAAGGACGAAGGGGGGTCGCGAAAGGTTGAATTGGGAAGACCTACCTGAGTCCGACACCATCAGAGTCGCATGAGTAGCACAACTGTTGGAGAAAGGCATCCTTTACAGCTCGAGGCCGGAAGACAGTCCCAGCGGATGATACCAGTTAGTGCTGGTGTGATTCCCCTGGACATTCGCTACTGGTTGTTTGAATTGCGGAGATAGCAGCTTGAAGGATTTCAGCGGCCGCAATCCAGGTATCTTGTACAAACCGGTGATGCATCCGCTGACGTAGAGGGTTGCAAATCGAAGGTTTGCAGGACCTAAAGCTCCCACACCAATTGTATTGACTGGGGCTTGGTTGAGCTCTCTGACACATTGGACAATCTCGCGTATTCTAGGGCCATAGCTTCCACGAACGAGGTAGCACCGCCAACGCAGATGTACTTATTGGCATTCTCCTAGTCGGTGTTGCAGAGCTGATAACGTGTTGAAGGATGTAGTCATATCTGTCTTTGGCTTTTTTTTATCTGGCCTGGGCGGTAAAATTGATTGCATAATCCGTTACGGGGACGAGCGACTGGTCAATTCGCTTTCCGATTTGTGCCAACACGTTTCCTGCCCGGTCAGCTCCCGCGCAGTATTTTGCTGCAATCACTTGCTGGATTTCTGGCAGAGCGTGAGTGGTGGTAGCTGACCCCAATGGCACTGACCCAGCCCATTACAGCAACAAACAAAATCAAGAGCCTTGTCGATAGATGCAGGGTTATGCCCTGCGTCAATGGACTGGAGGCGCTTTGAGCGTCATACGAGCACCGTAAACCCGATATGCTGGAACGCTTCGAGGTGGCCAAGCGTTGGGCAGACTTGGATGGTGCTAGTCCCATTTGCCTGAGTTTTTGATACAAAATGGTGTGTAATAGAACATCGAAGCTTGAAGGCTTAGCGCAATTTCCACACTATTGCAAGAGCAGCGGGTTTGCCCCGTCGCAGTGCCTGCACCCGAAGGACGGGTTGGGTCTTGCGTGGGTTTACAAAAGATTGCGCAATGCAACACTCGCTGCTCTCTTTCGAGCATTTTCTTATCCATCGTTCAGCAAGTGTCGTCAACCTAATATCTGAGCCTACTCGCTCAAGTCGAGATCGGGGAATGTTAGGAAGTAGCGCATGTGCTGACCACCATTGAAGCTTCTGCTTTCAGCTCCCATGTGGGGAAAAATCGTGGATTCGTGGGATGGACCATCTATAACGACTTGCGCGAAACAAGTGGGATATACTCCTTCCATCCTGCTCTTGCTTCACAAGGAACGCTCATTTCTTTCGAGCCTGCTTACGGCATTCGGTGGTTCCAGATGCAACCACTTGAATATTCCAGGGCGAGCGAGTCCTGGGCTGGATCGATCTTCAATATCGTTGATCAATCTGGTCAAGAGCTTGTTTCCATACCAATCGAGTTCGCTACGCAGGCACGATGTAACACGATTGGCTTTGCGCTCTCTCTGGTGGCTTTTTGCTTCCGAGAAGATGGGTTTCTTCGCGATGAGTCTGGTCAGCAGCTACCAGTAAAGGATCCAATGCCTCAAGGGACAGCGATCTTCGTTCGACAAGACGGAACCACGCAGCCCTGCACTCCTGCGAAAGGTCCCCGCTTTAAGTACAAACATCGCCCTCCGGAAGAGAATTCTGAGTCTGGCACGATGAGCAATTCCAGCCGATCGAGCGGGCTCCAGAATGACTTCCGAGTCTCCCTTATTGCGCGTGATTTCTGCTGTCTCTTATCTGGGCTGCATTATTCAAATTGTACCGCCAGCCATATTCTTCCGCTCAGCAGACCCGAAGTGAGCGCAACTTGACGAAATCCATACTTGCTTCTTGCGTGCTCATCTCCATTTTACCCCTAAAACGTTAACAGTACTATTCCGAGGTCCTCGGCGGCAATGTGCGATATCTATTCAAACCCGAGCACGGCCTCCTCCTCCGCAGCGATTTGCATCACTCCTTCGATCGAGGCGAATGGGCTTTCCACCCTGACGGCGAAAACTTGGTGGTGCACGTCTTCAAAAATGAAACCGCTGCCAGAGAACACCATGGGTTAATTCTCACCCCGGATCGATTCCGTGGAGAGGCACGCACTCATCCCCATCGCGACTTGCTCAAGTTTCACTACCAGCAATGTGCAATTCAACGGTTTCGCGGTTATTCTTCGGGCTTCGATTGAAGGAATTGAGAGCGGCGCGTATTTCCTTTCTTGCGTCCCTTACTTGCATACAACTCGGTTGCATATCGACAAGCGACTTACGCAAGGAAATGTCCGTCCCATCGCGCACGCGGTTGCCCAGCACATTCTCTGTTAATGTCATGCGCTCAGCACATGGCCCAGGTATCGTTGAAGGTGAGCGCCGACGCTAAGAGCGGCTAGCTAGCAGGGACGAACTGTGGGTTTCAGAGCGCTGTCAACGCCTATGGCTATGACTGATCGACAATGTTTGTTTCCTGTTCGGCAGTCTTCCCAAAGAAAGCCCAGCCCGATCGATGAGCAAGGGTGCGCTCGTTGAGTGAAGCGTCCATATATCGTATAGAAAGCAATGGGCAATGGCAACCGATGGAGTCTCAGGTCTTTCGTCAGACCCGCACAGCTCCTCTCAAAGAAGTGCCGATAGCGCCGAGTCTGCTCAATTATCTCGTCGGGCGGCAGCAGTTGGCCCAAAGCCAGGGGCTTTTTGCGATCAAATGCAGTCGCCTCTATTGGGGCTTGGAATAGACACGGTCTGGGCAAGCTCCACTGTTTCACCCATCGGTCAAGAAGATCAACAGCTGTAGCATCGCAGGCGCACTCTGTAACCTGTCTTTCCATTCGCTGTCTTCCTATCGCATAGAGCATCCCGATTCTGTGCTCGCGAACTCGGCAACTGGCGGCCGTATTTGGAGACGCATGCGGACTGTAGTGTGGTGTACGCCTTAACAGCGATTCAGCAAAGAAATGCTTGATCCTGATAATTGCATTGTATTGCACCTTTTGGACTACGTTGGCCTAACATCCACGGGCACGCCCGCTGTCCATGCATCACCTCGGCCACTCACGTCCCAGCGCCAGCATAGCCCGGCAGGGTGACACGGTGAACAACGACCTGCGTGACCTTGTCGCCATACTGCTTAGCGTATCTGTATTATTGAACCTGGTGGTTGTTGCTGCACGGAGTGGTCTCTGCTGCCTGGCGGTTGTTGGCGGATATAGGCCGTCTCCAGGTATTTTCGACTCCAGAAGCAGAAGCAAAATTGCCTGACCACGGACCACTTGTTTTATGCAGCTGACCTCGAATGCTTCATCACCTATCGAAGCGGGAACGGAGGAAGAGGCGCTCGTCCTCAGTGGGGAGCGTGAACTTCAGTAAAGTCTCGTCGACCAAGGGGCAGCTGGACTGGCTTTATGCCCAGCGTGCTTCCCTAAGGGATAACTTTTCCATACCCTTTTAAGGCAGACTGAAGGTTCAGCATCCCAGAATTGGACATGAAAAACAAGGGAAGATTCAAGATTGTTGGGAGGTTTTACAAATCGCAGCTGTATATATAATGTTAACAGTAGATGGTCTGCATCGAGCTGCAATCCTTTTGATATAGCAACTGCACTGATTGATTGAACACTAAGGGTTCTTGGATCGATCATGGGAAGTGTACAAATACATACGTTCATGTGCAGCGCTGAGCAGTAGGCACGAGGTTGTTTAATTGATGAAATCATATGCACACAATGCATTTCGTAGAAATTCAGTCGATGTACAGTACATGCCAAGCTCTCAACGCAATTCACAAGACAGACCCGAAGACGAGGAAATCACTTTGAGATATGGAATGAGATTATAACGGAGTAGCACTTGCTGTGGGCGGACCGATGGACTAAGAGTGGATAGGCTTCCGAGGGGAAGCTGACGGTCTTCCTGATGCTTGAATGTTCTTAGAGCCCAAAAGTCCAAGTCAGTGCTTCAGATGCCGTCAAGGCATTCCACGAACTTAGAGTGTAACCCCGAGATTAAGCACTTCTTTCATGCTCGGGTACGCAGTGACTATCAAATCTGGTCAAATTAAATGGTTCAGTCGATCTGTATACTTCATGTCGGAGGATTGTCCTGCACCTCAGCAGATTCTGCATCGTAGTTTCTAGTTGAGCTCTCTATTGGTTCCCTGCTACTTATGAGCCTGTACGCCCTTTCTTGATGCCAACCCAAATTTGCTGAAGTATTGTTGCTGGCACCCATGGCTCTGATTACACCTCTCCCATCCAAGTCATGAAATGTGCGCGACATGCGAGGTCAGGCGAAAATAGTCACTTCTGAGTGAAACCTGCTGTATGATGTCTGTTGCTTGATGCCTGGTGACTGACGGAGCGCCTTGGTACTGTTGAGCATTGAGTTGCAGACGATCGCCAAGCTAAGAAAACACCATCTCAATTTCACCCGAGTGATGTAACGACATGGTTATCAAAGCAGGTCAATGGTCGGACATATTTTCTCCATGCTCTTCATGTATTCTCAATATCAGTGCATCCCATCCGTGTCTGATTGCATGTAGGATCACCACTCACGCGCATAGACCTTACTCTCGCCTTCATTAGAATACATGCGACCTCGTCATTGTGACCGTCGCGTTCTCGCGAAGCACGCGCACCTCGTCACTGCCTTTGGAATACATGAGGAGGTTAATCTACGTTTCTGTCGCCCCTTTCGCTTCAGCGAGCGCTTTACCATGTTCCAGCTGGTTGCAAGCACGATCGACTTGCGTGGGCAGGGTATGCACCGCTTCTGGCAGGTATGGCCCAAGTTTCAAGTTCTGGCCACGCGGCAACAGCCCCATGTGACTCTGACACGCTCGACTGGCGTGATGCTAGGACCTAGTGCTCATCCAGCACGACACCTTCCAGCGTGCATCGACAATAAAGATAAGGGGATCTTTGCGATGGCGTGGAATGCATTTCTTTGGCTTATTTTCAACGATGGCGGCCGATTGTAGATAATCAATCTTGGAACAAGCTTGAAATTGAGAAGGATGAGGGCGTAGCGAACGATCCGATGACCCACACTTGCATCTGCATCCGAGTAAACCTTTGAAGATACCGCTGCGTTTCGGGCTTCTTCAATCCCCGGACAAATCGGCGGAAAATCCTCGGAAATACTTGTGTACGCATTGTTGATAGTGGAAAAGCAGCAAGTCTCGACGTGGATGCTCAGCAGCTTCACCGCGAAAACGTTCTGGCGGGATGACCTTGCCGTGAAGGGGCCGCAACGATTCATTTTGGGGGTAAAGGAAATGTACCACTAGATTCTCGCCCTTCGGACGAGCAATGATGAGGGATCAGTGACCCTGCTCATTGAACCTCGTTGACGATCCAACATACCTCTGGCCAGAAGGCCCACTCCCCTCGATCGAATGCGTGGTGCAGCTCGTCCGAGACAAGAAAGCCATACTGAGGCAAAAATAAATAGCCCGGATCGTATCCCATCACCTCTTCATAATACTGAGAACACAACAGGGTGAGACATCAAGCGTATATGAAAGCGCTAAATCGTGGGAAAGTACGAACCTCGGGACGGCTTTGCGGAAGAATGTGCGCGGCTGTGCAGGTAGTGTACCGTCGATCGGTAAGTAGACAAGAACCGTCTCGAACGAGGAGGGATTCTCTGAAGGCGTTCTATTGGCAAGCGAGATGGTATCAGGATCTCTCGCAGAAACACAGCTAGGGATCAAAGTGCACTTGCTTGATTCTGGGAAGAGCGCTTTGAGTTGCTCATCGTGCTTGAATCTTCCCCTTCAACAGGAGCTCTTCTAGCATATTTGAAGCGGGGGCCCCTCTTGAAAGTGCAGGCTTGATTTGATCCGTCTGGTACAAAAAATTGCGGTCAGAATGCTAGCTCGCTCGTATGCTGCGCGTGCGATTGTCTGACCTTGACGCTTCCAAAGCAGGGGGCCTTCAGACAGCTGAGATGATTGAAGCAAGCTATTGCCATGCCGATCGAACAAACTTCCCTCCTCTGCAACGCACATTTCTACGATGCGGCTAAGAAACTCGCATGGCGGCGCAGAAGAGCGGAGCAGGAAGTCGACTGGTACTGCACAGAGTCTTTGGCTGGCTTCATCTGTAACAAAGATCGGCTGAGACGCTCGCCAGCGTTCCAAAGCTAGAGGATATGTAGTGCGTGACATGATCTTTTCCAAGTGCTCGAGCGTACCGGTCCACCAGTCCCAACGAGAGCGCTGGAGCGAGAAGAGATGCCAGCAAACCGAGCCTCGCCAGAATGAGCGTGAGCGAAATGCGGCTCATTTGAGGAAAGTAGTGAAACTCTCAACGCGGCCGATGGATCAAGCGATTGAGATGAGGGGCCAATAAGAAAGCAACCAGACGTCGTTCAGTGGGGAGCCAACAGGAGCCGACAGGCTGCAGGCGTTAGTTCTGCTAAAACGGAACCATGTCGCATGTTGCTGCAAGTCTCATCTGAGACTTGCTTGCATCCACAATTCATATTTAACATTATCCTAGCTGGTATAGCTACTGTTCATCCCCAACTGGAAGCTCTCACTGTGGCATTTTTTTGCCAGATCGATGAAGCCAGGGACTCTACAGAAGGCGACAGTAATGTAGAGGGCGCGCATACAGTAATAGACGCCGCTGGAGGGCAGCTCGCACCTATGCCCCTGGAAACGTCGCAGAGGTTGACGACGCTGCATTATGGAGCGAATGTGCTTATCAACGTAACGCTGAAATGAGGGGCAGACTGCATGAGGTCTAGAGGCAAGGAAGCCAGGGACATGCACCTGGACATTGGGCAAGAAGCCGTCAAGGTGGGATAGTATGAAGGGGGCCAAAAGTTAGCTCAACGGCGGCCGCTGAGTCCTACCTGAGGTTCTATATCCCGAGCGTCGCGAGCAAGCACAGGCTATTGGACAGGCGGACCTAACCCCACGTAATGCCTTCTTGTAGGATGGCATGCTTTCAGAGCTAGAAGCCGAATTGCAGGTCCAGTATATCGCAATTGCCTTGGGAAAGAGGCCGGAGGCAGCGAGCGAGCAAGCGCGCGAGAGGACATGCAAGAGACGTGTCAGAGTGCTTCGAAGTTTGGCCTTAATTGGTTCCAGGTCAAGGCCTCCTCGGACAAAGAACCAATGTTCCTGGCAGCACCAACGCTGCCGCAGTGGCCAATGTGACGGTAGTGAGCGTTGAAAGTTAAGTAAGGCTGCGTCGGCTCCAGTTGGAAGTAGAATGCACCGTCCATCAAGCCGAGATGCTGAGTAGTAACGGAGCTTGACAAATGGGCGAGCTTGCAGCTGTGCCGAGGGATGGCGTGCATCAGAGCCTGGCAGATGGACGCCTGGAAGCTTTCCGAGAGGCACCCATCATCAGTGTAGAACGCTTGGCTATTGAATATCTGCATATCGCGACTTCCAACCTGATTCTTATTGTTACACGGCTGAGGTGTCAGGCGACAAATACAAGGTGCGCATTGGTGGTTGGTGCACATTGGTTCACATTCCCAGCTGTCAAGGGGTTGACGGAAATGGCAGGGGGCGCCTCCCGGCCCAACACTATCGACGGCCTTACCCATCATTACTTCTTCGCATGAACTTAACTCGTCCAAGCGAGGTGCATTCGGAACTGCACGGTGGCAAGGACGCGAGCATCAGTTTGTTAGCCGATCGTGACAAAGACATGAAGAGATCACTAGCCTGCTGTGCACCATCGTTGACTTTGCATTCGCTTCAACACTGACTACTACGACAGTCATCACAATCTTGGCTACGGTCACATGGACCAGCGTTTTCCCTCACGAGTTTGTCCAAGTGGACAGGCTTCATCCAGTCAATTCCTGCAGCGACCAACGGAGGGCTTATATTCCGTAACGCTGCCAACTGACTCAGTGTCACAGGCTGTTAACACGCAGACTTCGATGGTCAGCACGACGTTCACATCGCATGCGCTGGCAATGCTGCTGCTGCAGTCCAACTTTGTGAAGAGCCCCGATGATAGAGTTGCTTCAAGTATCTTTGGCTACGACTGCAGAAGCTGCTCGCAGTCCTCTCTCACGGGGAAGGCGCTTGCTCTTGCCGAAGAGAATGTCGGCCCATGCGCTGCTTTATATTAGGGGTTCCTCGCATGGGCTGTGTACTATGCTGGGTGCTCATTTCATTTTCTAATGTTGGTGTAAAGTCACCAACCGTTTTGCGAGTGTGATAAAAAGCATGAGTTACATGTTTGCAGATATCACACGCCATAGCCTGGTTGAAGCATGGACGGTAGCCCTTGAGAGTGACATAGCTTCCAAGGAGGGCAGCACCACCCTTGTAAGTTCGGAAGCAGTGGCAGCGTCTAAAAAAATACCGTGCAGTACTTGCATATGCTTCCGTGGGTCACAAGGTGCTACCAATCAGGCTGCAAGTTGAAGCTGCTAGATGATTGAATACATAAGATAGGGCTGATGGTGCGAAGATGCGTGAGTGCGATGATGCAATCATATTTGCTTTTGCGTGGGCATTACAAATATGTGCTTGCCTGCCGTGGAGCTGGACGAGTAGCAAGGGTTTTGAGTCTCTTCAGTACTCGGCGACCTGGAGTCATGTAAGGCCAATGTGGATAAAAGCGTAAAAACCAAAGGTTCCCAACCCATTTGCGTATGTGCTGAACTGAAGAAAGGGCGGCAGACAGGAGAACTCAACGACGGTGGGCAGTTGCAGCACATAACTTCCGGAGGGTCTGAGATTTGAGCAGAAATCCGAAGATCGAACGAGTTGCAGCCCACAACCACTAGTTCACCATACGATATACAGCCCTGGTCCGAAGTTCAGACCATCCTAACGTTAGGAAGCGAGAAATGAGGAAGATGCGCATTCATCCACATGCAGCTTGGACCGCTTGATCGGTCACCCACCTTTCCAACACTTGCGCACATCTCCAAGCCGCTTCGTTTCTTGCTCTACTTGCACCTGACCATTTTGCAGTTCCCAGCACGGCTAGCATCCACACCTTCGCGCTTGTGGCGCCACCGTTTCGGTGTACAAGGCAAAGGGAACCGTCCGCAGCCACTACTCACACCGCGAGCTCTACGTCCACACTCACCAATGGGGTATGCGCACACTGCCTTTACGCATGATGAGCACCCTATCTTCCGCACAGTGTGCCCTGCGCGCGCGCGTCGACCTAAGCCCTCTGTTCGCGTAAACGGCACGGCTGCTCAAGGCTATCGAGCGCATGTCAAGGAGCTGCTTAACACTAGACCCACAGGATGGTACACAGCCGGATGTAGAGCGATGCGACGTGACAGAGGACTTGAATGACATCCTACCTCTTTGCACCGCGCTCGTTCCTGCCGAACGACCGACATACGTCGACAAGGCAGAGGCCAAGGCCGAGGCGTGCAGCGGCACCAGCACTGATTGCGCAAAAATCACAGAATGGACTCGCGAGACGCCGGCGCATGCGTTGCTCGATCTCTCCAGCCAAATCGGAGGAAAAGTTAGATGGCCTGTTAAGGTGGTGCAGTGGAGTAGAATCCAGCAGGCTGGTGACTTGAGCAGTAGTCCATCAATCGAGGCTCAGCTCGAAGTCCTGTAAGTGGCCGGCCGGCCGGTACGAAGAGCTCGAGAAAAGGGTAATCTGCTTATCTTGGTTCTCTTTCCAAACAACAACCTTCTCCTTTGCAACAAGGCTCTGTCCGTTTTAGAGGGCATCACCTACACATCGCCCACATCAGTCAACGCCTCTCTTCGCCTCGACACCCTGCAGTTTTTCACTAGCTCCGCTCTCGCGCGCTACTTCGCGCACCTCGACGCGCTGCGCTCGACGCAAGTAGATGCTATAGACGACGACAACGACGCTGTGAACGAAGCGAGCGAAGAGCTGAACTGCTCCTGCTCCTTGCGCTTCACGCTCAACCCGAAACGCCTTGCGCAATATTACGAACAGCCGCTGTCAGCAAAGTTTGCACGGCGGGTAGCACAAAATCTACTCGAGCTAAACGAGCAGATCAGCCGTAAAGCGAAGCATGTCGTTGCTGGCCTGAAGGCGTACTTCACCAAGGAGGAGACCAGCAAAGGTAGATCAGTCGCTGTGCCTAATCCGGAGACCTATTTCGCATTTCCGTGAGTAGCAATGTCGCACACGCCGACTCATGGCTCGCAATTTTCCGATGATGTCACATATGTTCCTGCCTTGGGCGCAGCGATTTCTTCGCCGCTGGACCGCGTGGAGCCACTCAGCACTGTTTGTATTGGCATAGCTTGGTCTCTGCTAAACAGATACTAAAGATGAAAGCCCAAGCATTTCAAATTGCATCGCAAGGCCCCGCCAGCATGCCCCGCATCCTCTCGAATGATGAGCTTGCGCCCCGAGTCGTTGGGCCGAACATTCACCCAACCTTTCGTCATCTCTACGCGACTGGTCTCATTAGCACATGTCAAGAACGTATAGACCATGGAGAACTCAGCAAAAATACTGAGGAAGAAGCTCACCTAGAAGTAGGCTTTCCGCGCTGCTATTCGCTTAGCGGACTTGATCATACTTCCAAATCACTCAACTGCTGCTCAGGCAGGTTCCCTTAAGCTGCCAACCTCCATGAGTCAAGATGAGAAAAATGATTGTGCCAAGTTGGCATGATGCCGAGCACAGCTGCTGTTCCGTAAAACCGAAATGACGCCCCGGCGAGGTCCAATTGATGAGATACAAACGACGAACCCCATTATGAGACAGGGTTTGGCGATTTGACGTTAGGAAAGTGTTGGGTCTGATGACGAGGATGAAGTGAACCAGCATGGGAAAAAAAGGTAAACTATTCTTTCTTTTCTATAGTCGAAATTTGAATAAAGCTTAGATTGGATCTAAACCAGGACTCCGACAATCATCAAATGCGTGTTCGTTGCTCTTGTGACCTCGCAGCGAGCTTCACCATCGCAGTTTTGTCTTAACAAAATCAGGGATGAGTGCCGAGGGCGAAAACGGGGGTCACACCTCCATGATTTGACGCTCGGTTGGGGCACAGGAGAAACAATTTGCACCCACCAACGCCTCGCGTTTTCTTTCACGATGTACTGTCTCGTGAGTCTTTCTTCTCTTGCGTGCGCAGTGTGAGTGCTGTTCTGATTGTATCAAGATGCACTTCTCTCCTGTATAGCGGTGGTGGGTACCGATCTTTCTCCTTCCATTCCCATCAGCCCCGCCTGTTGTACTCGTCTTCTTCTTGACCGCATATGGCTATCAAACCAGGCCTTGGTGAGTAGCATGTCTCTGCACCTCGCCTGCTGATCTTCCCGGCTAACTTTCCGCGCTCGTTCCTTGTAGCATCTATTGTGCAGCTATCCTTGTGGGCTTATTCTTTTCGACGTGTTACTGGGACACTGCAGCCGCAGGCCTTACCTCGTCTGATGCTTCAGCTGCAGGCGCTGCAGCCACGGGTATAGGGACGATAACCAAATCCCTTCGCTCTGCGGCTGTCACACGAGATTTTGAGAAAGATGTGCCAGGTGCGATGAAAACGGCTATTGGTAAAGGATTGTTCAAGGAAGAGAGCAGTGGTTGGCTCCAGAAGCTATGGGCCAATGCTCGCGTAGATGGTAAAGCTAGCGGAAGCCACAAATACGACACAACCTCACCATCGGAACCTGCGCTTGGTTCCACTTCTGTAGCCGAGCCGCTCTTGTTTCAATCGGAAGAATCAAATCCCGATCCAGCAGCTTCCGAATCATATCCCTCGGACCGTCGAAGCGAAGAGCAAGTTTGTAATTGCTGGCTCACATTTGGTCCGAAGGGTCGAGGCTTCAAGGGCTTCTTTCAGCCAGTCCCACGGCGTAGGAACGGGAGCATGGCCATGCATCCAACGGCTTCAGCAGCGGTCGGGATTATAGAGGATGTTGCAAAACGAACCACGACCAAGCTTGGCCTCATGAAGAAAGGAGGCCTAGGCGAGAAAGGCTGGTTCCGGAAGTCATCAAAACATGATCAAAGAGGGATATGGTTCGGGATACCGGACTCGAGCTTCGGGGTATATGTCACCTTCCCTTGAAGTCTAATGCACTTTTAAACAGCATTAACAGGCACTAATCGATGAGGTATATCTACATGTTCGTACTGTGGGCATTTTTCTCTAATGCGCCTTTTGCACTCAAACACGATCACGGTCTTGTTTTTCCTTCGTCGCTTCCTGCGCTTCAACGCAGCTAGCAGCTTTGGAGGCATTGTGGGATACACCAGTTAAGAGGGGCTTGGTGTACAACGTTTCCTTGCGGGTGAGAGACGTAATGTCGGAGATGGCCTCCAGCAGTCCGAAGCCGCGGTAAAAGTACTGGAAGCAAGACCAAGCGTGCAGCATCAGATTCATCGCTCGACGAACGGGATGTGACCTACTCACTGTGTAGTTGTACCAGCAGGAAAGATACTTGCAGAACCAGGAGAAACTCCAGCCATGTTTCTCGCGTTCCTGCCTGAGTCGATCCTTGTCGTCTTCCCAAATGCTGAGGGCGCAGTAGCGCGCAGCAATCAGGAAGGGCCGGACTGGTCCATGTGTCGTATGCAGGCTTGCGTCGAGTGAGCGCGTCAGGTCGTTGAGCTTTAGAACCATTAGCATGCGCCTTGGCACGCGTCGTAGGAGCTCAAGTACAGAAGTAAAGAGGCCCTCCTTCTCGAGAACAGTCTTGCGGATGTGCTCCTGCTCCTCCTCGGTCATTTCAGCACCGCCATCTATGTCGAGGAGACTGCTCGCGCGGTGACGCCCTTTCACACCATTCGGGTTGTTTGGGTCGCTGCCTGCCAGGCCTGAGCGCCCAGTGACAGCAGATTCCAGGATCGGATAGAGGTCATCGTCGATGTCGGCGACGAGCTTTGCGTACTTTCGTCGCTCGGCCTGGACCTTTGGTGTGCTGGAACTGAGGAGACTGAGCCAAAAGCGCGCGTAGTTGATGCGCAACTCTCGATCGATGTCAAAGTAGAGTCCATGGTCGAGCAGGACAACTTCAAAGTTGTAAGGCGAGCGCGAGCCTTTTGGTGCCGGGCGGATTAGTACGTTGCCGCCATGTGGGTCCGCGTGGAAGAAGCCGTGCATATATAACATCTGGTTGAAACACCTACTCAGTTCTTGGCTCACGCGGTTCCGGTCGATCTTATGTTCAGCAAGGTATTGCAAGTCGTCAGGTCGTCGCCCATCAATGAACTCCATTGCCACGACTCGCTTGTATGCCCAAGGGATTTTGGGGAGATATACAGCAGTCTTTCGATACCTGCTAAAGTCTTCAGCTGCGCGTCGCGAGTTTTCGGCTTCGTGTCGAAAGTCCATTTCCAGGGGTAAGTTAGCGTCCATTTCTTCCGCGAGCCAACTAAATTCGAATTGAGGAAAGACCCGCTTGACAAGGGCCGTCAGATTGTTCACCGTCTGGAAGAGATCGAGGAGAATAGTTTAGCAGCGGAAAGGAAGGCTATCGAAACCTTCGTAGGAAAGACTCACCCGGATATCTACCTCGCAAAAGCGCTCGACGTCTGGATGCATCATCTTGACTGCGAGAGGCACGCCAGTCTTTCTGTCACGCGCTCGATGCACTTGTGCCAGACTGGCGACACCTATCGGGTTTGCGTCGATCTCGCTGAATGCCTCGTCAAAGCTCATACCTGTCTCCTCTCTGAACATTGCTTCCAGCTCAGGCAATGGCGTGGGCTTGTTCTGGTCTTGCAATGGCTTCAATGTCTCTGTCCACTCGATCGGCAAGAGTAAGATGGAAGAGGCGTGCTGTCCTAGCTTGACGTACACACCGCCGTTTTTCTGCAGCGCCAGGAGGATCCTCTTCGCGCTTCGCAGATGGCATTGCCGCAGCCCCTCCACCTCCTCCTGCTTGGTCGCACATTTCTTGTTAAGCGTCTTGCGATAGTCCCAAAGACATAGCAAGACCGCTTTGGCAATGGTAGAAGATCGCTGAAGCGTCAAGAGTGCATAACTGCCTCGTGCAGCTTGCTTCTGCTCGGCACGGATTTGCGCTTCCCTTTCCTGTCTCGACAATGAAAGCCCATGAACTGCCCCATTGTCCAACACCAGCTCATTACCACATGCCACCGCATGTTCGGCAATGCGCCGTTGCGTTCGTAAGGCGACGACGTTCACATCTTGGCTATTCTCGAGCAAGCCAGACGTAGCCTCGAGGTGCAGGTGTTCGAATGCTCCCATCGCATAGAAGCCCACTCCAAGAAGTAAGAGGACTGCGGCAGCACCTCCAGCCACAAGGATCCCCTTTTTGAACCGCTGATGCGCTTCAGCTGTCTTCCCAGGGTTGGGTATGGCCGGCTGGTCAAAGATGATCGGCTCGGGTGCTTTGGAAGGCGGTGGATATTTTTTGTAAAACGGTCTTGGATCGGTGGCGGCAGCTTCATCGCGCAGTTTCCTATCGCTAGCGGCGCGCTCCCCTCGTTCATTTGGAACGGGTACGCCTTCCTCGCAACAGCCATCATCCGGCTTGAGCGTTCGTGATGAAGACTGTGATAAAGAGGGGTCGTCTTTGGAGGCGTACCTTGTGGCAAGAGACGCCGATGCTGAGCCCGAGATCGTGCGTTCCTCCCAGGCGGATTTCTCCAACGGTGCTGGCGGGGACTTTGAGCGCTTGCGACAGGATGTGCCCGAAGGAGGAGCTACTGTAGCATAAGAACGAACTTGCCCACTGCAACTTACTGAACGATCGGTCGCTCTCGAGGTGCGCGACGGAGCCCGCATCAGTTGCGCTATATAAGCAGCCATTGGCAGTGACATCCGGCTCGTGTCCAGCTCAACCGATACTCTCGCCATACTTCGTCCTTTGTGACGGAAGCTCGAGTCGCTGCTGGAGTTGTTTCTGCGCCCGGCGGGGACGGATTGGTGTTGACATCGCAGAACGCTGGCGCTGCGCCACGCAGCCCGCGAGGGGCCAGCGACCAAAAGCATCTAGCTCGCTACGCTCGAATAGATTGGCAGTTGTCAAAGGCTGCGCATGCCGCTGCGCTTATGTTCACTCGACCATGCGACTTGGTAGGTATCAGTTCACAATATTGTCCAATCACCAATCACTAGATATGCATTAAAGGCTTGCTCCTCTCTTCATTGGCTAGCTCTCAGTCACCGGCTCATTGTTTCTGATTGGCAGAACAGGAACGTCTCTCTTCCACCCCGACGCTCGGCGTTCGGGCGATGAAAATGGCGACTGCGAGATTTCTTTCACGTTGCTGGGCCGGGCTCATTCGGTGCAACTAACTCATCAATCATCCTGCAAGTTGCATTCAAGAAGCATGTCTGAGGTAGTATTTAATCGCTGATACACTGTCACACGCAAAATGCTGTACCCTGCTCCATTTCTTTTTGGTCATGTCCGTGCTACCTTCCGCGTGTATCAACCTAAATCTCCAAACATCTGCGCTTCCCAATGAGCGTCGCATTTTTCCCCTCGCTCACCGTTTCGGCTTCGGAGATCTACCTCATTTCTGGCTGCAGTCCAGGTCTGCGTTCCGAGTTCTGCCTCGAGGCGCTACGGGGTGGCCACAAGGTCGATGCAACGTCTCGCAGCCCTAATGCTATCCATCCGTACGTCAGGAAAATTCCTGAGGATGGGTTACTCTGGACAAAGCTGGACGTCACAAGCCAGGCTAGCTGTGCTGCCGCCCTCGAATTCACAAACGAGAACGACGGTTACATTGACTTTTCGTAACCAATTCAGAGTGAAAGAGTCGGAAGGAGAGCAGATTGATCCTAGGGCAGTGGGCGGAGTGGAGTCTTCGGACCGCATTTAGTCTTTCTCCAAGCTACCATTTCCGCCTCACAAGTCTATCTCATCGCGGGCTGTAGTGCAGGTTTAGGGGCTGGGCTGTGCCACGAGTAGCTCTCGAGAGGTCACGGGGTCATTGATAATGCTCAGAATCCTGATCCTACTAGCAACGCCGACGTCAAAAGTATCACAGACGCTGGCGGCGTCTGGACTAGGCTCGATGTGACAGACTATAAGAGCCGCAAGTCTGCCGTCGCATTTGCAAATGACAAACTCGGCGGGTTTGATGCCTGATCAAAAATGCGGGATTCAGCAGCGACGCCGCTTTCGAAGATACGACCAACAGTGACCTGTGAGACATGTTCATGGTCAATGTATTTTTTCAGTGCACAGTGTTCCAGAAATGGGATTCAATCACTGGGTGCTGAGTCCTTCGCTGCTTGATGAAGGCGTTGTGGATCTCACTCTTTTCGTGTTGCTGCTGTTGCGAGAATTGTAATGTTACAAACAAGTACAGTATCAACATTTACGGAATCACCGGTGCCTTGGTAGCACCTGGGAACTCGGTGTACATTGCGAAAGGTTTTTCCTTTGAAGGCTGGTATGAGGGCCTACATCCCGAGAGCGTGCTCGTCACTTCTCCACATTGCACCATGGAATTTGTTTCGAATGCCTGACAACTTGATCAACTGAGGTCCATGAACCAGACTCAAGCCCTTTGGCATCTGTGTCTTCAGGGTCGGATCGGGAGCTTTTGGAACCTATCTTTTGGCTAGCAATTTAATCGCCGAACCGAAAGCATCCCCACCGTACTCAGGTGATCATCCGGCGGTCAAGACCATCGCGCGACTGGCTGCGATGAATTACACGCAGCAAGGAGTTCTTACGATTGCAGCTTAGCGAGTCATCGACGAAATCGAGCAGCTAACCACCATCCATTTCACGCAGATTAATGGGAAGGAACAGGAAAGAGAAGCTAGTAGGTTATTCCTGGGAGATAATGCCATTCCTCACCACGAAGGAGCAATCGAACTCATGGACAAGCCGACTCCAGATACTTGTGCTCTTTCTACCAATCCGAGCTACAAAGAGACGAGTTAGATTATAACCTCATAACCGCTGTCAGAGCACAGTCTTCAAAGATACTACTTGAGACCAAACCCATCAGCGTGAGCGAGTGCAGCGTTAAGCCGGCCAGGCAGTTCCTCGACGCGCATGCGAGGGAGGAATAGCGTCATCGTACACGTGCTAGACCACGGCACAAAAGCGCGAAAAGCCGGTTCGTCGACCAGTTTTATGCAGAGCAAATGACCACTTTGTCTCTGTTCTTGCCCGCTTTGAGAGATCGCAAGCCGCTCCCAGCCAAGAGGCAGGCGTGGCGAGCCGGTGATGAAAGCGAGCAGCTTATTGCGTTGCGGACCCGTTAGATCTTCTGCCCACAGGCGCCAAAAACCCTGCTTGAGAGTTTCGTCTTCTACGGTGAAGCCTTGATGCTTCGTGACGACGCGGAGACTGTTGATCGTAGCAGCATCCAGGGTGTGTCTGTGGTCTGTGTCCGTGGCTAGGCTAGATAAGCTGGACCGAATCGGTATGCCTGTAATGACACTCCGCAGCTCCGCAGGATGAAGCAGCTCGACGTGGACGCCACGACACACTCTTTGAAAGCCAAACGCCAAGGCAGAAAGCAATTCTTCGCCGAATAGCGCCGCCTGACGCATCGTATCCTCGATCACATTGAGCTCGCCGTCCGCCTCCATCTTGCATAGATCTGAAGAAGGCGCATGCAGCAGCATCGCTAATGTAGCGGCCAATTCGGGGTGGCTGGCATCCAGTGATTGGAGCGGCAAGGGGATGTTGGTGGCGTCCGGATGCATCAATAGTCTGCAAATTTGATGGGGAAGCAATGCCGGCACGGGTAGCTCGTGATATACCGATAGGCCGAGGGCAACGCCAAGCGTGATTGATAGCTGCTCAGACATTGCATGCAGGTGCAAGCCCTCGGCGAGCGTGCAATTGATGAGAGCGTGCAGCCATTCCCTCCTTGGACCTCCACCATCGACTGCCTCCTCACCCACCCAGTGTACCTGCAAGGGCAGCAAAAGACGATCGTCGTCAAGCGCCAACAAAAGCTGCTCTATGCTGTCGTCAAGCAAATGTTGACGGCGGACAGAGATCTTCAGCCTTTCGCCCATATCTTCGCCTTCGCCTTCCTCGTTAATGTCTGGAACGACGTAGCGCGACTGCCGTATGGCCTTCAAGATGGTGTGCTGGTGCCTTGCAGCCTGCATGCTTGCCAGTGCACCGGCACGCATGATCCGCTGCTTGATGCCAATCGACAAGAGGAACGGAAAGCGTCGCAATAGTCCTTGCAGCTGACCAAGCTTGTCACCCGAATGTTGCTGCTGCGCGTCCACAATGCGATCAGCATGCAGATCTAAAGCAGAAGAGTAGAAATCCGAAAGAGGCCATGGATACGCTCCTCTCTCTGCATAAGAGCGCACATTGGTGCTGGCAGCGAAAAATGTCTCGAGGATCCGCATGCAATTCATTTGATCTAGAAGCCGCTCAACTTCTCGCGGACTACCGTCAGTCGTGCCTTCCAAGCTCTGCATTAGCATCTTTTGCAGCGCACTGAGCGTGTATTGCAATGTGGCAGTGGCCAAGTCGTCTGAATATGACTCGCTTGCATGGCGAAGCCACATGAGAGACGAAGGGCGCAAGTCGCGAGCCAGCAGATGATGGAGAGTGCGTGACACGGCATGTTCTCCATCTGCTATATCTGCTCCTGACGATGTACGGAGTGCTGCTTCCAGCTAAATGTACGAGAAGCGAAGAATGAGCCTTCAGCTTAAGGGCATAAAGCTTTAAGTATTGGTCGGCAGGCTTACCTTGCTTATCAGCAGCAGAGCCACTGTGCGAGCGCGTTGATGCGAAGCAGACTGGTCACGTACCGGCGTCGTGTCCATCTCTGATAAGCATACCTGCAATGCTTCTCTCCCCGTACCGCGCGCCTTTCTGTCCGCCATGTTGGCGAGCCGCATAATAGTTCGTGCAGACAACTTTTCATGTGCGACGGATACTCCTGCATCCGCTTGCGCCGAGAAAGAGACGGAAGGGTGTTGAGATTGAAAGTTACGAATAGCGCTAAAGTTGGCTAGGATGCTGTCGGGTGTGCCGAAGAGGTCATAGCAAGCTGCGCGTAAGCTTCCATAACTCCCCACGATTGCATCTAGCGAGGAGGACGAGCTAGTAGCGGAAGCCGGAGTGGAGTCACTCTGGCTTACAGCAATCAGAGCGAGCACCGCGTTGTAGGCGCGCCCGAGTCTGACGTCCGGTGGTATGGAGGCATTAACGAGTGGAAGATGTGGATATTCCTGCTGTATTGAATTTTTATTGGCTCCAGCCAGAGCTCTCAGCTCGGCAACGAAGCTCGGGGCGCAAACGCTCACAAATGACGCAGAGGCGAGCGTCTCGGTTTGCGGTTGGTCCAGCGATTCTTCAAGCATTTGGCCGGACCGCTTGACTTGCCGCAGCTTTCCTCGCCGACTGCTCGAATGTGCGCGAGCCTGTGACTGCGTGCGAAAGGAAACTCTCGACACACCGTACGCCTGCGGGCGGCAAGACGTGGAGACCATATCCGAGTCAGCACCTTGCGTCTCGGTCACTACGTCATGACCAAAATGCAGTTGTGGTCGCTGTGACCCTTTTCCGCCATCGCATGCGCCGTGGTTATCAGCTGCATTCCAATGCTGTTCCATGGCGCGCCGATTGATCTCTGACTGCCTCGAAGGATACGGGTCAAAGTCCCTGCTGGCACCTGCGCTCGCATTCGCGCCAGGCCCAAAAGAGAAAGGGGTGGTTGCGCCACTGGAAATGGCGCTTGCTCTTGCGCGTTTCTTCGCAGACTTGGAGTTATGCTGTCGAGACAGGCTGCTGCTTAGCGCAACCGCCAGGGATGGAAAAGGATCGAGTGACGGATTCGTGCTGGGCCATCTGGAAAGCTCATCGCCGGCGCCGCTCGACGACGACAGGGGTAGCGTCTCCAATGGCCAGGTCGCGCCGCCAGTCGCAGGTCTCACAGCCGCCCATGGGGAGGGACGCCGGCTTGAGGACGAAGGAGACGAGGACATGTTGATGATCTATTACCCTGTATGCGGCCACGGCCTTGGCGCTTCAACTGTGGCGCGACAGCATGACATGGTGCAGGTTTGTTGAGCAGCTTTGCCACCGTCTTAGATCAAACAGCAATGCGAATTAGGATGCTATTTGATATTACATAATACTTTGCTTAGGTAATGCTTTCACTTGACGCCAAGAAACCCTTCATGGTTCACAAAAAGCATCCGAGCAAAAACCATCACGAAAAGGTGCCGAGGTGTGAAGGAACAAATACACCAGTGTGCCACACGGCGTGCAAGACCATGATCATACATCTGTTTATAAGACAAGCAGGTATTGAGAAGGCCGCGAATCGAGTCATCCCTTGCATGTCCCCGACGCGCACGGGAAAAGCTAGGAAAGATGGGCGGCTCGGCATTGTTTCCGCGGCACATCCAGAACCTCAGCGACGCGAGCAGTCTCGAGCACCACTGGGGGTATGCGGACCGCGCCGTGCCGTGCACCAACGATGCCGGCTCTTGCGCCTACCTCGATGCCGTTTACAATGCACACGACGCCGGGATGATATACACGGCGGCCATATGGGGTACCATCGGCCTCGTGCTTCTCGTGCTTGGCTTCATTCACGTCGTCCGTGCCAACGCCGCGCCTGTCGCTCGCAGAGGCAGCTCCATCGCCAGAGGCAAGCGTGCAATAGCCGCAGGGCTAAGAAGAATTTTCTTGCCCGAGGGTGTGCGCATCGTATTTGGTCGAACGACTCGCTTGCAGGTCACGATTCTTGCCGTGATGGCTGCGTACCTACTGCTGTGGACGTGAGTGTCAGCCTTTCTGATGGTTTGCACGACCCAAGACTCACCCAGCTCTTGCATCATGCAGCTTCTTGGGTTACCCATTTAAAACATGGGTGACACCCGTAAAGAACAAGCCTGGCCTATACAACACACGCACAAGTCTCGGCCCCTTCGCAGATCGAGTCGGCGTCCTGGCCTATGCAATGACGCCACTATCGGTCCTCTTCTCCTCGCGCGAGTCGATCTTGTCCATCATCACCGGCATACCACACCATCACTTCATCTTTCTGCATCGATGGCTCGGGTATATCATCCTCATGCAGGCTGCGCTCCACACGATTGGATGGTCCATCGTCGAGATTCGTCTCTACCAGCCACAGCCTTCTACGGCACAAGCCTGGATCAAGCAGACGTATATGGTCTGGGGAGTCGTCGCCATGATTCTCCTCCTTCTGCTTTGGGCACTCAGCACGCAGACCGCCATCCGCTATACAGGCTACGAATTTTTCCGCAAAGCCCACTACGTCCTCGCCATGGTCTACATTGGCGCTTGCTATGGCCATTGGGACCAGCTGAGCTGCTTCCTGCTTCCTTCACTCATCCTGTGGTTCATTGACCGCAGCGCTCGTTTCGTGCGCACAGCGCTGTTGCACTACAACTACGTGACACCTCAAGGCGCCAGCGGCTTCAGGGCCGCACAGGCGCGCGCTAGGCTCTTTCCAGATAGCCCGAACGGCGACGTGGTGAGGCTCGACTTTGAGCACCCCCACCAGCCCTGGAAAGTTGGACAGCACTTCTACCTAACCTTCACGGAAGGGAGCATTTGGCAGTCGCACCCTTTTACCCCGATCTCCTATCCCATCCTTTCAAAAGGGACTACCCGCCATTCGTACATCTTCCGTGCCAAGCAAGGTGAAACGCACAAAATCGCCAACAAGCTGGGGGCTGCCGCTGGTACTGCTGCTGGTAACATCCCCGAGTCCAATGCTAGCATAGATTCTGAATCAAAAAATGCGAAGAAGCTCATGACGACCACCACGGCCGTTATCCTCACCGGACCATACGGGCAATCCATCGTTGACGACTTGCTTCCGGCATACATGCAAGGCAGCAACACGAACATCCTCTGTGTCGCAGGCGGTACCGGCATCACCTTTGTCCTCCCTGTCCTTTGGCATCTTGCTCACCTCGACGCATTTCAAGGACCGCGGCCATGCAGCATCTCCGTCGCTCTCGTCTGGGCCATACGCAGGAAGCAGGACGTGCTATGGGTCGAAGAAGAGCTCGATGCGCTACGCGCTATTGCGGGAAAGTGCATCAGCATCGAGGTCTACGTGACGCGTGGGGTCGACCGTGCTCGCGTGCTGCGATCTGCGACTTCGTCAAGTGTGGAGAAAGGCCAAGGCACCATTGACTGCAGCAAGTGCGATGAGGATCCCGCCCCGCTTGACCTCGCCCCTGATGCCGCAGATGCAGCTGCAGCCACCGCAGAGGGCGAAGAAGGAGGCCCTGAGGCACCGTACTTGCTCCGGCGCCCAGACCTGCATGCTGTTGTCACCAACTTTGTCGACAGCACCGCATGTGGGCCAACGACTGTGTTCGCAAGCGGTCCCGGCGGCATGATCAGCGAATTACGCGACGCGGTTGCAAGCTGCAATTCCGCGGGGAGGGTGTGGAAAGGAGACGACAGAGCAGACGTCAGCCTCGTCTCCGACAATCGCCTCGAGTGGTGATGTGGTCTGTACGGCAAAAGCAAAATTGTTGGCGGAGCTGTCCGTGCAGACTGTCTTGATGTCTGCGCTCGGCGCCGCACCCCACACGCATCGGCACAGCAAGAGCAGGGAAAGTCGTCCACAGTCAAAAACACAGTTTCACATGTATCCCAACATATTATTTGCAATCATCATTGTTGTAGAGCTGCTGCAGTGTCAGAAATGTTGTGCAGTAAAATATTGGGAGGCGAGTGTGCAGTGCGCTCGTATGCTACAGGTGGGATGGGGCATTTGCATTAGTAGTGGACGGATGCGTTGCATGCGCGGAGTATGGTGTGCATGTATTTGCGGGTGTGCGTGTGGATGAGCATTGTCCTTGCTTGGCGTCTGGCGCTAGCCTCGCTGTCGATCATGCCCATCGAGATTGCTACGATATAAGGATCATCAGGCGTCGACAAGCGCCCCTGCACCTAGACTGCGGAGCTTCTCGTTTCTCTCTTCTATCGCGCTGCTTCGCTTTGGCTTGCCTTCTTTCGCCGTTCGCCACCATTCCTGCGGACGGTAGAAGATGTACAGCGTCAGTGCTCTCTACCGTATCTCCGCTCTGGGAACCTGGGATACGGGTCGACGCTCACCTTTAAGCATGAGTACGGATGCTCGTCGAAAGAGTTTTCAGGCTTGCAATTGCATTTGCCATTGTCGTGATACTTCTTCCTCTGGAGACCCGGAAAAGACATTGCCGAGACGAGACGAAGTACGAATCAGCGGACATCCCTTATGAAAGCAGGGCTACGCTCAGGAATGCATGTACGCACGTTCACAGGACAGTGACTGAAGGGGACGTGGGTGTAGCCGATGTCGTTGAAGTGATGCAGTCTAGAACGGTCAAGCATGATGGAGACAGCAAGGGAATGTACCGGCGCATCGCCCCATCGCTCATAAAAGAACCCGCCGGCTTGGTCGAGGTGATCAAAGTACTTTGAGTACGCCTCGGAGCGCCAAAAACGCAGGTCGGCTGAACATACAGCATTGGGAAGGAGAAACAGTGAGCGATCGCTGCGGTGACTACGAGCCTCAGTGCAAAAGTACTGTGCTCGCGAAGGCTGAAATATGCTCACCAATCTCAAAGTTGGACCACATGTGACAGAGATTCCAGCCGGCGTCGAAATGTCGCTCTGGCTCGTCCGTGAGGAAATGCCACGAAGCATCTTTGGCCATGTACTGCGGGTTCAGGTCGAAGAACTGCTTCGTTGCGCTGTAGAGCGTAGGAACTGTTTCGACATACTCGTGAAGAGCCATGGTGAAGCCGTATGTCTGTGTGGATACAACAGAAGTAGAGAAGGCGCATCAGCGAAGGCGACCCACCTGCGAGCGAGATCATTACACATTGCCTCACCTTGTTGTTCATCTGCATGAACAAGAATGGATCGTAGTCGAGCTACCGAACAGATTTTAGAGAAGAAATGGTCAACTTGGAATTGTCCTATATTCCCACTGTTGAGAAAAATCGAGCTCACATCACAGAACAGCTTGATGCCAGGCTCGACTCTCCAGTAGTAGTCGAGGTCTTTGGTGAGGGGATGCCTATAAAAGAAACCGGACTGGAAACGGCACCTGAGGGAAGCATTCAAAGGTCAGAGTGGTAACAGAGGAGATAACTATTGAAGTGATATACTCACATGTGGCGATACGACTCGGACCCGCCGTAGAGAACCTTCTTCAGCGTCATCTTTTCCCTCGTATCCGCCGCTTTCTTCTGATCGATCCAACTCGGATACCCCCAGTGCTCCTTTTCGACTTTGCCGAAACGAATCTCGGAGCGCGTCAAAGCCCTGACACCAGCTTTGAACTCATCGGTGAAGTCCACGTCATTGAGGAAAATCCAAGGGTAGCCGTACTTGCGATTGAAGCGATCCTCGACCTCGCGCATGGATGCCTGCATCGATTCGAGCTCGGAGTTGCGTACAAGCACGATGAAGCCCGCTTTCGCGCGCGGCGCCTTGTTGGCGAGCGCAGGGATAAATTGCGGCGGGTAGATGTTGCCATCGTCGCCCTTCTCGCCCCATTTCTCCAGTTCGGCATAGGTCACTGGTGGATCGCCGGGTTTGAAGGTGTACAGAGCATCAGCGGGACTGATCTCGCTTGCCTGGTACTTTTCCGGCTGTTTCCCTTTGCCGCCCGCGCTGGAGATCCAACCGGAAGCTTGCGACTTGGCGTTCGAGGCCCATTGCTTGGCCGTTTCGGAGCCGGTAGATGTGAAGCTGAGCCATGTGACGAAGCTGAGCGCGAGGAAGAAGGTGAGGGCGAGTGGGACGATGCGTTGCGGTCGTCGTGCAAGTCCTTCAAGGAAGGAACGTCCGCTCCCTGCGGCCGAGGGACCCGAGCCGCCATGCAGGCGGTTGTATCTAGGCGGCGCCATTTGCTTCTCAGCATCCGAACCTGCGATTGGCGAGCGGTGAGATATATCCTTCAGCACTGGATATGACAAGCCTGGAAAGTCTTCCGAACAGCTTGTTGCGTCGTTCTTCCCTGCCGCCTGCGGAGCGTCTCCCGGCTGGTTACTCTCTCCTTAAAGAGCATACGCGGTCTAAAAGGGGCGAGCTGCTGATGTTTAACACGCCGCCACGCCTATCCTCCAACGTCGGTTTCCACCCGCTCCACAAGAATGGTCGTTTGACAAAGCGAGCGAAGCAAACGCCAGCAGCAGCGAGCTCCAAGCCGCGAAAGGGAACGAGGGGAGGAGGGTGATAGGCGTCCGCAAGCGTGTACCCAGGACGGAACTGATACAAATACAGAATGCGATCAAAAGTTTCGGCAGTCGATGGGCATAGAAGGCAGAAGCAACATCCAAGTCGATTTGGCCGGCCACCACGACGAGGGCCAAATCGGTGGTAACGCGTCACCGACGCCACTGCCGCGCGCTGCCGCTTTCTTCCGCCACACCGGCTCCTCCGTATCGTGTCGCTTCCATGGCTGTCGCTTCCCCTCCACACAGCCCCGGTCGGTGACGCCTCGGTCCTCGGCGCTTCAGCTCACGCACAACACTCATCGCACACGCCAAAGCTTTCTGGTTTGTTGTTCGCGGCGGGCTGCTCCTTTGTTCTTTTCTCCCTATTCGTCAGCACGTCGATGAGAGCCGCGCCCAGCGCCTGGAGGCGCTCGGCTGCATACATTTACTTGCGTTTGATGCTCACCCGCTCCAGAGCCAACGCCTGTCAACGCAACTTCCAAGGCCGGCATCTGGAAGCGTGCGAGTCGAACCTCTCGCCATATCCACACATGCGACCTGCAGTGCTGGTTGCATTCGTTTGGCTGGCACTCGCAGTCCCGCACAAAAGTCACCCGCGGTCGACGGAGCCTTCGCGTAACCTAATAATACTATCGCCCCCAACTACTAACTAGACGCGGCGACTAATGCGGGCTGCTCGCGATATCGCACTCCGGTCGCGAAAACTCGATTGCAAGTCCGTGAATGGGCGCCACTTCTTGGCACGATCCGCTGGTGGTACAGAATGCGTTGCTCACCATCCCCTCCCTCCACTTTTGCTGTCTGCAAGACCATGCCGGGACTCGTTACTCATTCTTCGCCCGCCACTGGTCGTGCGCAGCCGTGACGAATCACTCAAATTATATCCCTGCGATATCAGAAGCTACGTGAATGAGTAATAAAGAGCCTTTTTGAGTAAGACGGCCGCGCAAGTCTAGCCGACAGTAACGACTAACGATCCAGCGGGAAAGGGTTGTTTTCCATCATTTGCATGATCGTGTAGTTACTCTATTATGGGAACGATCGCAGGTCAGTCATCCTTGCTTAGGGCCATCTGACCAGGATGGTGGGACACACGCACAGCCGTCCATCTGGACGCCCACATCGGGATAGCATAGCGTCAAGTTACGCATGTAATGTCACAAATAGTTAAAGCATTCCCGATGTCACACCGCCCTCATCTCGAACGGGATAGTCACAAACACAAAGCAAAGAGCTATAGATGGGAAGAAGGTGTGTAAGAAAAAGCGCGTCGGGCCGCGGCTTGGCAGGAGGAATGCGAAACAGCGCAGCACTGTCTTTGATGCCGCAGCGTCCCAAGGACCGAGGCAAAGTCGAAGGTGAATATCGTGCGATAAAAGTTGCAGGATAAAAGAAATCGAAAGGCGTGGAAAGACGAGGGGAAGGGAGCGTGTGGCAGGCAGTTGCCCAGGGTCAGTGGCCGTGGCGTGCAATTGACGGCCGGGAAAACAAGCAGAGAGGGAGCCCATGGTGAGAGAGTATAGCGGAGCGGCGCCCTAGCCCGCAGAGCAGGGCGGGGCGGTAGCAGGTCTGGTATTTAGGGTGGTGGCACACGACGTTTGATGCCCATCGGAGATAACCATGCTGCTGTTGCTGCGAATGCGTACCGCAGCAGAGGCTCTTGAGGCTTAAGAGGCTTGCTCAGATACCGCGCCGAGAGCGGCGCCCTGTTGTGGCAACGGGCGCATCGACTTCGCGCATGGCCGGCGCACGGTCCTCGGGGTCGATCGTGCTCTCGATGCTGTCCTTGATTCCGGGGAAGACGACACGCCATGCGTCGTGGGAGAACATGAAGTCGAGGTGCTCGTACCTGCAATCATAACAGGGGAGGATCAGCAAAGAGTCAGCGCGCAGCGCAGCGCAGTGCAGAACAGAGCAGAGAGTGGAATATGCGGCCACTCACCCGTCGAGCTCGACACAGTGGACTATGTCAACGTTGTGCTCATGGCGCTGGAGGCGTTGCGCGAGCGGCTTGCCGAGGACAAGTAAGTCGATGGTGCCGTAGTACATCGAGTGAGGCGGGAAACTGCGCGGGAACCAGGGCTCCTGCATGCGAGGGTCGAAGATGCAGCCGCGCGCAGCCCACGCGGCCATGTACCAATACAGCAGCTCCGACGACGTCGGGACGGGAAGCGAGCGGAAGACCTTAGGGATCTGGCGCTTGGGCGTGAGGCGCATGTGGAAGCCGAACATGTACGAGAACATGACGTAGGCTAGGTGGCCAAAGATAAACGATGGTAGCACGCGCTGAACCAGCGCGATGGCCGGGATGAACTGTTTGATGCCAAACACGAATGACCACCATTTGCGCGAGCGGAACTTGCGGATCAGCGAGAAGGGGAAGCGGCGCAGCACCGGCCCAGCGTACACCGAGGGACCGAGGGCGACAAAGACACTAAGCCGGTCCCCAAGCTCGGGGCAGATCCCCGGGGAGAGGGCGAGGTACATGCTGCCGGATCCCTGCGAGTGGCCCACGTACGCAAGACGCGGATGCGCCGTCGCCTCGCAGATGAACTCGACGACGTCGCGCAGGTCGAACGCCAGCTCCTTGAGGCCCCAGGCCCAGAAGCGCGGGTCCGAGCGGGAGAACTCGGTGTGCCCAGCATTGTAGTTAGCGCGGATGTTGGGCAACCAGACGTCGTAGCCCTGGTCGACGAGCCAGAAAGCGAGGGAGCGCTCCTCGTTCATGATAAAGTGTGACGAGTTGCACAGGATGCCGTGCTGCAGCACGACTGGGTAGCCAGCGCCGCCTGGACGACGCGGGTCGCTGATGCGGTGCACCTTGAGGATCCAGCCACCCTCAGTGATGACCTCATGCTCGTCGCAGCGGTAGCCCCAGTACTAGTAGCAAAAGGAGTAATAGTGTCAGAGAACGACAGAAGGGGTGGAAACAGGAGGAAGTGTAGGACGAAGTGACACGACACACACCTCAGCGTAATACTGCACCCTGCCGGAGCCTCGCTCCCCGGTGACGCGTCTCTCGTACTCGCGGTCTGCTTTGGCGCGAGGCGGGGACCTTGCGAAGGGGTTAAGGTAGTGGGCAAAGCTGGCGATAACGACAAGGCCGAGGGCGCCGAGGGTAAGGAGGAAGGAGATGAACTGTCCGAATTGAACACGGAGCTTGCTGAGCGTGCCAAAGTTGCCGTAGTCCTGGACAACGTGGTCGAAAAACGGCATCTCGAGCGGTGCCTCGTGCGTATAGTCTTCGAACGTCGGATCGAAGAAGGGCTCCTGGTGCGAGGGCTCGCGCTGCAGGCCGTTGGCCTGATGCGATGGTCGGGGCGACGCCGTGGAGCTGGGTAGGCCGCCCTCGCCCCTGTACGGGTGGTAGTTACCAAGGTCATCGCCTTCGGTGTGGATGCGCTCGACGGAAAAGTCGTGGCCACGCCCGCGGAGAGCACGGCCGCCGGCGTCACCAGCAACATGCTGATCTGCGAAAGGATCCGCATGGTATTGCGGCTGTTGGTGCTGCTGGGAGCCCGCTTCGGCTTCATCATCGTCGCGCACCCGGGTGCCGGACTGGGAGCGAGCGGCGTAGTCGATGTACGACATGGTCTCGGATGCGCTGTGGGTAACTTGGCAGGAGGAGAGCAAGGGGAAAAGGAATTGAGTCGCAGCGCAAGGGCAAAGAGCTGGCTCAGGGAGGGCTGCGGTAACAGTGTGCGTGCGACGAATCCGTGGTGAAGCGATATGTAAAGAGGTGGAGTGGAGAAGGTCGAGATCGCTTGTTCGCTCGTTCGCTCTTCCTTCGCTCGAAAGGGCGGTGCGGGGGGGGGGGAGTCGGACAGGAGAAAAGGAGAAAAAGTCGCAGCGGTCGCACTACGCACGCCTCTCTCTTGCTTGTGCCTTTCTCGACAAGGTTCCTACGAGCAAGGGGGGCGGTGAGCTGCGGATGATCAAGTCGATGGCAGCCTGCCTGATGCTGATTGGCCAGGGCGATACCGGATATCGGTATCCTTTCTTGCCAGTGGTGTTGAAGACGACGAGCTGTGGTGGTCATCAGCCCAAGAGGCAGTGTAGCACTGCACCAGTGTCTCACCCCTTCTGCGGTTGGCTGCAAGCGGAGAGCGGGGCAGAGTGCCCCCGTCTGGCAGGTTTTGGCAGGAACTACACCGCACAGAATCGCCCCACAGAAGAGCAAGGGGGTAAAAGCGGGGACACGGCTGTCATGCCCTGGTGCTGGGAGACAGCACTGTCGCCAAGAATAGGAAAAGAAACACTGACCAGCAACCGCCCTCTTGATTTTGACTTATCTCTCTCTCGTCTTCGCCGCCCTCACAATCTCACCATACACCTCTAACCCTTCATTCCCCAAAGTCCATAGTGGGAGCTTGCAGCGCTCGCAGACTGGTTGCAAGCGGACAACATGCAACGGGATGGAGTTTGCCCACAGTCTCTACACCCCCTGCACGTCAATTAGAATCTGGTGGAAGAGAGACTCGTCATCTCAGCAGATCGAAGCACTGAGGCGCGTGCATACTCATACACGGTGCCTACAGGTGCCAATCCTCCAGCTGGCTGACCGAGCTGCGTCCCTGCTTCCCCTCTCGCGCAAAACGATCGCATCCTCAATCGCTCTCTTAAAAATTGGAAAAAAAGAAAGAAAATAATGATGTCGGAGAGTCGCTGACCGCGGCGTCTCAAGCAATCGGAAGGCTGGGTATCTGCTATCGGCACGGTGGCCACTATGGGCACGTGACCAGAAACCGAATACGCGTCTCTTTCATCGGCTGTGCGCACGCGTCCCCCGTTCCGCCCACAGTACATGTGGTGTGTGTGTGTTGTGTGTTGTTCTTCCCGAGGCAGATGGGCAGGTGCCACTGTGAGTGCCCGTGCGAGTCTGTCGGCGGGTATGTACTGTAGAAGCTGCTTTCAACATCAATGCAAAGTGGTCCATCTCATGAGAGCAGACACACACCCACACAAAGAAAGAGAGAGCGCAGAGAGCAAAGACTATCCATCCGTCCACCACGACATCCTAGACCCTCGTCTCTCCACCGCCCCGGCCCCTTTGCTTTCCTTCTTCGACACCACCGCCACTTCCTCCTTCACTCTTGCGACATCAGGAAGGTATCACGCTCGGATTTGCTCGTCCTCGTCGCTGTCGCGGTCGTCGCCATCGTTGTCGGCACTCTCCGGGTAGCGAATCCTCTCCAGCTCGATCCGACACCGACCGACTGTATACCTTTACGGCCGGCCCCAGCTCGGGCCCTTTAGCTCAGTCGGGCTCGTCATCCCAAACCACCACTGCGGCGTGCTGTACACGCACCGTCCTCACCTGCCCCGTCGCACTTCAGAAATCTGTCGGCCACCATGGCCCACGCAAACGCTATCGCCGCTCGCGACCAGCTCCGCAAGATCCAGGCCCATGCCAGCAACGCTGCCTCGGCACTGTCCGAGCGTTATGCTCCGAACGTGCACGCCAACCATGCTGCGCTCAAGTCGTCGCGCCAGCAGCCGCAGCAGCACCAACAGCAGATGACCGCAGAAGAAGATGGAAAGCACCAGCAGCAGCAGAGGGATCGCGAGGCGGAGCGGCTGCAGCGGAAAGAGAGGGAGGACCGAGAACGAAAGCGCCGAGGCGACAAGCCGGACAGCAAGAAACCCGTCCTTCCCACCGCTCCGGACATGATCGTCGACTCCCACGGTGTCTCGTACGTGACCGGGCACGTACTAGGGCAGGTGAGTTCGCAGTTTTTGTCTAAGGGCTGTCGGTTTTCACGACGGGATGCTGACAGCCTGTCCACTCTTCCTTGTAGGGCGGCTTCGCGCGCGTCTACATGGCGACCTGCCCGCAGGGCAACGAGTACGCCTTCAAGGTCATCCACAAGGCCACCGTCTCGTCCTCCAAACGCAACAAGTCCAAGCTGCTCGCTGAACTCAAGATTCACAAGAGCATGAAGCACAAACACATTGTCCGCTTCTTGGATCAGTTTGAGGATGAAGAGAATGTCTACTTTCGCCTGGAGCTATGTGCAAACGGGGTTAGTTGCTTCTCGCTCTGTTCTCCTTTACACTATCGTGAGCCTAGCCACTGACTTTAACCCGTGACGGCTGCCAGAGCATGAACGATGTCGTCAAGCGTCGTGGTCGCTACTCGGAGCCCGAGTCGCGCTACCTGATGACACAGATCCTGACCGGATGTCAGCACATGCACCTTAACTCGGTCATCCACCGCGACCTGAAGCTCGGCAACATCTTCCTCGATGCGTCGATGAACGTCAAGATTGGCGACTTTGGGCTCGCCGCGCTGCTCAACTTCCCCGAGGAGCGTAAGAAGACTGTGTGCGGCACGCCAAACTACATCGCCCCTGAGATTCTTTACGACCAGGGCGACGGGCATAGCTTCGAAGTGGACATCTGGTCCGTCGGCGTCATTCTGTACACACTCCTGATCGGCAAGCCGCCGTTCCAGACAGACAATGTGCAGAAGATCTATGAGAAGATCAAGCGAAACGAGTACGAGATCCCCGCCGACTCGACCATCTCCTCGCACGCGCGCGAGCTCATCGCCCAGATCCTTACGCCCAACCCGGCGGAAAGGCCGACGCTCATTCAAATCATGGACCACCCCTGGTTCTACGCGGGGGCCGTCCCGAGCAGTCTGCCCGCATCCGCATGCAGAAAGATGCCCGTCTTGCCGTACGTTTCGCCGGAGCAGTCGCTCAAAAACTTTGCGCAGATCAAACTGGAGGGAGAGTGGAACCCGCACGCGGATGATCTCATCGAAGAGGACGACGAAGACGACGAGGAGTACGATGACGACGAGGAAGAGGGCAACTATGCAGACGGCGGTAACGGCAGTAACGCGCAGCGCGGATCGCACCAGCAACGAGCGAGCGTCAGTGCCACGCGTGCGGCGGACATGCGAAGCCGTCTGCGAGAGATGGAAGCGCTCGAGGACCAGCGCGCGGCCGTCAACAGGGAAGCCGAGCGTGCCATTCAACCAGGCAGCCCGATCAGCACGCTGCTCAAGGTTGGCCAGCAACCGCTCATCCGCGCCCCACAGCAGCAGCAACAGCAGAGTCACTACCAACGTGATCAGCGCGCCAGCAGCGCCCGACGCGCCGCTAGCGGCCTCGCGAAGCAGCTGGGAGCGCTCAGCGTCTCACGTGCCGCCTCGGTTAGTGCGCACCAGCTGCCACAGTACCCACAGCAGCAGAATCAGCAGCAAATGGTGCAGGGTGGCGCTAGCAAGCCTTCGCGCGCGTTCGACCTTGCCGCCGAAAGGGAGAGCACAGGCCCACTGCCAGCCACCAACAGCAGCAACGGCAATGGGATGCTCCCACCGCAGCGCAGCGCGCCGTCGTACCAATCTGGAGGCGAAAAAGTGACAGAGGACCGACGTGAGCTCAACCACAAAACCCGTCTCGTCGCTGGCATGACCGCGGCGCAGGGCAGCGCCGTCAGCCTCGCCAGCGTCGAATCTGGCTCAACGCGCCGGGGCGCCTTCCACGCTGGCGGTGGCAATCATCGCGTTTCGCAGCAGCATGCATATGCGCAGGCGCAGACACAGCCCAAGCCGGCGGCTTTCACCGAGCTCATTGTGCATCGTCTCAGCGCAGCGCTCGATGCGTTCGAACAGAACAGCATGCTCTCGCTGCACGACGCCGAGGGCGACAATGTCCCGATGCTTCCCGTCGAAACGCAGGTCAACGAGGACGGCACGATGCGCCGCTGCCCGCCGCTTCCGAAAGCGTTCGTCGTCTCGTGGCTCGACGCGAGCGACAAGTATGGCCTCGGCTATGCGCTGAGTAACGGCTCTATCGGCGTCCATTTCCGCGATAGCGACAGCATCGTCCTGGCGCCTTCGACGCAGTCGTTCGAGTACGTCGCACAGAACAAGCGCATCAGCACCGCAAGCACCGAGCCGTCACCACCGATCGTCATGCATCGCAAGAGTTTTGCCATGCCGGCCAGCGATGGTGACATGGAGGCTGATGCCCACGACACTGCGGCCGCTGCTCAAGGACAGCAACAGAGCCTGCGGCACAAAGCAGCGCTGCAGGGCATGCCGCCGACAGTGGTGAACAGGATGGAGATCCTCATGTCCTTCACCGCAGAGATCACCGAGCGCCTCTGCGGCGGTGGGCATCCACTCATGCAGCGCGAAGACTCGCTCGTCAAGGACCTGCCCTTCGTGTACAAGTGGTTCCGCAGCCACGAAGCGATCATCTTCCAGCTTTCTAACGACATGCTGCAGGTGAGCACACGGCCCAGCTCCTCCACTCGACTCCATTTTCCTTCTTATCGCTAAAAACCTGTTTTCCTTGCCTTCCAGTACAACTTCTACGACCACATGAAAATTTTCCTCATCGACCAAGGCCTGACCATCGCTGCGATCGTACCGTCCGAGCACATCCCGGGCAAGCAGAGACTCTACACCTGGACCCTCGCCGAATTTGTCTCGATCGCGCTGCAAGACCGCTCGGCGCGCGAAGCAGCCGCTTTCGAGGAAGCTGAGCGCCTCGGGCTCGACATGCCCACGATCGACATGACCACTCCACGCGAGCGGAGATTCGTACGGCGTCTCATGCAGAAACTCAAATTTTGCCGCGACGTGCTGCTCGCCACTGCCAGCTCACGTACGGGCGTCAAGTCGAACGCGACGACCACAATGGAGAGCGCACGCGAGGCCCTTAAACGAACGAGTAGCGCGATGAGTCTGGCAAGCACCAACAGCGGTCGCAGCATTGCTGCAGGTCGGTAACGTCTCGCACAGGCGCAAGACGTCAGTGATTCTCCGGTGCAAAAACCCCTTTGGCCTCTTTCTCGCCGTGTTCAAAAGTTCACATTAATCATCAACTCATGGAACGACACTTCATATTACAATGACATCATCTCTCACTGCATCTGCCATGTACTATGCCTCTAGAATCCGACGCTGATCAAGCGCATCAACAAGGTGACTTCTATATCGCTTGCTTGTGAACCGCATATGCAGGTGCAGAACATGCTGTACGTTGCGCTATCATGAATCTGCGAAATACTTTTCGCCCAGTGCAGCGACTCGCTGTATGAGTGTCTGCAGGTCGGACTCCTTGGTGCTAGGATGAGTGACGAGGCGCAAAAACTGCCCAGATTGACCCGGTAGCGGAGCAAAGTCAACGGCAAACATGCGCTCGCTTTGAAGACGCTCGCGCACTTCGATGACAGCTTGCGAGAGCTGTTCGGTGCTCAGGCCTTCCTTGTATGGGCGGAAACAGACTTGCAAGAAACTTGATTCGGGCGGCGGGTAGAGCACCAGGCGCGGAGCAGCGGCTTTGACCATGGCAATCGCTTTGGCTGCCAACTCGAAGCCGCGATCGACGTGGGCGCCTAGGCCTTCCTTTCCATAGCGCAGCCATGTCAGGTAGAGCTTGAGCGCATCTCCTTTCCTCCCACAGCCGAGCGTCTTCATACCGGGATTATCGCGCATATCGGCTGAATGGAAGAGGTAGGATGCGGCTAGGGAGTTGCCTTTGAGTGCCTGCTTTCCGTGTTTGAATATGAGGAATGAGCATTGAAGAGGGACGTTTAGCAGTTTGTGTGGGTTGATGGTGAAAGAGTGGCACGAATCTATGCCGGAAATGAGGTGCTTCCAGCGTGAGGAGAAGAGCACGGGCCCGCCCCAGCTGCCATCGACATGAAGCCAAAGGTTATTCTGCTTGCAAATCTCGCTGATCGCTTCAAGATTGTCGAAAGACCCTAGAACTGTAGTTCCTGCCGTCGCATTGACAAAGAACGGGAAGCCCTTGTGCGAGGGACGCAGGTTATGAAGCATCCTGTCAAGCGCCTCGGGATCCATGCGCCCGGAGGGATCGCAGGGTACTTTGATGACGCTTTCAAGCCCCAGACCACAAGCTAGCGCAGCTTTCTGGATTCTGAAGGAAAACCCCACTGTCCATCAACTTCCCTCGCGTTTTAACGATAGCTCTGTATACCACTCACGAATAGTGACTCTGGTCGCTGGTGAATATCAAAGGCTTCAGGAGCGAGGCGGAGGACACTGTCTCGACTTCTGACTGCCCTGTTACGTGCCGACCCACAGAAGCGTCAGCAGATCCGGGAGGAGGCAAAGCCTTCAGACGATTGATGTCATCTAATGCCCCGAGTATGCCTGCTTCTTTATATGAGGGAAACATAGTAGCTAGTGCAGTCTGAATTGCAAGTGTGTTTGATGCCGAACCGCCAGGCATGGTGAGGCCGTCCACTTGCGACTCCTCGTTACTCCCAGAGCCCGCTTCAGACCATCCACACAGTCTACCGAGCTCTTGAACGCACATTTCCTCCACAAGGCTGAGCACGGGACTGGAGCTGAAGACATGGCAATTGGCATTCAGGACGGAGAGTATCAGGTCCGCAACGAGTCCAATTGGCTTTGGCGCAGCGTAGAGCTTGTCGAGAAACCGCCCAGTCCATGGGTTGATGCTGTTATCCAGTACAGTCCCGATCAGCTCTAATAGGCCTGTTCACGAGGAACTTTGACCGTCAGCAAATTACCCACTGTGCGATAATGTTCCGCACAATCACACGTACCCTGTTCAGAGAGGGTATGGGACGACTGTGGGCGTTTCGCATGTTTTGATTCCTCTTCCAGAAGCACATGAGAGCCAAGAGATGATATTGAAGGAATAATAATGTTATCCCTGGCTTCTTTCGAAGTAGGCCAGCGCAGGACGGGTGCATCTTCACGCTCGCCTTTCCGGATCCCTGCAAGGCGTAGGGAACCCCATCAAGCGAAGTCAGCTCGAGCGAATCCTTGATTTCGCGAAGGCTTCAATGTGTCCAATGAGTTACGTACATTCCAACACCCGCTCCAACGCGGGGCGAAGGAGTGTATCTATTTCAAATGAAGCTGTGCCACCAGGACCACTTGATAGTTGTGGCAACCCGTTGGCACCCGTTACCATGGCAGCAATGTTGGAGAACCAAGTAGCGATTCTTGCAGCGTACAGTAAGAATCCATGCGATTTTTCTTCTTTAATTTCCCAGTCAATTTCCACTTGCCGTGCTTCAGATCATCCACGTCGGCAGTACCTTGACTAGTTGAACTACGAAGATCAGACATGGAGGAAAGGCAATGTGAAGGGATATGCTTTCATTCGAGAGAACTGTCGTTGATCATAACTACTAAGGACAAGTCTTACGTAAGCTGTTTTGGCATATGGCCGCGCACTCTCATCCGAAAGGTCACCAACGAAACGCGCACGTCTCCAACTTTCTACATGGAGTCCCTGCTCCATACGACAGCCCATCCCTACCTTGCGGGTTGTATAACAACGAGGGTACTACAAGGAAGGGCTTTGACAACGATCCCAACCCAGCAGTGTTCTTGATTTTCAGAGCTCACGCATCTTCGCGTTAGTTCCATGCGTACACACGCGCTCATCCGACCTTCTTGAACCAGCATTCTGCAACGCACGCATAACGACCTTTGAGAAGACCCACGTTGAGACAATAAAAGGCCAAGATGGCGACCACAGCTCAGAAGTCGCTACAAGTAGCAGCGGAGTTGGCGCTTGCAGTGCCCGAGGGAGAAGAAAGCATTCCACAACTTGGTGTTTTGGACGAGGATGATGAGTTTGAGGAGTTCGAGACACAGGGTAAGTTGCAGAATGCCTCCCGTATATATCATGTCAAAGTGCTTCGGACAGGATAAAGAAGCCCAGCGAGGAGTCACAGGGCCCAAAAATGGATTCTATCTCAGGCTTGCTGTGGCACCCTTGCGCCAGAGCCTTTCGGCTAAGGGGTCATGCGAAGAAACAGGCGTAGAGAGATCGCATATCCTGTTGCGGGTTACGAGAGCAAGCTGCATGCGACGGATATTCGCCGTCGTCCAAATCATTTCCAGCATTCGAGATGAAGATAACTGACGCATGCTATTGTATTCGTCAGATTGGTCGGACGCAGACACAGCACTTGCGCACTTGTCCAACAAAGCCGTACAAATCTCCAGTGCAGCTGGCGCGACGGGCGGTCAAGATCAAGGGGCAGCGCCTGGCGCTAGCGTGGGGCTTTCTATTGCTGGCGGCAATGCAACTGGCGGAGGCAGTGCAGGATCCGCCAGTGGCGGACCGGCGGATCATCTATGGCAAGACAACTGGGACGATGATGACGTGGAGGACGACTTTAGCAAGGCCCTAAGGTGAGTCTACGTCCTTTACTGTTGGCCCATTGCTGGTTATGCCTGCAGCGCACGAAGGGATACAGGGCTGACGGAAGATTTTGATCTTCACTTTTTACAGGGCAGAGCTTGACAAGGCCTCTGTCAACCAAGTGACCGCATCATCATAATTCAGCATCAATAGAATGGCGATTCTGCTGACCTGTTTAGTTTGTCCGAGTACAAGCTGCCGTTCCATCTCGCATTGGCTAGTTGCTGCAATGTAACTGTGGGATCCTTGAGTATGAACAACAAGGAGTCTGGTTTAGTGAATGCCCGGAAAATCGAAGCTTCCCTTGGCACAAGGCGCTGTGTCAAGTGAAGAATCACCTGCCTTGTCGTCTTGCTCCACGCATTACTCTCGCAAACGTCAACACATTTGTTGACACGTACAAGTACATCCCTCACCACTCTAATGATATGGACCTTCGAAAGTATTCTCACAACGGCCGTCGGCGGGCATGCACTGCTGTCGACCAGCCACGCCTTACGCAACCATTGGTGTGACATCGATACACCAATCCAGCGCACACAGGCGGCCGCAATATCTCCGTGCGCGCTGAGTACCAATATTACCAGGCGTGCAGTCCCTGCCCCACTTGGCCACTTTTCCGTGCTGCACTGATGTATCAAGAGCCAATCAGCCGAAATTTGCGCCGTTGGTAGAGTTTGAAGCACAGACATTGGCCATCTCTGGTGAGAATGCTCACAGTATCGCTATCTTGTCTTTTGAACCATACGGCAGACATTGGCATGGCCACCAACCGAGACCTAGTATCGAATCTCAGATACCTCGTAAATCCTGTCCACACTCCAGAGGCACAGTGATGGCGTCCTTGTGACAATAGAATGTGGACAAGGCAAGAGCTGCCCTCGGTGCGGATTCGACGCTTGGTTTCGAAGGCAGAAATCTATGCTCAGGCTTTTCCGAGCCTCAGTGGCCTCCCCGGATCGCATCCTCGCCTTCCTGTGGACACTGAGGAGAAACATGAAAGAAAGAAGCAAGCTGGAATTTTCAGTCATCAAAGAGCCAATCAAAATACAGGTACTTCATCTGGCGAAGCTGAGATCGATGGCTGACGCCCACATCACAGGTGAAATGCGATGAGGTTGCCACATACCACAGCCGGATGCGGAATGATCCAGATTTTTGAAGAGGACAACTATATATGTCAAAAGACCTGCCTCGTTCAAGCAAATGTTCATAGGCAACCGTGCATTACGCGATATGGAGAAGCGGCCGCTTTGAGCTCGAAAGAAAAAGACGCTCTCATCGACGTCGGCGCTTATCTCCGAAGAATCAGGCCGGGTTTTGTGGCCGCGGGCGATGTATGGACATTAGAGAGACAGGGCCGTTGTCTGAATATGATCCCGATGACATGATCGATCGTCGTCCTCCGCTAATCTTTGACTTCGACCAGTCGTGGATCAATGTGGGCGACGCATAGTCCACTGCATGCATTCCCAGGGCAGAAACATCTCTATAAAACAGACGTCCAGTGACCGACAGTCCTGTTCGCCGAGCTATACCCCGTAAGTGACGGTATTGCCCATATCTTCTTTCTCGTCCGCTCCGTTCCCCTCCCTCACGCCGCCCAAAAGCAAGGCGCGGCCTTCTCTATCCAACCTGGTATTTCCAACCTGCTCTTTCGTGGTCAGCTGTACAGCAATTTTTGTCTGTTGCCTGGCTTTGACCCTTGCCAGTGCATCTCTCTCGTTAACTGCGGACGGACAAGAACACAGTGACTCGCTTCGCTCCGCTATTCTGCACTTCACAAAGCCGCGGCGGCTGGCAAAGTTGTTTGCATTATCAGGATCGCGCACAATGTCAAAAAAGAGCCAAACTACGAACGGCAATGGTGCCGCTGGGTACGTTGCGCCCGTATGGTTCATCTCCCATGGTGGCCCACCCAGTAAGTCAATGCGCGCTGGCTGAACTGGTAGCTCCATTTTGAGGTTTCACCGGCTGACTAAGTTGCCGACCATACTTTCATTTAGCCATGTTCGACCCGTCGCACCCAGCCTACGCCGAATGGGAGAAATTCGGTCAAGAAATACGCAAGGAACACAATGATGGAAATGGAGGGCTGAAAGGCTTGATCGCTATCAGTGCTCATTGGCAGAGCACCATCGCCGGTGTTCTCGAAGTGAACACAAATGAAAGGAACCCGCTCTACTACGATTTCTTTGGTTTTCCAGACCATTATGTAGGTAATCATCTCCACAAGTGGCATGCACAAGACGGGAATCGTAAGATGACTAATTGGGAAGCCCACATCTGTGTTTACAGTACACCGTCAAGGTCAAATCTCACAATCCATCCGCTTTTTCGACGCTGGTCCTTTCTGAGCTGAACCACGCTCTTTCAACACAGTCAAATCCGTCTCTCTCTCTGCACAAAGCGGTTCCCACGAGCAGAGGATTGGACCACGGTGCTTTTGTTCCTCTCAAAGTCGCTTTCGCTCCATCGTCCTTGGAGGCGAGCAATGGTGGATGGTCCGAACTAAAATCAGCTAAGGTCGTGTCTGCGCTACCTTCTACTCTTCCATTGCTGCAGGTCTCACTTCCACCGTCTGACGACCCGGAAGCGTCCCTCCGACTCGGTGTCGCGCTTCGCACCTTACGCACGCAGCACGGCATCGGTATTTTTGCGAGTGGCATGGCCGTCCACAATCTACGAGAGCTTTTCCTGTACTTGGACATCGAATCTGCCGCAGGACAAAATTCATCTCCAAGCCGCGACAAGGGCGTGTATGCGTCTTACGCAAAGAGCTTCGCGGAAGCACTCGGAAATGCGGTTGGCGCGGAGCCCAAGGCCAAGCAAGCGCAAGTAGGCAATGAGGCGGCGAGGGACGTAGACGAAGATAGTAGATGGCAGGCGGCGAAAGATTTGTTGAACAGAAGCGACTACAAGAAGGCCCACCCTACGGCTGAACATCTTTTGCGTGCGTGCCGATCTGTGTCACTCTGTGCTCGATCTTGAAACTGAACGGATCGGTTCTACCTCCAGCCGTATTTGTCGCGCTCGGTGCAGTGAAATCACACGAAAGATTCGCACAAACTTTTAAATTACCCGAAGGGTCGATGGCTTGGTGAGTCATTGTAACTGACCTCTGTACTCCGTGAATTGACCACTACACCGATGCTGATCGAAGTATTTTCTGGCGCACAGGAATATGTTCAGCACTCTTAGCCGTACTTAGATGAAGTGTGGGTGTCTCAAGTAAATGGCATGGGACTTTTAATTGATCATACAACGAGTATGCGCATGTGAAAGAGAACAACATCTTGGAAATCTGATCGTACAAGATTATTTGGAAGATTATTTCATGTTTTGCCGACGAGATGTAGTGCTTTGCGAATAGCTGATGGATAGGGAAAATGAAAAAGAATCATCAGCACTACGCATTGCAAATAGCGAGGCAGCAGTCCTAACCTTGCTCCGTGAACATGGGCACGCCACCTTCTTTCTTTGCCCGGCCCTGGACTTTAATGACGCGAATCCCCAGCTCCTCGATCTCCGCGGTCTCTACCGGGATGCGTCCACCCTCAAGGCAAACGAGGCAGCTGACAAGTTCCCGCGCCGCGTATCCTTTTCCTGCAAATGCCGTCCAGGCGTGTTGCGGTGTTGGGGGTCGATTGTGAATTCCTTGGTCCGCCTTCGTACGTGTGTTCGCTTCCATGTCACTTTCATCTGATCCTGTCAGCTGGGCGCCGCTAAAACCACGGTCACGCAGTACTCTGCTGACCTCATCTCCATCTGTGCTGTTGAGGCTACTGACGAGTGCGTAGATAAAATCAAGCGCGGTCATGCCTTGCGTCTCGCGATCCCATTTTGAATTCAGCAGCAGTACCTTGTGCTTGAGCGATGCCGAGCGCGCGATTGCGGTCGCCACGCCACGTAATGCTATGCAAGGTACGATAGAGGTCCAGAGTGACCCGCAAGAGTAGACAAGTGTGCGCGCGTGGGCGAGGCTCGAAATGTAGGACGGATTCGGAGCCGCTGAGATCTCGTTACGGTATGCATTGACGTAAAAGACTCCTATTTGAAAGTGAGCAGAGTCAAAGGTGTGCGTCATTAGTAGACAGCATCAGCTACCACTCACTCTCGATAGGACTTGGCAATATCTCCTCTCTTTCGCCATCATTTTCCTTGTTGAAGACGATGTTCCCCGTTTCTTCCAACTCACACTCTCCTGCACCAGCTTCACCGTCAGCCTCAGCCAAGGCAGTGGGGACAACATCTGCATCCTCAGGATCCAAACCATCGCCGGTATTCCCGACTGTGTGCATTCTCCGCGAACGTTCGCGCTCTTTTGCCTGTAGGTGTACTGATTGGCCCACGACAGCCGGCGTGCCTGCACCACTCGTCAAGTCTCCGCCCACTCCATCTCCAGCGCCTCCACCGATGCTGAGCGAGTGGAAAGGGTCGAAGATGACCGACGAAGGCGTGCCCGGTTGTCCGCTGGCGCTAGGGCTTGAGTGCCACGAGGTGTCGAGGCGTTTGAGGGTAGCTGGGTCGATACCACCGCGGTTCCTCACGGTAGAAGAATGTGAAATGTTTTTCGGCTGATGCGTGACCGGGGCAACAGGGTGTGAGATCTCGCATTGACCGACAATACTGTATGATCGCGTGATAGGGTCAGCGCACTGATACCAGTTGATGTCGGCCCGGGATGCGGTAATAAAGCCTCAAGCAAGCAAACCTTCGTGCAATGCCCCTAGTCTTTTGCATAATTGCCGCCTAACCGATTCGCCTTTCCGCCATAAAATGGAAAAGACTAGGAAGCTAGCGACGCACTACATACGAACGAGGCTCTATTTTCACTTTCGAGGGATTGGCACAGCACTAGCACTGTGTTTGCACGAGCGGCAACTCACACGTCTCCGCTTCTAAGCTCTGCAGCGATGGTAGCTGTGTGATTCGTATTGATGACGGGGATCACTTTCGCTCCCACCATTGCGCCCACCGCTGTGCTACCGTACTGACCGGCGACATTTGCGCCATTGATCAACGATACGGCACTGAAGAGAAAGATGGAGGACTGTATCGAGCGGAAGAACTTTTGCCCAGCGCTGAAAGCAGGAAGATGGGACAGAGGCAATTTTGTAATGCTCAATTCAGCGCAACAGCACAAGCAAGAAGGGAATCCGAGGACAGGCTTACGCGAGAAAGAAATTTCCAACGCTCCCTCCGCGAAAATTGAAATTTCTGTGCGCACGTCGTAATATCTCACTCTCGAAATGCACCAGGAACCCACGTATGCACTCTTTGCGCTCATGTTCGATCCCCTTCCAGAGCTTGTGGCGTCCTTCGAGGATATCGAGCCATTCTTGCTTGATGTCGCGCGTCGGGCCTGTGGTGGGCAGGCGGTATGACAGTAGGGCGTGAAGTGCGAGATTCGATTGAGGTACGGGAGGTGCTAATGGCGCTGGAGGGGGCGGCGAGAAAGGCGAAAGAGGAAGAAATCGGCCTTTGGAGCCAGAGACGGTCGGTGTCTTTAGTAACGTAGGGGAATCACTAGGGCGTGCTCCTCGTGGTGAGGAGGTGGCGGAGTGTGCTGGATTCGTCTGTGGAAGAGGAATGAGACGGACCAAACGGGAGCGCAAGTCACCGATCGACGGGCCACCTAGCACGCGAATGATCTCGCTTGATGACCCTGATCGCACCATAGAAGGTGTCACGATGTGTCAGCCATGATACGAGAGTGTCTCCAGCTGTAGAGCGAAGCTGAGAATGGCGCGTTGAGCGCTCACCGCCATTATCGCTAACGGGCATGATGTACGTCGCATTAGGTGTGGCGCTGACAAGATTATTGTAACCCGATCCACCCGATATGACGACGATGTCAGCGCCAGTGTAGAACGGGTATTCATCCTCATCTTGCATGTCACCTTTCGAACGGTCATTGACTGCAGCAAACGCTGCTAACGAAGAAGATGACGAAGCTAGAAGAGCAGTATTTCCCGTTGTTCTCGACGTCTTTGTAGTTGCGGATGGTTCCGTGCCGCCCTGTACCGCATCATCTCTTACCCCCGGTGGATGATGAAGGTTGGGCAGCGCAGAAAAGAATGGATCTCCGTCCGTTCCACGGTGAATGCCATCCAAATCGGGTGCCTCCCCTTCCATGTCTGAAGTTGTACATGCGCAGTCTTCGTCAGCAATGAATGGGCCTGTTGTTGACGGCATTGCCAGCTCCTTCTGTCCCAACCGACTCTGGTGAGGAGGTCGTATGTGCAGCACAATGAGCCCGTGCTGCCGCTCAACCGATTGTCACGTCCCCGTAAATTCTCGACCGATGTTTGCCCGGTGAGGTGCACAGAGAGCAAAGCGCACACTTCGCATCAAGATTCGAGTCACCTACCCAAAGGGCAAGACCATTCCAAGTCCCAAGGCAAGCAAGTTGATCTCGAAGTCGGTGTTCCGTGACTCATTAGAAATGGAAGTGTGGAGTCATTCATGAACCGTTAGGGGGGATTCGTGGGTTTTATCAGACCACATACAGATTCTTAGAAAGTTATCAAATAGGGTTCGACATTGTGAGGTTGGCAGTGTGACACGCAACTGAAAATGGCAAATCCGCGCTTTGCTGACTGTGTGACGTTGGGGAGTGGCTTTGAAGCAACTATGAGTTTCTTCGGCTCTGAACGACTTCTCAAGGGCAAAGTAGGGTTATCCCAACTCTAGAGCCTCGGCTCTATTCGCTTCATATAGGCTGGCGCTGGATAGCGCTGTGTGACCTGTGTGGGGGCCTGCCCCTCACTTCTGGCTGATCGCTACTGCTCAATACAGCACAACTACGAGGTTACTGCTATTCATCTCCACGGTGATAATCATTGGCATATTGATGATGAAGGCTTCGTGTGGTAAGGAAATTGCAGAGAGCCGAGCGTAGATGTCATTGCAAAGAGCAAAAGTGAGGCACGGGAAAACGAAAGAGGATGTTGGACCATGGCAATCACAATTGTTTTGTCCATGCAATATAGAGCCGCTCGGTAAGCGTGTCCACTGGCTTGCATTCTAAAATCACAGAGTAACCGTCTAGTATCTCAAATTCACCCGCGACAAGCAGCTGCTGCGCACTGTCCGCCTACGCGCCAAATTGAAATGCCGGCCGGACTTGGAGTGTTTTAAGATTTTGATGCTTTAGGCTCTTGATAGCTCAGACCATGTCCAGCTTCTTCACGAGTGACGAAGGCTGGCACGCCTTTCGTTCAAATTTTCAAGGGATCTCAGCTGTGTGAAAGCTTCAACTCTGCAATAATTGTCGAAGAGCATTTCCATGGCACGAATGAAAGCGTGCGTGCCAACTCTCGGAGCTGCTCGATAAGGTTTGAGGACGAAGGAATACCAAGCTATAACACATCGTTTAGGACATTAGCCGGTGCTGACTGGGTTTCGTTCCGAGTCCTGCTCTCCGAGGTAGACGAGGTAAGCCGCATCAGCGGGCCAACGGTATGGGTAATCAGCACGCACCAGACCTCGAGACTATTCACAATGCCCAACGACACACAAGTGTCCCCCCTAGGCGCCTTAGGCCCATCCGCCCTTCCGAGGCGTTCTTGCAAACGATTCTCATCGTCGTCCGCGATCGTACACGCCGCGCATTTCTCCCAGAAGTACGACATAAACATGTTTGAAATGTTCGTGCCAGCTGCTATGTGGGGAGTATGCCTCTGCGTGATGTTTCTCAAAGAGCATCGCCGGTGTGGAACTCGATCCATTTCATGTTCTCCCCTTCTTTTGGCTGCGACTGCGCGATAAATTTGCCTTAGGCGGTCTAATTTAAGAGGCCCTGTTCGTCTTCTCCCGCGTTCTATAGGTGCATACCAACGCCTACGATGCGCTGCATGCCCACTCCATCTGCTGTGCCTGCAATTGGAATGGAATCGCCGTCACTGGGAGAAACGCTGATGATGCTTCGCAAGGCTGTGGAGAGACGGACAGAGAGGTATAAACTCGGGGAGGCGTGCGAGGACTACAAATTTATTTGTTTACACCCACTAGCTTGTCTTATAGCTTCATTTTCCTGCCGCATTTCCGAGCTCTTCATCTCCTCATTGCTCAGCGTCGCAAAGCACCCGGGTCCAGTGAGCTGTCCAGCAATCTTTGCGCGAGTTCCGGAGTAGCCTTTTTCAACGCTCACCCCTTTGAGCGTAGCGAATCTCGCTATGCATCCGAATTGATCTCTCCCGCTTGCGAAAAGAATTTCGCCTCGATTAATTGCGCCAGTGATCCTGCTGTCCTTGGGGAGGAATGGGAGCTTAAGGAAGGAAGAGAGGGCAACGATTGCGAAGGGAGAGCGACCGAGGCCTCGCGGAAGTCGTTCAACATGATAGATTGGCACGGTGTGGCTCCTCGCCTGGATGAAGCCTCTTTGGTTCAAGTTAAGTACTTGCATAAATCGTGCAAAAAAGGTACAACAAGGTGTGTCAGGTGAGAAACAAAGCCGTTCTAGTTCTGCTCGCAGATGTAATATGCGATGAGACACGCAGATGATTTTATCGGTGATCAGACAGGGCTAACCGTCATTGCATACGATTCACTTCAACGGCTTCCATTGGGATTGCGCAGTTGACCGTCGGCAGTGACTCTTCAATTCTCACATTTCCATCATTTAGCATTTTGCTGCAACTCAATCGGAAAGAGAGGATGGCGTTTTGGTGCCAATCAACGCTTAAACGCTCATTTGACCACGTATTATGAACATGATCAAACTAGAATGAGCCTGCGGAGTATACTATATCTCAAAAACAGCAGTAGGGTTACCGGCCCAACACTCGCCCATCTGAGCCTTCTCCTGGTCTTGTCGCTGAGGAATCGCCAAATTCACCACGGATCAATGTGCGACCCTTGACAAGCTGGTTGCCGGCCTCAAGAGGTCAGCGCACCGCAGATCGTTGGATGGCTACGTAGAGCTGTGCTGCGAGGTCAGTGTTCGCGTCGTATCGTGCTCGCTCAGGGGGAGTTGTCTGCGGAGAGAGCAGCCGTTGTCCTGTCGTCGCCGCATCGAGCGAACATCGAGGAGTGATAATTGTCCAGGAAGGGTGTCAACCGGTCCTTGACTTGCTAGCAGACTTTTTCGGGGCCGTGGCAAGCGCACTGGTCGTGGACAGATCCACTTTACTTTTTCATGGCGTTGCATTTTCTGTCGATGAGCCATGGATTCGTGGCTGTGGGATTGAAACGAGCACCACGGCGTCCCGAGTACCGTATTTAAGCGTGAATGGACACTAGCGGTAGGCCCCCCTTTCTTTCTTCGCACGTCCCCAATGGCCTTTTATCCTTTCTCGATGAGATAGCGTATGTGATGGGTCCGACCCGTAACCTCTGACGCTCGGTGCTCAATTCCTGTTGCCCGACCAGGATGAGAGCCATCTTAGGAAATTCTGGCTTGGCCTGAGAGTGAAGGTGGTTTTGGCTCTTTTATCTTCCCTTTTTGGCTCCAAGTGAGGAAATGCGTCGTATCGCGGCGTGTGAGAGATACGCGCTGATAAGTGGAGAGAACGTCACTTCACAACACCTCATACTGCCCCAATTGCCATCGCTGGCTTGTCAACGGACGCAGCACTTTGTGAAGCGTGTCGTTCCAGCTGAAGACGATCGTAGCAAGAGCTTTTAGACCTTAATCAGACCGCAAAGCCATGTCGTTCTCCAGGTCGCCGTCCAAGTCGCCAACGAAGCGCGGAGCCGCTGCGGCTCTGCTAGCTGGACTGCCAGACCCGTTCCTGCCTGCCCCCGAGCTCCCAGAAGCTGAACGCGCTTTCACCGCATCCGACCTGATCGCACGGCAAGCGCAGCTGGAGGCGGAGGCACACGCAGCCATTCCATTCGGTCTAGGCTCTTGCACGCATTCCAAAGGGTACATCAGACAGCCAGTATATGCTTGTCGGACATGCGGAGGAGGAGGCGTGTGCGCTCATTGTAGCCTGGGCTGCCATGCGGGTAAGCTCAAGAACGGCCCTCACAGTGCCTCTCAAAGAGGGAGTCTGACGAAGCTTTTTACACATTTACGTCCTTCACTAGATCACGAACTCATCGAGCTCTTCGCAAAACGCTCTTTCCGGTGCGACTGCGGCACTCCAGGCATGTTCCGCCAGCATCCAGACGGTGTACCGGCAGAATACCCTGCATGCACGATTCGAAAGCCTGGATACGACCCAGAAAACGACGAAAACATATACAGTCAGAACTTTGACGGAAGATTTTGCTATTGTGAAAAGGGAAAAGCATATGATCCGAATGTCGAAGATGAGGTGAGTGGACCTTCCTGATGATATTCCCCATCACGTGTGCCGCCTGAATCGACTCGCACTGACACTGGAGCCACTTTGCAGGCCATGTTTCAGTGCTTGGCGTGTGAGGAATGGTTCCACGAAGCGTGTACATCGCTGGTCCCTGTGCTTTCGAACCCAACGAGTGCAGAGAACGGCGACCAGCTATCCGGCGCTTCCGACTCAGCGCAGCTGGGCTCCGGCAGCGCGCCGCTCGAAGTTAGTCGTGGAGCGCCGCTTATCGAACAAGACCTCTTTGACATGCTCATCTGCTCCGACTGCGTGCTAAACCCCAAGAACTCCATCCTGCTGCATTACATTGGCGCCCGAGGATTCAGCAGCGTCCTACCCGTCGAAGCGCTCTCCGTCGCCAACGCATCTGCCTCCGCCCCGTCAACCTCGCTGCAGGATGAGAAGCCCGTAGTTTCCAATTCGACGCCAGCCAGCGCATCCGATGTGTCTCTTGAGAGGCAACAGGGCTTGAGACCGAAGGAAAGGGACCGATTGCCCATCACTTACATTGAGTTCGGCGGTACAAGCTGTCCAGCATTGCAACGGAAGCGCGAGATTGCTATTGTCGGAATCAGCCCAGATGTGTTATTTCATGGTGAAGAAGAGGCTGAGACTTCGCAAGGTACAGTGGTGGCAGCTGCGGCGGAAAAAGAGCATCCACCTACTAGCTCAACCGCAGCCCCATCGTCCTCGGCACCGGCAAATGCGTCGACGGTCGACGTCGTTACGGTACGAGAGAAGCGAAAGGCTGAAGATGATCTGGGACAAGGGCCGCAGACAGGAAAGAAGCCAAAGGCGGAAGACAAGACTGATGCGGAAACTGTATCGAACCATGATACCGCTCTGTCGACTCGAACAGGTTCGTGCAGCTTGCCGCCACTCATCAATGTTGTGCCCTCTGTCTTGCGTGATCGAAAACAAGGTCAACCACGATACGATATTTACCTCGCGAGCAATTTCCGGGAGCGCATTTGCCGGTGTCATACTGTAAGTCAAGGAGGGTTCTTTCTCGAGGAGATGATCTAAATTATTCTGACTTTCATCATCGGACTCTCTGCAGTGCTTGCCACGGTGGTCGTCCCTCCCTTTCGTACTCGACGAGGAAGAAACGTACTCGCCGCCCGTTTCCGAAGCTAGCAACGCATCCGAGACAGCAGGTTCAGCATCCAACGCATCGACCTACGACCTAGGAGTCGCCGCGCTCTCACGTTTACCGCGCGAAAGACTGCTGGAGACCATGGGCGCTTACACACGCTTTCGTGATGAGCTGTACGCCCACCTGCGCCCGCATGCTGCCACTGGCGAGGTCGTCACCGAGGCAAGCATCCGCGAGTTTTTCAGCAAGCGGCTGTAGGTAAAGTCAAAGAAGTGGCTGCATATGTACGTGGTGATTCGTCCACCCTTAGTTTATCTATTTAATTCTCCAATTGGGACTCCAGATGAAAGGCTCCATCCAAGGCGAACCTGAAGTGACATCAATGTGATGCGAGGACACTCATGCATCGTGGTTGGCTTCCAACAATGTATGCTACATTTGCTCGTCCTCTTCATCAGTCTGGCCAGCCATGGAGGCCATTTCCTTTACTATGTCCATTAACTCCAACACCAGCCCCTCCCGATTCCACTGCGAGCGACTGCGCCAGATGGCATCGAAGCATGCGGCCCGTACTTGAACCAGCTCTTCAATGCTCATTCCCTCTGTTTGAGCGATTAAATCGCGCTGCAGGGCTTGTTTGGATGCGGCCGTGAGATGAAAGGGTGGATGTACGACGGGTGGTTCGGGCTCCGGCTCCAGCACTGGTTCCGACTCAACCTCTTTGGGCGCTGGGCTGAGTCCGCGCTCAGGTAGAGACGGTGCGGTCTGCTGCGGTACAAGTTCGAGGTGTGCGGCCGTGCCAGGCACGACTTTTAAGTTGTCGAATGGAGGCTGATTGATAAGACATAGAGCCGGTGATGCTGTAGCTCCTACCGCTTGCGCGACAAGTGGAGCCGTACCAGCGACAGGAACATCTGCAGGGTTCGATGATAAGAGCTGGTTGATGTCCATAAGCAACTCTGCTGCGGATGGCGTCATTGGGGCCTGGTTGTCGACGCGTGCGGAAGCGCCAGCGACCACTGTCGGCTCCAAGGCGCTTGCCGCCTCGAATGGCAGGACTGGGGGCACGCAAGGTGCAAGTGTCCCTGGAGCGACGGCGTCCCTCTTGGCATCTGATGTCTTAGCTCGTTTCTGGCCCCTTGTGGAATCGTGGCTCCTTGAACAGTCTGACCCGCTATCACGCGTGCGCTTGCGCTCGAGATTCGCCTCCCTCTCGATTTTTGTCACATCGACCGGGTACCGATGTTGCGGTTGCTCACCTGCTTGTCGGGCACTGTGTCGCTCTTGCACGACGGGGCCCGAGAGTCTGCGTGCTTCCCTTCGCTTATGGCCATTAACATTCTCAGCCGCTTTCCTTGCATCTTCTTCACGCGCTTTGTTGCGCACTGCCATGAGCTCGCACTCGGCTCGGAAAGCGGGGTCGACAAATTGATCGAGCATGATGTGTGCCAAGTTGCCCATCTGACGCGCCTTGACCGCTCGCTCCGCGTCGACCGACTCGGCTGCCTCCGCATTGTGGACCACTTTTTGAAGATCATCGAGGAAGTCGGAAACACAGTAGTAGGCGTCATAATAGAGCTTTTTCTGCATTTTCTCGAGGGACATAGTCCACAGGGTTGTGTTCTCCCAGGATATCCTCAGGTCTTCCTCTTCTTCCTCTGGAGCGGGGCCAGCAGCGTCTGGTTCCACTTTGCCAACGTCAGCAGGCTCTGGGCCTCTCATGCTGACATCGACTGCTCCAGAGTTGTTGGCTGCACCGGCTTGGACCTCGTTGGGATCCGCATGCCCATTCACGGTAGGACCCTCACGAGCCGCTGGTTCTTCCGGAGCTATTGCCACCTCGGCCGCAGTCGCTGCCGCAGCAGCCCTTGCTCGCCGAAGCTCTTCAATCTGCTCCTCTGTCCGCTCATATGGCAACATGAAGATCCAGCTGCCTTTTCCTTTCCAATGCTTGAAGTTGTCCGTCAGGTATTGGAAATTGTATTCGTCCTGCACGACGCAACGAAAAAAGTGATCAGTTTCCGAGCGGCTTCCATGCTGTTTCGTAGGATGCCTGTGAGCAACTTACCCAAACATCCTTTGTGAACACCTTATATTTCTTTCTCAGTTCATTCAGGACGGGTCCAAGGCGATACTTGAGATGTTCGAGGAGCCGTGCATCGTTCTCCGCTTGCTGCTGCAGCTCCGCAGCTGTCGGCTCTCGCGGTGGACGCGGTGGCGCGATAGGAAGCTTTTCAAGCACTTTTTTCCTGCGGGGCACAGCATCAGGGAAATCGGTCGGGCGACGCGAGACATGCTCTATGACCTCTCTGAAGAATTCTTCGCGCTGTTTGCAGCTTGGTCTAGTGATCTCGATGCGGTTCTCGCGCAGAAGGCCGAACCATGAGCGTACATCCCGCGGGAGCTGCGAAAGCGGCGCCTCGGAGATGCCGAGCAGCAGCACCGGATCCGATGGAGACAGTCCGTCTAAAAGAGCTTTGACGGTACTGCGGACACTTTCGGAAACGGTCTTGGCCCAGTGAGCCAAGCCAGGAATGAACAGCACGCTTGGCTTGTGTCGTTTCGCTTCAGTGAAGAGTTGGATCGCTGACGCTTCCGGCGTGCGCGTGCTGTCGCCCATAAGTGTGGCAACATCGATCGACTGCACATGGTAGCCTTCGAGATGCTGCAGCATGGCTGCGCCGACTATTCGCTGACCCATACCATTCCGCCCATGAACGAGTAAGCGAGGTCGAAAGACGCGCATGTTCTGAAAGGACTGAAGCAGCATTTCTCGCCCAAAGCCGTAGTCGGATATAGTTGCAGGCCCTGTTGCTGCTGATTCTACATCGGTCGAAGTACTGGCTTGCTCTCTTGCTGCCGGAGCGTCTTCCCATAACGCTTCTTCGAGAGCAGTTCTCTTTGACGTTTCTGGCAGGATCTTGTCGAGCGCAGCACAAGCTTGCTGCGTAATTTGGGATAGGAGAGGTTTTAGATGATTGGGCAAGGGCGCAGCTGCCGAAGAAGCCGACCTAGCCGATGAGGGTACAATTTCTGCAAAAGACGAATACACAAAGAAGTCAGCCACGGAAGGATGGGTGTAGAGGAGCAGAAAGGCGCTGCATACTGTTAATAGACATCATAAAGTCCTTGGCCTCGACCGTGACGCTCTCGGGCTTAAGCAGCAGCCGATCTGTGGTCTGGTAGATCTGCGGATACCGCCGCTGGATGGCGTTGAGCGCCGCCTCGGTGCAGAGCGCGCGCATGTCGGCGCCGCCATATCCCTTCGTTAGCTCCGCGAGGCGGTCCTTGAACTCGGGATGGAGGGGCGGGTCCCACTTGCTAGTGTGTATGTCGAGGATCTTGCGGCGCGCATCCTTGGACGGGAGGGGGAAGTAGAACTCGCGGTCGAAGCGCCCGGGCCGGCGCAGCGCGGGGTCGACGCTATCCGGTCGGTTTGTGGCGCCGATGACGACTACTTGGCCGCGGCCATCCATGCCGTCCATGAGTGCGAGGAGCGTGGAGACGATTGAGGCGTGGATCTGGTCCTGCTTGCTGCTACGCACGGGCGCGAGGCCGTCGATCTCGTCAAAAAAAATGATGGACGGCTGCGCGTTTTTGGCCTCCTCAAACAGCAGGCGCAGCTGGCGCTCTGCCTCGCCCACCCACTTGGAGAGGACGTCGGCGCCCTTGCGCATGAAGAACGAGATGCGCTGGCCCTCGGAGCTGCAGCTGGCCGCGAGCGCGCGCGCGACAAGCGTCTTGCCGGTCCCCGGCGGGCCGTGGAAAAGGACACCGCGCGGGGGGGTGATCTTGAAGCGTTGAAAGAGCTCCGGGTATAGGAGCGGCAGCGTGACCATCTCCTTCAGCTGCTCGATGTGCGCATCGAGCCCGCCGACGGCGTTGAAGTCGATCTGCATGTCCGTCCCGAGTGGGTCGATGTCCGCCAGCGGGTCGCCACCGCTCTTAAGCTTGCCCATCGTATCCGTCGCGCCGGTGCCCGTCAGGTCACCGGTGAGGCCCGACTTGCTGGTCGGCGCAGGCTGCAGGCCGCCCGTGAGCATGCCAGTTGCCGTCAGTCCGCCTCGGCCGCCAGCTTTCTGCTTGGGCACATCGCTATCGTCCGAGTCCTCGTCCGCCTCGCCAAAGAGTGCGGCGAGGTCCTTCCCAGACATGCTCGCCGGAAGGGCGTCCCAGCCCGTCTTGCGCCCGCGGCCGTAGCCGTGCCGCCGCACAGGTGCCGCGCGGCCGCTGCCCAGTCCGGTCCCCGCGCCAATGACACTGCCGCCTCCACGACTGCTGCGACCACCGTTGCCCCCTCCGAGAGTCCCATTGGCTACGCCCCAGGACCCGGAGGGGGGGCCGCCCTTTTTTCCGCGCGGACTGCAACCGGCGTGGACAGGCGGCGGCGCGGGGAGCGCGTAGTTGACCTCCTTGCGCGCGCGCAGGCGCATGCCCTGACTCTGTTGCGTGCCTCCTTCCTCCTCCTCTTCCTCCTCGTCCTCGTCATCCTCAGGCAGGTCCAGGCTCGTGCCGTCCTCTGGCGTGTCCTCAGCCTCGTCGTTGTCCATCTCAAAGTCGCCATCGTCGTCGGCGAGGGAGGAGGCGCGTCGGCGCGCAGCATAGCGAGCATTCTTACCCTTTATGTTCGCGCGACGCTTCTTGGCGAGCGCCGCGACGCGCTCAGCCGCCTTACCTCGCGCACTGCCGTTGTTATTGCTGCCCCGCGCACGCCGCCGCGACGAGCCGTACGTGGCGTCATCGTCGACGTCGTCCGCATCATCCTGCTCGACAAAGTCGCCAAGCCCGCGGTTCCGAGCGCCGGCGCCTTTGCTACGCGAGCGTGAAGTGCGCCCGGATTTTCGTGGCTTCTCATCGCTGTCTTCGTCCTCATCGTCATCGTCCTCGTCGCTGAAGGTGACGTTGTTGCCAAAGATGCTGGGCCGCTTGGTGTGCCGCCCGCTACGCGTCGTGCGCGCCTGCGGGATGATCTCGTCGAGGTCCTGCAGGGACAAGTGCATGAAGTGAGAAGTGGGAACCTCATAGACTGAGCCATCGGCATGTCTTCGCCCCGCCAGCTCACCTCTTCCTCAAACGGCTCTCCAGGCGCGTCAAGGTCTTCATCTTCGAAAGTGCCGTCAGCATGATCCTTCTGCACGGCCGATTTGGTCGCATTCGACCGCAGGCTTCGCCTTGTCGTGGCCCCATTCGTAACTCCTTGCGAGGAATCTTGTTCTTGTCCGCCTGCTGCTGCTACTGCTGCAGCAGCTTCTTCGTCTCCCTCCGCCGGCACACTGTATCCGTTCTCGTACTCTGCCTCTGCTGCTTCAGAGGCGGCGGTATGCGGTGCGCCTGCGTAACCATCCTCGCCGCCAGCTCCACCGGATGCATTGCGTGTCGCTCTGCGTAGGCTGACTTTGATCTTGGGTTTTTGCAGCGCGCCGTGCTCGGGCGAAGAAGCTGCTGTTGCCGCTGCTGCAACCGAATTGGAGACGGATGTGTTGCGAGACGTGCGCCGCATGCCGTGGAAACTGCCGGAAGCGATTACTGCATTTTCAAAGTGCTGCTGCTCCTCGTCGTGGAATTCACCGTCGCCATCGCCATCGCCATCAGCATCGGCGGCGCCTGGCCAGGCCCCTTCGCCGTCGTCGTCATCGGTGTCGACGCGTGCGCTGGTGCTGCGACGCGCTCGACGGGTAGCTGGCATAGTTCGGGGGGTTCGTCGGTTTCTCTAGAAAAGGGGTGGGGGAGGAGAGCACCTTTTCCTTCTAACGTCGCTGCATTGCCTGCCTGCCTGCCTCTGCAGAAGATGGTCCTCTCCCATAGGAAGCAGGGAGGTGTGAGGTGTTGCTGGAGATGTATGCTCTTCATCATATGGATGGGGGGATTCATCGAGGAGCTAGCGGGAAACAGTTTGGGCACTGGGCCAGTGTGTCGCTTGGCGTGAACGTTTTGTGCCCAACCCTACTTATACAGCTCGCCTGCAACTAGACCATCTCGTTCGGCCGACAACGGCTGCTCGTGGTTTTTTGGGATGGGGCAGTTGTTACATAGGGGAGGGTTTTATACTATTGCACCTGTGCCAACCCCGATTCCTCGTCGTCTAAGTGCATGCTGCAGGCTCCTGGGCTTCCCTAGAAAACATATGGAGCGTGTAGAAGCATCGTCTTGTTCCATCTCCCACCCCGCATCGGCGTTGGCGATGAGCTGATCGAGGGACGCGTGGGAAGAGGGGAGGGAGCGTCTCGTGATTGGAATGAGAATTGACGCGTCCAAAAGCCATCGTCATCGCACACTGCACTACACCGCTGCGGGCTCCAAGTCTACCTCCGCTCTTTGGAGAGAACATCAAAGGCGGGCGAGGGGAGGACGACGCTGCATCAGTCACGCTGCAGGGTCCGCTTTATACAACCTCCACCTTGCACTCTGCTCTACGCCTGCCCCCTGTTTCTCCGACTGCCGGCGCTCGACCAACGCACAACGCTGGGGTGTGGAGGGCTCAGCTGCACGCGTCACGACCCCATCGTCCGCTTGCGTTGCAGCCATGAGGTCCCACAGCAACGGGCCATCGCACTTGCCCCTCGCTTCGTCGCTGCCCCGGGTCTCTTTCCGGCGTATACCGCCGCACGAGGCACAGCAGCTCGCACAGCCCGCTGGCGTCCACCAGCAGCAGATCATCGACTTTGGCTTCAACGATGGCCGCGAATACACCCGCCCTGACACATATATTCGCCATGTCGAGCCCGTCGAGAGCGAGCTCAAGAAGCAGGTCGAGTACGACATGGACGAGCAGGGTGAGTGTGTGTGTGTTCGGTGCGTTGGAATCCTTCTTCGAAAGAACATGGCTCATCTTTGTCTCTGTCCACCCAGACCAAGCATGGCTCGACGCGCTCAACGCAGAGCGCGCAAGGAATGGTGACGACAGGGTGTCCTACGAGACATTCGAGATTATCATCGACCGCTTCGAAAAGGAGTGGTTCGACTTGGTGTGTAGACACTCCAAATAGCTCCTGACGGTATGTAGCCCGATCGATGCTGAACTGCTCGTGAATGTCGACAGATGCGCCAAGTCCCCGCCAAACCATGCCCGACGGACGTAAATGGAGCCGATGATGGAGAAGACACAAAGTGTGCCATCTGCGATGACGGCGAATGCGAAAACTCGAACGCCATTGTCTTTTGCGACGGGTGCAACCTCGCTGTGCATCAAGGTGAGTGTCTCGTTCATCACTTGACCTACTCATGGCGATGCGGACTTCTTGCTGACACTTGCACGCTTGCTCTCTGCAGATTGTTACGGCATCCCATACATCCCAGAGGGCCAGTGGCTTTGTCGCAAGTGCACCGTCTCGCCGGACCGCGCGGTCTCATGCATCTTTTGTCCCCACGAGGGCGGCGCGTTCAAGCAGACGTCGCAAGGCAAATGGGCCCACCTGCTCTGCGCCATGTGGATCCCAGAGACTGGCGTCAGCAACCCGGTGTACATGGAGCCAATCGACAGCGTCGAGCGTGTGCCCAAGGCACGCTGGAAGCTGCAGTGCTACCTGTGCAAGCGCAAGATGGGCGCTTGCATCCAGTGCGAAAACCGCAGCTGCTTCACCGCGTTCCACGTGACGTGCGCGCGCCAGGCCGGCCTGCTCATCAAGGCCACGCGCCGCCGCGTCGAAGGTGGCGGCGGTGGCGCTGTGCACGGCGATGACAGCGGCAGCAGCGCCACCGCCGCTGACGACAGCTTCGGCGAGGAGTATGTTGAAGCGTTGCACGCGTGCTGCCACAGGCACATCAGCCGCGATGCACAGGTCCTCGGCGGCGGCGCCCCCGCGCATGGCGTCCTCGCCCAGACCGCAGGTGCAGGAGCAAGCGGGCGTGGGAGTGTAGCGGGCAGCGACCGGGACTTGTCACGCGGCTCAACGCCCCTCATCAACCCTGACTCGTCTGCTGCGCAAGGAGTGCGACATGCCGACGGCGGCCACCGCAAGAGCATCACTGTCAAGCGCAACAAGACGGGAAAACTGACGTTTTCCGTTTCGAAGAAGAAAAAGATAAGCAAGAGCGCGCGCGCGTACAAGAAGAGCTATCGCGTTGGCCTGCCGCTCGTGCCGGTGTATATCATCAACCGCGTGAGCGACTACGTGCGCAACATCCTGCTGCGCAAGAAGAGCGCATTGTTGTTGCAGCTTGCCAAGTTCTGGAGTTTAAAGCGCGAGGCGCGCCGCGGCGCGCCGCTGCTCAAGCGTCTGCACCTCGAGCCGTGGACCGCGAGCGGAAGCAAGCCGTATGGCACCGGTGCCGGCACTGGCGCCGCCGCCAGTGACGAGGAGCGCGAGAAGAAGTTTATCTTTCTTTCCCGCTTGCGTCAGGACCTCGAGAACCTGCGCGCGCTCACCGAGCTCATCCGCAAGCGCGAGCGTGAGAAGCAGAGGCAGGTCAAGCTCTTCCGCGCCACACTCGTTGGTGCCGTGCTCAAGCCATACCATGCGGAACTCAGGATGGCGTTGGAGAAGATCGCTGTGTGAGTCGCACATGACGTCGGTTGAGCTGTGCCAGGGGAGGAAAAGAGACTGACGTTGCTATTGCTCTAGACTGGACCACCGGAACCACTTCCTCAACCCCGTCAACAAGACCGTCATCACCGACTACTACGACATTGTCAAGGAGCCCATGGACTGGCAAACGATCTGCGCCAAGTGCGACAATTTCGAGTATACCACCATCGACCAGTTCGAGCGCGACGTCCGGCTCGTCGCCGACAATAGCATTCTGTACAACAAGGCCGACACGTCATACCACAAGGCCGCGCTGAAGGTCCGCGCAGGCGCACAGCCCATCCTTACTGAGCTGAGGGCTAAGCTGGGCGTGCACCACCTCCGAGACTACGGTATCGATCATGAAGCCGTGGCTATTAGTGGTGAGACGAAAGAAGAGCTGCTTGCGCACCTGCCCGCGCTGGAGCTCGAACCCGAACAGCCGATCATCGAGCTACTAAACAACTATGGTGACCAAGAAATGCTCGAGACCATCGCCGATGGCGCGCGCCCGGAGATTGCGCCGCGCAACATCGTCGAGGACCTCCTGCGGCTGTACCACCGTGCTGAGCACTCACCGACGGCCCCGGCGAAGCCGAAGCTGACGCGCGCGGAGCTCAAGGCGCAGCGTAGCGCCCAGCGCTCCGAGACGGCCAAACGAGCCGCAGCGTTGCGCAAGGAGAGGGCCGCTGCGAAGCTCGAGGCCCGCAACGCTGCTGATCTGCCGTCACCTGCAGAGGAGCAGACCGAAGCCGCATTGCCGCCGGAGCGTGCGTCGAGGAGGAGGCGCAGCGCAGATGCTATTCTGGTAGCAGCAGAGTCCTCTGTCATTCCGGCGAAGCGGCCGCGAAGGACCGCTGCCACTGCCGCTCCTGCTGCTCCTGTAGGCGCGTTAGTCTCCGCGGAGCCAGAGCAACTGTCGAAGCGACAAAAGCCTGCCTCGGCCTCGGACGAAAGCGACTCGCGCGTCAAGCGACGTGAGGAGTCGCAGACAGTCGCGCCGACGACGCTAGAAGTGGATAATGTCGGCGAGTGGGACTCGTTCAAGCGCTTCAATGTCGGCTGGGTCCTGCCGGAAGGCACCAAGCGCGGCGGACGCATCGCTGCGCCCCCGCCACAAATGGCGCCAAAACCGCGAGCAAACAAGGCAAGGACCAAGAACGCGGATCGAGAGCAGCGTGCCGAGTCGACTAAGTCCGAATTTGCCGCTCTTGATGCAGAGGAGACGAAGGCAAGAGCAAGGTCGGCCCTTGCGCATCAGCCGGAAGACGAGGATGTAGGCATGCTAGAGTCGAGTGAGCTGTCCGACCTGGAAGATGAGGAACTCGCAGAGGGTGAGGAGGGTGAAGAAAGCGACGACGAGCCGCCAGCGGGGAGATGCAGGAGCGAGCGCGCACGTGCGCACCTTACCGTCTCGCATGTGTCCGCTGGAGATGGAATGCATCAGGCTCGCACGCAGAAGCGTGGCAAGCACGGCCAGTTCATTCGCAAGCACGAGTCTACGGACAAGGAGCGGTCCAGCAAAACTCTGTCTCCCGAAATGCGGCGTTGGCCCGTCACGTCTCGATCGCGCTCGCCTTCGCCCTCGCGTTCTAAAGCGGCAGCGGACGCGAAGAAAGGGAAAGCGCGAGACGCTCGTGTAGAGTCCAGCGGATCCACGTCGCCGCTCAGCTCGCCGCTGAGTGACGATGCTGGCCTTCAATATGGTGTGGCTGCTGAGGAAGACATAGGGGACGACCAGTGCAGTGAGACTGAAGAAGACATTACGCTCATCGCGGACAACAGCAAGCAACCCCAAGTGGTGGGACAGACTTCTGCGGAGCGAAGGCGGACGATCCGCGAGCAAGGCAAGGCGCGCACGGAGCGGCTCGGTGCGATGCGCAAGGCGCAGGAGAAGAAGGAGCTCCAAAGAACAGGGAAAACGCACGACCCTGCGGTCGTGTTACGAGCGGTGCAGCACAAGATGGGCCATGGGCAAGGGCGCGGTCATGCACAAGATGATGCGTTGGGTTCACCGCGTGATCCCGACGAGCTTCCGCCGGGGAGGCTCGTGTGGGCTCGATTTGAGAGTGAGTCGCGCGAAATGCTTCTTACAGCGAGTATCACTGATGAACATGGTTCATGAACGATCAGAATGGCCGTATTTCCCGAGCGAGGTCTTTGCAGAGGACAGTGATCAGGTCCCGGAGCGAGTTTTGGAGCACAAGCCGAGTGGTACGGTGACGCTCGTCCGGTTCTTTGATGCCAAACAAAGCTGGTGAGTAGTTCTTTACGTGGATTCGCCAGCATCAGTGACGAATTTACTGAGAGACACGACGCATGTATCGGCGACGCTTCAGGGCATGGGTCACGCTCGACCGGATTCGGTTCGCGTTCGAAGACTTGGCACAGGATGAGAAGTTAAAGCACCCTGCGGACAAACGGTCGCGGAAGTCGGTACGCGAGGCCTATCGACGCGCCGAGCAGGCACGTGCTGCTGATGCCTGATGGGACCTGGTCTTGGTCTTGCGTGGGGTCCTCTGCGAGGCGTGCCACCTCGCACGACGAGCCAGGCTCCTTGGCGGTGCATGTACTTATTTCCACGCTTTCCACCCCATTGAGCACACGGCTGTTTGCTCGCTGGCCTGCATGCATACATACCATTCCAGCCACTTGGCTGATGTGGGAGATCCAAATGACCATTCGAGGAGATGTTAGCTGAGGATGCGTCTCCTGTAAAACATGTTGATGATCGATCTACTCCAGCGCGTCCCACAACAGAAGAGGGCGCGTCGCATTCCACATATCACCCCATGCCATGACATCCATTTGCTATATGCACCCACAGCTATCCTGGAAAGAGACACGCCGCAAGCAAGGCACGGCGAGCTGCGTTCTGCTTGGTCTACTCTTTAACGGGCTCGCCAGCACCAAAGGAGCGAGAAAAAGGGGCGAAAAAACGCGCGATTGCAACCCGGTCGACGCGTCTTTATCTCGCTCGCTTTCTTGTTCAATCGGCAGCCTCTAAGGGTCCACGCGTCAGGCTCCAGGCTCTAATACAACGATGGCCGACGAGAGAAGAAGAAAGTCTACGCGCCTCAGCGCCGTGCTGGGCAGCCCACCAACAGCGCCAACAGCAGCAACGTCGTTGGGCTCATCTCGAGCGCACGCGACGTCAAGCTGTGCGCGAAGGAGCAGCGGCGCGAATATCGCCGCATCCTCCGCTTCCGCCGCGTCGCGACGATCTAACAATGCGAGCAGCAGCAGCAGCTCGGCAGATGTCATCCCTACGCATCGGTATCGCGGGACGGGTAAAGCGAGCGCGGCGAAGAACGCGGCGCTTGCGGCGGCTCCGCGGTTAGAGGACTTGCTTAGAGGCGATGACGACGGGGATGGCTCGCGTCCTTTCTTTGAGGATGAAGAGCAGTTGCCCTTCGCATCGAATGGGCGCTCCAAGGCTGCTGCAGTGGCAAATAAGGGAAAGGGTACAGCGAGCACGGCGACAACAGCACGGACGGTAGGCGCGTCGTCAAGTGGCAGAGGCGGCGCGGCTGCCAAACGAAAACGAGGGTTTGATGCGGACGACAGGATCGATGAGAGACATTCAGCCAGGTCTACATCTTCACGTCGATGTGAGCGCAGTCGTGCCTTTCCTCTTCCAAATTTATGCTGGCTAACAGTTGCCTGTCAATTATTACCTCTCTACACTCAGCGGAAGTCGCCGATGGCCTTCACTTTGTTAGAGAAGAGCGGAGCCACACAGCAGCCATTGCCAGCAGCCCGAACAGCCGTACAGCCAAGGTGCGCGGAGCGATTCCTTACACTTCATCACGCAGGATTGAAGAGCTCCCTTCCGATGTCTTTGGTGAGACACCTATTGCGAATCGCAACCGCGCGCGACGAGCAGGCCTCGATGGCCTTGGGCAACCATCCTCCTCATCATCATCAAATATTGCGCCACCATTATTCGCAAGCAGCTCCCGCGGACGCGGCAGCAGCGGCGGTAGACGCGACTCGCTCGGTCTCAAAGGACGTCGGCGCGCCAGTTCGCTGCGCAACGGAAGCATCGCGCACCCTCACGAGAACGTGCCAGACGACATGCTCTACCGCCACTGCTCGAGCGGACTTGACCCCGTCGGACGAATGAAGTATATTCTCGCGTGGGTGCTCCACCGCGCGATCGACAGCGTCTTCTCGAATGCCCCTGCTGCCTCGGGCGCTAAGAAGCGAAAAGCGTTGGCGGCAAAAGTGGTGGATGAGGAGACGCTGAGAAAACGGAAAGAGATGGAGCCGCTGCTTCGCCGCATTATGGAACAGGTCATTCGGGATATCGATGAGCAGGAAGTCAGCGTCAGCTGGTTGGGGCGCCCAGAGAAGGGAAACGAGGTAGGCCTTCTTGCTCAGCGTTTAAATATGATCTGTTTGGTTGTCTGTTTTGCTGTTCTGACGCGTACCCATCCTGCACCCCGTGTACCTGTTTTCTCAATAACTCTCGCTGGTACAGCTCACCACCAGCTTCAAACCACATCCTCGCAACGCGCCGAATCGCGCCGCGGAAGCGCGTCTCAAGGCGATAGGCGAAGCGATGCAGGCCGAGGCGCTCGCGTGGGAGTCAGAGAAGCAGGATCTGGAGGAATACGAAAGCATCACGCAGCACCTGGAAAAATTGCTGCGTGAAGGGCGATGGGAGGAAATTGAAGAGCTGGAGAAGTGCGAGAGACCTGGGCCTTCAACGTTGGCGCTACATGCTGATGAAGACGAGGAAGCAGAAGGCGCATCCTCTGCGGACGAAGAGGAAAGCAGATTGAGGGAGGAAGCGCAGGATGCTATTGAATGGGCCGCAGCGCTGGCCACCGGCACCATGCCAGATGCGCGAAAAAAAGCGGCGGCTGGGATGCAGTCGACAAAAGAAAAAGGAAAGAAAAAAGCAGCGAAACTTCCTGTTGGAGTTGCCGAGCTTGCCGGGTCGGAATTCGATGCGCGATGGAGCGATGTGGAATTCAACGTGAGTGGAGCGGGAGCATATATTTTTGCGCACGTCGCTCGTGGCTGACCATTCCTCTTATGCAAATTCGAATCAACCGCAGATCGACTCATTCCGACAGAACACACACTCGTACACCCAGCTCTCGCAACTCGTCGAACGATACCTGCGAGCCGTCTCTTCGCGCGCGACACAGGCGCTCAAAGATAGCTCGAGCGCGGCTGCCGCTTTGGCAGCGTCCAGCAGCGATGCAAGTGGCGAGAAGCGCAAGGCGCAGCAGGACATGGCGAACTTGATGCGCGGTGTCAATGCACATCGCAACGCCATCCCTTCGGCACGAGCGGAAACACAAGCCGGCACAGCGGGGGCAGCACCTGGCGATGCGGCGATATCTTCTGCTGATACCAGCGACAGCTTGGATCCCGCTGACCTGTTGCGTGCGCTCGCTAACACGGGCCGCAGCACGCGCACAGGAGCTTCGGGCGGCAGTGGCTCGCAGCGGAGCAAGGGGTGACGGAAAGATGTATTTGCGTGCCAAAGAAGGGTCAGTTGATATTTGAAGACGTCGAGGCGAAAACAGCCGTGCTGGAGAAGAAATACAAAGTGGAGGTCCGCCGCTTCGTCGTTGCGGTTGGGAGTCTGATTAAAAAGAGGCATGCGAAGCCGAAGCACGAAAGGCACCCATCCAAACGAGCCACCGTAATCTACAGTGACGACGTGAAAGTGCGCTACTGTATGTGCGATTTGAAGTTGCGCTTGCATCTGCTTTGGCAAACAATGCAGGTGCGTGCCCGTGTGGCGCTAAACCTTGCGCCATATACGTTTGCAGTGGTATATTCTTATTTTAGGACAATGACGAAGACAAAGTGAAGCAACTTTGGCAACGGTGTTGCTTCGTACTTAGATGGAGCGGAACGCGGTTGAAGCCCCTGGCGAGGTATGAAGCACCAACTTTGTGTGGGTATGAGGATCAACAACCAAGGGCCCCAAGGTTGCCGATGAGAAGTGATGAGGAGAGCTCCCACGCTCACAGTCCAGATAGGGTAGCACATTGGCCTTGCCTTCTCAATTCTTGTCTATCGCACCTTCAGCTTGGAGGACCCGCATTGCAGGCATCATTTGTAAAGTTTCAGCTGTCAGTGCGTGTGACTGCAGAACGCCATGAGAGCATAAACGCGTGAAGCCGCGGCATGGCTCGGTCGCCTGCTCTCGCCTCGCAAAGTGCATAGTTGACCTCGGACATTGGCATGCGATGAAATTCATTCGAGCAAATCTCACAGACCGCTGTTCACAAATCGCCAGCCCTACGCTTCTCTCGAAGGCCGTCGTTGCAACGCACGATACACGCATGTAGGGTGTGTGCCATCATGTTTGACGAGTGAGTCGTATTGCGCTTGCTTAGTAGGAGCAAGGCTAACCATGCACACGTCTTTGGGCACGCGCTCAGCTTCGTACAGACTTCCAAGCCGGGCCGACAGCATGTGAATGGGTTCTCTCCGGACGACAGCCTCAGCTATGACCATGATCGGAGCGGCGTGAGCAACGGCACAGTTGGCCTTGGCCTGGGCGGCGACGTCCTGGACCATGGCATGGACGGCTTTGAGCCCGCGGGAGGGGATGCTGTGGAACCAATATCAGCTGTGCGTGGTATACACAAGCGTCTCTTGGGAGCAGTTAGAATGACAGTGTCTGTTCTTTCTCGCTTTTGCTGTTTCAGATCGAAACGGGCTTCATCTCTTCTGATGCGCAGGCGTCTTCAACAACGCCAATCTTTCAACTCGGCAGAGTTCAATATGCTTTCCCAGCTCCGCTAGCGCTTCTGACGGTACAATCGAACGTCATGACGATGTGTCTCTACGCCTATCCAACAGTGCCCACAACTCCACCGATCAGCCCTCCTCGCTTAGTGCGCATCAATCTAGATGATCCGGAGCGAACAGAAGAGGCCGAGGTCCCGCTACCACCAGTGCCACGCAGCAAGGGCCCGCCGCAAATGCTCGACCCGTCTGCGGTCGGCCCGCATCGCATGTACGCGGATCCCAGCGGCAAGCATCTCATTCTGAGTATGCGGAATGGTGACAACTTCTACTGGACATCAGGGTGGAAAAGGGCGCGGCTGCTGTCGAAGCTGAAGGGCATGATCGTTGAGAGTGTCGCATGGAATCGGTTTTCGGCGTACACAACAGGGAGTGTTGCCAACTTCGATGCGAATGGGCGAAAGGGGCAGAGTGCAGGTACAATCAGCACACAAGAGATTCTGCTAGGCACGCGGAATGGCGAGATCTGGGAGACGGTCATCACGGCTCCAGCAGGCATCGACAGCGAGGAGGGAGACTTTCTTGACCGGCTCGCGCGACGGACAGCGGGCGCCGCAAAAGGGCTTGCCGACGTCGACAAAGTGTTGCGCCATGTTTTCACCTTGCCAGAGCGACAGGCGATCACTGGGCTGCACGCCGAACCCTTTCTCTCGAGCCTCTCTGGTGCAGGCACGCACGAGAAGCGCAAGGCGGTCGTCATTGCGACCACGAGCACGCGCATCTATGAGTTCGTTGGAAGACTTGGTGGACGGTCAGGTGATGAAAGTACAGGGCAAGCAGATTCGTTAGGAATATACGAGAGGATCTTTGGGCCGTATCGGACTGGGCAGGCCAGCGTCAACCTCAAGTCCGAACTGCCAGGCGAAATGCTCTACTCGGAGCTGCACTTTTGGTCGCCAGGCTACCGGAAACCATCCAAGACGCTAGCCTGGCTGACAGGTCCAGGCGTGTACCATGGCCTTCTTAACTTTAGCGACCAGCAGCCTGGAGACAGCGTGATCGACAGCGCAAACTTGCTACCGTATCCTGCCGTAGCCTTGGATGATACAAACGACAGCGAACCGATCGCGGAGATCCCGCTCAGCATCGCACTCACGCAATTCCACTTTTTGCTGCTCTACCGCGACCGCATAATGGGTATCAGCTCACTCGACGATCAGCTCGTGTATGAGGAAGGCCTGCGGCTCAAACCCGGTGAGCGCGTCATCGGCACGGCGTTCGATACCAGCCGACACACGTGCTGGGTGTACACGGACAGTAGCATCTTTGAACTCATCATCAAAGACGAGGATCGTGACGTCTGGAAGACGCATTTGCAGCGTGGCGCATACGAGACGGCGCTGACATTTGCCAAGGCCGGTGTGCAGCGGCAGGTGGTGCTCGCATCGCAAGGCGATCGCTTCTTCAGTGATGGGAAATACATCCAGTCGGCGCAGTGCTATGCACAGACACTGACGCGCACATTCGAGGAGATTGTCCTAAAGTTCATCGATGCGAATGAGCGGGATGCTCTGAGATACTACCTCATCTCGCGACTCGAGCGGACACCTAAGTCAGAGGAGACACAGCGGATGATGCTCGCAACATGGCTTGCGGAGATTTACCTCAGCCGAATCAATCAGCTGGAGGACATTGCTGCTGCACAGGCAGCAAGCGAAGACGTAGAGAACTACAAGCTGGAGAAGTCCATGTTGGAGGATGAGCTGAGGCAATTCCTCGCCACTTACCGGGGCAACCTCGACCAGCGGACCATGTTCAGGCTCATCTCTCAGCATGGCCGGTCCGACATTCTGCTGCACTTTGCCGATGTTGTTGGCGAGCACGAGCTCGTCATCCGGCACTGGATCGCAAAAGAGGAGTGGGTGGAGGCGACGAAGGCGCTCAGCCGGCAGAGTGATCCGATGCTCTACTACAAGAACGCTGGCATCCTCATGCAGAAAGCGCCGAAGGAAACCGTGGACGCATGGATCAAGGAGGATCGGCTGCAGCCTCGGCGTTTGATGCCTGCGATCCTGCAGCACAGGCAGGTTGAGGGGCAAGCAAACGAAGGGACGCGCTACCTGCTGCACGTTGTGCACAAGCTCGGTAATACGGACTCTGCGATTCACAACCTGCTCATCTCTCTACTCGCGCGCGAGAGCCCGGAGCAACTGCTGCGCTTCATCGAGACGAGTAGGGACAACCCGCTGCTGGCTCAGCCATGCTACGATCTGGACTTTGCCCTGCGGACATGCCTCGCGAACGGACGGCGGGAGGCTTGCGTCCGGATCTACACCAAGATGGGCCTCTTTGCCGACGCAGTCGACCTTGCGCTCAGCGGCGACGAGCCAGACCTCGAGTCGGCGTGCCGCGCTGCAGAGCTGGCCGAGGGCGATGATCTGCAGCGCAAGAAGATCTGGCTCAAGGTGGCCAAGTATGTCGTGGAGACCAAGAAGGACATAAAGGCGTGAGTCGGCACTGCTTCTTTGCCTTGCGTCGTCTCCTAGCTGACAGAGTGCGTACAATGGTGTGGCAGCGCCATGGTGTTCATCGAACGCAGTGAGCTGCTCTCGATCGAGGACATCCTGCCGTTCTTCCCAGACTTTGTGGTCATTGACGATTTCAAGAACGAGATCTGTTCCGCGCTCGAGTCGTACGCGACGCGAATCGAGAACATGAAGGCGGAGATGGACGAGGCGAGCCAGAGCGCGCAGGCTATCCGAGAGGACATCGACAAACTCGGCTCGCGCTTCGTCACGGTCGAGCCGACCGAGAAGTGCAGCATCTGCGATGAGTGGCTGCTCGAGCGGCAGTTTTATGTCTTTCCCTGTCGACACACGTTCCATGCGGACTGTTTGATCGCGGAGGTGAGTTGGGGATGCAACTTGCGCATTGTAAGAGGATGGCAGTCAATTTGACTTTTCTTTACATGATCCCTTATGGTGCAGACTACCGCGCATCTACCACGCCGAACTCTACGCCGCATCCTCTATCTACAGGAGCAACTCTCGTTCATGACCGATGGCCTCATCCCAGCGCTGCCGCCGTCGTATGCGTCGGTCGTGCGCGAATCGCATGCGGCTGCATCGGGCGGTGGCGGTCCGATCAACGACTCTACTGTGGCATCACGCAAGTCGGCCGGTATGGGCATAGGCATGGGCATGAGCATGAGCATGGGCATGAGCATGAGCATGGGTATGGGCATGGGCATGGGTACGGGCTTTGACAAGCTGCGCGAGATCATCCTCCCGGACGCGGTCATTCATGCCATCAGCCAAGGCGTCAGCGTCGGTGTTGCCGGTGGGCGGCGGGTGCTTGCGCCACTCGACCCCTTCGCGGAGCCTACCACCACCGGCATGGGCAGTCTACGCATTCCTGCATTCAGGCTGGGCGCAGGCGGCTCTGGCGCTGCTGCTACGGCGGCGGCTATGGGGGATAGCCAGCTTGGTAGCGCCAGCGGCAGGAGTACTGCTGGTGGCACTACCGGGCTAACGATCGAGGACGAGGAGAAAATCGAGGCGCTTCGGGACGAGCTGGACAGTCTTGTGGCGAACAGCTGTGCGCTTTGCGAGGGCTCATTGTCGATGCTGGCGCGCCCGTTTGTCAGTGACAAGGAGAAAGGGAGGGATGAGTGGGCCCTGTGATGGATGGAAAAGGCAAGAGTGCGAACGCCCTTTGCGCCCGTGCATACGATTGAACATTTCCTACATCCTTGCTTTCCTCCCCTTGTACATAGGAGTGCCCCTGCCAAGTGCGTACACAATGCAAATGCTTTGCTGTAGTACCCTCTTGCTCCCATCTGCCCGAAGGAAGTGCCAATCCCACCGAATGGAGTGTGAGTTTAGATTGTACGAGCCGAGATGGTGGAAAATGGATGAGCTGCGCACGAGCCACTTCTGACGCAACTGGCTCATCGGTGTAATAGTGAGTCCGTGCCCGCCAGTACATCCTGATCCTTGCTGTGACTTGTCTTGTGATCATCGTTCGTTGGGCGGGCGGGGTAGCTGATGGTGGTTGGGAAGGCATCCCCGCACTCAATAGCAAGAGTGTACACAGAAGCCTCGGTCATCACCTCGGCTGCTGCGTACTCGGTGTTACACAGCCCTCGAAAATTAGCACCGAAGAAAGTGCAGAATTCTCGGCGACAACAACGCTTGACGCTGGAACTGTCATACCCCTGCAAGGTCACGCGAGCCCCGCAAAGAACCTCCAATTTGACCCCTGGAGATAAGCCATGCCGTACGAAATTGTCCCCGTGCAATTGACGCACGAGCTCGCACATCTCAACCCTTTCCGTTCCGCGCTCGATGAGGGTGGCGAGGAGCTGGGGCATGTCGTCACCGAGGCGTCCATCGCTGGCGGCGGGCGGCGCGCCGAGGACAGAAAAGGGCTGCACGTCAGCCATGCGCTGCGCTCCTTCCTCGCCGATGCTCGTGAGATTGAAGAGGGAGATGTGGGCGACAAGGCGGACGATGCGCCGCTCAGCCCCGCAGTGCAGGCCGTGCTGGATAGGCCAGCGGTGCAAGTGCCCGCGTACGTCAATGATCGAAGCCATTCACTGAGCGAATACTTTGTCTCCTCCAGCGTGAGTCGTCATAGTAGCCGATCATGTCATTTCTCTTCTTTGGTTTGGATAAGTCTTAACGAGGCACGGTGTGGAATCTTCTGTGCAGCATAACACTTACCTCACCGCCGACCAGCTTGTCGGCAAGTCTTCCTCGACCGGATACACACACACGCTGCTCTCAGGCGCACGCTGCGTCGAAATCGACGCCTGGGATAATGAAAAGGATCCAAGCGAGCCCAAAGTCACGCACGGGATGACGCTCGTTTCGCGCATTCCATTTGTGAGTTCCTAGTTGATTGGTTCTTGGACAGCAGCCTGACTAGGCATACCACGCGCCACGCCACTTGATCTTGCGCAGCGCGCAGTCGTTAAGGTAATGCGCGAGTGCGTCGACCGCGAGCTGGCCGAGTCGCAGTTGTCGAACGGCGCGCTACCGCCTCCCGCGCCAGTCATGCTCTCGCTGGAAAATCACTGCTCGAGCGCGGGGCAGAAGCGGCTTGTTGAGATCATGCACGAGGAGTGGGGCGACCGCCTCGTCTCGGACATGCTCATAGACGGCGCTGGCGGCAAGGTGGACGACGTAAAGCTGGATCAGCTGAGCGGCAAGATTATCGTCATGGTCGAGTGGTACCCCGATGAGCGCGAGGCAACCGCTGCGGAGGAGCTCGATATCTCCTCTTCGGACGACGAGGAGACGATCGCCGCCAAGAAGGCAAAGGCAGCCGCCAAGAAGGAGAAGATTATCCCCGAGCTTGCGGCACTCGGCTGCTATGCCAACAGTGTCAAGCCGAGCAGCGACGCCTGGCTGCGCGGCACGATGAACGAGCCGAAGAACCACTTGATCAACCTGTCCGAGAGCGCTGCGGGTAAGATTATCAAGGATCAGCGCTCGGAGATGGTTTCGCACAGTGAGCGACATCAACGCTTGCAGGTTTGAGGTGGCGTTGCTACTGCACTGATCAACGACATTTTCCTCTACTGCACATGCAGATGCGAAACACCTGATCCGCGTGTACCCAAAGGGCACGCGCATCACCTCGCGCAACCTGTACCCCGTGCCGTTCTGGAACGCTGGAGCGCAGGTATGCGCGCTGAACTGGCAGACAGTGAGGCAGGGAAAGCGGAATTCTCGTTCCTGAGCGCGGGTGCGCGGCCGCTGACACGCGCTCGTGTGCGGACAGTTTGACGCGTCAATGCAGCTCAACGATGCCCTGTTCGCGGGGACAAGCGGATGGGTGCTCAAGCCGCCGCAGCTGCGCCGCCAGCTAGCACCGCCCGAGGCGGGGCGCACACGCCTCTCGCTCGAGGTCGTCGGCGCGACCGACCTGCCGATCCCCGCGGGACACAACGCGGAGGACATCAAGCCGTACGTGACCGTCTCGTTGTACCATCCCACAGAGGGCGACGGCGGCGGGAACGGAGACGGCAAGCGGATCAAGCAAAAGACGGAACACTACCGGCAGCACAAGCTGCACATTCTCCACCGCGGGGAGCAACCGCCGCCTGTGCACGCAGTGTGGAAGCAGAAGCTGACATGGGCGCCGTTTGGCAAGAGCGAGCTCGCGTTCGTGCGTTTGCTCGTCAAGAGCGACGACCGACTCAGGAAGAACCCTGTGTTTGCGGTCGCGAGCATGCGCCTCGCGTACGCGCCGACTGGTGAGTCTGCGCAGCGAGTGAGCGAGTTGGCCCTCGTTGGCGGACTAGCGGGCTGTGCGGCTGGATGCTGATGCGCTTTGCACGTCGTCGTACAGGCTACACGTTTCTTCGCCTGCTGAGTCTCGCAGGGAGGGAGACCAAGTCGACACTACTGGTCAAGTTCACGCTGGAAGATGCATGAATTCGGCTGTGGGCAGTACCTTGCATGGCGTGTAACCCCCCACCCAGGTTGTAACATGATACAGGCGATCGGGCCGCATGGGATGGTGCAGTGTGCAAGGGGCATATGTTTCCGGATGCGCTGGCGGTGCATCCAGATGGCCGTTCCTGGCAAAACGCGGTACCTTGTAGTGCATCAGAAGGATGTGCCAGGCGACAGCGAGATGAGAGGTAAGGGAGTTTCTCATGCGACCTGGTCGCAGATTTATGGCACCGCCCACGGTCAACCGCAGCGGCATTGGCCCCATCACATTTGATGAAAGACCTTTAACAAAATTCTTTTTTTTTATTTTCTGCTCTGGACCGTCGTGTATATGTATATACCACATGGTCGCGGCGTTGGTTGTTGTAGATACAGCTTACCTGCGGGTTGATGGCGTCTGCAGTGAGTGAGGTGGAGTGTTAAGCGAGGAGAACAAGCTGCGTGCGGTGTTATGAGGACGGCAGGGACGCCAGCCCATCGAGGATCGAGAATGAGTTGGCAATGCAACGAGATCGAGTTAGGGTTACCATCGCTCACCGGCTGTCCCATTGCACGATGATCGATGATCACCGCCCGCATCGCTGCCCCTGTTGCACCGAACCAGATCGACGCGTTACGAAAGGCCGAAGAACGCCGACAGAGTCTATCCTGCCCGGGTCCAGTCACGATGGCGGCAGTCGAGTGCCAGCCAGCACAACACACATTGGGAAAGTGAACCCACGCGGACGGGCGGCGCTTTTGCCGCGTTTGAAAGAAGCCCATGTGGATTGGAAGAGATGAGAACCCTTATTTTCCGCTCTTTTTGGTCATTTTCTCCAGGCTCTCTTGCTGTTTTCTTGCTATTTTCTTTTTTTGCTTTGCTTTGCTTTGCTCCACCCCACCCAGCCGTGCGCTCCCGTCGCGTATCAGCGTATCTATCATATAGCTAACAGCCAACGGAAGTGGTTGCGCATTCTGCTACGCTCGCTCACGCGCCTCTGTGCTGGCACATCTTCATCCCCAGTCTCCCATACACATAAAGCCCATCCTGGGCCAGCAAGCAGGGCCAAACAGGGTCCTTCCCGAAAAAAATATGTCCGCATCGGCTGTACCACACAACGCCGACGGCGGCGGAGACAGCCAGCCGCAGCTCGTCCTGGCGCTCGGCTGCCACGCCGTGTGGGACACGCTGCAGCTGGACTGGGACGCCTGCTTCCGCGCACGCGTGCTCAACACGTTCTTTCCCACCCTCGCACTCGCCCTCTCCGTCCTGGCGTTGCTCACGCACTCCCTCCGCAGCAACACCCGCAAGCGCACATCCGAGGTACAGGTCGCCAAGCTCGACCCTGCCGCCAGCAGCATCTACCTCCCTGCCCGAACCCCTGCTGGACGCGGCTCCGCACCGCCCCCAGCGTCTTCTTCTTCGTCAGCAACACCGGCGGCGCTCCAGGTCTTTCGCACAGAAAATTCCGTCATCCTCAACGAGGTGCACAGCACGCCCCTCGTCCAGGTCTCCACGGCAGATGCGGCGCGCTACCGGCGTCTCGAGGCGCTCAAGCGCGGCATCGAGGTGCTCGGCGCTGGCGGCCTCATCGCGTCGCACGCCGCGGCGTGGGCCATTGCACGCGGCCAAGGGGACCACAGCGCGCTTCCACTAGCAGCAACGGCGGCAGCGGCACTCGCCTGGCCCGCACTATGGCTGTACTTTGCCTTGCTCAGCGGCTGGACCATGACGATGACACGCAGCCTGTATGCGCACAAGGCCCTCCTCGTTGGCGCCTACGTGCTTGTCACTGCATCCAACCTGCGCTCTGCCGTCTTGCAGCAGCCTGGAAGCAGCGGCGACGGGGGTTACGTGCACGCGAACGCCGCGGTGCCGCTTGCGGCGCTGCAGCTGGCGCTCGCGCTGCTCGTCGCCGCGCCGACGCTTTTCTTCCCACTCAAGCGCCGCACCCCACACAGCCTGCAAGCCATCCACCGCACCATGCGCACAGAGGCGCGCCTTGCCACCATGCGCACCGCCCTCCCCACGCCCCGCCGGCGCGCCGGCGTGCTGGCGACGGAGGACGAGGAGCACATGTTGGATGCGAGCGACGAAGATGGCGCCGCAAACGACCTCGTGGAGCAAGCGCGTCTGGCGCTTTTGGCCGGAACTGGAGCCTCCTCTAGCACGGCAGCCCCGCCGCCGCCGAGCCCAGAGCTGTACGCATCGCTATACTCGCGCTGCTTCTTCGGCTTTGTCACACCTGAGCTCGTTAGGCACTTCCGCGAGCAGTACCGGCCCGAGCAGGTCCCGGACCTCCTGCCAGATGACAAGGCCGCCGCTGTTGTCAGCGCCTTCCGTGCGCGTAGCGGGAGCAGCGGCGGTCGCGGCAGTGACAGTGGCAGCAGCTCCGGGCGCAAGCTCACACTGAGCCTCTTTCGCCACTTCTGGCCGCAGCTGACGTATCAATTCGTCACCTCATTCGCGCAGGCCATCCTCAGCCTCTCGTCGCCCATCGGCCTGCAGTACATCCTCGCATTTATCGCGCAGCGCTCCCGCGCCGCCGCCGCCGCTGGCAGTGCGCATGAGCCGCAGCAGCAGCAGCAGCCTCCGCTGCACATGGCGGTGCTGTACGCGTCGCTCATGTTTGCAGGCCAGGTTCTCTTTGCTATCCTCGCGAGCCAGGCGCTCATGACGGGCCGCAAAATCTGCATCAACCTGCGCGCCATTCTCATCACCGAGATCGTTACCAAGGCGCTCCGCCGCCGCAACGGCAGCGCGAAAAACAGCGGCAGCGGCGGTGCGGACGAGGCGGATGCACAGGACGCCAAAGGAACCGACACCGACAGCACCGCAACCGACGGCCAGATCGTCAACCTCATCTCGGTCGACGTGTTCAAAGGTGCGTTATCTTCTCCATTCCACTCTACAGCCTAGTCTTTCGTTCGCACTCAGCGGGGCAGTGCTGATCTCCGATTGCGCTCTTCACCCGGCCGCGCGCAGTCTCCGAGGTCTGCGCGTACCTGCACTTTGTGATCCCCATGGCGCCGGTGCAGGTCGCACTCTCGCTGTACTTTCTGACGCGCTTGCTCGGCTGGTCCGCCGTGATCGGGTTCGGCGCGCTGCTCGCGTCGATCCCGTTCCAGACGTGGGTGTCGACGTTCTATATCGCGTTGCAGAAGGAGCTGCTTGGTGTCTCTGATGCGCGGCTCGACCTCACCACTGAGGTGCTCAATTGCATCAAGACAGTTAAGTGTGAGTCCTCGGTACCGTTGTTGGCAGGTTGAGCGCGCGCTGGGTCGAGTAGCAGCTCATGCCTCTCCGTTCTCATTCGGCTTCCCCCTCTGGCCGACCGGCAGTTTTTGCGTGGGAAAGTTCGTTTCAGTCGCGCATCGAAAAGATCCGCGACAACGAGCTCTGGGTTCTGCAAAAACGCTTCGTTGCGACCGTCCTGCAGATTTTCTGCTTCCGCGGCTTGCCCGTCGCCATCATCGTCCTGACGTTCAGCGTTCACACCGCCGTCTTCCACCGACCCCTGCCGGCCGAAGTCGCCTTCTCGTCGCTCGCCTTCTTCACGGCGCTGCGCTCCTCGATCGACACGCTGCCCAGCATGATGGCCAATATCTTCGGCTCCCTCGTCTCCCTACGCCGTATCGACACGTTCCTGCGCGAAGAGGAGACCGCAAAGTACGAGCAGCTCCTGTGCTACGATGCTCCAAACGGCGACGGAGAGGATGACTCCTTCGGCGCGTCCCGACACGCGCATGGCCGCACCTACGTTGGCTTCTCAGACGGTGCCTCGTTTACATACGTCGAAGACGACGACAAGATCGCCGATGGCTCCGCGTTTGTCCTGCGCGGCCTGGACATTGTCTTCCCGCCAGGGCAGCTCAGCATCATCGCCGGCGCAGTCGGCTCAGGCAAGTCGACGCTGCTCCTCTCCTTGCTTGGCGAGACGCGCCGGCTGAACGGGAGAACGTACCTTCCGTGCCCCATCGCGCGCGCACTCGTGCCCATTGATGAGGACGGGCTGTCGGATACCGTGGCGTACTGTAGCCAGACGCCCTGGTTGCTCGGCACGTCGATCAAGGAAAACATCCTCTTTGGATCCCCGTACGACCCGAAGCGCTACCACGCTGTCATCAAGGCCTGCGCCCTTGAGCCAGACCTCAACATCCTGGAGTACAACGACGAGACCGAGGTCGGCGAAAAGGGCACGTCTCTCTCGGGCGGGCAAAAGGCACGCGTCAGCCTGGCGCGCGCTCTGTACTCCAGCGCGCGGGTGCTGCTCATCGACGATGCCCTCTCCGCCCTCGACGCGACGACATCCGAATTCATCTACCGCAACTACCTTAAAGGCCCGCTCGTCAAAGACAGGACGGTCATCATGGTCACGCATGCCGTCAGCCTATGCATGTCTGGTGCCGCCTTTGTCGTGGCGTTGCACGAGGGCAATGTCGCCGCGCAGGGCACGCCTGCCGAGGTCTCCGCCGCGGGCATCTTTGACGGCGAAGGGCCGCTGCACCTCGAGCTCGAGCACGAGAAGGAGGCGGAGCAAGTAGAGCAGACGATCGAGGTCTTGGACGAGGGTCAGCTCGAAGCCGAGGCGGCCGTGTTGAAGAAGAAGATGGACAAAAAGGCGGCACATGCGGAAGAGGAGACATACGCCAAAGGCGCAGTCAGCTTCAACACCTACCTCCTCTACTTTGCCAACTTTGCTGCAAACAACGTGCTTCTCTTTCTCTTCTGGGTTTCCATCGCTGGCCTCTTTATAGCATCCAAGGGGGCGGACATCTGGAGCACTGCTTGGCTTCGACGTTGGGCGGCTTCATACGACTCTGCCCCAGCGCCCAGTGTCGCGCAGACGCTCGGGCAGTTCTTCACGCCTCCGATGTCTGCCGTCACCCAGGCCGGGAGCTTCATCCCGCGCTACTTTATCACGCCAGCGTACGAAACTGTGAAGAACGTTACACCCTCAGTCTTCGCATCCAGTTCAGATCAGACCGTTTTCTTCGGCGCAGAGGTCCCCACTGCCACCATTACAGAGTCGACAGGATCGTACCTTCAAATCTATGCGGCGCTTTCTCTTCTTTTCATCTCCATCGATGTGTTCAAGGACAGCTTCGTCCTTGCTGGCTCCGTCAGCGCCTCGCGCCGCATCTTCAAGCGCCTCATGGCGGCTGTCCTCAGCGCCAAGCCGGGCTTCTTCGACAAGACGCCGGTCGGACGCGTCATGAACCGTCTCTCCAAGGATATGGAGGCGATCGACCAAGAAGCCGCTGGTGATTGCGTCTTCTTCTTGGACGTCTTTCTACAGAGCATCGCCATCATCGGCATTGTCGTCTTTGCCCTGCCTATCTTTGGCGCTTTGTCAATCGTCATCGTGGGCGTCTACTTTGCGATCGGTGCACTCTACATTACGAGCTCGCGAGACTTGAAGCGAATCGAGTCGGTACAGCGCAGTCCGATCTTTACACTTGTCGGCGAGATCATCGGCGGCTCCGTGGCCATTCGTGCATTCGGTGATGCGGGCCGCTTCACCCGACACTGCCTGCGATTGATAGACAGGACAAACGGGCCGTTCTACTTTTTGTGGTGCGCCAACCGCTGGCTGTCACTCCGAGTTGACACCTTTGCTGCTTTGATCTCCTTCGTCGTCGCCCTTTTCCTACTTCTCACCCCAGGCGTCGACGCAGGCTTGGCGGGTTTCACATTGTCCTACTCTATCATGCTCGTCGACAGCGTTCTCTGGGTGGTTCGAGTCTATTCGATGGTGGAGATCAACATGAATTCGGTGGAAAGAGTGCAAGAATACCTCTCCATAGAGCCAGAGCGATTCGCAGGCCAAGAGCCGCCTGCCTATTGGCCAAGCGACAAGGGCAGCATCGTCATTGAAAACCTCTCGGTGCGTTACAGTGCGGAGTTTCCAAGAGCGCTGGACTCGCTCTCTCTCGAAATCAAAGCTGGCCGTAAGGTCGGCATTGTCGGTCGCACTGGCTCTGGCAAGTCGTGAGTCTCTCGGTCCACCATGCTTTTTCTTGAAACCAGGCTAAAGTGCTCGTTCCTCTGGCAGGACCCTCACGCTGGCTCTGTTTCGTTTTCTGGAAGCTGAGACAGGGCGCATCACCATCGACGGCATTGATATCTCCCGCGTGCCGCTCAAGACTCTTCGCAGTCGCTTGACTGTCATCCCGCAGCACCCCGACATTTTCTCTGGGACAGTGCGTTCCAATTTGGACCCGTTCGGCTACTACGAAGATGCAGACCTTTGGAACGCGCTCGAGCGATGCAAGCTTGCCACTCGTGCTGACGTTATCGCTGCGAGCCGCGGGCCCAGTCGACAGCCAAGCCGACCAGGCTCGGTGCACGAGGATGACGATGACGGTAGCCAGCAGGGTCGCGTCATCATTACCAGCTTAGACATGCGTGTTGAGCAGGGCGGCAAGAACTTCAGTCAGGGTCAACGGCAGCTGCTCGCGCTCGCCCGTGGACTCCTCAAGCTCAGGGACTCGAGGATCCTTATTTTGGTGAGTCTCATCTGTGTACGCACAAGAATGCGCTACAGTCACTGACGCGTATCGCACTGATAGGACGAGAGTACGGCGAGCCTAGATGCAGCGAGCGACGCGCAAATTCAAGAGACGATTCGAAACGAAATGTCGAATGCCACAATTTTGACCGTCGCACATAGACTGAGGACAATCTGCGACTTTGACTTGGTGCTTGTGCTGGACAAAGGTCGCATACATGAATATGACTCGCCTTACAACCTACTCAAGGACACAAAATCATCCTTCCACGACCTCGCGCAGCGCTCGGGTGAATTCAACCACCTGGTAGGCATGGCTGAAAGGAAGCATGCCCAAGACGCTGCAGCGTCTTCAGCTTAATGTACCCTTCGTGGGAAAATGCTTAAATTGCAATGCATGTTCTTCATAAAGTGCCAGCGCCGTGCATTCTATGGCACATGACCTTTACTGGCTTCTTTCTCGCGCTGCTCTGCCTGTAGCTCGTTCAAGATTCTAGCAATTTGCAGCACGCATTCTCGAACCTTCTCGCGCAGATGGCTCGCTTCTGGAATACGAGCGTACCATGGCGCTGAGAGGAAGCGATCGGGATGATACCGCAGTAGTGCGGTTCGAAGACGCGTCCGGGCTGAAGCCGCGGATGCTGCTTTGTCGGCGTCCAAGCCGTCCGGCGCTAAGAGAAACCGCGAAATGGCTTCCTTTGTCAACACTGGATTGAGATCTCCATTCCACATCGACAGGCACGGCCACGGGAGGTCGCTAAACCAAAGCGGATCCGTGGTTTCGCCAGCCTTCGCAGCTCTCAACTGCGTCCATCTATCCTCCCACTTCTTGCGAGCCTCTCGCAGCGCAAATTGCTCTTCCTCAAACCGCTGCCTCTTCGCCTCCTTTTCTCGTCGCTTTGCCCTTTCCCGTCGCCGGTGCGCTTTCTCTTCCTTCTCAGCCTTTCTCTTGGTTTCCTGTCGCGCGCGCTCCTCCTGATCGCGTATATATGACGCATTTGATCGGCGCCACATGCCCTCGCGGACATATTCAGCATACTGCTCGTCGTCCATGTCCATCCCGCCACGCTTGAGAAAATCTGCACCAGTATTTCCTAATTTATCCATGTAGCGCTTTGGTATATCGACTTTCGGCATGGCCGCGTCTTCGTAGGCCCCGTAAGCACCACCATGTAGCGCCGCGTAGCGAGATGCTTTTGATGCCGAGCCCGCTTCGAATGGCATGCCCGCCTCTTCATATGCGAGCTCCTGCTCGTATGAGGACTGAAAGCGCTCCCAGCCATCGGCTAGATGCGAGAAATCCTCCGCTTCGAGGTCGGCTAGCTTTGTTCCCCATTCCTCATCGCCAGCGTCTCGCACCGGCGCACGTCTGGATCGGCTCGAAGGACCAGGCTCATCGCTAGGCTGGGATGCGCCCCGCGAAGGAGAAGGCGACGCGGGCTGCCGGGGCCTCTTGCGCAACTGTCGCTCAGAGCTCGACTTCCTTGTGCGGTTGTGCCCATGACGAGACAAAAGATGGGACATGCTGCAATCACCACCTTTGCGCTTGCTGCTATTCCTCCTTGCATCCCTCACACGTGTCCAATCGTCACGGAGTTTGACCAGAATCTTAGGTTCCGTATGCCTAGCCACCATCTACATATCGCCGATCGCTTTTGTAGGATAGGTGACTCATGTATATACTTGCCCTTTCTATCCTCACGGTGAGAAGGCTTCGGGCTGGGGCAACGTCATCATGACTTTGGCGCTTACGATTCCACGCTCATCTTGCGACTGCGGTGAGAACACAGCTTCTTCACTGCGGGGTGCGGAAAATAGTCGAATTTAATTGAACATGACTCATACATCTCTCATACAGCAATGCCCGGCAAAGTTGTCCCGTTGGCAGTCCAGCTAAGAGCAGCCAGGCGTAACGGATGCAATGACCGATCGACTGGCGATCTCGAGCCACCAGGTGAGTCCTCTCCCGTCATACATATATCATCACCATTTGGTTCCCTGGAGCCTGATTACCGATGATACCACTGTACATCATCGAGTCCTATGCCGTGCTCTAGCTACCTCCTCACCCACACCTCCATATCCTGGGAAGAGCAATTTGTGCCTGTCTTTTGGTTGCAAGGTAATAATGTATGCTGATCGCCCTCCTCTGTTTGTTGTATCCATTATTTTCCATACAGGATCTGTTATCTCTTATCTCATGAATCGTGCATGGGATAGGATATAAGATACGGGAATGGCCAAGAGGTACCCGTGCGCTCACGAAACAGGATGTACTTCGCCGATACATGATCCCGAGAAAGGTAAAGTGGGCATCGACGACCAACGTGTCAGACGAGCCTGTGTCGATGAAACAGAAGGTCGAATCGACCTTCTCGCCTACCTCTTTTGCTGTACTACGTCACGTTCAAGACGGAGTAGCCGTGACGCACAAGTGAACGACGGAAGAATGGATGAACGTAAGCCCCTTCATTCGTCCAGCAGCAGCTTTTTTCCCCAACAGAGGGGCACTCGCACGCCAGAAAAGTTCGCATTGACGGTCTCGCTTCCCTGTCCTTGTCCAAACGGGTTCACAAGAGAAAGCACAACCAGTAGCAAGCAATGCAAGAAAATGTACCAGCGTGATCATTCAAGTCCGTGCCGAGCCTGTTGAACCTACTGTTGTCTGGCGTCCGGAAGAGAAGCGTGTCCCTGACGCCCTTGGGGCCGACCGTATCGCGCAGGACGGCGGTGTCTTTCGCGAACACTGTATGCGACCGCAGGTCGTTGCCGCTGGAGAGGCTCATGGAGAATTTACAAGGCAGCCATTCATATGGCGAGCAGGGCATCATCGAAAGAGGTTTGTCAACACATTTATCTTGCGAGACGCTCTCATGGGGATAACATACTGCTTCACCATTTGAGAGCGAGGGCAAAGTGGATGAAGTGGTAGTAGCTGGCGCAGCTCGGCTGCCTCTTCTCTTGGCGTGGCATCGTGGTGACGGCTAGGACCAGCAGGCTAGAGATGGTGGAAAATTGGGTGAGCCTCTTGTTGAAATAGATTCGGGGTGGTATGTATGGCTGGACGAAGAGGAGTTGTATGGGTGGCTGGAATCAGCGGGGTTGGTGCAAAGTGCAGGATCAGTGGGGAGAATTATTCAATATGGAAACCGGGAGACTTTATGATATATATTATCTTTTGAGATCAATTCATTTGTGCATCGAAGGTATGAAAGCCTGTGAGACACTAAAATGTGCCTATTGAAGAGGAAGGAGAGCTGCTCTGATGAAGGTACCAGTCGCCATGCCTTTATCGAGCTGAATGGGTGGGGAAATCGCGAAAGTGAAAGACTAAGGGTCCGGAGATGACGGGATCAGTAGTCTCGTCCCAAGTCTTCCATTCCTCACCCAGCAGGCGACCGTGCATCGGTTTCGCCGTGGACGGGGCTGGCTTTGGGCCAGACGATACCTAATTCTCAGGCAGGACCAAGTATTACGCCTGCCCGTGTAGCCCAAGCATTGACGAAGTCATCGGGAATCTACCACGTGCCATTAGCCTTTTATTTCAGGCTTCGGCTTGCGGGCTGACTGCAATCTGCATTCCCCACTCTCAATACATTTATATGTATCTCACTTCTACAGATAAAACGATCCGTTGAAGATTGACGTCAGAGCGGTCAATAATCTTCAATGGCGATCCTGCAGGATTTCGCGCTCCGTTTGGTGTCCACATTGACACTATACACCCTTTAGGACTTTTGGACCAGAACTGAACCAGGGTGACGGAACAGCCTAGCAGTTTCCAGTATCGATTCTCGTCGTGTGACCCTTTGACCGTCTGAATTTATGTCCTCTGTAGTACAACCGAAAGTATATTCTCGATGCCGTCTGGCTGCATGTCACCCTACGCTGACAATCTGGCAACCGCCAAAAAGGCATTTGTCTACACTGGAGTCTACTATTCTTCGAATCTAGAGTCTCCGCCTATTGCGACAGTCGTCAAGTCTGGACGCCGGATGTTGTGCGCTGCCCCCATGCTCGCCCGCCTCACACTTCTACCTTTGTGTCTTTCGCCGGCCTGAACCGCTCCCCCTCAAGATAATATATAAATAGAAATGCGCTGCTGAGCTGCAGGGGTTCAGCCTGTTGTATTGCTGCTGTTAAATATCCACGATTACAGATGATCTACCATTGTGAGGAGAGCAATTGGATGTAGATCGGCCTGCAGGGTGTTGGTCGCTGGCATGTGCTGGCCACCGGTATCGCCTGGTCATCACCACCGCTTACGATCGTTGGGGGGGGACACCTTGGATGAATACGCATATGAATTGCAGAGTGCAGACGACGAAGAAAATGTAGTTGCCGCCTCACATCTGGCGTTGCAGACTTGTCGCTACATAAAACAGACTGAATTGGGCAAGACCGGCGACCTCAGATGGTGGACACGAACCAGGTGGGGCGCAATGAACTACATTTTAGACCTGGAGGTTTGTTGCTCACAGTGGGGCGCCAACGTATGAACAGTCCTGCACCGATGTCCTGAACGAGCCTGGATCAACGCGAACTAAATCAAGGCGTAATAGGGTTACAACTTGTCCCAGGATGGCACAAAGCTGCGCACTGCAGTGAGTGCGAGGCGCAATGGGCAGGCAGAGTTGGCCATGCCAAGCGTGAAGCGTGCATTTGAAATATTAGGTATGTGGAGAGTTGTCGTGTATGCGGTGTTACCATGAGTGAGCAGATGAACAGTGAGGTGTGAGGTGTGAGGTGAAGATAGTGAGATAGTGAGACGACTACCGACTAGATACCTGGGCGCCGCTATCATCATGCTGTACCGTATCAGCTGTTGCTGGCGATAGTCACCATCTGTTTGAAGTGCATACGATCAAGTCGAAATGGTCAATGTCGCTCTCAGTGACAAGGAAAATGTTAGTGCATTGTATTTCTCCCATACGCTCAACATTGAAACCGGAGGCATGGGGTCGTTCGGAGCTTGCATGTGCCATTGGGGATGTTGGCCACCGAAGTCCGAAGATGTATTTACAAAAGTTTGGAATGCTTGCGAATCCCGCTGTCTCGTTGGGAAACCAAGGTGCACACAAAAGGCTTTCGTCCAGAGTTATATCAGCCTATTCTCAAAGAGAGTCAAATTTGAAGTGCACGGCATTGAAAACCGAAGGCAGGGCGAAGGTTTAAAAGTCAGCGGCTGTTCTGCGCGGACCGCTGATCGGTGGCCGGTGGCCGTTCATTTGAACTGAACACTATTTTGATCACCACCGACGGTCAAGCAAGCAGGCGATCGGAGATTACAGAATTTCACCGGCCTTTGTGTCATTCATCAAGCTAATGAATAACCTTTGAACGCTCGCTTCAGCGATGATGAGATGCAAAGCAAACAAATCATTGCCTAGACGAACATCGTCGCCGTGGGCACCCTTTTCTTTCTAAAAATAGATCATGAGAAACGATTCGGGGAGGGAACAGGCTTCTTCAGAGTCATTTGGCAAGCGGTTCGACAAGCTGGCAGGCACAAACCGCAAACAAAGTGCGAGACGTGCAGCCGGTTGCGCGATGCCTCTCGGATATCCCCGTTGTCAAGTTGATTGGAAACACCCGCGCTTACCCTGCGCAGTCGTCCGAACTGCAAGCATGTCACTCTGGGACGAGAACCGTATCAAAGATGGTGCGGTGGTGGATGACCGATGACTGGAGCCGTGCTCCGAAAAGCGGTCCGGAGCTCGCGTTACGTCCACGGGGTGTCTCGCTGGCGAGGTGTCATTTATTGTGGTGTACAGTGCCTACTAGTGCAGTGTTCTCTCGTTTTGTACAGGGTTGGCATGGCAGAAGGGTTCGCGACGTGACCACGATGCCACACCCGCCATACCAGTTGTGCCAGCCAAATTGCAAGCCAACCCATCGACCTTATGATCGCTGAAGCAATACGGGTAGGGTGCCGGTCGCCACGGGACTTGGCAAAGGCCGCAAGTACATTATCAGTCTTCATTGGTGAATCATTCAGGCAGGCCAATTGGCCATTGTTGTACGTGAGATGAGAAGGGACAGCCGCACGAGGAAGCACACACGTGTCGATGTACCTTGTAGCTGTGCGAACAATGAGGTAAGGGTGTGATCGAATGAGGCTGCTGCGGAGAGCCGCCGATGATGTGGGCTTCTGGCGGGTTGCAGGCACTGCGGTAGAGGAGCCTGTTTTGAAGTAGAGCAGGAAGCTCGGTGACTTTTTGCTCGATCGCCGAACGGAGAACACGCCTTTTTATGCTTTTTGTTCAACTCTCCTTTGACTTCGTTGGCAGATTGGCAAGGAGAGCGAAATGGAGAAAGACGTGTAGCATGGGTGCGTATCGGGTCAATGCGAATGCAAGGCCAGAGACCCATAGCATGCGCTTCACCACATTGGAAGCTGCACGCCAAGAGCCTGTGCAATCGGGCGTGACTGGGAGGCGGTAGCGCAGCGTGCAGCTGTCGGACCCAGGCGGCCATATCACCACCACCATGGCAGCCAGCGCGCCTCCAGCTCCTCGCGCTGGTGCAGACAGAAGGATTGGTGTTGGGCATAGGCACACCGCTGCTGGTGCTGACCTTAACCTCGAAGCGGCACATGAAGCGAACGTGACGGTTCGCAGCAACCGCGATCACGCTCATATCGTCGGCCATGACGGACACATCTACACGCAGGGCGAGGCCGCTCGGCTCGGCTTAATCATTCGCAGTGCCTGCAAGGTATGCAGGGACCGTAAACTTAAGTGTGATGGCAGGCCCATCTTTGAGGGTGGCTGTATGCGTTGCGAAAAGTCCGGTACGGACTGCAGATATGGTACGTCTTTCTCCCCCCTGTTCATGGTGCGGTGAGAGCGCAGATGAGCAGGCCGGCGAGGAAAGTCTGTTTGTCTTTCATGCTGATGCCAGCTTCCCCGCAGAGGCCCGGCAACCGATCGGACGTCCAAAGAAGCGAAAGGCAGACGGTGAGCTCAGTCAGCCGTCGACCCCAGGCTCATCACCCGGCCTTCAGTCTATCCCTGGCATTGCACCGCCATCATACTGGTCAAACGCAGAGGCAGTTCCGACAAGTGTTGCAGGGTCGAGGATGAGCATCAATCCGCTACTGCTGACTACGTCCTGCGCGAACGGCGTCTCACATGCGTCGCCTCATCAGGCAACGCAGCATCCCACGCACTCACCCTCGAGCCCGTCGCTGTCCGACTTGTCTATAGCCGCCTTCCTACAATCGCTTGACACGCTCGAGATCGCGGCGTCCGATGGCTTCAGCCCGACCATGCTGAGTCAGGCAGTCAGTGGCGGTTCCCCCCCAGCTGGAACTGCCGCGCCGGGTAGCTGGAACCTGGCAGGCAGCGCCATCCTTGACCCAAATGTCAGCTACGCAGTGCCAGCCGACTTCAGCTGGTGGGACCTGAGTAAGCTCACGGGAGACTATCCCGAAACAACGAGCAACGCGGCGAACAAGTCCCCGAATGGGATACAGAACTGCGGACTCATTCCTGCGCAAAGCGGACCATCAGGTGCTTCCGACTTGGCAACTCTCGGTGCTGCCCGGTCTCCCTCGCTCATGTGTTCGCGTGGGCCAAGGTGCGGTATGGGCAAGGGTAGGCTGATCACCGCAGACGGCACCAGATGGCAAGAAAATGACAGGGAAGTCGTTTCGGGTGCTGCTTCTGTTGAGGAGGCCGCAGCGGTACAGGCCGCGCCAACCGCTGACGACGGAAAGGTAGAGGCATCCGAAACCGTCAAATCTTGTTGCATAGCAGGTCCGTCGATGCTCGAGGTAAGCTCGGCCAAGTCTGAGCTGGCAAAAGCAGAGCCTTGTTGTAGCAAGCGTGCGAATGCAAACTCGACACTCATGAAAGGACATGACCATCCATCTTCGTATCTTGAGGGCCAACACCGCTCCACTCCTTCTCATTCGCCATATCGAGCACCAGCTCCTCTTCCAACCTGGACAACCTACCCAGCTTCTTCCTCATCCTCTTCATTCTCCTCCACCGCTACCGCCGCGGCAGCAGCAAATGCGCAAAGCAAGCGCAAAGTGTTCTGCGTTCCCAATCCCTCCGGTCACGGCTGCACCTGCTTGTGCGATATGAGCGTTGCGCTCATCAGCGTTCGGCAGAACCTACGCGAGGCTGCCTGCGCGGCGGGCGAGCCGTTCGATGATAGCGGCAAGCCCAGAGCATCATCGAGCGCCACCACGGCACTTGCACCTGCTGCCTCGCTTTCAAAGACACCAGGAGAACCGAGTTCCACCGAATCAGCCTCACCCTTTACATCAGCATCAAAGCGCAAAGTGAACCCAGGTACCACGCTGCAGCTGACGCTCTCCACCTCACAGGCGGTCGCCGCGCATTGCGCCTGCTCGGCCGAGTGCCCAACATGCCGGACGGACCCGAGCACGCAGATGTCCGCCAGCCTGCTCGTTTCGACCGCGCTGCAGATCTACGCGCGCGCTGTCAAGACGCTCAAGGAGGGCATCGGCGGCGCGCTGAGCGTCAGCAGCGGCGGTATGGTGACCGCAAGCAGCAGCGCGCCCCTCGACATCAAGATTGGCGACTGGCGCCCGTCGGAGGCGAACGCGCACCGTATTGCGTTGTTCGCTATGAAGCTCGAGCTGCGGGATCTGCGTAACGCGCTCGGCAAGGTGTCCGATATGGCTCGCAGAAAGCCGCCGAACGCAGGCGGCACACCTGGTGACGCCGCTGTCGCGCCGTCGGAGGCCAAAGGAGGGACGGGGACGTACCTCAACCCAATCGATCAGCTCGTCCTCGACAAATTGCATATGCAACTCGGAGAAATATTGCAGACTGTCGAGATGCTGGAGCGTTCGGAATGACACATCAGCTTTCCTGCCATTCGCATCAATCGGCCTGTAGATCTAGATCGCACTGTTCACATCGGTGTTGTATTATATCCTCAGCATTAGCTGTCCCTTTTGTCTCATGCATTGCAATTTGTTTCTCGATCTATGCGACATCGATGTCGCCCGCTTTAGTATTCGCTTCTATGATTCGCTGGCGCCCTCCTGCACATTCTCGCTGCGCACGTTGAAGCTGGTGGCGAGCAGGTGCTGCTTGACCTCACCAATCGTGCACTCCTGCCTGTGGAAAATGCCCGCTGCGAGAGCGGCCTCGACAGAGCTCGGCGCCTCGCCGGTGCGCAGCGGCTGCGGCACGAAGATGTCCTCAAAGTGCTTTGGCACGCCCGCACCGGAGCTCGCGACGATGGGGATGCTGACGCTGCGGCGGACGAGGTCGACGAGCTGCCGGTCGAAGCCTTTGTTGCTCCCGTCACGGTCGATGCTGTTCAGTAGGACCTCGCCAGCCCCGAGTCGCTGCACGCCACGCGCAAGCTGCACGACGTCGATATCTCGATCCTCGCGCCCGCCTTTGATCGTGCAGCGGTACCACCATCGCTTGCCGGCATCTTCGCTGCCTGGTTCACCAGTGACGACGCACGCCGCATGTGCGGGCGGCACCGCGTCCGACGGCTGCAGGTACACGCGCCGCGGGTCGATGCTGACAACGACAGCTTGGGCACCGTACGCTTTGGAGATCATCTCGATCCCTGTCTTGCCCGTCAGCGCGCTGTCATCGACCAGCGCGGGATCCGTCACGCCAGAACCCTGCCGCGCAAGCATCTCCTCGACAGCCAGTACCGCCTCGGAGCCGATGCTGACCTTGTCCGCGCCGGCGCGGAAGTACTCGTCCGCCACCTCCTTTGCGCTCTTGGTCACACCACTATCCGGCTCGACAAAGTCCTTGATCCCGCCGCCGATAGTCAACGGGACAAAGCACTCGGCCGCGGCGAGGCGCAGGACGTCGAGCATCGGCTGGTCCTTCAGCGGGCTCGAGCGGAAAGACGTGATGTTGAGGAAGACAATCTCATCGGCGCCTTCGAGGTAGTACCTGTGTGCCAAGTCGACCGGCTTGCCAAGGTTGCGTATGGCGCCTTTACCGTCCGCCCCGGCTTGCTCATGCTCGTCTGCCTTTTCGCGGACGTCGTATGACTCCCCCTTGGTCACGACCAGGTCGCCCGCATCATTGGACCTCACATCTAAGCACGCAACCACACGCTTTGTCAGCCCATCCTTGCCTCCTCTTGGTTTCCCGGCCGCTTCCGCATCCTTGACCTTGCTGGATTCGCGCGGCGTCGCCGATGTCGAGGCAGCAGCTGACGACGACGGCGATGCTGCCAAATTAGACTGGTCGCACGAGCGGTGCAGCCAGGCACGTAGCAGCTCCAGCCCGGCACGACCGCTCTTCTCTGGGTGGAACTGTGTGCCAAAGACATTACCGCGGGAGATGGAGCTGATGAACACTTCTTCACCATACTGTGTTAGCGTCAGCGCCCACTCGGCGTGCAACTTGGGATCGTACGCCGCTCGATAGGAGTGGACAAAGTAAAAGTGCTGAGTTGTGCTACTGGAGCTGGAGCTGGAGCTGGAAGAAAGGCCATAGCGCTCTGCTTCTGCGAAGCCGATCTGCTCCCTTTCTAACGCACGCGCCTCGTTCCACCCCATCTGCGGCACGCTCTTTTTCCGACCGCTCGCATCGACCTCGCTAAACCTTGACACTCTGCCAGGTACGATCCCCAATCCTGGGACAGTCTCTGTGCCTTCGTCCGAGGCGTCGAAGAGGGCCTGCATGCCAATGCAGATGCCCATGTACGGTTTCCCAGAGGCGATGTAGGCTTTTAGAGGCTCTACATAGCCTTTTGTTCGGAGGCTATGCAGCGCTCCCCAGTAGGAGCCGACCCCGGGAAATAGCAGGGCCTGTGTCAAGTAAGCGATGGCGATCAGTTGGTATCGCGCTCATCATTGCCAGGGGCATCGCTTGGCGAGTACGATACGCACATCGGCTTTTTCGAGGTCCGCTGGGGAAGCAACCCATTTAAAATCGTAGCCGAGCTTCTTGATCGAGTTAGCCAGGCTGCGGACATCTACAAAAAGGCATGAAGAAAGCCGCCGGAATTGAGGTGGCGAGGGAAGTCAGCGACGATTCCTGAATGAGTCTGGCTTCTGATACTCACTGCCGGCGCCGTAGTCGAGGATGTAGAGCATCTTTGGAATAGTTGTTGCGCGTCCTGTCTCCCCCACCTTCCAGGTCCCTACGAGCTGCAGATCTATACCACCGAGGGTCGGCAAGGCCAGCTATTTGGATTCGTATCCGATGGAAGTGGTCTAGACGACTGCACTGTGTACCAGCTATCTCCGGCTATCCAAATACAGAGCACATGAACGAGTCATCCCCGGACAGATTCGAAAAGTTAACGTATGAAGAGGTTATCCGCCTGGGCGTCGGCGACTTCTACCGGCAACTTTTTTCTTCCTTTTAGATGCCGATCGGCAATCAAGCGCCCCATAGTCGGCAGGCACTGTAGCTGTGTGCGGCCCTGTGATGGGGCCTGGGGCCTGTCTGGCGATCACAGTTCATCCGACGCCCACCAATCCCCGCACGGCCATTGGCTTCTTCCCAACCTCCTACTTGCACGCTTGAACACGCACATTGTAAGGCAACAGCAGCAGGGGAGACGATACGGAGCAACGATCGAATTCCTTTGCCCAAACATGCTCGTCTGCACCACGCTTGGGCGGCGCTCCGCCAGCCTCGTGAACACCCCGAAGACGTCAAGCGCTCTCGTCAACAGAGCCGCGGCAGCAGCAGCGGGAGCGAGGGCGAGAGCGGCGCCTGCGTCAGGCTCGCAGCAATGCGGACTGGCGACAGTCGCTGCGTCCGATGGCACCAATAAAGAGAAAGTTGGAATTCTGATGATGAACATGGGTGGTGAGTGTGTTTTTGGTGCTCGTTCTGATCAGTGCATTTCGCCGCCATTGATGACACCTTCCACCTCATCTCGATGCAGGACCGAGTACGCTGCCTGAAGTTGGGGGTGAGTTTCTCAAGTGCAGATGCAGCTCGCTCCCACTTTCATCAGCTTAAATAGTTATGTGTGCACTACCGTCGCAGACTTTCTTTCACGCCTGTTCCATGACCGCGAGCTAATCCAACTGCCGTTTCAGTCGCGGCTGGCGCCGCTGATCGCGCGGCGGCGCACGCCCAAAATCGAAGCGCAGTACGCCAAGATCGGCGGGGGATCTCCGATCCTGCGCTGGACGCGAAAGCAGGGTGCGGAGATGGTCAAGATGCTGGACGAGCTGCACCCGTCGACGGCGCCGCATAAGCCATACGTCGCCTTCCGCTACGCGCGGCCGCTGACCGAGGAGGCGCTCGACGAGATGGTCGCAGACGGCATCACGCGCTGCGTCGCATTCACGCAATATCCGCAGTACAGCTGCTCTACCACTGGCTCCAATGTCAATGAGCTCTACCGTCAGATTCAGGCGCGCATCCAGCAGGGTGACAAGGACGTTGAACGTATCCGCTGGTCCGTCATCGACCGCTGGCCGACACATCCAGGCCTGGTACATGCATTTGCCAACCGCGTCAATGCCATCCTACAGACCTTTCCTGAAGGACCCGAGCGCGACAACGTACCAATCATGTTCTCTGCGCACTCGCTCCCCATGCAGATCGTCTCAGGCCGTGGCGACCCGTACCCCGCTGAGGTGGCCGCGACGGTCGCGGCAGTGATGCAAGTACTGGGCAATAGGAATCCGTACCGTGTTACATGGCAGAGCCAGGTTGGCCCGAGCGCCTGGCTTGGCCCGCAAACGAGTGACACCGTCAAAGGGTGGGCAAAGCAAGGACATAAGCATGCCATCGCCGTGCCCATCGCGTTCACGCAGGACCACATCGAAACGCTCTACGAACTTGACATTGAGCTGAAGGAGGAAGCAGAAGAGGTATATGCATTCTGCATTTGGCGGCGTCTTCTCTCCAGGCTGCGAGCTCGGACCTGCGTACTAATCAGCGACTGTTGCTTTTCTTTTGCAGCATGGCATGACGCTCCACCGCGCCGAATCGCTCAACGACGAGCCAAAATTCTTGCGCGCACTCGCAGACATCTGCGCCTCGCACCTTGCAGCGCTCACTGACGGCGCGACGCAAGGCTCCGTTCTCCCCGGCGAGCTCACAGGCGGGTCCCAGGGCGTCGACCACTTCTCGCAGGGCAGAACATCGAGGCAGTTTATGCTGAGATGCCCTGGATGCATGAACAACACCTGCGCGGAAAGCAAGCAATTCTTCGGCGCCAGGTAGGCCTGCCGACTCTCCTTTATTAGTCTCCCAATAGCCTAAAAATCGCCACTTCACATGCTTAACTCTTTACTTGCCGCTTTACTCGTGTCACGCATCGCAAAATGTATAACTCTACCCGGCCAGGCGAGATTCTTTGCTAAAAGAAATCGATTTATGCGAGACGTGCGGAAGTATATTTGAATAATATACAATTGCAGCTCTCTGAACAAGGATATCACGGAATCAAGCCTTTGGTAGTTTCTCCATTTCCACGAAACCAGGCCGAGATCGGTTTTCGCCCACGTGGCAGACGTTGCTAAGCGAGGCTTTGACGTGGCGTCTACCGTGGGAACCAGTCATACCCGTTTCGGGATGGAACGAGCTGTGAAGACCGTCTTGCGAAGATGCAACGACAGCATGGAGCCACTCAGTCGGGCCGACCTTGACGTTGGTCAGTGAGCCTCTCAGTCGATCGTAATATTGTGAGTATGCGAGCAGACCAAGCGAAATGGTGATGACGATCCAGACGGGAATGAAAGCGATGTCAACGATCCGAGCGCGCTGAATACTGGGTGAGTCACCTCAATGGAAAGCAAATAATGTCAATGGCATCGTCCGCCAGGGCGCGCGAGTTGGGCAGCGGGATCGAGACTCTCCCTGCTGTGTAGTGCAGTGCCCCATTCCACAGTCTTTGCCTGTCACATAGCGCCCACGTTACGGGCATTAGCCGCGTATTTCTCGACGAAAAAGACTGTGATATTGTTTGAGGGATCTGACGCATGTAGGACAGGTAGTGCCGCTTCCAAGTGCCTGCATATTCCCACACACTTTGGAGCTGAAGACAGCGAAGGGGTGCATTGAACATGAAGTCGAATAAAAAATTTCATGCACTGCTAATCACATGAAGCACTGCACTAGCGAGATGGTCGAGGTGTAAATGGAGCGAGTTACGCGGGGCGAGCTCGAACTGTGACAGCTGATTCAGGAAGATGCTACCACACGCGGTGTAGGTGGCTTTGCCAAAGGTTCCATACGAAGAATTTTACGTCACGCCTTGGTTGGGACCCGAGAGATAGTAAGGTGCTTGATTGTTGAGCTGCAACTTGTTGCCTACGCGTTTCAAACGCGTCACCCTCGAAGTGAAACGAAAGATAGCTTCTATATTCGCCACACCTTCCACCTGTGGCTGCACTTTCCGATACGAGAAACATTGGCGGAGCGTTGGTTTCCTTTGCAACAAATTGATGCAGGGAACAGATATATACCACGTCAGCCGATAGAACCTTCGACTTCAAGGTGCGAATCTGACAATACGCGTAACGGTTACTAGGGAAGTCTCACGTGTACCTTGATGCCGTGATGCTCACCACGTTGCCTTCTAGTACATTGTCTGACTCGCTATCAATCAGGATACCAGCAGGCTTCTGTGTCTGGCGCTGTTCGGAAACAAAGCCGCCACGAACTCACCCCCACAGCCAGTTGGAATTCAATCTTAAGTTTGGAACTGCCGTTCGTGCGATGAGACCTTCCTTATAATCAGGAGATAGAGCGCTACATAAGGATTGCAGGGTGAGACCTTCATTTGGAAAGTTTCGATGAGCAACCAGGGCCGCTTCCTGCAGGTGTTCAAATCATGTACCCCGTTCATCATGCTTGCCACACTACGCTAACCCTCCGACAGATAAGAAAATCGCCTTTCTGTGCATCATGTAATCGTACTCACACTGAAGAATGGGTCACAGCGAGAAGGCCTGAGTGCATATCCAAAGGGGTGCACTTGAGGAGCCATCGATGAGCAACGGGCTAGAACTGCCGGGGTATTTTCTGATAGGAAAGCTCGTCCAGGACTGACGAGAACCTGCACATGAACTGCCCATGAAATTCTGTAAGGCCCACGAAGGAAACTACATGCGCGTTAACGACTTGAAAACACTGCCTGCGGTGCAAGAAACCTGTGCCTTACCGTGGAATTAGAAGAGAATGCGCCTACTGCTGATATTGCCGTCCGAGTCCACTCTATTTCAAACTGGCCATGAGCGGGGCAATAACACCCGAAGTCTGCAGAATAACCTTGCATGTTTGAGACGGCGTACTTTGCGATGGAAAGAGGCTCAGCGCATTGACCGCGTATGTGAATCTCATGTTCGGGCTCACGTCGAAAAGGTAACCGTAAGGCGATGGGTATCACGCTGAAGGTTGATTCTGATGTGGGCCGAGTCGACTGCCATTGGGCCCGACGGGTGCAACACCTTATATTGGTTTATGGAGTCATGTTATTGGTAGTCAAGGCAAAAGGTCCATCAAAACTATGTACACCAAGATAACTACCCAAGAACACGACTGGTGGGACAGTTTACACTGAAGCGCCTTGTTTGAGGGAGTCTTGCAACTTGGCCAGGTGTCTGCCCGCCATGGGCGAGATTTAGTCAGGACATGGTGTAATGAGAACCCCATTCTCCAGACTTGCAGGCAAGTCGTGAGAAAGAGTCGACTGTGGGTTGTAAAAGCTTTCCGTCCAAGACTCTTAATACGTTCTAAGGGCCGCAGTGAAGCCCTGAATCCAAACAAAATCCATGTGCGAAGTGCAAGCCGTGAGTACACAGCCATCCTCCGGCTCTCAGCTCTCTCACTCGCCACCGCGCAAGGTTGGGAGAGGGTTACCGTTCCGTCAGTTGCATTCGACAGATACGCAGCTAGAACAGGCGGGAAAAGAGCGCAGGTGTCAGCTACTCAATTAGCATACGCAATGTTGAGCTACAAGTACACTAACGTCAAATTCAGCCAGCGTCTAAAGAACGACTGTGATAGCCATCAAAGCGTGCCGATTGCCACAGCGCTCTTACAGCGCCACATGTGCAATTTTAAGAAAGCACCCACTCTTTTTCATGTCCGTCGGCGTCAGCAACGTGGTGAAAGCTGGGGCAACGAAGAAGAACCCAAGCCACAGCGTGAAGGTGAAAGTAACCAGGTTAACTTTCTTCTGTGCTGAACATATAGCCGGCACGTCGAAGCTCCGACCAGCCCCACGCCTGCCTGTCCTGTGAGATACCCATCATACTCTTAAATACAGACATTACGCGAGAGCTTCCCTGCTGATGAACTATGTGCACCATCCGTCGCATGTGTAAATGGGAGAATCTCCTCTCGACTGAGTAGGCAAGCTTTATGGCGTCTGGCGTCTGCCGACTGCGAGTCTGTGAGACATTTTGTCGGCGAGTGTAAATGAACTCCCTTCGGCTCTCATTTGGATCCAAATTGCGCTGGCCAGCACTGCGCTTTGCGCAACAGAGCCTTGCCGCGTGCGCAGTCAGGGCTGTGTCTTCAAAGAGGGCTCGGAGACTCCGAAAATTGCGCCATCTCGCCCACTTGTGCCTTTCGGGCAGTCTCCAAATGCGTTGGAATTGTGAGAGCGATCTAGAGCTGTGAGTGGATTGCGGACTGCCGGCAGATGCGCCATCCGAAGCGGTCCCGTCAGCCTAGTCACATCTCATCCTTTAATTGGTGCCTGTGCCTTGTGGCAAGCTTGCTCGCGTTCGCCTACTGGTCCGTTCTATTGTTATACTACTATCAATGTCTCCATGGTAGCAGGTCTCCCGACGTTGACTTGGACGCTTTTTATAATTACAGGGTCAGCTAAGCACAACCAGTCGGCGTAAATTATGTGTAATAGGCTAGCAACTGAGCAGCAAAAGTGAGCCTCGCGGAAGATGGCATCGTAAAGCAGGTGCATGATGAAATGATGGCATGGCGATAGGTTGGACGCACACACAAATGACCTTTCCAGGCTTTTCCTCCTTACAAGGGATTCATATCAAGAGGCATTCACGTGCGGCTTTCGGCATAAAAAGCAAAGTCACTGATCAGTCTCGGTGCCACAGGCCAAACCAGGTCGACTGAAACCCGCGATAGACGAGCTTGTTGCTATGTGCTTCCCACTAGCTTCAGTAACAGAGCCCGTTTTGGAGTTAGGTGCATCAGGGTCACACTGTTCCATGTTTCTAATCTCTTCGCACCTCCAGCACGATGGCTTCGCATGTCGCACACCCTCTTCAGCTTTTGTCTTGGGTTCCGCCTTAACCTGAGTCTCTATTCTCTGCCCTTAACACTCGATGGTATTCGTCACTCTTCGTTCCACTCCAGCCATGCCGTGTTCTCATCAGCGCTCCATTTTCTACTGGTCCACTCTGTGTCGGTCGCATTTCAGCTCTCATGCAGTCGTATTTGGAAAAGATGCTGACAACTCTCGTCTGGCGTTCGCTAGCCTAAGAGGCGTGCAAGGGTCGAGAGGGTGCACAAGCGGGACGGGGGAGTGGAGCTTGGCAGCATCTTATGGCGTTACCATGTGCGAACGGCAGTAGCAAAGAGTGCGTGTACATGCCTCCGAAAGCTTCGAAGCACTCGCTCGACCCAGCTTCTTTCAAGGATTGGGATATATACTGGGGTTTTCGCTGACCGCACCAAGTGGGTCGCACTGTGCCCAGTGCCAAAGCCCAAGTTAAAGCTCGAAGAGACAAGGCGAGCAATCCGGTACGAGGTACGAGAGGGTGACCACATAGCGTTTCTCAGGGGGAAATGCTGCCTGACCCTATGTAACATTATAACTGCGTTGGTGTCAATGCCATTGTGCCTTATGTCTTCAGCGGAGGCTCACTAGTGCGTTCCCATATGGATAGAAGCATGAGAGCCTCTTTCCACGTATGAAGCGATGCGATTTCAATACTGGCAAGTCAGCGCTCAGTTCCGTCTCCTAATAGAAATGTGCTTTCCAAGGTGGCAACGTTTCCTTCCTGGTTTCGCCCCATCGTGCTTGATCGTGACAGTGCGAATGCAGCGCAACCATTTACGTCTCTCAATGCTTGTCTCACATTCTACGCTTCAGTTTCGATTGTAACAAGTTAAACCATCTTGAAGCCCATCTCCGATGCAGCGCACATGTAGACCCGCTTCTGAGCACTATGCTACACCTCGAAGAGCCGGCTCATCGCCTGATCTTGTTCGTTCTGTATTCGCGATCATCTTCCTCCGCTGCGCCTCTCTTTCTCGATGATGGCTTCCCAGTTCCTGCCACAGATCCAGGCGCAAGTGCCGATCCATGCACGCTGTCATCGTCGTAATTCAGCTGCTCTTCGTCCGCATGCTGCCGGCCAGCACGTCGCTCGGCACGCTCGCGATCGCGATTCCGGCCAGCACCACTGCGCCTTGATCCGTTCCCGTTTTCCTCATCACCCCCCGGCGTCAAAGAGCCCTCGCGGCTATCCCGCCCGCGACTCGCGGGCGGAGAGGGTGGAGATCGCCTCGCGCGACTCTTACTACCCGTACCATGGTCGGCAGAAATGTCGCGGTCGTGATCCCTCCCGCCTGTGCCAGGCGAGCCAGGCCACTCCATTTCCGGGCTGCGCTCCGATATCCGGCGGCTGCGAGTGCCAGCTCCGCCAGTGGCGATGGAGCCCTCACGCTCGAGCTGGTCCGCTTCGCCGTCGCGCAACGGCCGCTGCGGCCTGCGGCCCTTGGGACCGGTCGGCACATTTGCCGGGAGCAAAGTGTCGCGGTCGCGTTCCTTCTCACGGTCCGCTGCTGGACCGCTCGGCGGGGGCCGGTCGAAGAATGGCCCTGCACCGGAGCTGGGGCCTGACGGCAGTGCTTGCCGCGCACTAGGTCCTGTTGGTGCCCGCACGCCAGGTGCAGATGTCTGTAGTGCCGCATAACAAACAATGAGATACAGAACATTTGCAGACGAAAAGCAGTGTGAAGACTTACCTCGCCCGCCTCTCGCCCATTGGTCTCGCCTTCATTCCCGTGCATCTCACTGTCGCCGTCTAGGGCACATCTGTTGTCCATGCTAGGAGGAGGCCCAAAGTGACCCGGTCCGCCATGCGGTCCTCCGAAAGGCATCGCTCCAGGTGGGCCTCCACCGCCTGCACCCATCATCGCGGCCATCATCTGTTCGGGCCCGCCCATCTGTTGCTGCATCTGCGGAGGCATCTGTCCAAACATCGCTGCCATAGTTGCCATATCTGGTATGCTCGGCATCCCAGGCATGCCGGGTACTCCAGGCATACCGGGTAACCCAGGCGGCATACCGGGCATCCCCGACATCCCCGGCATCCCCGGCATCCCTGGTGACATGCCCATCATAGCTGCGGCAAATGGATTCATCCCTACTGCGCCAGACGAGACGGGCCCGCGCATTGCGTGCGCCATCGAGTTTTGCCATCCTTCCATGCGCTTCTGCTCGAACTCGCGGCGCTCCTCGATAATCCGCCTCTTCTTCTCGCCCCATCGCTTCCAACTTTCCTCATCAAATCCATAGTTGAAGTAATCGGTTAGATCCGTACCGGCGCGACGCCAAGGCTTCAGATCCATCGTCGTTGGGTCGAGGTGATATACTGTGTCTCCCGGCTTGCCGTCTTCAATAGCCAGCTCTTCGGGTGAAGGTGTGAGGCGCAGCACTGGCGCGGTCGAAGGCGCGTGAGGCGGTGGACCCTCTGGAATCTCGCCGTGCTCTGGCGCCTCTTGTTGCTTTCCTTCTGATACCCGGTTGGCAGCCACAGACAGAGGCACCGATGGGGCTGCACCAGGAGCATTCGCAGCTTCAGGGGCTGCAATCAACTGCGATGGTGGTTGTCCCGGCCGTGGAGGTAGCACGCCCCGTGCTAGCGGTGTGTACTCATCAGTTAGCGCTGGCGGTTGCAAACAGCAAGGGGGGGGGGGTGAGCATTGAGCCACTTTGACTTGGCAGCGTGATACGCTGGCCCTCACCTATTTGGCTTGCACGGTTTTGTTGATTTCGGTCGTATCGCTGATGCTGACTGGATTGTGACGGCGGTCTCGCAGCGTCTACCGAGTTGTCGATGATGATCTCGAGATCGGAATCGCTGTCCTCCTCTTCCCCTTCTTCGTCCTCCTCTTCCTCTACCTCTCCCTGGGCATCTTCGTCCCCAATTTGGGAGCCACCAGCATTTCCTCCTGAGGCTGTGGCCTGTTCCGGTGCAGGCACATTGTTCGAGGAAGCTACTGCGTCCTTTTCGGTGCCTTGTGCAGGTGGAGCTTGCGCAGTGGTTGTGAAGACTTCGCCGGTAGCGCCGGCAGAGTCGCCATAAAGAAAGGCATCTTCGTCATCCATCGCGAGCTGGGAGAGACAACAATTCTTGCTGCGCTCCTCCTGTAGCCAGTCTTAAGCCCCGGACAATTAATACAGCGTGTTTCTACCAGCGTATAATAATTGCATGCCTTCGAGGCTCGACCAAAACAACGAACTGAACCCAAAGCAATCATCAGAACACGCAGATGTGTCTGATGATTGTATTGAAAGTCAAAAGGATGAGCGGAGCGGAGAGAAGAAACAAGGCAGGTTGATAACCCTATTCTTTTATTAAAAGTGTTTTAGAATTCCACACTTTGGACCGACTCGACCTCGACCTTCAGTCTCTCTACTCTACAACAGGCGGAGCTCATGAAAACCAATCAATGTTGTTACAGTTGAGGTTGATAATTCATCGTGTTACCTCTTTCTCTTCGCACCAGAAAACGGAACCCCGCCGAGGCAGACGACGCACCGAGCCTTTGCTTTGATACCAGAGATGTCGCAAAACGCAAGCTCGGCTAGCGGTGTCGCCATGGCCAGCCCATTCAACCTGATGTGGCTTATCAGCGTGTCCCTCGATGGTCCGCTCGCACTTCTCGGCCTCTTCTTCACCACGTCCTTGCCTTTGGTCGAGATGACGAACACTACGATCGTCTTTGCAAAGGTGCAAACCCGCAGCAGATCCTAATTTAGTAAGCCTTGCGAATGAATCGCTGACGCGAACGCCTCCTGCTTCCTCATGCCCTTCCACGTCCAGCTGCTCTCCATCGTGCTACTCGCTCTCAGCGTAGCCTCCATCCTCGTCGCAGGCCTACCAGACTTCTTGCCAGGCAAGCGTGCACTGGCACTCGTTCTCGTCATCTACCACGCGGGTTTCTCGACTATCCTCCTTCAGGCGCCTCGTTTCGTCCCCGTATCCTTTGGCGATATGGCCGAAAGGCTGAACATCACGCCGGAACGGACGCTGGGCTGCATGCATGGTGTTGTTGCACTACTTGTAACAGGCTGGTGGCAGGTCACCCTTCCGGCGGTCGCGGCGGCGAAAGCTGGCAAGCCCGTGTGAACGAGCTTATCGGCAGATGTGCTAGGAATTAAATACCAGCACACGTGATCTCAAGGACTGAACCACAATCTATCATCTTCTGCTTGATGTGCCCCGTCCTACTCTTTCTGCTACCTGTGGCCGAAATGAGACTCGAAATGCGGTGGTGAGCATTCCTGCTAGCGTGGATTGGCTTTCGTAAGCGCCGAGTGAATTACAGACCAAGGACCCTCGGGCAACCTGCCTCTCTGACGACTGCAGATTGTTGATGAGGGCGTAACGATATGGCCCATGGGTAGCAGCAGGAATCTAAAGCTACATATAACCCATCACGATCGCGCGGAGCCGGTAGTCATCTATTCGCGTGCTTGCCCATCAGCATCTATTCGCGCTGCCCTCGACTGACTTTCTCGAAATCGATATTGGAAGCCGACTGCAGGGCTCTTGGTCGCTGCTTCTAGCTAATACATGCTTCCTCTCCTTGTCCCTTCTTCCACGGCTGCTGCAAAGTCTTAGCCTTTTGAAATAGGCGCCTCGTTCCATGGTCTCGTTGGTTTGCCGCTGGCTGACGTGCCATGCTCGGACTCTGCCCTACTGCAATCTATGGATGCCTCGACGAACTTGCTTCGCGCGCGATCGACGCGCAGGAAACCGTGCGATGTATTTTCTTTGAGTGTTCCACCGGAGTTATAGATAGGACTATCCTGCCCGGCGTAGACGAGCAGGTCACACAGCAGGAAGTCGATAAGGCCACACCAGATCGTTCCGATGATCGGTCGGTATAGCCAACAGAGCTGATTGTGCGTCCAGAGCTCAGTTGGAAAGCCAGTGGCCCAGAGAAAATGGGCAAGCCTAGGTCACGACAGCGATTGATGGAATAGCCGGTCTACCAATCGAACGACACACCGCTGAGCACGGCGCTAGCAACAAACTCGTTGACACGGACGCGGTGGGCGCCGCTTGGGCCTATGGGATGGCCACAAAGATACCCGCCGTTGCATTCTGACCTTTTAGGGTTCGCAAGGAGACGCCGCCTTCATAATTGATATGACTAAAGAAACGCATGTCGAGCGATCGACGTCAGCGTTGCCCAATGACGACCTTAAGTCCTAACTCAACATTATATTCACAAGGCAAGTGGATGTCATAGGTCATCCCCGCACCGCAAAAAGCACCGAGGAGCTGTGCGAGGATGCATCGCTACACCAAGCGCCACGGGAAGCCGCGAAAGACGGCAAGACTGATAGAGATGGCCGGATTGGCAGGCGCTCTCGGGGCGCCACCTGCGATGTTGATCATGCATAACGGCGAGGCTACTGGCGAGCAGGACTAAGGACTATGAACAGCCAGAATGTGGATGGAGGGCGCGTTGTGTTTCCGATAAAGCTCACCAAGCCTAGTTCGTGCTATCATAGACGCGACTCACTTCCGAAGTCTGAATGTCTGCGAGGGTCTCACTTACGCAACGGCACCTTCCTGAGTACCTGCATGCATTCAGCAGCAGTCAGACGCGGGAGTCCTGTCGTACTAATCGTGTTCGCACTCTCTCGCAGCCAACAAGCAAAATCACGCTCACATAGAATTCTGCCAGTGCCTCTCTCTGCCTCTAGCGAACCTTAAAACAGAAGTTGACCTCGACCCTTGTCTCCACTTCCTCTTCCGAGTCTTGCTCGCGCATGTCATTCTCGGCTGACACGACCGAGTTGCTCTGCTGCGATGATTCCCATTTGCCCCTCCTGCGCTACCTGGCGCCTCCTCCATATCTCGACCTTCGAGTCGATATGCCAAGCTAACAGTGCGGTCTAGGAGAGACGAAGACCCACCAAGTTGTGTGTGCGAGTCTTCTCCGTATGCGGAGCGCTGAGGCGTGAGCCCAGATACGGGACCTCCCGATTTGATATCTTGGCGGCAGCCACTGCCGGCGGTGGGACCACTATGATTCATGATTCCACACGCTGCAATGGCACTTCTTCAGGTTGAGATTTGTTCCCTTTGAGAGCTTGCTCTTCGGATTGCTGCCTCCGAACCCTGCTCTGCTCCTGGCCCTGCCCCTGCCCCTGCTATAGACGGCATCCTATCTGGCCGATGCGAAGCATCGAGACGACCGCTCGTCCTGCTTCGTACACCTGACCAAGCATCGAGTCCGCCAGCGCTGCGCAAGTCTCCCTGCTCCTGCATCAGTTGTCTTCCACCTAGGCTAGGCTCGTGGTCGTGTTTCAGCATGAGCATGCCTCTTCGGGCGACCTGGACACCAAGTTTCCGTCGCCCTCTCCATCGCCCCTTCGTTTGGAGCCCTCATGCGCTTCCGCTTCCAGCTCGCGGGCAAGGCCGTTGCTGAAGGACGCAGCTGTCTCTCCACCTACCCTGCCCTGCTCTTCCTGCGCGAGCGGGCAGCGTCTTGCACCAGCTCTTGATGCCCTTTCCTTAACTGGGCGAGACATTCCGCGTGACCGAGTTGGAGGCCTTGTTCGCGGGCACGCGCCTTTAATTCGTTGATACCGCTTCTTGCCTCTGCGAACGTCGCCGTATTGAAAGGGCTCCATCTCTGACGTATGAACGGCGTGTCGAAGGATGAGTTCCTTCCAAGACGTTTTGCAAGGACGTCTGATTGAGCTTGAGCTCTTTATCGGGTCCATCTCAGCCTTCGAATTGACGCGGCGATCTTAGGGCTCGTGAGCCGCTTGTGAGGGTCGCGGCAGCCGGGGAGGCGAGACCAGAAGGCTCTGCAACCTCCTCAATGCTCGGTTCATTTGGCAAGGCAGCTCCGTCACCAAGAAGGCACTTCCAGGATTCGCATTTTCAACGCTGGAGAGACTGCCTGAAGCTCATCAACATTCTCCGCCGAGCTCTTCACGCTTGAGGTAACTGGTTCTTGCTGAGGCTCCGATTTCGCTATGCTTGCTTGATTCTGTTTGCCTTTTGTCAGCTCGTTCTCGTCGCCGGACTTAGTCACACACTCTTGCTCTACACCACTGCAAAGATTATCGCCGTAGTCAGCCTGTTGGAACAACTGAAACAATGAGTTGATTAGGTAGAGCGACGTGCTTCATGTACGAGAGAATCCTGTGGAAGGCAAGGAATGCAGATGGGACCAGACGATGGTGGCAAGCAGCAAGTGTTCATATGATCAGTCATTGAGCGAGGGTGAAGTTTGCATGGGCTGCATGAGCGATGGGGACACTGCAGGCGAGTCTTGGTATTAATGGCTCTGGCGAATGGCATGTCCGGTCCAGCAGTTGCGAATGCAAATGAGGGTTCATGGTCTTTACTGCCTATTGGGGTCCACAATGCCGCCGCCGTCATGGCCGAAGGAAAAGTGGAGAGGAACAGCTTTGTTGCGGCTACTTGCTAGCCCCCTTGCCTGGAACAGTGCAGGTACGCCGAGCTTCAGGATATGTACAAGGATGCAGTGGACCATGGACAATTCGGATCTTTGACTGAATTGATGAGGTCAGGGAGCGCTTAAGAACTTCAACCCCTCTTCAGCAGCCCACAGAGACCACAAGCACCAATGAGTCGTGACACGGCGCGTGGTTGGCGCACGTAAGTCAAGCTAATTCAGTCGCAGTTTCTCTCATCTGGCTCGCAGTCTCGCACTCTTCTCACGTTCCCGCCAATTCAAATGGAGGACAAGCCGATGCGATCTGCTCGGAAACACATGTGCAAGGGGTCCCTCCTTCATTCCCGTTTAAGTCCACAGTAAGCGATATGCTGCAGATATACACCGAGTGGCGTATCACTCTAGCTCGACCTTCTCGATGTCCCCTTCCTCCGTGATGGCCCGGCTTGGCCGCCAGATCTGGACGACGTTGTCCTCCGCTGCGGTGACCATGTGCCACGGGTCGTGCGGCGACCAGCAGATGTCCTGTACCCGGTGTGCGACCGCGGAGTGCGAGGAAGAAAAAGCAGTCAGTCCTCTCTGGTCAACAGCGCGGCACACCATACGGCACTCCACACTCACAGTCGGCCGAGCCGTGTGACCACCATGCTGGAAAAGCAACTCGGGCGGTCCGTCTTCGGCGTCGTCGGGTGTTTGCTCCGCCCCGATCAAGCTCAGATCCCAAATATTCACCCTCCGATCCGCACTGGCGCTCGCGAGGACCGTCTCGTTCGTTGGCGAGAAGGCCAAGCTAAGGATCTCATCCGTGTGGCCCTCGAGCGCGTGCAGCGGGTTCTTGAGGTTGCGCAGGTCCCACAGCCGCACCGTCTTGTCCGAGGAGCCCGTGCAAAGGATGTACTCGTTGGCGGGGCTGAACGCCACCGCGTTCACCTCGCCTGTGTGCGCCTCGACGCGGTGCTTAGGCTTCTCAGGCGTTTCTCGCGTGTCCCACCTATCGTCACAGCCACACGAAAGCTCCAACAATGTCAGTCCTTGAGGAGCTACCAGGCAGCAGTGGGCGAATAGAATAGTACTCACACGAGCATCTGTCGATCGTCGCCCACCGAGACAAAGAGCGTTTGCGAAAAGTTGTGCCATGCACAGTCCTGTCAGAAGCGGTTCAATGTTAGCAGTCCTTGACTACCACAAGAAAGCCACTGTTCATACGCACCTCAACAATGGCCGAATGACCTTTGAACTTGGCCAGCGGCTCCAGAGTGCTGTTGCCCTTTTGATACTTGTTGATATCCCACCACGCGACCGTTGTGTCCTCGCTCGCGGCGATGATCTCGCCCTGCTTCTTGACATTCCATGCGAGGCCATACCCTTCTTTCTTCTGTCCCGTCAGGATGATATCCGGCCGGCACTTGCCGTCCGGCGCGGGGTTGCTACTGTGCTTTGTCCGGTCGAAGATCCATGTCGCGCCCGTCAAGGAGCGCGTCGCGATCAGGTCCGGGTTTTGCGGGCAGTAGCGTGCGCGGTTGATCTCGCCGTCGTGGTTGATGCGCTGGATGATCTTGACGCGCGCTTGCGTCCCGCCATAGCTGCCGATCTCTGCGAGAGCGAAGATCCATCAGTCCCACAAGAAGAAAGCGGACACTCAAGACTTGCGATGCAGACCGATGCTCACCTCCTTTGTCATCATCGTATTTGGCCTGGTCGAGCTCCTCGTTCGCCAGCGGAAGCTGCACCTGGGCGATCTGCAGGTAATTTTGATCTTGGCCCGAGGTGTGTGTGCCGAGCAAGATTCGATGTGTCGAATAGCCCTTTGTGGAGGTTCTGAGCATGCATCACGACAACGTTGGAATCAACGTCAGCGATCACGTCTGTTATTGCCCCCAATGAGATCAAACTGCTCACGTGTCTTTGTCTGGAAACCACTGGGTAGTGAGTGTCGGCCATTCGAGCGCATGGGTGACGACCAAGTCGTAGAGGAATGGCGAGTTCTTTTTCCAGACTGGAAATGCGAAAAACGGAGAAGTGAGAAGGACCCTTCAACAATCCTCGGACACTCCTCTCAGCCATACGTCTGACAGCTTACTTTTGTATTCCTACCGGGTGGGAAGCAAGACGCAAGAAAGGGAGCAGAGGCATAAGTCAGTCACATGGAACGTATCAAAACCAAGCAAGACCTGGTTCGACCACGATGCCTGACCAAGCATGCAATGCGTCATGAATCACTCACCTCATTCGATATCATGGCGGCGTTCGCAGCCGCCTCATCGTCTTCCATATCGATGTGCGACATGTTCGGGCCTTGCACGTCAGAAGCGGATCGCTCAACCTTTTGAGAGCGGGAGAGTGTGCTGGGATCCAGGAAGTTCCATCCGATTCAGCAATCCGTTTATTCGCGGGGCTGCGTTCAGGTCGTCGATGTGGATATGTAAGTGATGAGCCCGAGAGGAGGCTGGGGCAACTCGAGTGTCGATGGCATGCTGTGAGAGTGAGAGGTTTGCGACGAGGGAGACGTCCTGAGACCGCCTTTGGCACATGCCGGCGAGTCTCAGCTCGCGTCCGTCCTTCCCACACAGAGGGACACGCGTGGCGCGACACCAACACGTCTTGCCTTCTTTCTTACATATTCTTGGAAAAAGAAAGAAGTGCACGTGAGAGCGCACAACGCGTCAGCGCAAAGCGCGAAGGGGCGCGCGCGCACTGAAGGGACTGCACAACAACACAGTTCACCTCCCGCCGACGGTTAAATGACCCTTTTCCCTCTGCAAGCTCACCACCATACACCACACACATGCGTGCCCTTTTACACACCGACTATACTCACACTCTCGCCATCACGCCGGCATTGACACGGGAGCTCAAGGCGGGTCCCTCCCACTGTCAACTGTCGCTTCGCCTCGGTAGGGTCGTCACCGCCACCGCCGCCAACACCACCTGCTCGCACGACGTCAGCTCTACCAAACCTTTGTCTGCATTCGACATCTGGAGAGAGTGAAACACGTGCTACCGGCTACCGCAGCAGTGCCAGGCCATGGGCGACGCTCAACAACCCGAGGTAGAGGGCGCCACAGAGGAAGAGTACCTCGAAGCTGGCGGCCCACTGCTGGTCAGCAAGCTCGAGGTTAGTCCGCCGAGGTGACAGGGCCAACCATCCTTCCCATGTCATCTGCCCTCATCCCGACCGCATATAGGCAGGGAATGCTGACGCTCTAGCACGCATGCATGCATGTTCTACTTCCACTGCCAGGAATTCGGGATCAGCGCGTCCGACTGCCGCAAACTCGCCGAGTCGGGCTTCTACACGATCGAGGCGATCGCTTTCACGCCCAAAAAGGCACTGCTCAACGTCAAAGGCATCTCGGAGGCGAAAGCGGACAAGATCCTTGCGGAAGGTGAGCAGACACGAATTCTGGTGCGGCTCATTATCTGGCTGGTTCCCTTTCCTGCTTTGCGTCACCCAGGAAGTCTGCTTGCTGATTGCCTCCCCCTGCCGTCACTCCTCCTGCAGCATCCAAGCTCGTCCCGATGGGCTTCACCACCGCGACCGAGTTCCACCAGCGCAGAAACGAGCTGATCACCATCACGACGGGCTCCAAGAACCTCGACGGTATACTCGGCGGCGGCATGGAGACCGGCAGCATCACCGAGCTCTTTGGCGAGTACCGGACCGGCAAAAGCCAGCTGTGCCACACCCTTGCGGTGACGTGCCAGCTACCGATCGACATGGGTGGAGGGGAAGGCAAGTGCCTTTTCATCGACACGGAAGGGACTTTTGTGGGTATCTAGGCCTCATATTTTCCCTTCGCGCTTGGCGATATTCGCCGCTGACTCGTTTCTGTGTATGTGCCCGCAGCGCCCTGTGCGCCTCTTGGCTGTTGCTGAGCGCTACGGCCTCAATGGCGAGGAGGTGCTGGACAATGTCGCGTATGCGCGGGCATACAATGCAGACCACCAGCAACAGCTGCTCGTACAAGCGTCCGCGATGATGGCCGAGTCACGATTCTCGCTACTCATCGTCGACTCGCTCACCTCACTCTATCGGACCGACTTCTCCGGCCGAGGCGAGCTCTCCGCGCGGCAGATGCACCTCGCCAAGTTTCTGCGCAGCCTACAGCGCCTAGCGGACGAGTTCGGCGTCGCAGTCGTCATCACCAACCAGGTTGTCGCTCAGGTCGACGGCGGCGCCATGTTTAGCGCCGACACCAAGAAGCCTATCGGCGGCAACATCGTCGCGCACGCGTCTACCACCCGCTTGGCTCTGCGCAAGGGGAGAGGTTCCCAGCGCATCTGCAAAATCGCGGACTCTCCATGTTTGCCAGAGGCTGATGCTGTCTTCTCCATTGGCCAAGAAGGGATATGCGATCCGGTTGATGGCGCGTGAGCCTCAGAGCCATTCCTCCTGCCCCTTCTCTCTCACGCACGCACTCTCAGATGCACCACATGGATCGAGCACCCGCACTTGCCACCCCCACCACACGTCTATCTGCATCACTCGTTCGCTCGTCCGTAGGCTCTCAAATGTATGTAAGAATTAGCAGCGCAAGATTTTCGACATTTGCTACAACAGGAATATGACAAGCCTCGCGCGAGGCTCGCGTGCTAAATGAGGAATGCCAAAAAGGACAGCGTTGGGGTGTGCGTGTACGGGTGCTTGGGCGTTTGCGTGTGCGCATGCGCATACGCGTACGGGCATATGTGTTCAGTAGGCAAAGCGGATTGAACCTTTGAAATTGTTCACACTCCATCAGGAGTGGCTACCAGTAATTGCAGTGTGTGCGCTGCGTAGCTCCGCTCGCTGCCCTGGTCAATAGAGGTATTCATGTCTGTCCCCGAAAGCAAGGCCGAAGCGGCAGAGCCGCTCTGACGTTGGTATCGTTTTCCAAAGCGAGCACCAAGCATGGCGCCATTGGAGCCTGTTCCTCCATTCATGCGGCCAGGTAGACGCGTATATTGGCTGGTGGAGAAGAGCCATCAGCGCCTTGGGAGGTCATAGGTAAATTTGTCTCCGAGCTGCTGGTCAACCGCTGAAGGACTGCGTCGTTGCGTGTTCCCGAATCGCTGTACGAACTTTGGCTTGGCAAGCTCTCATAAGACGCATGCAACGAGATGCGCGTGCCCTGTGCTGGGCCGACGCTGGCACTCTTGGTCGAAGCCGCAGAGGACGCGGAACAGGCGACAGAAGCTGTACCATAAGCATCCGCCGAGCTGCGTGGTAGTCCATCCGCGCCTTCGATGGGCGACGACACAGTCGGGCTGGACGACCGCTGGCCTCCCCAAGCGGCGACAGGCAAGCCTGAGGAAGAGATCGGCGACATGGAGCGTGGCATACTTTGGCCGTTGCCGCTGCTGTTACTGCCGCTGAAACTGCCTCGTGGGGTCTGCTGCAAGATGAAAACAGATTCGGATTCGTCCTCTTTCGTCATAATCATCATCTGGTCATCGACGAATGCTTCCGCCTCCGCGAGCAATTGAGCGACTGTGACTTTCTTGGCGCTGTCTAGGCTGGCGTTGCGTGGCTGCTTTGGGCGCAGGCTACTGAAGCGGTTAGGCACGCTCAGCAGAGAGGGCTGAGCAGCGAGAGGATTCTCACCGACCTGTGAGCTGGACGCACGCCTTGTCCGCCCAGCATTTTGGTCGGCTTGGGGTGGCGATAGAGACCGCTTTGCGCTGAACGAGTCTTTCTCCTTGCGGCCCGCTTCGCCAGACGAGGAGCTGCGCAAGCCCATCATCTTCCACAGCGCAATGGACGAGCCGGTACGCCCCCGCAGCGACTTAGCAGGTCCATCGATCGCCGATACTGACTCCGCCTCGAGCGAAGTCGCTTCTGACGTCGGCGAAGACTGCAACAATGCGCGGGTGCCGGTGCCGGTGCGCTCAGCGCCTTTGGCGAGGCCATTTGGAACACTTTGCAGCCCAGGCGCAGGTAATTCTTGTCCAGCAGTGGTGGCAGAAGGAGAGGCAACGAGAGGCTGCTTCGACGGTAATCGCGGCGACACCGAAGAGTCACGGGGAAGCACCTCGGCTTGCCTCGACGAACTTCTGTTAGCACGTTGTAGATGCGTGTCGAGGAGACTCATGTTGCCGAGGCCCCCGTGGCCGGGATAAGGATGTTGGCCGTTAAGCTGTTGTTGCTGCCCCTGCTGCATCTGCATCTGCTGTATGAGGACCATTTGCTGCATCTGTTGCATCTGCTGCATTTTCCCATGCATGTATGACGTAGGGCCTGGCGAGAGCAGCTGCTGTTGTTGCTGCTGTTGCTGCTGCTGTTGCTGCTGCTGCTGATGCTGCTGCTGATGCTCGGCGGCGCCTGCAGCAGACCAGGCCTGCGCTTGCATCTGCAACTGCCTTGCGCGCCGTTTGCGCCAGTCCCAATCCTTTCCCGCTGCAGCGGTGCTCTGCGTGAAGCGCTCAAACCAGAACTCCGAGTTGTCTGTGAGCGTCGTGTTGCTCGAGCTAGAGCCGCCGGACTCGGAGCCACTCCCGACACCGGTTCCCGCGCCCGCTTCAACGCTAATGGTGCCCTTGCCGTTGACATTTGCATTCTTCGCTTGCTGCTGTATCTGTTGCAGCTGAGGATGCGGCAAGAAGCTCGCTCCATTTACGGTCATCCAATCACCACTGGCACCCGCGTCGCTCCTTTCTGCGGCTGTCGCGTACACGATGCCACTGCCGTTGATATCGCCGAGCGGCACCAAGGCGGCCCCCTTGCCGGCGGCAGCCTTCGCCTGTACCGCAGCATGCATCGCGAATGCAGCTGTCTGCTGCCGTTCACGCGCGCGCTCGTGCACGGAGACGTACGGTGCCCAGTTGGGCTCGGTGAGCTTGATAATACGCGGGCGCTTGGTGGGCCACAACTGGTTGCTGACGCTAATGCTGTTGATACTGGCAGAATTGAGCTGCGTATGCGTCGGCGGAGGCGAGGCTGTGGAAGGCGTACTGCCGAAGTGATCCTTGAGCCACGAGGAGGCCATACCGTCGTCACGGCCACCGCTTGCGGAGTCGGCAAAGCTTGAGGGCGACACCTGGCCAGAACCAGTGCCAGCATTCCCAACTGCTGAATTGGCCAGAGCGTACACGTCCGTCGAACTCATTGACGCTCTCAGCCCCATGCCCAAACCACCGGCACTGGCACCAGCGACAACACTGAGCTGCGATGCCTTGAAGCGCTCCGGGGCGCGCTTCAGGATCGGCGTCGGCAGCGTCAACTGCAGCGACAGTGCGGTGCTATTGCGCTTGAGTGCTCTGCGGCCAGCTCGACCTGCTGTTCTGGGTTTGCTGACGTTGTCAGCCCTGTCTGCCTCGTCAAATGAAGAGTCCGTCTCGGTCTCGGTCTCGGTTGACGTGTCGTCGTCCATGTCGAGTATCCTGGCCCCTGCGCCGCTGCCGTTAGGCGATGCGCCGAGTTGCTGCTGCAGGCGCACTTTGCGCAGCGGCGAAGCAGACAGGCGCCCGCGATTGGCGCGGCGTGCGGCCGCAGTGTGCTGGCCGACGACGGTGCTCTTGACCACCGGCGCACTCTGTCTGCGCCTGTTCGTCAGCGCCGCTGGCGTGGATGGCATCGCGGTGGCTCTCGTGCCTGTGCTTGGAGACGCGGGTGCTGGTACCGGAGCGGAAGTGGAGGTGAACGTGGACGCGGATTCGCTCCTGCTCTGTGCATCGTAGCCATGCGCGCTGCCATTCGCATTTATGTCCGCATTCGCGCCGCCCTCGCCCCCGACTTGTGCGTCGTCCGGCAACGTGTTCGCCGTTGGGGATAATGCTGAGCCTTTAGGAAGCAACGACGAGGAAGATGGGGAGGGGGCGGCAAGCAGCCGCCCGCTCTCCCTGCGCCTGCGGCTCGTCGAGACATTGCCGGCAGACACGGGTGTGCCATCGCGCCGTAACGGATCGAGCGGGGGCGCAAGCTGCGCGTGCCCGGCCCTCGTGGTGCATGCACTGCCACTTCCTGTGTCACCACCCAACACAGTCGCGCCAGTCGCCTTGGGGTCGACACGCGCGAGCCCGCCGCCAGGCTGCAATGCGAGCTGGATCGGCGCGATGCATAGCACGCTCGTTGGGTCCGAGCTGGTGATGCGCACGATCGACAGCGTCGCAGCGTGTGTATGTGCCTGGACCGATGCGGATGTGGATATGGACGCAAGGACAGGCGATAAGTGCTTCGAGGGCGGACTAGGCGGGAGGTCCTCTAGCGTCGCACTGCGCGCTGCTGTTGCTGATGATGCTGGTGGTGGTGCCGCAGCCGTGCTCGCATTGCCGGCCGCGTCGGCCGGTATTATGCCACCTGTGGCAGCAGAGAGCAGGCGCCTGATGGAGCCAGTGCGGGCTAGAAACGTCGTCCCCTCCGCGGCCGTCACGCCCGGGATCATCGGCGAAGACAGCGCGCTGTCCATGCCACTCTCCATCGCAGGATTACCAGAGGCAACAACGAGCGCAATCATTTCGCAGTCGTTGTCGTCATCATCGACAAACGCCTCGTCTCCATCGTCCTCCTGTACCACCTCAACGTCGTCCGCTGCGCGCTTTGGCTCGTACGCATCCAAAGGTAGCGGCACCACCGTCGTTCTCGAGCGAGCCAGCGAGCCGTGCCGCTTGACTGCCGTTCGACGCAACAGGAGAGTCAGAAGGACTGTGGCTGTTGCAGGAGTCAGTCAAGGTGCAGTCATAGCCGGGGGGGAGGGAAGGAGAGAGAGAGTCAGAAAAGGTGAGGCTCAACATGCGCGATCCATTCCCATGGCGGTTCGCAGAGGCTGCATAGCATGTGCTCACCAAAAGCAGCACCGATCAATATGAGTGCGTCCTGCATGCCCAGCTGCGCAATACCGCCCGCTGCAGCCGCTGCTCCGCCTCTGCCTCTGCCTTGTACCCACCCTATACGGCGGCCACGGCCGCCGGCGTAGTTGAGCGCGGCAGCAGCGGCGTGTCCTTTGCGCTGCACATCCTGCATCGCGGCGAGGAAGCGTGTGCGTGGTGTCAGCGCTGTTCTGCCTGTATGATCGCTCAGGGCGGAAGACGGGTAGAGCGATGAGGCGAACGGGGCGTGGTGCGGCGCGTCGACGGCGCCGCGTGCGCTATCGGCCAGGGAGCCGAGGAGCGCGAGCGACGCGAAAAGAAAGCGCACCGAGGGCATTCCTTGTATCCCTCCACTCTCAGCCGGCAGCATGCGTGCCCGCATTCGCGCTCGCGTCCGCCTTGCCAGGTTGTCCGGAATTGATAGCAACTGGCCTTGCAGCTGCCCCACATTATGCCGACGCACATCTCTGACGACGCCACGGGCCTGCTGTGCATCGTACGCTTGCAGAGACGACACCCGCGACCCGTGTTCATCTTGCACTTGCTCACGTCGGATCACGGCTAGCAGCGACGGCCACAGCTTGCGCTGCCGGACGTTGAGCGCGCGGCGGAGCTGCTTTGACGGGGTGTTGCGGAGGCGCGTCGAGGGTGAGGAGGAGAATGATGGCTCCGTGGCGAGCGATAGATGCAGGTAATCAGATGGGGTGCTTATTTGCGCCATTTTTGGATAGGCTCGAGGCGGAAGCGATGATGGGTCGTGAGCCCTTGTCCGAGCTGGCTTCGCGGGGCGTCGCTTGGCTTGGTGGCCGCACCAAGCTGGAACGATCGTACCTTTTACTGGACAAGGTCAATGCTGGCCGAGACTCTTCTAGCATAGCAGTCCCAAGGCGACGGTGGTGAAGTGTCTGATGCACCGTGGGGACCCGTCATCGGGTCAGGATAAAGGATGGATGGAGCTGCTCGGCGCTAGATGGGCCGCCACATTGGAGCCTGCACTCTGCTCGGTGGTGGCGAAGGAGCGTTATTTAACAAGGCTGTGAAATGCTCGCTCGAGATACAGGCAGAACCGCAGAAGCTGGACGGTGTCAATAGGTGGAGAGGGAGTGAAAGAGATCCCAGGGAGAGGGATGCCTGCTGAGTGGAGCAAAACGCCGGTGGGTCAGGTGAGCTGAGCCAGGGTCGATGGGATCGAGCGATGTGTGCCGTCGGGATGTCTGTCCCTTTTGCTCCCCTTTGCTCTCTTGCACCGACGCTGCGAACCAACCTGCAAGCCTGCCAGCATCGCTCGCTCGTTCAGCCGTGCATGCTTGCTTACTTGTTTGGGGTCGTGGGTGCCGACGACGTCCTTACTCCTCCTTCCTTTGGCGGTGAGAGGTACTGGATCCGTCCCCATTCACACACATTCCGTTCAAGCCATGTGCGCTGCAGTACGAAAATGATCACGTGACCATGCATATTCAACGCTGGCCACAGCACGGGGCCCCACCCATCGGCACCTCGACTAGGGGCTCTCTTCTCCCCTGTAATCACCCATGCTGGTTGGTCTATGGAATATGTGGTTCCTGCATGGTGCTCAGACCGGTATGAATCCAGTCATGGTCTCTCCCTACCTTCGTAGAGTATCTCTGCACCTCTGCCCATTCGTATTCGCCTACTCTGAGCGCTGATGCTCGCAGCAATAGGGCCGGTGCATGGTAGGCAGTATTAGAGTAAACTGGCCCAGTGCCCACCCCCGCAGGATCTCACACATCCAGGAATTCAGGGTGAATCATCTTCATATAACCTGGTATTTTTGCAGCCCGCCATAATAAATGAAAGCGTTTAGACAACTTGAGGCAGAAATCACCCAAATATATACAGATCCTCCTTCACACCCCGACCGAATCAGGCGGGCGGATGGATCCTTGTCTCATTGACCTTGGTAACCCGCTCATATCCTTTTACCACAGCACAGCCGATCGCTGCGGCAGCGCAGACGCGCTGATCGCGCAGGGGCGATAGCATCCGTGCTACATCAACCAGACTCTGTTACAGACCATGTGCACAGCATGCCCGCGCTTCGGCACTGCCACACCGCGAGCCACCCAGTCGCGCACAAAAGACCAACGGGGATACCAGATCTTGAGACAACCAACGATCCTCACACCTCACCACCCACGTCGCGCCCGCGCGCATGCCCGGGAGGCCCATCGTACATGCGAAACGCACCGTCGCATGCTGGCCGAGCATGCCCGAGACATATGCGGCTCCGCATCCAACGCGGGTACCGCCCATCGCCGTCGACGGCATCCTCGCCACCGGCGGCAGCAATAGCAGCAGCAGTAGCATCACCATCATCACCCTCGTACTGGCCAATGTGGTGGTAAACCTCTGTAGCCCTGGCTCCCAGCGAAACTGCAACAAACGTCGACCGGCGCCGCAGGCCCGCGTCGAGCCCAGGCACATGGTGCCCTGCCGTACCCGGAGCTGGAGCCACAGCCGTTTCTGCAGCCGGATCCAAAGGCAGACACGCATCCGCCACGTCCTGTTGGTACTCCAGTGTGCTATCTCGTGTGTGCAGACCCGAAATATCAAGGGTAGCGCCCGAGTCATAGTGCCGCCTCGGGTCCCACCACGCGGGCCCGCCCGTCGCGCTATATCCATAGCCGGACCCGGAGCTGTAGCTGTAGTCATAGCCATGATCGAAATGTGGCTCCTGTTGCTGCACAGCGGCAGTATTTGCCCGAACCCATCCTGCGTTCGCGTTTCCCGCCTTGCTATCGCCATGAGTACCAACCCCAGCAGCGCTAGCATCGCTTCCGGAAACGCTGCCGCCACCGCTGTCGCACGGCACGTGGTGCAAATTGAGCGCTGCTATGCTCTGGCCGCGGAGCGTGTCGATTCCCGCCTTTCGCATCTTGAAGCGCGGTCGCACCGATGGCGCTTTCACTCCAGGCCCAGCGGCGACGGTGATGGCTGTTGTTCCTGCCGACCGGCCCATGCTGTTGCGCGTGCGCCTGTGCGATGCGAGGAGCATAGCGTGCAGTCCCACGAGCGCGACGACGACGTAGATTCCCACGAAGAAGAGAAACATGATCCGTTCCTTCTGCAAACTCTTCTCGTACCCTCCGGCGATCTCGCCCAAGACGCCACCACTCCCGCTCCCACCCTCGCTGCTGTCACCGATTGCTCTGCCCTTGGCCTGTGCCATGATCTCCTTCTGCTGCGACGCGTCCAGCAAGAGCGCGCCGTCATCTACGAGCGGAAATGTGGCGTGTGCGTTGTCCTGGATCCAAGTCAGCGCCTGCTCGATCCCCGCGACCTTGCGCAGCAGGATGCAGTTGACAAACGTCTGAACAGGCGCGAGCAGTGGTGTGTTTGCGAAGGTCGACTGGTGGACGACAAAGTGTTCGAGAGGTACAGTTCGCGTCAGCATAGCGGCGTGTGCGAAGCTTTGCGAAAGAGTTGAGGAAACGACTCACGTTTATGATGTCAGCGACAGCATCTGTAAACTCGTTGAGGGTGTTATTCATTGTCGATGTGGTGATATTTACCCAGGAGAAAAGGACATCGTTGAGATCGCTCTGACGCTGCAGAATCACCGTGTTGGTTTCGTTTGCGAATTGCGCCGATGCTGCACGCATGCTAGCATTCAGGCCGTTAAACATGCCATCCATCGCGTCGTCGAAAGTAGCGCCCACTTTCTGCGACCGCAGGAGTGAGCAGTTTTCAGCCGCAGCCCCTCGTGACACATCTCCCCCCTCCATTTCTTTGCTTATAGTGGCACTCACATCTCGATAGTGCCCCTCGACAGCCTGCAGCGCTAAAATCTGCAGTTGCGTGGTGAGAAGGCCCACCACACCGACCGCCAGAGCAGTCAATGCCGCCGGGTGCGTCAGCCACGCTAGGTACCACCTCGTCGCGTCAAGCTTGCGCTTGCTGCGAAGGCCCACATGACGCCCACCGCACAACACAATGCTGGCAATCAGCGGGTGGTGCGACAGCTGGAGCAGAGAGAAGAGTGAATCATCGTTGTGCAGCCATGATTCCGCTGGCACTGGGACTTGGGTGATAGCAGACAAGTATGCGGATCGAGAGCCGTTGGAAGGCTTCTCGGCCGCCCGAAACGCTTCTCGTGTGCGCTGCACGTGTGTCCGCATGCAGCGCCACACCCAAACTTCCTTCACAGCAATTGCAGACGCGAGCAGCAGAGCGATCGCTGCAATGATTCCAATTCCGAGCCAGGTAAACTTGCGCAGGTCACGCGCAAAGTCGTCCAGTGGCGTGTTGCCTAGCCCGTTGCAAAACGAGGCCAGTGGTGCAGCGGTTGGAACGGGCAAAAGGGACGTATCGAAGGTGAAGTTGTTGATTGCTGTGCGACGACAGTACGCTCAGTACTCTGCTGTGTTGTCCCTCCTGTGCAATTCTATGACCGTGTCACTCACTTCCGTTGACATCCGTTCTGAGCTGGTCGAACGGCTGCGTGATCAGCGCGTCCACCTTTTGCCTAAGGTCGTCTAAAGTCGGTAGCGAGCTGTTGAGATCCTGCAAGCCGGTCAGGAAGCTCGACGGAAGAGTCACATTGTCAAGTGCGCTGGTGAGGTGCAAGCCAGAAGGACTGTCAGCCCACGTGCGCAATTCCTGCTGTGCCGTCCAACTGCCGCACCTCAAATCCGGCGTTGTAATCTGCGGAATGTCGATGCTCTGCCCGACGAGCTTAAGCAGGTCATTGGCTATGCTGAGGACCCCTTTGACAGTGTCATTAATGGCCGTGATTGATGCCTGTACAGCAGCTTTGATGGCGTTTGCCCCGACTTGAACCGCCTCGTTGAACAGATCGACGGCTTCCATTACAAGCGCAAGTGACCCGCGGACAAGCAGCTCGATGACGCAAAGGAAGAGTGAACGGTAGGTGTCGACGATATACACCAACACTGCATCGACGGCGGTGATCCTATGGAAAAAAGTCAGGAGACAGCCCTAGACCAACGAAAATGAGAGGTGCCGTGCTCACGCTAGCATGAGGACCTTCCCCGTGGCTTCGACCGTTCCTTCAACCACCTTTTGCGTCCGTTCATTTGCACGAGCCGCCGCAAAGTGCGGCCAGCTCTGCATCCAAGTGAGCGCGTCTTCCGCCCGCTGGCAGTCGCTCATCAGGGTTGCTTTGGCGACTGCGACGCGCGAGTCGATATCCGCCGAGTTGGCCAGCAGGCGAGCAATGATGAACAGGAGTGAGAGGATTGCGGGCGATAGCATGGCAAGAAAAATTCGGGCCCGCAGGCCCAAGAACGGCTGAAGTCCATTGCGTTGACGCTGATCCGTTGATCCCGGGGAAAGGGCCGAGGGCGTTTGAAGCTCATAAAGCGAACCTACTTTCTCGTCCGCCAGGACTTCTCCAGGCTGTGGTGCAATGAAGGGAGGTGCTCGTGAGTGTGCTGTGTAAGAGGGCGGTGAGTGCATTTCTGAGAAGGAAAACAAGTCGTCACGGAGAGAACGGGTATCCACCAGGATGAACAGGCTGCTCTGCGAACAAATGGTCAATCCGAGTTGAACAATATAGCATTTTCCTACACTGCCGACTACTCGGTGCACATCCGTCAAATCATCACGCCTGCGATGAGTGAATTCTACGCAGCGCACTCGATATTTCGGATCCTACTGCCGTATGAATGTGTAATATGGCAAGGAAAATGTAGTTGCAAGCCAGAGTCAGACTGGCGGTAAGGGCAGCCATGACTCCCACATCTCATCCCTTTGTCGCAGGCATCGATGAATGTCCTTCCCTCCCGTCCGGAGCCTCCAGACGAGCGGTCTTATAGGGCCCGGCCTTCGCGTCTTGTGGGAACCTAGTCATCGAGGTCGGCATCGAGACTGCGGACAAAAGAGCGCATCTGCTGCAGTAGACTGCATTTAACCAAGTATGCTTCGCCGACAAGGGGGCTGATTTGGCATAAAGGGCTCAATGGGGACTTGTGGTATAGATAGATTTGAAGCGGGACAAGGCTCCACAAAAGGACGTGCTACGGTGGCCTGGGCACCCATGACAGGCACCACTGCAATAACCCTAACCCAATCCCTACCATTTACAAGGTTAGAAACTACAATTTGCATCGAGCCACAGAAGGCTAGAGTCAGAGCTCACGCGCTCATGATGATCAAGCCTTGAGCTTGGTCCTCAAATGGTTGCGCCCAGGAATACAAGAGATTCAAGACAATGGGCTATTGCAAGAGTCACAACGCTTTACAGCTTCTCGGATAGGGCCAAGACATCGCCGAGCAGCAATTCCAGGCCTTCTGCAGATCCTTTGCTGGGCCGCAAGGGCCAAACATCAACGGCGCCTTCGCCCTCGATGTATTGCGGCTTAATACACGCGCGTTCGCACTTCCCAAAGCACGTGGTAGTGCTACCCGCGGTGAGAATGCCATGTGTCGCAGCGCAGTACACGACGCGTGTGTCCGCCTTCTTCATGATCTCGACCATCTCGTCGCCAAGTGCGGCATAAATATACGGGTGACTTGGGGCGTCAGCCGCCAGGAGCGCCGTGAGCTGCTAGCTGTGGCTCACTGTGCGCCGCTCGAATTGCCGGTGTGCCGAGCCACTGCTTCATCGTGCCACCCAGACTGCCATGCTTGAGCCACTTGCCTTGCCCTTTACAACGCCCGCAAATTATATATATATATATATTCCGCCAAGCCGTCGAGCCGGGGCGTTATGAGCAAGACCTGGTCGGGTTGTAGCTTTTCGGGTGGGGCCGCGGGCGTAGCCGAGTCATCGTCCTCTGCAAGGACAGGAAGCAGCTCATACAATGCTATAGGTAGGGCCGCAACGAGTCCTCTGCCAGCATTATTAACACAGATGGCCAAAGGGCTTCGGTAAGATGCTCGTCTCATTTCATCAGTGCATTGACTGAGTTGCCGCCGCCGACAATAACCTCTTGGGAATGCTCCTTGGCGTCTGCCCCAATCTCCTCGTAAATTTTGACGATAGCAGGGAAGCTCCTAGCAATGGTGGCTGTGGGTGCGATCTCATGTGGAATCAAACCGATGCGAGCCTTCAACCGCTGCGTCAGCGTCGCGCAAAGTTTGATGTGCACGACGTTAACGGGCATGATGTATCCGCCCCTATTGACGTACATGATCGTTCGCTGTACTTTTTCCACCTTCGGCATCATCTGAATCAGGCGCCAGTCGTTCACGTCGATTCGCTTATCGACACGCAGAGCGGCACTGAGCTCTTAGAAGTCCACAAGTGGGCCGTACATGTGCTCTGCGTCGGTGGGAAGAAACTTGTTGACGTTTACGGGGCCACCAGGGCGAGCTTTTACAATCTCTTCCGGGGTTTCACCAAAAGGGGATGATAAATCTGTATATGATCGAGGTGACGAGGAAGATTATTGGCGTGTGGCATTGCTTGGTCACGGTGGTGGCCGGCACTTCCGTGGTGAAGAACTGAATCGAGGGGACCATCACGACTGCATGCGATGATGACAAGCTGCCTAGCAGCTTTGCTATACCAGCAGGAGTGGGCGAATCCTCATCCCTGAGGGCAATGGAGCATGGGCTTTTCAGATCTTTTTGGTGCAAGAGACATGCCAGGTAGATGTTATGAAAAGCGTCATGCTTGGTCCCAGCTCCCAGCCTTCTGTGGGAGGAGGATGAGAGAAGAGATCCATTCGCATCTCATCCAACGGCATTCGGCCATCAGATCTTGAGATCCGTGGGCCGCGGGCGATAAAAAAAATCACAGTCAACATGTACTCGTATATATCATATACGGCTGTCCATAATTAGTCTCAAGGCGGCAGGCGCCAAACACCTGCTGACTCGGATGGAGGTGTCAACAGTATGGGGGCACGAGGGCCTGATGTTGAGACTAGGGCCTGTTAAGATTAGCTCTTCGCCACCACCCGGATACTGAGTAATAACCGGTGCAGGTCTGATTGCTGTGGCGGCCTAACAAAGCCTGAGGTATGAGGATTGAAAATTAAATAAGTTGCGCGGATCTCGTCCTTGACTGTTACAATTCTGATGAACTCTCGCTCATTCGCTCGCGGACAACGCGGAGCAGAGAGGCTAGTCTATGGAAATGTCCACTGTCGCCGTGGAGGGTATCCTGCTCTGACTGCCTTTGCCAGCTTTGAGGCCAATTGGAAGAGCGGCATCATTAATATGGGAAGGATTAATGGGCTCGCTGATCGTCGCGCCCGTCTCTGTCTCTGCGTCTGATTCTACATCAGGCGTCGGCTGCTCGAGAAAGGCGAGATCCTCAGTCCTAGCAAATGCGTCTTTGTTTGCATCTGCTACTGCTGCTGCTGCTGTTGCTGCCAATGTCGGGGTAGCGTCGACACTCGTTGGTGTTGATGAGGATGCCCGTTCGTCCTCGAGGATCGCTGGGATCGAATCAGAACGTTGCGGCTCCCCACTGCCCATGTATATGCTGCGTTCCGAACTGGTGAGCGCTATAGAGTCGTCGGGTGTGACGCCCGCCTCGGCCTGCTCTTCCCGCATCTCCTCCACCTCAATCGGATGTAGCACCTTGCCGCCGACGCCTTCCTTTGCTGGCTCAAAACGATAGTGGATGGCGTTGCGCGCTTGCATGAGCATGCGATCGATGAGTCCCTTGCAGCGCGTGTGCATCGCTTCGAGCTCAGGATCCTCGCGTGGGATGATGGCCTCGTCGGCATCACTGTCGCCTTCCTCCTCCTCCTCCTCTTCGTCCTCCTCAAACCCACCGCTGGCCAGAGAGCCCATATCCCCTGGCGCGATAGAAGCACGCCCTTCGCGTATTCGCCGTTTGAGCTCCCTTATCTCCTTTGCCTGCTTGAGTTTGGTCACTTCCAGGCCCGCATTGATCGCAAGCAAGCTCTTGTTGGTTATTTCCAAATCCAGCATCTTGCGCGCCTTCTTCGCCTCACTCCGATCAGCCACCTCTTCTGGCGATAGGACCTTAAAGCCACCGGTAGATGATACCTCGGATGTGGGGCTGAGCAGGCCAGAAGCATCGGACCCCGACCATCGCGGTGCACCGGGCGACACTGTGTTGAGTGGCGAAGCTAGGCCTGACGGCATGGATCCGCCATTCGGCGGTGAGCGAGTGTCGTCTGGTGCAAGATTGATATGTGAGGGTCCCACTTGATGAGGCAATGGCCGCAGTCGCGCTCTCGGCCCCGAGCCCTCGCCAGCAAGCAGATTTGATGATGCCGCCTCTTTGCGCATGCGATACGCTTCTGTGATAGACATCCCCTTCGTGGGACTCGCCGGCCTCGAAGTCCCCGCTGAAGCGCTCGTGCTGCTATTCTGGCTCACGTTCGCGCCAGAGCCGGCGCGGCTATGCACGCTGCCTCCGTCAGCATGGAAACCACTTGGGCTTTCGAATGGCGTTGCAAGAGTTGCTGCAGGGCCTCCACCTGGTGACGAGAGCATGGCACTGGCTGCAGACGGCGTGCTGCTCGCTGCACTGGTGTTTGCCCGTCGCATTTTCGTTGCTACCCCTACGTGTAACGTCCTGTTGAGCGGGGTCGGCGTCGAATTGCCCGATGAAGTCCCCGCATTATGCCCGCTCAGGATAACGGTCGTGAGGGCAGCTCGAACCATTGTAGCCGCCTGCTTGGCTGGCGACCTATCCCCACTGGATGTGACGCTCGTGCTAGTACTCGCATCACTGGTGTTCGAAGACACGGATGATCTCTGTGAAGCACTCCCGCCCATATGCCCGCTCATTGATGGTGAGCTTGTGCCGGAAGTTGTCCAATCAATACTCTGCGCGCGTGCCTTGGCCGAATGCACCTTGCGCATAGTGACTCCCGGTGGGACCTGGCCATTTTCACAAGGCGATCCCAAGTTGCTCGGCTCGGCAGTGACTCGAGAAGGACCTGAGCTGTTACCAGAAGTTGCAGCAATATTGCCATTTATCCGCGGTGTATGAGGCGAGCTGAAGCTACCGAATGTAGCCGAAGGCGCCGAAGAAGGCACTCCAGCGCTACTTGCCAGCCGCAATGCTGGTGATCCCGAGGCCGTGACCGTGGCATGATGGTCGTCAGCAAAGAGCGAAGGATCGATCTTGGCTCTTGGTGTTCCTGCTCCGGTTCGTGTCGTTGTAGATACAGGACGTCCGGCAATTGAAACCTTGCTGCTATAAGGAGGAGATACGACGCTGGAGGAACCGGAGCTCGCGTTCGAGCCACCACCTGTGGGTATGGTTCGTGCTGCAGTCGTGCTATTGGTGGGACCGCCGATCGAGTGTAATGGTCGCTGGCCCAGAGGCGAAGAAGGATGTGCCGAGGCAAGAGCATCCAGGTCTACGCGTGCTGTCACCTGCGATCGAAGGCAGCAAAAGAAAGATGTTAGTGGGTACAATCAATGCACTTGTTTTGACCTCGACTTACCTTGCGCTTGTGCTGGGTAACTGACGCCATGATGCATCGCTGTCTCAACCGAAACAAGGCCAATGATCAATCACCTCTCCAAGCGTGCCTCGCGCCTCGAGAGGCTGCAGACGTTCAATTGTGTGAAGTGCCTTCCAGCTCTCGTCAGCAGCTAGCGGCAGGACCGCGTCGCGCGGACACTACGTGCTGCGCCTGTCGTCTCCGCTATCATCAAGCTTGATGCGCTGGTTCCCTGACGCACTCATCTGACAGACCCGTGGCCACCCGATGTGCAATCAAAGAGCCGGCAAATCTGACCAGCAAACAAAACATACACAAGGGATTGTCGAATGAGATACAGACGTACAGAGGAATTGCCGGACTGAGATAGTTAGGGTTAGGTACATTCGCCAAACGCGACGCGCGATTCAAAATGCGCGACGCGCCTTCTCAACACCAGTAGTGGAAGGACGGCTTGGCAATCGTTGAGCATCTATCTCAACACTCTACTTATGTTTGCAACTTGCACGCTACCCAAGGCCATTCAAACCCACACGAGCAGGAGACATAACAGCGGCTACGAAACATGATTGGCACCGAGATTTGGAGCAGTTGTAGATCCCTATTGTAGACCCTTTGACTGTTCTCAGGATTGTCTTGCGAATGTCTACCATCAACCCTTGGGATGCGACAGAAAATGCGATGTGAACTGTGAAATGTGCAACGTGAAGGACGCGTCCTGGGCGAAGCACAGCGCCATTTCTGTAGGAAGACCACAGGTGAGTCTGGGCATGCCCTTCGTCTTGCTGTTCTCTGCCCCTCACAAATGCTGAACACGCACACGCACCCCGACATGATATAACATGCAAGCAACCTCAGCATCTTCCGTACGAGCAGTCCTCTGATATTCCGAACTAGGTGTCACTGACTCAAAAGCAAAAATTTCCCTCCCCTCTCAGATCTCATTTCTCAAGTTTCAGCGAGTACAGAATCCATATTTCCACAACTAAGCGCCTGTGCTACTAATACGCACGATCCGTCTTCAGCTCGCTTGCTTCTTGCGTTTACTCATGACGCGCTCATCGCTGGTCCCCTCATCGCCTCTTCTCATATCACACTCACGCTCTTCTTTACTTATAGCCTTCTCGGTCGAACCCCGTCGTTGGGATGCGCACCTCGAGGGCAAAGAACCAGAAAGTAGAGACAACCATGCTATACATGCAAGAACCTACATGCACTTTCTCCCTCTCCAATGTCAGGTCTGTCTCAGTACTTTTGCTGACGAGTCGGTCATCGGCGAATTTGAATTCAACTCAAAGCCTTTGACGCGTTGACGCATCACGAATGCACAATGCGGTCTGCAGGTGTGGCTTTTACTTGTCATTGCGCAAGATCTTGCCGCCTGCGCTTTATGGCTTGCTGCTCATGCGCTAATTCTGTACTTCATGTGATGATCGATGCTTCAACGCTCCGGCGCTTTACTGGTGCGTCATGCCTCCAGCACCCTCAGCGGCTGTATTGTTGCATGAACGACGCCTAGGACCGTCGGCGAGATCACCAATTGATGACCCTTGTAGCTTCTTGGCGCTTGGGCTTGAGCCTGCCTCAGCTTGACAGTAGCTTGATGGTCGACTCAGGTTGACGCTGTGGCGCTTTGCCGCGGACGGCTACCGAACTACGGATAGACCGGCAAGTCTACATGCAAATGTACATTTCATATACACGCTTTCTTGTCGAAGGGAGACCAAGGACAAACGACTCAGCAAAATTACGAACATCAACGCATCAATGCATCTACGTACAGTATGTGTGCTTCGAGCGGGGGAATACACTGCGAAGGCTGACCCAAGCCACCGATCAAGCAACCCAGAGCGTTGTTCCTTCACGTATGTACGAGAACGCGATGATACCAGGATTGGGGGTGGGCATTGGAATTTGTACGGCATTGACCTATTACTATCGCCACTCCACTTAAAGCCCTCCCTACCCATGCTCCCTAAACCAGTGTCGACTATTGTGGGCATCAACGACCGTAGATACTCCCAACTCCGTACTTCAGGATACTACATACCGTAGATGACTGTCCCAGAAGATCGCTTGATAGCGCAAATCACGAGTCGGAATGCAAACACACAACATATGTGCCTCAAGCCTCAAAAGTCCAAAAGCTGCAAGCAAAGCTGTCCAAGCGGGTCCGACAGTGGCCCGACGGTAGTCCGACACTAGTCCGACACTGGCTCAACCCATCCAAGCCTCAACCGCGTCACAAAAACTCCACAATCTGTCGAGAAGAGCCTGTTAACAGGAAAGACGTCAAGAGAGGTGATGTACTGTCGATACTCTATTGCATTGTTGCGATTACAGCCAAAAATCAGAATGAATCGGAGTTGCCACAACGTTTCCACAGGAAACCGGAGTAGCAACTAGTGGCACCAGTCACGGGTGATGACCGGCTGCGACGGGTTAAGCAGCCTATGTGGGTACTGCATCTGCGGGAGCGCGGGAAACCGAGATGCAATGACTAACAGAAGCCGACAAATGGCTTGACACGGTCACGAGTCCCGTCGAGCTACCGTCGTACTTCGCAGGGTCATTGCCACACTTGCAATATGCAGCATGCACTGAAAATAACTTTCTTTTTTATGGACAATGATGAATGATACGTTTACAGTGAGTGCAAGTATGCCGTAGCGACGTCCGTGTCCCACATATTATATTCGTGTTCACTATTCAATGTTACCACAGGAATGCACAGAAGGGTGCATGTCTTATACAAGTATTTCCCTGCCGCCACGCGTTGACGTCGCACGAGGGCAGAACAGGCAGCGCTACCCGCGATGCTTGGAGCATATGCTTCTGGAAAAGTGAAGGCCGAAAATGGACTCGTCAGACGGGGAAGAGTCTGAAGGACAAAGGCATAAAAATATCATAAGCAAACCCAAAGCCAGAAGATGGCCTGGAATCTGGATCGGCGAGCGCTGAACATGCCAGGAAACTGCTAGTGTGATTGTCCAAAAGCCTCGAAACCTAAGATGACCCAAAGCCATCCAACTTAGTTTGTAAAAGTGTCAAGAGATGCTCACGAGGGGTGATGGCGGTCGCGACTCGGCGAGGAAGCCCCTGGTCTCCATTTCCTAACTATTCTTTTTCCGGCTCCCCCAAAGCCAAGAATGGGCTCCCCGCTGGCCGCCGCACTCTGCAGCATGGCAACTGACTGGAACGCCACAACATATTCCAACGCTCTCCGGCCTGGCACCTGCAATCTTCATCAAAGTTATTGGGAATGGGAATCCCAGGGTCGAGGCTTCGTATACTGACCGTCTTCGACACTCCGTACATAGGCTTACGTAGCACATTCATCTACTGATCTACCAGCAATCTGTGCATGCTGGTCTCTGGTAGAGTTGTGGAGCTGTGGAACAAATTTATATATGTACAAGGTACATGCGTTGTAATGCGTACATATTTTTGTGGTTGTCCTCCCAAGTCAAAAGGGTCCGTAACTCAACAAAAAAGGTCCGAAGTCGGAATAGGCTCGTTTTGCACTATCTCACGTGTTAGCGCCAGGTGGCTTTCGCGCCCAGGTGGCATGTGCGCCCCTTGTCCTGCGAACTCTGGACCTGCAGCGCTCTTCCAGTCGCCACCCTTCAACCGCTTGCCACTAGACTACTGTCGTGCGTTCGTTGAATAGACTCATTACCCAAGCCACGTGAGGAAGCGAACTGCGGAAAGCTCCCTTGCCCTTTTCTCGCTGTTTGCATGTTTGGCACGCACTCTAGCTATTCTTGTGTAGCCTTCCCCCAGTGTGACTGGCTTCCCAGTCTTGCTGTTCAGGTATGCAGGCGATCGAGTTGCTGGCCATGGTGCAACTAGTCTGGGTGGGATTGCTTCGCCCGGCGGTGTGGCGACTCTCCCAGGGCAGGGGAGGCTGAGGCCGTGAGAGCGCAAGGGGTGGACGTAGATTCTTCAGCAGCAATCGCCGCGGTACAACAAGGTGCCATTTTACGCTTTTGCAAGCGCTCTGATCAGCGCTGCGCTTGTCAGGATTCTCGCCGAGAAAGCAGCATGATCAATTATTTGTCCTGCAGGAGCACACAGCACTGCCCTACTGCTTGATGAGGGCTCGCTTTTTCGCACGCACACGCTGCACCCTAACTCCCTTCTCCTCCCCAGTCCCCCTCGCTGGCAGAAGGCAAGCATATAGCTGTGCAGCCGATTCCTAAGCTGTGCACACATAGTTGCAATGAAGCAAGCAGGTCGGATTGGAATCTCTGCAGACTCCTTGCCCACCATTGTGTGAAACGATAGACAGGTTCACATGAGGCGCAGATGTAGGCACTAAGTAGAGCTTTCAGTCCACAGGTAATCATCGTCAGGTGCGCATCATCCATGGAGTGTGTACCCCAATGTATGGATGCAGGCTGCTCTGCTCTTTTGGAATTGATTGTGATCAAGTATGCATGTGGCACAACCACAAGATGTAGTGGGGGTCGAGGATCGCGATGAATGTATAAGAAGGTGGCGAAGAAGAGCGGCAGCAGCAGAAGCGAGACGCTATCCGGAGGGCGTTCGATGTGGTCCAATCTTAATTCCTCCCGCTCACGGATTATCACCCATCACTTTCACTCACCCTTCAAGCCTCTTCTTTTGTTGACACCCCATCCGCTCTTCGCTGCTGGGTAACATCTAATACGCCAGCCATCCTCCTCAGGCCCTTTCTGGCTTGAGTCATCCCCTGTCTTGTGTCTTGGTTGCCCCTCGGCTCTGCCTCTACGTCACCGCTTCACATACGCGGCATACAGCAGCGACTGACATCCGGTAGTCGGTCTCTTCGTCGCACGGGAGACAAGCGGCCACCCCATCACACTCGCTGGCTGGCGTGAGAGCTCATGCACTCATGGTCAGGCACATTGAGAACAGGCGCAAAGGATGAGCTTGAGTAGTCCTGAGGGCAGCGACAGCAGCGGCGCCAGCACCTCGACGATCCCCACACCATCAACGAGCACCACCAGCATTCGACGGCGCACGTCCCAAGCGACCTCGTCCTCTTCCTCATCTTCACGCCATCAAGCCAACGGTGACCCCATCGTCCCCAACGTTGAGAGCATCACCGGCGGTGTTGGCAGGACCGGAGGCATCAGCTCCACGACGGGCCCCGATCTATTTTCCTCTTCACCCTTACCCGCTTACTCGACCATCTACCAGTCCAGTGCGGATCACCAGCTCACCCGCAGTGTGTCCAGTCCAGGGCTTTCGCTAGGAGCGCACAGGTTAAGGTGTATTGGTACAGAGGGTCACGCCGACGAGGACTACGAAGACAAAGAAGACTCGCCTTGCACACCTGTGAACGCCGTCTTTTCTGTTGCACGTCATCCTCACCACTCTTCTCGAGCCGCCGCTCTGTGCACGAACGACTCTGAAGAACGAGTCCAGAACCTACAAGCATCTGCTATCGCAAGCATTGCGACATCAAGGCAACAAGCTGGCCGCCAGCAGTATCAATCGGGGTCCTCTGCCGCCTTTCGGACATATGCGTACGACCCTCACCTTGCCCCCGCTGTACTTGAGGCTACTTCCGACGAAATCCACGCTGCACGGCACCGTGCTCGCTCCGAGGCGCTGCTCGACCTAAGGATTAGATCGAGAGAACCTTCTAGTGCGGCAACACATAGACCGCAGACACCCGAGCTCAACAAGTTCTCTAGCATACAGTCACCCTCCGGTGAGTTGTGGTTTTTGATTGCTCGAGAAACGGCAGAGAGGCTAAACATATCTGGTTCTTACCATGCAGACGTCTTCACCTCACCTGTCGTCGGCACTCCTCGGAACTCGTCGAGTTTCTTCTGGCTTGAGGGTACAACGCCCAGCGCACCGACCCGTGTGTCGCCTACCACAGCTCGTAAAGGCCAATCATCCGACTCCTCTGGACCGCCCAGCTCTCCTTCTCCTCTTCCTCCCAGAGCCACGGCACACGGCGAGCAAACCATGCCTGCAGCTGTCACAACGACGACTGGCACAGCGTCCGCGGGCGCGTACCTCGCAGCTCCCAAGCATCCTTTCAGCGCCCTGCAGGGCCGCAGTCGTGCATCTACGCTGTCCTCGATCGACGAACGACCTCAGGTACCGGTTGCATCTGCTTCGTCGGACTGGTCCACGCCCCCGACAAAGGGTGTCTACGGGCCGAATGTGTTCCTCGGTTCTTCAGGCTCGAGCACAAGCACAAGCAGCAACAGCAACAGCGGCTACCTTACAGCGAGATCTCAGGCAGGCAGCTCGCGTGGCGCCAGCAAGCAAGCCCGCCCGGTGTCGATGAACTTTGATCTTTTCCCGCGAGACCTCGATAGTCTCTCTGCTGCTTTCTACGCCGATTCCAGCCTCGAGGTCGGGGCCAACGGAGCCGCAGACTCCAGTGGCAACGACGCCGAGAGACCCGTATTAGGCATTTGGAACCGTACCAGTGCGCAGCAGCACGGTCATTCGTCGGCGCATGCACCTACACTGAATGGGAGTGGCGGCACGGGATCTGTCAGTCGTCGGGCGACAGGCGACTCTTCATGCGAAATTGGAAGCGGCAGCGGCGGCAGCAGCAGTGGCGGTCAAGGCAACATCACGTCGAGTTTCCTGCTCCGCCCCACACCCGATAGCTCGTTCGACGCCGGTAGCTCAAGCGGCGCGAGCAGCAAGCCTTCAGCTGCAACGCAGGCGAGCTCACCACGACTCGATCCATTTTCCTCGCCGCAAGCGCCTCGTAGACTCCAGAACAGACTAAAGTCCAACACGATCACAGGTGTCGCTCCATCGAAATTCGACAACTCAAGCCCTAGAAGCGGGCTGTCGGGAGGACCACACAATCATGGCGGCGGTTTGGCGCTCAAGCTTTCTTCCTTTGCTTCGAGGCCGGTCTCGCCTTCGCCCCTCGCGGAAAGCTGGACGTCTGGTGTTGGTGGCGTGGGCTGCCGCGCGGGTGGAGCTGAGCTGGACATCTCACGACGAGCTGCCTTTGCACCTGGAGCGTCGTCTGCTTCTTCCCTGCCCCCTCCAGCGCCATATCAGCTTTCGCTTTACGCTTCCCATGCAGCCTCTGCTTCCCAAAGTGGGCATAGTGCTGCGGGAAGCACAGCGGGTGGCGACTCGCCTTCGAGCGCGAGCGCACTCAGCGCCTGCGAGCTCTGCGGTGCAAAGGTGGCCTTGCTCACCGTCCTCAATCCGTGTGGACACAAGGCCTGCTCGTCGTGCACATCGTCTGGCCTCAACCAAGTGTCTACCTCGCCGCCACGTCCGCACATATGTGCCGCATGCCTGACGCCTGTCGAAGGTATCTCGTTACCCAGTCGCGATCGCAGCCAGTCGAGCGCGTCAGCCGCGAGCTGGACCAGCACGAGCCTCAGCTACAGCGGCGAATCTGTCACGACAGCTTCTCTCGCCTCTCCTGAGAGTAGCGTCGGCGGAAGCGGTGGCTCGCGCCTATTCAGTCCGTACGACGCTGGCAGCGACTCGCCCATGGCGGGTTTTGCACCGTCGTTCGCAAGCGCCAACGCCAGCAACGGTGGCAACCAGAAGGATTACGGTTCGAACTCGGGGCACGGCTCGTGCAAGATTGAGTCCGGAGCTGCGCAGATTCACGTAAGCAGCATTGACACGCTTGTCAAGGAGCTCAAGCTCACGTCATCTCAGAACGGCGTAACAGGAGGCAGAAGCAGCAGCACTCCGATAGATGCGCGTGAGGCTGAGCTGGCAGAGGTCGCCAACGAGGTGTACAGCATCGAAACACTGTGCGTTGTCCGCATCGACAACATCCCATGGAGCGTCAAGTACTCGGACGTTCTCAGTTGGGTCCCCGCCGAACTTGGCATACTGCCAGAAGAGGATGTGACCGCGCAAGCAGTGCATATTCCCATTGACGTCAGCAATGGCAAGACGAGCAATGCGTGCTTTGTCGAGTGTCGGACCAAGAAGGCGGCCATGCGCCTGATCCGGCATCGCAACAACAGTCGACTCTGTGGGCGACCCGTCAGCTTGATCCATTCCAGCTACCAGGAGCTGCTGAATGAGGTGTTCCCTGCGCGCGTAGGCGCGAGCACCTCCTCCTCAGCAACGGGTGGGGGTGGAACACGCTTCTTCACAGGCAAGCAGCTCGAGAATCTGCTCGGACTGCTCAAGAGCGGGTCTTTGCAGCTCAAGGATCCGGTGAAGCCCATCGAGTATCTAACCAGCATTGTTAGCTTGGTCCCGTCTGAGTTATCGTCTGATCAAAAGTCGCTTCTATTTGAGACAATCAAGGGTGAGCCTAGATGCATTGCGGAATCCTTCGAGGCGCCTGCTGACGTGCTCCCCTGTGCACCCTTCGGTTTTTCTAGAAGCAATTACGTCGAGCCTCTCCAAAGCTGCATCCACGGTTGGCATGAGATCAGGCCTTGACCGCCTGCTTTCGAGCACGGGGCACTGCGATGCGCTGCAGCTGGAACAAAAACTGGAACTCATCGACCATGCACGCGCCGCGCTCACGGGCGTCAAACTGCCCACGGTGTCGGAGTGTCTGTCGAGGAGACCGTCGGCTGCAACCACGCTGATTGGCCACGCTCGAAGCGCGTCGAGCATGGCTGTTAGCCCACTTGGCGTTGATGTACGGCAAGGTGTCGCACCTGCCGCTTCTCCCGCGCCAAGCTTTCACACTTCGCACTCACATCAGCATCAGCATCAGCAGCAGCAGCCGCAAGTAGGCATGTGGGGCCAGGAGGATGCTGCTCCTCCAGCGTTAGCGCCCTCCATGCAACAGTACCAGAACCAGAACCAACATCAGCGCGTCTACAGTCTCGGCTTCCCCGACACGATGCCTCATCATCAGCTTGGGCCTCCATCGACGTCTGCATACAGCCGTTTACCGATGCCGGAGCCGCAGATGTACGACCAGCGGGGCATGCCGCCTCCGTCGATAGCCCCGCCTTCTCCACTCGGGCCCTCTGGACCATCCTACGGCGGGTCCCTGTCTGGCATGCCTGCATCGCCGATCGCGACGGCTCCGGTGTCAGCACCGATGTCTGTGTCTGTACCTTCGCAAGCTTATGCTGGGCGCCCAGCAGCAGCTCCTCTTGCAGCCAACGGCGAGGCGCTCGAAGCGCTCAAGCAGCAGTTTCCCGGACAGGGAGACCAGTTTGAAGCGCTCGTCAGCGCTGTCGCGGCGGCTCTGCGCCAGGAACATCAGCCTCAGCCTCAGCCTCCTCCACCTGCTCACACTGCGACACAGTTCATGCCTCTCTCTCCTGTCCATCCGTCATCTCTGTATGCACTGCAGCAAGAGCAGCTGCACAATCCCCTACACCAGCAACATCAACATCAACACCATTATCATCACCAGCATCAGCACCAACAGCAGCACCAACAGCAGCACCAACAGCAGCACCAGCACCAGCATCCGAACCAACACCAGCATCAGCATCAGCTCCAGCTCCAGACCGCCACTCACCACCATCAACAGCACCAGCAACCGCAACAGCAACAGCGGCAATTCGATGTGCAACAACCCCAGCATTCACCTTATCCCCAGGGGCAAGAACAGGGCCTGCTTCAGCAATACTATCTGGGTCCTCAAACGGGCAATGGTTTCTGATGATCATGATCGGATTTGCACCCTTTTTGTGCGCTTCGCTTGCATATGAAAAACCAACAGCACACTGCGCCGCATTCTCAAGGCATTCGTTTGGACCAATAAGCGGCCAAAACATTGAAGGGGAGGGGGAGCGCATAGGCATAGCATAGGCATACATTGACCATTCCTTCTCCAGCGGTTGGAGAGGGGATGTAGTAGGGCATTGGCCCCAGGGAGCTCAAGGTGAATGCAGGAACAGGGCTGGCGAGGGTTGTGTATAATGGGGGCTCATTGACTCTTCGCATTAAGGGCCATTGCGTTTTTCCCTTTTTTTCCGTTGTACTACATACGCACAGACACGACGAGAGCAGTGCCAATTCTCACACGAATGCGTGGTAAAGGCGAGCCTGGGTCGAGCTGCAACTGCACAAGTCAAAATGATGAGCCTCCAAAGGCTTATACATAGCAGGAAGAGCGTGTGGCAGAACTGGGGGGGGTTGCAACGAATCAAGGTGGCGAAGAGGCCGTGCGGAGGGTGTGGGTGTTGGACTCTGCCTGAACCAGCTGGTGTGACTGTGACAGATGGAGTGATCCAGGAGAGTGCTCTGGTGGCTGCTGGCTGCTCGCCTGTGTTGCCGGTCCGCCCAAGCGCGGTCAGAGGGCCAAAGTAGCAGGCGGCAGGTGACAGTAGGCAGTAGGCCAGTCAGCTCGCTATTTCTCTGGTGCGGACAGCGGGCCCGTGCAGCGTCTCCCAATCCATTGTAATGACCATTCCAAACCCCAAACACCCCAGCCCAGTCCAGTCCAGCCCAGATCCCATCAGGCAGCCATGTCACCCGACTCGTCCTTGCTACTCACAGCAGAGGACAACGTCGTCTAGATGGATGGCTGGTCGCACACACGCTCACTCGCTCGAGAAAGAAAGAAACAGCGCTCGGCATCTCGATTGGTGCTTGACCGCTCCTATCATTGCCACTCTCGCATCTCCCCCGCGTCGACGCGACCCCCCCCCCCTGGGTCCGCCGAAACAAGAAGAAAGGCACCCTCGAGGCAAGCGGTAGGGAGATATCAGTGCCAACATACGCAAGGATAGCACAAGATCGAGACAATGAACATACGCACAAGCTCCTCCAGCGGCAGCCGCTTCGGATTCCCAGGATCCGGCTCCGCATCGTCGAACATCCTCCGGCCAAGCACCGCCAACTCACCCCAGGGGGCCGCCAATCAGAGCCAAGATGATACCGCTGGCAGCCCGAGCAGCGGCGGAGGGTTCGGGGCCAGCATGTCAAGGCAGCTGTCCGGCGGCATGGGCAGGATGTTCCGGCGGTACAGCCAGAGTGGGACCCACCACAACGGCAGCGTCCTGCGGAAAGACCCCCCGCCCCCGCATGCGTCGAGCAGTAGCAATAACAATAACAACAATAGCAACAGCAACAACAACATTTCTGCCGCTGCTGCTGGCCCGTCGTCGAGCAGTAGCATCCCGGCCGATCTTGGGCGACGACCGAGCACCTCCCGACACTGCTCGAATCCCAACCTCAACGTTCGGGGCGAAGCAGTGACGCCCGAGCGGTCCACCTCGTTCGACGCCCCCCACCAACACCATTCAGCAGCACTCTCCCACCACAGCCCGTCCCTCGGAGGACCTGGCCCAGGCCCAGGCGGTGGAGGCAGCAGCAGCCGCCCAAGCTTCCTGCGCAGCGCGTCGAACCAGATCACCACGCGTGTGCGCAAAATGTCGCATAACGCTGCGGCCGCATCGACGGTACCCGTGTCCACGTCGCTCGAGGCCGGCCCGGCGCACCGCCCATCTACCGGCGCGAGCCGCAGTGCAGACGTCCAGGAGGCAGGCGACGGGCTCGCCGGCGCTGGGGCGCGTGCGGGCGTTGGCGCTGCGAACGGTGTTGCATTCAACGGCGGCAGCAGCAACAATAACAGCAACAATAACAGCAACAATAACAGCAACAGCAGCAGCAACCTCCCTGTGGATGCCATTCCTGGCTCCAGTAGCAGCAGCAGCAGTAGCAATGCCGGAGGCAGCAACGGTGCGGTGGCGGCACCGCCGCCCCCACCACCCATTGCCCGCTCATCGACGCACCGGATCCGCCTCGTGCCCCACCTCGAAGCCACGCGCTCGCTCCACTTTGAGCCAATCGAGCGCGACGTCAAGGAGGGCGGCACACCGATCCGTATCGGCCGCTTCACTGATCGGGCCGGCGGCGGTACTATCGCTGCAGCCAGCGCGCCGCCCATGAACGCCGGCGCGGCTGCGGGTGTGGGGACGCTGCAGGCGCAGGGCGCGGGAGAGATAGGAGGGATGAATGCGGGTGCTCGCGCATGGAGGGACGCGATGGACACTGCTGATGATACGGGTCATGGTGCAGGTGCGAACGCCACTGCAATTGCTGCCGCTGATGCTGCAGCAGGAGGCGGCAGTACAGGCATGGTCCCTTCTAGCTCGTCCTTCCTGCGCGCGGGCGGCGTGCCCGGTGCGCGGGGTGGCGCGATTCCCTCCTCCGCAGGCGGGTCCGGGCGCGTTGATACGGGCCGTGTAGCGTTCAAAAGCAAGGTCGTCAGTCGCACGCATGCCGAGCTGTGGTGCGAGCCCGGCGGGAATGTGAGTTGTTTGCTGCGGTGCATTCTCAGTTCGCATCAGTTGTGCTGCGCGTAGCGAGCTTCTGTTGACCATGTCTCTATGTCCCTCTCTGTCCGCATGGTTGCAACTCTGACAGTTTTTCATCCGCGACACCAAATCGAGCTCCGGCACGTTCCTGAACCATATCCGCCTCTCGGGCCCGCAGTTCGAGTCCAAGCCGTTTCCCCTGAAGGACGGCGACGTGATTCAGCTGGGCGTTGACTACCAGGGCGGCACCGAGGAGATCTATCGCTGCGTCAAGATGCGCGTCGAGCTCAACCGCGGCTGGCAGCGCGCTGCCAACCAGTACAACGTTAACGCACTGCGCCAGCTGCGCGCGCTCCAGGGCCAGCCTCTCACCCCTTCCGCATCGGCTGCCTCTGGCCTGCCCTCCGCGACAGCCATGAGCCCCGCTGCTACAGCGCAGACGCAGACGCAGACGCCCGCGCCGGACGTGCCGGCAACCGCGTTGCCGACCAACGCGCAGTCTGTCAGCGTCACCGATTGCTGCATTTGTGAGTACTCCAGCAACATGACTGCCGAGACCCATGGCGTCGCAAGGTGAGGCAAGCCCTTCCTGGTGCTGACTGTATGTGACTCTCTCTTTTCTTTCCTCCCCTTGTCCTTTCCTCCCCTGTCTTCTCTTCACGCTCCCGCAGGCCTCTTCTCCGTGACGGTCTGCCAGTCGCTGTTCATCGCGCCGTGCTCACATGTGTTCCACTACAAGTGCATCAGGCCCCTGCTCCTGCGCCACCACCCGGGATTTTCCTGCCCGCTCTGCCGCACCTTTGCCGATCTCGAGGCGGACGTTGAGGAGGACGAAGCGTGGCAACAGGCGCTGCTCCAGGAGGCGCTCGGCGCCGCGGCCGCCGACGGCGCAGCCTCGACGCCTCTCGTCCCGGATGAGCCTCCCGCATTCACGGGAAGCGCAGAAGTTGAGCATCGGCCGTCTGTATCGGCTATGACGAGCCTCTCTGCTGCTGGCACAGGCAGCGGCGGCGGTGAGGGCAGCGACCACGGCGCGCAAATCAATGGGCTCGAGGAGATGCTCGTCTCTACCAGGGATACTGATCCCGATCCCGACAGTGGGAACGGGAACGGCGCGTCCGTTGCTGCTGCGAACCACGGCGACGCGGAGATGGAGGATGGCACGCGCGACGACGATGATGTGGGGCAAACTGGTACGTCCTCCCGCGCGGTCTCAGCCGAAACAGCGTCCCGAGACGCAGCGGATGCCAGTGCTAGTGCACGTCGGGCCCAGCCCATCAGCATCGATCGCAACGATTCGAACATCTATCTGAGCGGCGGCGTGGAGGACTCGCGTACGCCCATGAACCAGCATTTTCTCTCAACCTTGGCAGAGAGCGATGCGCTCTTGCACAGCTTCCCGAGGGTGACGACAGCGTCTTCCTTGTTTTCGTCGGCATCGCTGCAGAGCGCAGCAGGGGCAGCGGCTACGCCGGATTTTCACAGAGCCAGGTCGCCCCTGGCCATGGAAATCATCGAATCGAGACGTGAAAGCGAGGTCAGCCAGGTGTCAGCAGCCGGGTCCGAGAAAGGCCAAGCCGATCATTCTTCTCAGCAACAGCAACAGCAACAGCGGGAGGCGGGCTCGGCAAGCTTGCTTGGCGCCTCGCCGCCTCACACCGCTAACGACGAGGAAGACGCTGAGGAGGCGCACGCAGCGGCCTCCGCTGCCGCCGAAGGCAGCATCGGTGCAAGCGGCCCGAGTCGCGCGTCGTACAAGAGACCCAAAGCTGACGTGGAGGACGCAGGTATATTGCTAACGACAACGAGGCCAGTGGGACATAACGCAAAAGGCAAAGGCCCTGCGCAATCGCAGCCGGGCGACTACTTAGGCGAGCGCTTCAGCACGATCGACACCGTTGACAACGGGCCTGCAGATGCACGGCGTGCGCGCGAGAGGAGCGGGAGCGGGAGTTGGGGCAGGGACTGGGCCGCTGGTCGAGTTAGCACTAATGGGAGCGATGCTATCCCCTCGTCGCCGAGCTCGGTGGCTGGAAGCAAGCTAGGATTATTGTGGAGAAAAGCAGGCGGGGCGACGGGTAGTCCGAACTGATTAGTCTCGGGCGCCGGCCATTCTTTTTTGGACAATTCCATCATCATCGGAAATCGTCACAATAGCCATCCTCAACATCATCATCAACAACCACTGTCATCAAACATTCGTCGTGTTAGCAATCCAATTGTACTGCCATTGCACCTGTTCCCTTTCCAACGAAGCGCGAGGCCTTGAACACGCAAGCAGACTGTCCAACGCTGATTCTCCCTGCAGGTTCTCATCAATTTTAGGTGCGGAGTGCCGAAAGGGTGCTTTTTTCCTTCCCACTGGGCAAAATTGCCCGATTGATCTCTCTTAGGTCTTTTGAACAAACAAAAACGATACCGCAGGTGCTGCTGATCTGTGGTATTCTCATCCGGGTGGCGTTTATTTGTGTTGCCGGTGCTGATCATCGTTCATCAATTCGCTACTCCAGGCCCCATCGAAAGGACGCTCAGATTGATCCCCTGCAGATGGTACGAACGCATATGAATACACATATGAATGGCACAAACCTCGGTGCGACTCGCAGCTGCGCTCTTACCGCATTCTGACATGCTCGGGACGCCCTCCTCGCTTCTCTTTCTACGAAGATGCTGCTATTGCGCCTGTCGCTGCTGCTCAAGACTCTCCAGCTGTTCGTGCTTGTCGACGTGTGCATCGCCAATGTCTCCCCAGCTCCGGCATTCGAGACTTTGCCCGCATTAGACTCGCTCTCGTCGGCAATGCGGTCTTATAGCCCAGTTGAGACTCTCGCCCATGACGATGCAGTGGTCGCGCGCGCCGCCACGCGCACTGCCTCTGGGCCTGAGTCTGGCCTCGAAGTGGGCCTGAAAAAAAGGGTAGCACAGCTGACGGATATTCAGACGAACTGCACCGCGCCTTCTTGCTTCAGCGCGACGTTCGATGACGGGTGCGTACCCTTCGTACCATACAAAGCATTTCCTTGGTTGCTGTCCATCCCTCTTTCCTGACCTTTTAGAGCTCCTTCAGGCCGTGGATCTACACGGATATTGTTGCTCGCCATTTTGCAAGCGCTGGGCTTCAAACGACTTTTTTTGTCAATGGTAATAATTACGATTGTGAGGCCATCTGAGCGGGCAGACTTCGCTTTTGGCATCTCTGAATCGCAGGTCCTGTTACACTGAAAACCAACAGGCATCTACAACGAGCCGCGTGTGCAGACGATTCGCAATGTACTCGCCCTCGGCCACCAGATCGGCTCGCACACGTGGAGTCACGCGAGCCTCGTGGGGCTGACGTTCGCCGAGATTGACGAGCAGGTCTTCCTCCTGGAGGAAGCGCTGCGGAAGATTGCGGGGATTGTGCCGGCGTTCATCCGGCCCCCATATGGCGCGGTGAATGAGACGATCATCGACTACCTCAACAAGCGGCACAGCCTGATCGTCCTCTTGTGGACGGAGGACACGCTCGACTCGCTCGGCACGAGCCCAGAGCAGAGCATCGCCATCCTCAACGACACGATCCGGCGCCGCGAGCAGGCCGTCGTGCTGCAGCATGACACGCTCGCGACGACCGCGAACGTTGTCGTACCGCAGGAGCTGCAGCTCCTGCGCGCGAACGGGTACGTGGACGGTGGGACGGGGAGGACGGTGCGCACGGTCGCGCAGAACTTTGGCGTCCAGCCGTACAAGGTGAGGACGACGCCTTCGAATCGCGACAGTACATGGACGTGTGCCGGCAAGCCTCAACCGGGTGTCGGCTGAAGAGTGGTGGCACACCCGCCCGGGTCGTCGACTGTCTCCCATCCAGGATGAAGAGCAGGGCCGTCCCCTTCCAGAGTCCAGAAGCCGAGATTCCACCCCGACAGGAATCCAGGGTGACAGCTGGTCAAACGTCAACGTTAGTTGTGCGAAGAAGCGCTTTGATCCAACAGGTGTTCTGTAACTTGGCTTGTCAAACGCGCTGGACACATGAAAGGCTTTTCGATTAACAACATGGTCCAGTCCGTTGGATGTGACCAATCCGGCTCACTCCCTTTCGATGTTCGTTGTGACGTCTGCTTTATCTGTGGGTCCCGAATTCCGAATTCCGTGTCACGCTGTGCTCCAGCCTTTAATCATTGTCTAGGCTAGGGAGAAGCACGGGGCATCTCTCCAGTCTCGAGAGTCGTCGGGCTGCTGGTGGGGGGAGCAGGAGCTTGCCGATCATATTGCACATTATCAATCCGCGTACGTCGCGGTGGTCGATGATGATTTCCACGGTTGCAGAGCATAGCCAGCAAGCCAACGCCGCTGCAGCCGATTCAAACACGAAGCCAGTTCAACTGGTTAGCGTCAAGGAGTGGATCGCGGTACTCCAGGCGCAGAGTCAGGAAGCGAAGGAGTCTGCCAAGGCGTTCGAGAAAAAGGCTGCGCGTAAGGGGCTGGATGTCTTCAGTGGCATGTCAGCTGAACAGTAAATGAGAACTGAGGGCCAAGGTGCAGAGACGAAGGCTGTGCCGAGGGAAGCGTTCAGGCCGACACATATCGCAAAGAATAAGGCCGAAGCGCTCAGTCCCACGCTCAAGGCGTGCTCGGCCATCAATGCGAAGGACGCCATCAGCTGGATGGAGTCCTGGCGAGAGATTGGGTTCTTGGCGGGCGGCACGGACGGGCATGCCGTGAATGGCAATGCATAAAGTCAGTTTTCGTCTGCGCCGACAGGCAGCTCGACGCAGCTGTTTGCTTTTTGACGGTAATATTATGTACGGTAGCACTGCAATTCCGCTCGTTGAAGCATGTCGTCAAGCACGGTGCCACAGCTTTCGGGGCGCTTTATCTGCATTTCGATGTAAGGTACAAGAAGTCTAATTTATGGACCAGTATGATCCCTGTATATGGCCTTTTCTCTACATAGCTTGCTTCAGAGCTGCAATCTCCCCTGCCAGGATTTGCGCCATGTTTCCAGGCGAAGAGGACGGCTGCTCATCGAATAAAAGCTCCAGGGTTCAAGGGTCGAAAGGGCAACCGTGTCGGCTTGCCCCTAACTATGCCCAGTCGACCCATTCCTAGACTGCCTTGGTTTGGGCGGACCATCTCCGCTGGTGTTTGCAATGGCGAATTCAAAGATCCAGACATATTCATTCTGGTACGGTTTGCCCGACGCCGTCTTACCGTCGGCACGTGGCTGAACCATCGCGCACGTCCCGGCCAGGAGGTCCAGTCAAAAGAGGTACTGTTGGCGGACTTGACGAATTGCTTGACACCTACCAGTTCATACAGGTGCGCTTGGATGGGCTGTGGGCCAATTTCGTCCGGGTGCGGGCTGGCGGTGCGTGTGTATTGCTCGATCATGCCTTCTGGTGAGGGGCAGGCTCTGTGTGGCGCATGAGAGAAATTGCAAGGTGGTTGGAAAAGAAATCACGGAGCATTTACACAGATTCAGCTGGGATAACCAATCCATGCAAGCAGCGCCCACAGGGCAAGCGGATGCCCTTTATCGCCGGGAAAGCCGACCGCAGCGTCGTACACGCCGATAAATTGAGCGCCGTGCGAACGTATTTGTCCTCTCGCGAGCCAGCTGTCCGTGGTGTGAAGGGCATGCTGGGTGGTCGCTGTAGGTCGTCGCGTCACGTCTACGTGCGGTACTGTCAAAGAATCAGCTGCCGATTGAAAGCTTGAAACAATCTAGGAAACCGTCGGTCTGCGTCCATTTACGTGCATGTACGACAAAGCTCGTCAACCGTCGCTGCCATGGGATGGAATGGACAATCCAATTGAAATGACGTGAAAGCATGGATGTGGAGGTTGAGACAGGAGTGGGCAGGCGGGACGGAGCTCCGTGGAGTCACCCGTACGCACCGCTCTCTCTTTTCTCGGCCGAGAGAATTATCTCCCAGTCACAGAAAAAATTGAAGATCATCCCATCAAGGCGTCAACGCCAGTCAATGAGGAGTCGAGCTGCGAATGCCGTTTGTGGTTGTAAAGCTTTGCTTTTGTCCGGCTCTCGCCTAATCATCCAGCTGCTGCATCCACCCGGCGAACACCACCGCAGCGTATCCTAACGGGAATTCAATCCGGGAAATTACAGCGTGCAGAAAGACTCGACTCGAGCCACCATGACCGCACCAAACGGCGGTGCCGCGGTGCCGACGGACGAGCAAGTCAAAAGCTTCTTCGCGCCGGACCTCCTCTCCGAAAGCACGGTCGCTTCTCACGCATCCCAGTACGCTGCATCGGGGCCATATAAGCACGGCGTCATCCCCGCCTTGCTCTCCGACTCTCTGCTGCGCGAGGCACGCAAGGAGATTGTCGAGGAGCTGCGCTTCGCAGAGAAGGAGACGGACATCTACAAGGTACACCAGACGGGTGATCTCGCCAACTTGGACGGCCTGCCGGACGAGGAGCGGGATCGGCTCAAGCATGTCCTGAATGTTCGCAACGCCATCTATAGTAAGCAGTTTCGCGATTGGCTGCAAAAAGTAACAGGGTGCGGCCCGCTCAGCGCAAAGAAGAAGGACATGAGCATCAATGACTACAGAGACGGATGCCATCTTTTGAACCACGAGTGAGTGCATAAATAGTGCTTTCTTTCGGAAGCCAGGCTCTCATATCGTTTCCTCTTTTGTTCCTGCAGCGACGTGATTTCCACGCGTCAACTCTCTTACATCCTCTATCTCCCCGACCCATCAGTGCCCTGGCGGTCCGAGAACGGCGGCGCCCTGGAGCTATACCCCGTGCTCTCTCCGCACCTGCCGGACTCGGTGCCAACCAAGTCTATTCCACCTGCTTGGAACCAATACACATTCTTCACCGTTCAGCCGGGGCACTCGTTCCACTCGGTCGAGGAGGTGGTCCATCCAACTGCCAGCAGACTCTCTATCAGCGGCTGGTTTCACCGTCCGCAAGAGGGGGAAGAGGGCTACGATGCTGCACAGGAGGAGAAGCAGGAGCGGATGCGCAAAGAGCACTCCAGTGTTGAGTCACTGCTGAGCAAGCAGGCTGCCAGGCCCTTCATCCCATACTCAGGCCAAGGCGAAGACGCCAGCGAGGGAAATGATGACATGATCGTACCCGGCAGCCCGCTGTCACAGCAGGACAAGGCGTTCCTCTCCTACTTCCTCAACCCGGCCTACCTACAGCACAAGGTGCAATCACAGCTATTCGAGCAGTTTGGCGATGACAGCCACATCTTGCTCGCCGATTTTCTTAAACGCGAATTTAAAGACTTGCTGCAAAAAGGCCTCGTTGAGCTCGACAGGAGGGATGGTTTCCGATGGTGGGAGGCGCCATCGGAAGAAGACAAGGACATTCGGGAACAGTGCAAGCTCCGGCCTCACGGCATTGGCACGGGCAAAGTGGGTGGCGAAACAGGCGAAGATTGGAAGATCCAAGGGCCACCGCATCGACATCGCTTCCTCTCTCTCTGCCCTTCGACCCCAGCTTCACCATCCGCCTCGAGCCTTCTTCCCCCCCGCAACCCGGCACTGCCAGTCACGCCGCCACAAACGGCCGAAGCGTTGCTCTCCCTGCTGCGCAGCACACTCTTCCCATCGCCCGCCTTCCGCCACTTCCTCGCAAACATCACGCAGCTGCTCCCGCTCGCTGCGCGCGCGCCGTTCACAGTGCGCCGCTTCCGCCCCGGGCTGGACTACACGCTAGCGCGCGCCGATGAGGACGAGGCGGTATTGCACATCACACTCGGCTTGACGCCCGACGTCGCCGACAGCGTAGAACTCGCTGCTGCGGCGGCGTCCGGCAGCAAAGGCAAAGTGCGAGGGATGGCTGCCAAGCGCGGCAAGCTCCCGGGGACCGCGCACAGCGCGGTGTCCGCGGCGCCATTGAGCAAGAAGCAGCTCAAGGATCTGCGCATCAGGTGGGAGAGCGGAGAGGCTGGTGGCTGGGAGTGCTTCATGGCCCCGCACGAAGGAGAGGAGGACCCAGCTGTGTACCGCAGCGGTGGGTCGAAGAAGGCCGAAGCGGAGACCGAGGGCAAGGACGAGGACGGCGCAGATGCCGAGATGGCCGACGGAGATGACGAAGAGGAAGAGATTGTCGAGATGGAGGAGGACACGGACAGCGATTTCGACGGCGTCCTGCTCAACCTGACTCCGCAATTCAACGCGCTCAACGTGGCACTGCGCGACGAGGGCGTGCTGCACTTTGTCAAGTATCTCAGCGGCAGCGCCGGCGGGAGCCGCTGGGACGTCGAGGGCGAGTGGTCAGTCGGTGCGCTCGAGGTGGAAGAGGGGGACGGGGAGGTAGCGGAATAGAATACGCGCCTGTGACGTGCAGAAGGACGCAACTCGGGCTCACGTCACCCCAAAATGCCATGTTGTACACCAGTTAAACGAATGCATCTGACGCTGCAGCAGACTCCAGAAACATTCGATGCGAATGTTAATGAATGTGAATGGTTCGATTGGCAAAATGACAGAGGGGTATCGAATAAGTGGAAGTGTGAAGTAGGCGGATGGTGCGAAAAGCGTAAAGCCGTGTTCTCGAATTGCGACAACTACTTGGAAAGATACTTTTTTGTTATCCTGCGTTATGGCTAAACTCCGCAATCCTTAGCCTGGGACCCAGTTCGCCTATCCATTTGAATGGGCACCAATTTGACAGAACTGTGGCCCCCTGACATATCCTTGACAACGTGGACATCGGCTCACTTTGGCGCACTTGCGAGCTGCAGCACTTTCTCCTTCAGGCACTCGGGGTACGAATTCATGAGGTGCGCCAGGGCGCGCAAGTCTTCGCTATCTAGCAGGGCGATGGCTGTTTCCGGATGGACAGGTGGGAAGGATGCCCGTCACTATGACACACTCCTCGTTCCAAATCGAAACAGAACCTTTTGCATGGTCAATGAGCACTCACTGATCTTGGGTGCGCCCTTGACTCCAAAACTCTTGACTTTCTTGAACAGCAGATCGCCCAGCTTCTGCTTCTGGTCTTGGGGCAGCTTGCCCGCCAGCGTGTCGATGAACGCATCGGTCTCGTGCACGACGTTCGGATCCGCTTTCGGTAACGGCAAGCCAGTGGATGACGACGAGGGGGCGGACGGCTGGGCGAGAGCAATGATCTCCGAGGCGGGGAGCGCTGCGAGCTGGGCGAGCGTGTACGACTTGCTGCTGCCACTACCGACTGGTTCTGATTTGCCTGTAGCCTGAGCACTCTGCTGAGGCGCTGCAACGGCAGGCGCGGCGGCAGGTGTAGGCGCAACTGCCGGCGTAGTCCCATCTTCACCATCGCTCATCTCCAAGATCTCCTTTGCATCCTCCACTTTTGCTCTCAAAACCTCCTGGTTGAAGAGACACAGCGCGCGGTCCTTTTTGGGCAGGCCGACAAGTAGGTCGGTGATGTCCTCGACCAGCTCGAGCGTTGAGGTCGGCAGGGACGGCTGGAGCGATTGGATCGCCTTCAGAATGCGCGCGCGTTCTTTCGACGATGCAGGCGCCGCGCTGAGCAACGACGCGCTGTCGCCGGCGGCAGAGCTGGAGTTTGTACGTCGTACTTGCAGCCCGCTTACGGAGAGGCTATTTTGCGCGGGTGGTGCAGAAGCATCTTCACCACTAACACCAGCAGCAGCAGCTTTGCGACTCTCCTGCACAGCATGTACATGCCCGACGAACACAGCCGGATCGCGCAGCGCCTCGACCGCTTCAGCGAGGCTGAGACGTGCCACCATGGCCGCTACGACGGCCTGCACCTGCGCATCGTCCTCCGAGCTCTCCACGAGCTCTCCCTCTTCGCGCTCCTCTGCGCCAAGCGCCTGGCCGTTGGCACCGTCTGCCAGGGTGGGCACAGCGCGCACGCGCCTGTCGAAGAGACCCGCGAGCACCTCGTTGCGCACGCTTGGCGAGAGCGCGGCAAGCTGTGAGACGTCGAGGTGCGCGTTGGCGTCCGCCTCCATCGCGGCGCGGAAGTAGCTGTTGCTACCGCGCCGCTCGTGGCCGGGCCTCCGTGCCGTTGGCGCTGACACAGGCCCGGAGGGGTCTGCTGCCATTCCGCCGGACTGACGCATCGGCGGCGTGGACGAGGAGGACGGGTCGGGGGAGTGCCCGCTCGCGCCTGCTGCTGCGTGCTCAAAAAGGCTCGGCGAGCCGGAGCTGCCGGGTCTCGAGTGTGCTGGGCCCGGAACGGAGCCTGCGCCAGCACCGCCGAACTTGGCGGCGAGTTTTTCCTGACGCATACGCTTGGGCTCGTGCAGGCTGACGCTGAGGCCCTTTTGGTTGTTGTTGCTGCTACTGCTTTGCCCGTTCGTGCCGGGTGCCGCGGCGTGGTGCCCGTCGAGCAGGCATCCGTTCATGACGCGCATCGCCTCGGCGGCGCTGTGCTGGTCGGTGAAGCTGACAAAACCAAACTCGCGGCTCTTGCCGGTCTGCTCGTCGCGCATGACGCGCGCCGAGACGATGCGGCCGAATGAGCGGAACGCCTGAAACAGGTCGTTGGATTCGAGCGTCGGGGGCAGGTTCTTGACGAACAGGTTGCACGGGTCAATGTATGTGCCCGCCGCATCATTGTACTGCAGATTCGAGCCGGGACCGACGGGGATCGGAGGGTTGTTGGTGTTGTAGCTGTTGTTGCGCGGCGCTGCACTGAAGGGTGGAGCCGAAGCGTTCATCGTCCGGCTTGCTGGGGTCCATGAGGATGCGCTCGACACTATGGCGCCACTGGGAGTGAACTCGGCCGCACCAGCGGACAAGCTGGGGGTCTTGCGCTGGACCGTGTCGACGCTGATGCTAATGGTGCGGCCGTCGAGCTCAGAGCAGTGCAAGTCGCGCTGCGCGCTGTCGGCGTGGGCCTCGTCGTAAAAGTCAATGAGGGCCATGCCGCGGAAGCCGGTCAGCTGGCCAGTATGCGGGTTGTGCAGGACGAGCGAGATGCGGTGGATCGGGCCGTACGGCCGCAGCAGGGGGAAGAGCGACTCGGCGGTCGTGCTGGGCGGGAGCTGCTTAATGAGCCGCGGGCGCGCGTGCGGGGTTGGGTCCGCGGTAGTGCCAGCGGAAGAGATGGAGAGCGAGATGCCGCAATTGCTGTTGCTGTTGCTGTTGCCATTAGCGCTGCTGGAAGCGCTGGAGACGGTCGCATACGCGAGCTCGGCCTTGTACAGAGACTGAAACTCGACAGTGCCGTTCGTCAGGACCTGCCAGGCGGACATCTGATCGCGCTGGACGCGCAGACGGACGGGGAGGCACTGGCCAAAGACGTTCTGGGCGAGCTCCTTGTCCGTCGACGCGACCGGTACGTTGGAGAGGTACAGGAGGGGACTGGTCAGGTGCGGATTTGGCGGCAGGTCTTGCTGCGATGTGTCTGCGCCTGTTTCGGAGTGCTCGCTGGCGGGGGCCGGGTTGATCATTCCAGTGCTGTCGAAGCTGGCATTGCCTTGGGCTGCAGCTGCACTGCCCTCGTCGTCGTTGCTGTAGCTGCGATCATTATTGACGCCTCCGCTTTCCTGCTGCTGATCGTCGGCAGAGACGGCCCACCTGCTGGCAGCGCTGGAGGCAGTCTGCCTCTGATGCTGCTGCTCCTCCTCCTCCTCTTTCCCATGCTCCCCGGCCGGCTGGACGGCGTACTTGGAGTGATACGAGGACGACATTGGAGAGGTGCTGCCTGCCTGCGGGGCGCGGGCGCTGCTCTGCTCTGCTCGTGAGTGTGTTTGGAAGAAACGAAAAAATGGAGGGCCAGGTGCGTGCTGGCCTCTCTGTAATATGGGCAGAGGGAGGGCCAAAAGGAGGAAGGTGCTGCTCCAGCGGTTGACGCTGCTTGCCGGCGATGGATCTGGCAGTGAATGTGATGTCGAGATGGTCATGGTGGTTTGGTGGTGTCCATCTTTTCCTCTTCTTCTTCTTGTTGCTTTCCCTCTGCCACAACCCTACTCTATCCTGGCCTGCAACTCGCAAACACGGGACACGGGCTCCGGAATACGGAAACCACTCTGCTTAACAAAAAAAAGTTGTCCCCACCACTCTGCTAAATGATATGTGGCTCGCTGTCGTCTGCGCTCTCCATTTGGAGGGGGGAGAAGGACCTTGGACTGACGGCATGGAACAGCACACTCTGCATCATTCACAGAAGCTGTCTCTAGACCTTGGCCTCGGAGCACCATCAGCTCATCCTTGTGCAAGGAGAATAGACGGCAGAATGCGGGGAAGCAGCCGAGCCACTGTCGCGCCAGCGGCAGTCGCATCGAAGAAAGCCGCAATAGTGCCTGCAACTTCAGCTTCTGCCTCAGCAGCAGCAGATGGTGCCGACGACTTTATCATGACGCTCGATTCGGACGACGATGACGAAGACCGGGGAGAAGAACAACATAACGGAGAGGGAGAAGCGCAGATCTTTGTCGCGCAGAATGAAGAAGAGTACAAAAGGCAGCAGCAATCCTCCGCCGCATCCGCTCTCGCAACCGACGCATCTGGTAAAAAGGGCAAGAACGTCATCCCGGCTCGATTATCTGATCGGGCCAAGGTCACCAACACTGCTGCCTCCTCTGCATCTCTCAGCACTAGCAGCAGCGGCAAGAAACGCCGGACGGACGAGCAAGACCCGTCCGCCGCTGGTGGGCAGCTCGACCCAGAATTCACATTCGACCTCACTGGCGACGGCTATGACCTTGGAGCCGCTGGAGCTAACCGAAGTGCCAACTGGGACATGTCCATTGGAAATATGCGCGCTAAAGGATCCTCCGGGCAGCAGCACCAGCAAGGGGAGGCTGCTGGTTCTGGTGCTGTTCCTTTCCTCACTGTCGACGATATCATTGAGCGGAGACGCGAAAAGAGGAGAAAGACAGCGGGCGACAATCTGGCATCGACACTCCCGCTCCTTGCGGCGGCGCCACTGGAAGAGGAACAGGAAGGGATATCAGACAGTGAAAGAAGCGACGATGATGACGCTGGTACGTACGGCTTCTGCCGAGGCGATTCACTTCCGTTCCGGCCGGTGGACAACAGCTGATGATTCTGGTGGCTCTACCCTCTTTCTAGATGGCTTTGGTGCAGGTTTACGTGCAAAGAAACGTGCAAAGGCCAATGCAGCGGATGCTCACAGCAGCAGTGGGCAAGAGGGAAGTGGCGACGAAGAGGAGGATGAAGGCGCAGAGGAAGAGGAAGAGGACGAAGAGGAAGAAGTGGAGGACCCGCTAGCCGCTTCTGGCTCAGACGATGAAGATGCCGAGGAGGAGGATGAAGAAACGGACAGCGCCGAGTCGGACAGCTCTGACGACTCGGGCGAAGAACAAGAGACGGCAGCGACGCGCGCGCGAAAAGCAGCATTCTTTGCGCCGGAAGACGATGCAGCAGGAACGCCACTCTCCTCGGATGCCGTCGCAAAAGCAAAGGCCCTCGCCAAGGCGAGAACAGCAGCGACTGGCAAGCAAGCAGGCTCCGCAGCGACCGACCCGTCCTCCTCTTTCCAAGCGCTCGACCTCTCTCGGCCCATCCTGCGCGCGCTCGCCTCGCTCTCCTTCCACGCGCCGACGCCCATCCAAGCGCGCACGATCCCGCTCGCGCTCGCAGGCAAGGACATTGTCGCCGGCGCCGTCACGGGCAGCGGCAAGACAGCCGCGTTCATGATCCCGACTCTGGAGCGCTTGGCGCACCTGCACTCGGGTAGCAGCGCGGAGGCCAAGTCACGCGTGTTGATCCTGACCCCGACCCGCGAGCTAGCGATCCAGTGCCACAGCGTTGGCAAGGCGATCGGCAAGTTCACCGGCGTGCGCTTCTGCCTCTGCGTCGGCGGCCTCTCACTCAAGGTGCAGGAGGCTGAGCTCCGCACGCGCCCGGACATCATCATCGCCACGCCTGGTCGGCTGATCGACCACGTGCGCAATACTCCCGCCTTCACGCTCGAGCACATTGAGGTCCTCGTCATGGACGAGGCGGACCGTATGCTCGAGGACGGCTTCAACGACGAGCTCACCGAAATCATCCGCCACTGCCCCCAATCCGTGACCGGTGCGTCCGGGCGCCAGACAATGCTTTTCTCCGCCACGATGACCGACGACGTTGACGAGCTGGTCCGCCTCAGCCTGCGCAAGCCTGTCCGCCTCTTTGTCGACCCCAGGCGCACAACCGCAGCCAAGCTTATTCAGGAGTTTGTCCGCGTCCGCGGCAGCGGTGCGACGCTCGCGGCCAAGCGCACACAGGAGGAGGAGAAGTTGCGCCCGGCCCTGCTGCTGGCTTTGTGCATGCGCACGTTCCAGCACCAGGTCATCATCTTTGTTCGCTCCAAGAAGCTCGCGCACCAACTGCGCATCATCTTCGGCCTGCTCGGCCTCCGCGCCGCCGAGCTGCACGGCGATCTGACGCAGGAGCAGCGCCTGCAGTCCCTCCAGGCGTTTAAGGACGCCCGCGCCGACTTCCTCCTCGCGACCGACCTCGCCAGCAGAGGTCTCGACATCCGCGGCGTCGAGACGGTCATTAACTACGACATGCCCGGCCAGTTCGAGCAGTACCTCCATCGTGTCGGCCGCACAGCGCGTGCCGGCCGCAACGGCCGCGCCGTCACGCTCGTCGGCGAGGCGGACCGCAAAATGCTCAAGCTCGCCTTGCGCAAGTCCAACCCGGACCAGGTCAAGCACCGCCTCGTCCCGTCCGAAACCGTCGCGCAGGCCCTGCAAACGCTGGATGAACTCAAGGACGAAGTCGAGGAGGTGCTCGCCGATGAGAAGGAGGAGAAGGCGCTGCGCCAGGCGGAGATGGAGCTCAAGAAGGGCACTAACATCAACGAGCACGCTGACGAGATCTTCTCGCGGCCCGCGCGCACCTGGTTCCAGAGCGAGAAAGAGAAGCTACAGGCCAAGGAGACGGGCACCGCGCAGAACAACGCCAAGGTCAAGGCGGACGCCGAAAACAAGAGCAGCGCTAGTGGGAAAGACCGCTTTGCAGGGCTGAGCAGGCGCAAGAAGCGCGCCAAGCTGATGCGCGAAGAGATCGAGAAGGAAGGCACGTCCAAGGAGACTGACGCTGCGATCCGATCAGCAAAGCGCAGCCAGAAGCCAAAGGAGCTTGGCGTGCTCGAGCCAAAGTACCAGAATAAGAAGAAGCAAAAGAAGCAGGAAAGGAAGAAGCGCAGCAGCGCGAGCAAAATCAGCGTCGGCAAGGCCAAATCTGGTTTCTCGCAGGATCTGGGAGAGCATCGAAGCAGCGGAGGTGGTGGAGGCGGTGGTGGAAAGAAAGCTGCCGCTGCAAAAGGTGGGCACAAGAACAGCAAGAGCAGGCGATAAACCTTGCGGAAATCGCCCGGGGAGGTGTATTTGAGATTTTTGTCATCTCTTCTCCTATTGCATTAGATCAATCTGGCCCTCCATACACCGAGAGCAATGCATCATTGACCGCACTGGGAGGCAGTGCACCATAGTCTGTAAGGAGGAAGGTCATGAGCGATGCTGGCGTGTAGTCGACCTATGTAGGGAGGAAACAGGGGCCCGGTCGGTAAAAATGATGCGAAATTTTTGCTTCAGAAAAGAGGACACCAGCCGCGAGGCGAACCCAGAGCCCGACTCACCGCAGGATTTGCTTCCAGCATCTCTTTCGTCATCAAGCATGGCTGCCCATCACGCGCATCTTGCGGTTTCGGTTGAGTCTCAGTTGGAGTCGAACTCATCGCCGGCGATTCACGGAATGAACCAGACGGTATTTTTACTTGCCGTGCAGATGCGGTGCTTGATGGGAAGCCGAGCGTGTTCTTGTGCGGCACAGGGAGATCATCCTGGGATAACGGGAATAGCCGGAGGAATTTGAAGCTACGCCGTGGGAGATGAGCAGTTGAACAAGTGGGTTTTTTGGGTCGAATGGACCCATAGCACTCACCTTTCACAGCACGAGTATAAAGGCTTATTTGCAGCTTTGGCTATCAGACCAATCTGATAGGTCCCCAGGGCATTCAAAATTCCGCCACTTTCCACAACAGCTTCTGCACCTGTTAGGACCATGTCGACTTTTGACATGATATAACCTACGGCTGAATCGAGGATCACCGTACAGGGTATCCCTGCAGCTGTGAGTTCCTCGTACGTCTTCATGCTGATAAGTTGAGAGCGCCGAGAGTCAGAAGATTGGGCATCTACCTAGAGAACTGGCTTGGAGCAGCACCTACCCTAGTCCTGTAGCCCTTGCCTCAGTCACATATACGCTTATTCGCTTGTTGTAGCGCTTTGCCGCCTTCATCAATACTTGCATCACCACTCGGGAATATGAGTGGGTCAAGATGACCTATAGGAGGTACTGGCGTCAGGAAGTGGCTTATTTGATTACCATTGACTCTCACTCACAGCATCATCTCGAATGAACGGTACAGCCAGCTCGGTGATACGCTCTCGGCAACTGGGCGCCGTATTCGCCGCAAACTCCCTTGCAAGCGCGACGAGGCTGTTCTTCTGCGCGATGAAGTCATTCTGGCCCTCCCAATTTCTAGGCATGATGACGAATCGCTGGAATAAGTCCATACCTGCAATCGCAGGCACCGGATTCGATAGCTGTTCGCGCAAGCGGTCGCAGCCCTGTCGCACTGTGATGATCAGCTCCGACACGGTACCCGCTTCGGAGCGGGACACCATGTCGCAAAGCGCCAAGATGGCGGCGATCTGCATGGGAGTGTCAGAGCTCTGCATAAGATGGGCATGATATGCTTGCACAATGTCGAACGTCGAAGCGGCCGCCGTGGACGACGAGGACGAGGAGGTTTGTGTAGCAGTCGTCATTTTTGCGGTCAAGCTCGCGGGGGGTCCCACGATCCCACGCTTATCCCGGCTGTTGCAACGTTGATTGGCCGCCCTTGGCCCGTCCAGAGCTGCTCCTTAGCCTTGGTGCTTGTAACAAGTGCGCCCTTTGACGACTGCTCGAAGCCAGCGTCGCGATCGCGTGCGACCAGCGTTGCAACTATTCATCATGAGAGCTTTTTGGATGTCTTTCAAAGAATGACTGCCCGGGCGGAACGGATTCAAGACTGGCTGAAGGTAAGAGCACTGCAGCAGTGTTCGGCTGCTCCCAACAACGCCAACCAGAAGCGAAATCCACTCATCAAAGACTTGCTCGCTCGACCTTGGGCCATGCCATGCCTAGATGGTGTTTGTGTTGGTCCCAGGGCAGCAACGATCTTTATCGCTCTAGAGCTAAACGGACAGGCTTAGCTTAAGAAGGGATCAAAACACGGCAGACACCGCCGCTAGACGAGAAAAGTTCCGCCAGACGGATCGAGAAGTGTCGCGTCAAGAGTACGCAGGCGGGACCACGTAGCAAACCAAGATGGCGTCGGCAGCAGGATCCTCGCGCTTTCAAGCGTTCATGAACCACCCCGCTGGGCCAAAGACAGGTGCGTATTGAGCTTCTGAAAGTTCCCTGGGATGGCTCATACAAAGACTCAGGATGGCTGACTCCCTCGCTACCCTCAAAACCCGATGTGTTCTGCTGGCATGACTTTTTGCCGTCTGCCATGCGATGATTCTGTGCTCTTCGCCGCGCTGCAGTATTCTTTTGGGCGCCCATGATGAAGTGGTGCCTGGTGCTTGCAGGTATCAAGGATCTCAGTCGCCCGGCAGACAAGCTTTCGGTCTCTCAAAATGTCGCGCTCGCTGCGACCGGTATGATTTGGGTTCGGTACGTTCACCGCGTGCCCTGCCTTTCCATATGCGCTCTTGCCCCATGAGGAGAGAAGCTGACGATCCTTGTACGCCGTGAACGCTGCACGCAGGTACTCGCTGGTCATCAACCCCGTCAACTACTCTCTCGCTGCAGTCAACTTTTTCGTCGGCGCAACAGGTCTTACCCAACTCTACCGTATTTGGGAGTGAGTCCCCTCTGCTTTGACTTTCCCACATCATAACATTCTGAAGTCCCTCTGATGTTCAAACTGTTTTTTGCTACCACTTACTAATGGAATAGCCACCAGAAGAAGAACCCAGTCACAGCAGCGATAGAGCAAAACAAGTCGCAGGACAAGAAGCTGGTGTAATGCCACAACAGCCGGCATTTGCTCGAGCCCCTGGTTGCGTGCGGGATTTACCCTAATGTCAGGTTTTCCTCTTGCCAAATGCCCCACCTTGTATTCTTTCCGTTATGTAGAGCTGTTCAACCATGTGTCTCTGCGGCTTTGCGGGACATGGCACGACCTCAGCCCAAGGACCCACGCCCTCTTTGATCGGGCCACGAAAACAGTTGGCCTGGGCTCGTCAGCCACCAGATTGTTAAGACGCAAGTGGGAGCAGAATTGAGGGAAGTAAAGGTCCCGTTAAGCAGACAGTAGGGGCGGCAATGAACCCTCAAACGGCTGGTGGTCTTACCGAGGCGGCTGGCGGTCAGGTGCCTCAACCCGCTGTGCATCCAGTACCGCACTATCGACCATCTACTGGTCGTGCTTGCTGTCCCACGCTCAATTGCGCCTAGACGAGCTGATGGCCGACGAGGCTTCCACACCCGCATTGTCATCTGACTCCCAGGCAATATCGTGCTGCTTCTATGAGATTCGAGCGCGAAACTTGCTATTATACAGACATGGCATCATCGTCACTAAAGTCGTCCTCGCCAAGGGGTTCCTCGAGCATCTCGCCACGGGCTTCCCCGGTTAGGAGCTCACGTCGTACCTCTGGGCCGATTCCGTCGTGTTTTTGCACACGCAGCAGATCCAACAACGCAGTCTTCTGGTCCGGTGTCAGGTCTTGCTTGTACCTGAAGAAGTGGTAAAGGTAAGCGAACGCAACACGTAAATTGATTTGTTTGGGCTTGTCATCAGCATCACTCTTAGTGCTGCGGCTCACCTCTGTGCAAAGACAAGCAGACTCTGGTGCCACAGCACCGGCATGCGTCTCTGGCCGGTACTGACGCCATTGATCTTTTCCATCTCCACGCCCTTGTCCGGGTCGGCAAACTGCAGAAAGTGGAAAACGAGCGCATCGACGACCTTGTATGGCAGCGCGTACTTTTTGTCCAGGAGTACGCGGATGAACAGAGATGTCGGGCCCTTGTAAGGCATCGAGGCGAGGTGCAAGAGGGCTGCGGCGGAGTGTAAGACGGGCACAGAGATTTTGGAAAGAACGGAAGAAATGATCGCGGCTTCCTTCAGCGTCACGGTGCCGCTCTGCATGGCCGGCAAAAGTGAGAGAGCCGGGCGCGATGTCAGCATCCGAATGTATCGCATCTGTAGAGGGGCGTCGCGACGACGCCACGCACCTCGCACAAGGGGAAGAGGAGGCCCTTGAAGAAAGCAGCAGGCTTGTATAAGCCTTTCTTGAGTGCATCATACAGCTGCACGCTCAGTTTCCCCTTTTCCGCAATCTCGTCCCGGATCTTGTCGAGCAAGACCAGCTCGAAGAATTTTTGCGTCTGGTGAGCTTTCAAATTGGACACAAAGATGCGCGTCGCGGCGAGCGTTGCATGTGGAGTCCAGGTTGCCGGGTTGGTGATATAAAGGATGGTTTCCCACGCTGGCAGCGACGGGACGATCTTAAGGGCCTTTGGCAAGGGGCCTGACTTGTATCTCGAAAGCAACTCGCCGACCCTGTTAGGCAATTGTACGCAATCCATGGCGTCAGTTAGGGGCGTAAGGGACCGCGACCCATCCCGAAACACGGACAAGACTCACTTGGTGTAGACTTCGATCACTTTAGGATTGATACCCGGAGGCATCGGACGCCCTTGCTCGCCCATCCGTGGAAGGCCACCGGCTTGTTCGCGCGCCTCAGCCTCTTCCAGTTTAGCAATAATGATGTCTGCTAGATTTCGGCCACCGCCACTTGATCCAGGCAACGCCTCTTCCAGATCCGCATGCTCGCCGCCTAAGGTCATGCCAGACCCTTTTGAACGAGCCGCCATCGCTGCGTCCATCTCTTCCATCAGTCGCCGGTCCTCTGGATCAATCTCCAGCTCCTCGTACTCTTCCTCCAAGTCCTCATCCCCTGAAAGGGCCTCTTGCTCGTTGAGCTCGCCATCATCCTCTTCTCCCATTGCGTGACCATCTTCATCGTCATCCAAGTTGAGAGCCCCGCCGGTGAATCCTTTGCGCGCAGAAGAGCCTTCTGAGCGCCTTTCCTTCAGCCTGGGGTCGATGCCGGTCCGCTCTGCCTCTTCTTCGCGCTCCAGCTCTTCTTGCTGCTCCTGGGCGAGCCGGAGAATGTTGCGACTCAGTTTCGGGTCGACAAAGTTCTTCCCAGACGAAACCCTCGCATCATTGGATCCAAAGCGCTGTCCGCCTGTCACGCGGCCGCCGTCAGGCTCTATCGAGTTTTTCCCGTCTTCATCAATGTCAACGTCGACGCCAGCTTTGCTTTTCCCTTTATTGCGCTTGCCAGGCCCCGTCACGACGCCGTACTTGGCCCGAAGCTGGTCCTCACGCAACTCTTGAGCTAGAGAGGTCTGCCTCGAGGCCTTTGCGTCGAGCGGTTTAAATCCGGGCTTGGTCGTCTTCTTGACCTTGGTAGATGAGGGTGCTTTCGGCATATTGCAGATAATCTTCTCTCCAGCGATGCTGCAAGTCGTTCTTGCTGCTTGCTTGCAAGGAATTTCCCGTCGTCGATAGTACGGATGAAGGAGGATGCAAATGGAGCTTTGGACAGATGCGTGAAACACAAGCGGCCGAACGGGAAGCCCTTGCTTGTTGGGACTTGCGTCTTGCTTCTTGACTCTTGCTTGTGGTTAACACGAAATAGGGGAAGATGCGAAGTTGATAGAGCCCTGCTGCAACTCGAAAGCACAAGCTCCAACGAGGCCCAAGACAAAAGCTTGCATCTATCTCTCCGTAAGCTAACAACCTGTAGGTCAACAAAAAATTGGGCCAACGAGCTCGGAACACGGAATGCACTCACGAAGGCGAAGGGCGGGCATTTCTGCCGACTTAGGGTTGCAGCCTTCCTCACCAAACACCACTCTCGCTCATCTCGACCGACTCCACCGCAGCCATCAGGCGGCTGGAACTAGCTAGCGTTACCAATCGCACCTTTAACTCGCTCGGGCAGACTCTCGCTGCTTAGCAATGAAAGGATAGTAGCACGCGCAAGTATCTGAGACCATTCTTCAAGGCTGGCTCCTGGTTGCATCGATAGAAGAGCGCTGGTGAAACTCAGGCATAGATTTGCGGCCCCTCTCGAAAGACTGCCGCAGATGCTGCCCGCATCACGAGCGAATGGCGCTGCTCCGGTTGAACAAGGCGATGCAGCAGATTCCGCCGCCGAGGCGCGTGAAAAGCATCAACAGGAAGGAGAGGCCGCCCTGCTCAAGCGGCCTTTCTCTGGTTGGGGGGATCCTGGCTCTCCAGCAACAAGCGAAGAGATCGAAAAGCTAAAGAAGGACCTAGGCACGGTTTGCGACCCATCAGATCCGACGCGCAAGGTGGCGGCAAAGAAAGCGAACAAGGCATATATGGTGCATCAGCGCTGGAAGGAGGAACAGATTAAATCTGGTAGGATGGACCCCAAGACGGGCAAGGTCACTCAGGAACCACTGGGGCCGGTCGGGAAAGCATTCTTTCTCATGCTCAAATGGAGCGTCGTCGGCCTGCTTCTCTCCATGGCCGCAGGGCAATTTATTGCCGGAGATCCCATATGGGGGTATCGTGGCAAATGGGTTCAGCGCAAGACTTACCTTTCCGTGAGTGAAATTACCAGCACCTTGCTGATTGGCACCAACCTCTCACCTTCGGTGCTACTGCCCGCCTGATATAGCAGAAACGACTACGAGTATTCACACCCGCTGAGCTAGCCTTGTACAACGGACGAGACGAGGACCGACCCATCTACCTGGCCATCCTCGGAAACGTCTACGACGTCAGCGCCAATAAACGAACATATGGCCCTGGGGGCAGCTATCACTTCTTCTCTGGTACCGATGCTTCCAGGGCGTACGTCACCGGATGCTTTAAGTACCATTGCACACACGATTTGCGCGGTTTGGACGAGGACCAGATCAAAGTGAGTCCGAAATGCCGGCTCCTCGTGGCCTTGATCGCCTTGCGGTCTGCTTACCTCTGTGCACCATCCTCTGATGCCACAGCAAATTGAGACATGGAAGAAGTTCTTCGACGACCACCCCACGTACAAGCACGTGGGTACCGTCGAACTGCCAGAGATCGATCCAGAGTCGCCAGAACCAAGATGGGATTGCTAGGGGTCGACTATAACGAAGCAAACTAGGATTGCATTCTGCATAGCAGGTGACTACATGGACACACAGCGGGCTGGAATAACATCCGCACATGCCCTTACATAAATCAATTTGAACTCACCTTGTTCCGCGGCGCATGAAAGGCTAAATGTTAGAGGGTAAGCTGCATGCAAGACAAGTTGAGGGTCAGCTCTTCGTGCTCCTGCAGATATGCTTGTCTCGACGTGTCAGAGTGATGCCCGAAAATGGGTTTAGAAGCGGGCCATTTCGACACGGATATTCCGCAGACCGTCGTGATTGTTTATGCTCATCACAAAAGGGATGGAGGGGAGTTGCGAACGTACCTTCTATAGTATCACCACGCCAAATACGAAGTCGCCTGGGACTGCCATATATGTTCTACGCATTTCTGGCAAACCAAAAAGAACACCAGAAGTCAGCTTCCATTTTCTGTGTTGCATGTTCACAGATGTTTTGCGAAGCTCATTAATCAGCCTTGAAAATATCCTCAAGTTTAAATCGGACGGTAATTTCCAGCGGAGCTCCGTAGAGCAACGTTGAAGTAATCATAGCGAAATCCGTTCGAATCGGAAATAGACGCTCACCTTAAGGTACAACCGTACAATTCGCAGCCCTCAAGAGCTCGTCCGCCGGTGTCAACATGCGCGTCAAAACCCGCGGCCATCCGAGGCCGACCTGTTAGCAAGCGTCAGGTGTTAGTGACACATTTCTTGCTTGCCTGCCTCAAACGTCGGCGGCATCGATGGATGGGGTCAGGGCGTATGAAGTTATCGCGAACTAGACCGCGCGACTCTAGTTTGTGATTGCCATGCGAGATTGTGCTCGCCATCATGTGATGCCGGATAGCTCGCACCCATTGTTTAAACTCACTCTTGCAGAGAAATAGATGTAGGTACCGTTAAACCTGAAGAGCTCGATTGGCGAACATCTGTAAATAGGACCAGATGAAAGTCAGGTCAGCAAGATGGCGATGAGCAAGAGTCAACGCATCCCCCTTCCCCTTCCAAAAGTGAACTCCTTGCCAGCTTGTGATCTCTCAGGTATTTCAGATATTTTTTTGCCTCTCACGGAGCATCAAGTATGCGGAACAAGTTTTTAATCTTCGAAGATGGCCTGGCCCATTCCATCTGCAACAACTCCATCGTTGCATTCGAACATCCGAGGAACAACATAAACTCACCTTATTAAGGAGATACGCTCCCTTTGACCTGTGTGCTTGAGAGTATCTAGGACGCACAGCTTGGACAAGAAGCAGAAGCCCTCAAGTTGGGCTGTTCCGACATCTTTACCCTCACGGGGCTCACCGGCATGGTGCTTGGCTGCTAAGCAACTAGGGGACTACGATGGATACCATCATCGACCCCAGTTTCCTGCACACGGCGATATCCTCAGCGATGAAGAGTGCAAACCTTTCAAGACAGTGATGAAGCTGAACTGTGACAGAAAACTGCAAGGGAAAGTGTATAAAAAAGATTCTCGCACTCTCGCAGAAAAGAGCTGAGCGGAACACAACAACACACTGCACATAGCGAAAAACCTCCACTTCACTTGAATCCTGATAGAGAGCGTGCGCTATGCTGGTCATGGTTCCTTTGTGGTCTTCAGACACATGGCAAAGTTGAGAGTGGTATCGAACTGGAAGCTACTCAAGCGCCAAGTATCCTGTCATTTGCTGCTTACCCACTGCCGCTCCACCATAACCACCCAGTCCGCGACTCGCAAAAATGGGCAAGTCAGACAGCAAAAAGGAAAAGAAGAGCAAGACCAGTGCCGGAGACCTTTCGACTGCTTCTGCCATGTCAGTCGATGCAGGGGCCTCCACATCTGAGCTGCCGGTAGTGAAGAAAGAAAAGAAGGATAAGAAAGATAAGAAAGCAAAAGAACACGGCCTGGAGGAAGGCGACAAGAGCATTATCATGGACGTCGACGGGGAGGAGAAACAGGCCGAGGAAGGGCTCCTAAGTCCGATAGCGCGTGAGTCCGCATGGCTATCCGTTCTTCCACTGATGCCACGAGAAGTTGACATGATGCACCTACAGATCCTCTGGCCCAAAAGAAACTTTCGAAGAAGGTGTTCAAGACCATCAAGAAGGCGTCCAAATCTCGAGGGCACGTCAAGCGTGGCGTCAAGGAAGTGGTCAAAGCACTGCGGAAAGGGGAGAAGGGTCTTGTCATTCTTGCAGGCGACATTTCACCCGTGGACATCTTATCACATATCCCTGTCCTTTGCGAGGATACTGGGAACCCGTATATCTTTGTCACATCAAAGGATGCGCTTGGCGCAGCATCTAGCACCAAGCGACCTACATCCTGCGTCATGGTCGTTCCCGGCGGTAGCAAGAAGCAGAAGGAAGGAACTGCTGCAGTAAAGGAGGAGTACGCGGAAGAGTACGAAAGCGTACATCAAGAGGTCAAGGATTTGGGCGAAAAGCTCATTTTCGCAACGGCTTGAGCCGAACTTGGCGAATTTGGCTTGATCTTTTTGTGGAAAGAGCGTGGGCTTGCTATTGCGATCTGTACATTACTGAGCGTTGTAACAAAATTGAATCGATTGCCGCCTCAAGCTAGCCCAGTGCATTGCCGAACTTGGCACATGGTGTGCTCTGCTATCTCCGCCGCTTTCTTCGCTCCTTCCCTTGCGAGCGTATCCAAGTAACCATCCTCTTTCTCCAAACGCTGCAATTCGGCCTGGATAGGTTGCAGCGCTTCTACAATTGCATCCGTTGCTTCCGCTTTCAGAGTACCTGCCCCAGCCGCTCCGCCTTTTGCCTTGTTGAGCTCGTCTGCAATGTCTCCCGGGCTGAGCGCGGGAGTGTTGCGCCCCTGGGCAAAGTTGGAACGCACGCGCAATGCCGCCAAGATGCCGAGCAGATTGCTCACACCGGGTCTCGCATCCGGGTCATACGACAGGACACGTTCGTCATCCGTCACAGCTCTTTGGAGCTTCTTTCTTACTTGCTGGGGCGTATCTGTGAGCAGAATGCGAGAGTTGGGATCTGGTGAAGACTTTGACATCTTTTGCGACGGATCTCGAAGAGAGAGAACACGCTTAGTAGGAGCTGCACAGAAAATCAGCCGATATTCAAGGAGAAGCAAGGATGTGGTCTCACTGATGATATGCTGTGGGCTTGGAAAGAGATTCGTTCCATGCGTCCGATTGAACACATGTGCGATGTCTCTGGACAGTTCTAAATGTTGCACCTGATCCTCTCCAACAGGAACATGCGTTGCCCTGCGAAGAAGCGAAGGGTCGCGTTGTTGAGTAGAGAATGCTTAGGCAAATACATCAAAAAGCTCACTTGTAGAGGAGAATGTCGGCTGCTTGGAGGACTGGATATGCAAAAAGTCCTAAATTAAGCTCTCCTTCACTTGTCGAGGCATCCGCTTCAGATGCTGCATTTTGGGCATGACGTGCGATGGCGACTTTGGACTGGCGCATCGGTGAATTCAGCAGTGAATTTCTAAGAAATAATATGATTACCAACGCACCTTCCAAGTAGTGATGCGTCGGAGCTTGCCAATGGACGTGATGCAGTTGAAGATCCATGCGAGTTCCGCATGTTGTGGTACCTGCACAGCAAGAATTAGCCTTAGCTTAAATGCTCATTTTCCACGGTGAAATATGCGACGGTTTACATTTTCCTGTTGGAATATTGTGCATCGCTTAGGATCCATACCTATTGCAAGCAGAGCAGCGAGCATATCTCGTCGATCTCGTCTGAGCACATTTGGGTCTTGAGGCATCGTGAGAGCGTGGAAGCCGACACTCGAAAAGAGCAGAGTGTCCTCGGGTGCTGCGGCGTTTTGCATATCTACCCAATTCATCAGAGCACCTAAGTAATTTCCTAGCTGGATTCGGCGGAAGAGCGCCCATTCCAATGTCAAGTTTGCATGCGTTAGAATTGATCGAGCCCAATACTCACGTGAGGCACACCCGTAGGTTGGATGCCAGAAAAGATGACCTTTCCAATGTCTTGGTCCTTCGAAAGCGCTTCTGACCATGATATTCCCGCATTTGGAGCCTTCCGAGATGACCTGAAGGTCCTGAGAGAGCTTGCAGCGAGCTGATTAGCTGGACAACAACAATGTAAGGCGAGGGAATGGACCCTTGGCCGACACGCGGTCCAAGCGGTTTCGAGCAGTGAGCGCCTAGGAAATCCAACTACTGCGACGGTCATTGTGCGGGAGGGAGTTCTAAGCACCTGAATCCAGCTCCTCTACGTGAATGTGACGAAATGCCCGTAATGAGTTTCAACGCAACGAACAAGCATAGTATCGGTCGTGAAGCTGCACAAGAGTTGAGCTAATACAAGCTTTTGCAGAGGGCTAGACAATACTTGAGCCAACCTCCCGACTTTGCAAACAACCCTACCTTTTACACTCGATGAATTGACGGTCCTCATTCATCATTTTAATTGACTGCAGCTTCTCGCTAGACAAGACTCTCCATTAAGCTATTCTCGAGGTGGCCTGAGCAACTTACTGTACACGACAGGGCGCCGGCCCGCACAGTCGGGCTCATTTGGCGTTGTATCATTGCACACAAAGGCAGGAGGAGTCTGGACATGGGCGCAGAACAGCATGACGCCAACACCATTGGCGTGGAGGATGCGTACGCGCAGCTCAATCTTGAGGTCGGCGCGAGCGAAACGGACGTCAAATCAGCCTACCGCAAATTGTCACTGAAGCTCCATCCAGACAAGCGAAGGGATGTAGACTCTGTGCAAGCTTCGGCAGAATTTCATCGCCTTCAGCTGGCATATGAGCTCCTGTGTGATCCTTCGAAGCGCCAGGCGGCGGAAAAGCAAGCGGCACAAGACGCGGCTGCTCGAGCGCGGAGAGGAACCTATGATGGCAAGCGCAAAGCCGCGGCTGATGACCTGGACAGGCGAGAGGACGAAGATCGTAGGCGCCGAAAAGCTCAAGCACAAGCCGAAGTGGATCTTGCTCGCAAGTTGCAACAGATCCAAGAGGAGAACAAGCGGCTGAAGGAAGAAGCGCAGCGCAAACGTGATGAAGCATTGCGTGATCCTCCCGCACAGCTAGCCGCAGTGCCTCCGCCGACTACCCAGGTCCAGGAGAAGAGCGGTGATGAGGTGACGACAGATTACGGAAACAGTGCTTTCTCGCAGCCGCCAATAGGACCATTAGATACCACTGTGGTTGTCAAGTTCCCAACAGACCAATCGTTCAACTTGACCGGCTTATCGGATCCTATGCAACTTGTGTCCGCAGATTCCCTGGGAAAGAGCGATTTCAAAAATATGACACCGTTGGGACAAGCACTGTCAGCCTCATTTGGACCACTGGAAGCACTAGCCATCCATCCACCAAAACTGCGCAAGAAGACCGGCAAGCTTGCGTCAGAAATGTCCGCTGCTGCTATGTTTACCACCATCGACGCAGCTTATGCGGCTGTCTCCGCGGGCCAGCAACTGAACGCTCGCGGCCTCTTGGCAGACTGCTGGATTGGATGGGCTTCGGCGACAAGCAAGGGAAACCGTAGTTCAAACAGCGGTGGCGCGGACGAGAACGGCGACAGATTTCCGAATGCCGCTAACGAGCCCGCTCGAATCCGATGGATGCGCGAGAAGGGCATACTGCCGAATTTGGCCGGCGTTCCATTATCAAGTCCGCTAACGAATGGCGGGAGCGGACAGGCACCAGCATCTGAAGTGTCTGCGGCAGCAACAAAAGCCAGTAGACCGACGGCTAGCTTTTCATTCTCACCATTTTCCATATCAGATGCGTCAAACACTGCTGGCGCAACAGCTAGTAAATTAGGCGATGGCTATGAGAGCATCACTCTCATGCGGCTGCGCGAAGCAGAAAGGCGCAGACTGGAAACAGAAATCCTGGCAAGAGAGCAAGCAGAATAGATTATACCGTACTGTATTTTTGCCATTACATTCCCCCTGTATCTTACGTGCAGACATGATGCCTTGCCTTGTCACCTTCTCTGCCAGACCTGGATCTGCTGCACTCTGTTGCGCTGTTCCTGCTGTTCCAATGGCTCTCCTTCCCATAAGAGGTCGAAGTTCGAGGAAAGCAGGTCTTTGTACATCTGCGGGCTGACTGAGTACTGGTGCACATGCGAGATCAGAGCATACAAAGCATTAGATCATCATCGTCGGACTTGCGTGGTTGAGCTCCGCAGACCGCGGAGTCATTCTGAAACTTACCGGTGGACCGCCAGGACGGTCTCCGTGGATGGGATATACCATGCAAATGAGCACACCGTCCGCTTTAATTACTTTGGAGTAGATATCAGCCCACATCGACCTGAAGCTTGGCGGTAAAGCGCAGAAGAACGTGTAGTCGTATGCAACGGTGACATCCGTTCCGACCGCTAGGTTGCCTTCCGACGTGCCTAACTTGAAAAAATCCGCCTCGAAAAATTGCACCGCCTTTTTCACGCTCTGGTCTCCCTTGGCAGCGAACCATTCCTTAGCCTTTGCGACGGCTATAGGGGAGATGTCGACGCCGATCGACGGCGAGTAGCCAGCCTTTGCGAGTTGCTCGGCATCATAGCCTCTTCCACAGCCTGCAACCAGCGCCTTTCCGCCTTTGGGCAAGTGCTTGGCAATTTCAGGGTAATTGAGAGCCCACAGTAGGCCTGGCTGTGCTTCTTGAGCGTCCCAAGGCGTCAGCGATTGAGACCATGCATCATCCCATACATGATGGTCGCCCTGACTGGATCGTTCTGTGACAACTTTTTGCAGTTCTCCTACTCCTGGTGGCAGCGCCATTTTCCCTCTGGAATATGGCCAGTCCAAGTCTTCAAGCTCGAGCAATCTCCATGCAGAAGATTCGAAGTTGCCGGTCAGCACGTCCATTGGAACTTATGCAAGTCACGGAGAGGCGGGATTGTAAATACATCTCATTGTATCCACATTTCCGGACTCTCCGGAAGCCTGAATGGAAATGGTCGCTGTGATGACGGGTAGCGGCCGCAGCCCGAACCACATCCTCCGACGACGCGGATAGCCATGGTACTCTGCAAACATTGTTACGTCTCTGCTCACCCACTTTCCCCCATTGCATGCTCGCTACCTCCAACAAGGTACAGCCTGTTACGCTTTTCACGGACTTGATGTATTCCAAAGATAACACGGGTCGTGCCCCTGTGCATAGCGGCGCTGGAAGCACCATGCAGTCACTGCCGGCACCGCGGGTCGGGACCCTCGGTATGTTCATTATTGACACCTTCGAATTTCTTCAAGAAGACAGCACCCCAGAAAACCCGAAAGATCGCGGATATGGCGAGCAGATCGGCGGGGCGGGCTCATACGCCATGGTCGGCGCACGAGCCTGGTGTGTTGCTGACTTTCAGCGACCCATGGCATGACGGACCAACTGACGCCAAGACTCCTTAGGATCGAACCAGATCGACTCAGGATGATCGTTCACCGTGGAATGGACTGGAAACTCGAATGGCAAGGCAGGCTCGAAACGTATATGAATGTCAGCGATCGTGCAGCTGACGCTGCAGCACGGGGGCCGTGGATTTTTCGTACACGAGAAGCACAGCGGACGACCAGGGCTGTGAATATTTATCAAGGCCAACACCGGGGATTCGAGTACTTGACCCCAAAGCTTCGGATTGAGCCAGAAGATTTCGTAGACTCTGTCGAAGCCAGCCTTCCCGAAGTCGTTCATTTTGTCTGCAGCCCTGACCGCGCAGAAGCTATTTCGGACAAGGTCGACTCGCTGGTTGCCACGGGCCACGGCTGCTCTCTCTCCCTGCAGTCTCGCCAGCCATTGTTGGTGTGGGAGCCTATACCTGATAGTGCAACCGTACGTGGAATCAACTTTTACTTGTGTCGCAAAGCGAGCACTGATCAACCTTCCGACTTTTCGTTTAGCACGAGAACCTGCGAGGCTGCCTTAAATTATTCCCTCGTCTACATGTGTTCAGGTTGGTTCGCACAATCCCAGTTGCATCTTGTACTACATTTACCGATTAAATGCTGACCTCTGACCTACTTTCAGCCCAAATCATGAAGAAGCTGCAAATTTGCTCGCCGTGGATCCACCAGGAGATGATGCAGACGCAAGGTCTATCATAGAAGAATTGGCGGAGGTTTTTGTAGGTCTTGCGCAAGAGAGCCAACCTCATGCTCACCCGATCATATGCATTCGTTCTGGCAAGCTTGGCTCCTATATCCGCGGGTATCAGGTACCCGGTTTCTGGTCTCAAGCGTACCATACAGAGGCGATGAAAGAAAGGGTTGTCGATGTCACGGGAGGTGGCAATGGATGGCTCGGCGGGTTCTGTGCGATCTTGGCAAATGCATACGCCAAGCAGAACCGAGAGAGCCTGAGGAGCGATGAAGCGCTCCTGAAGGAGGCTGCAGACTGCGCTTCGATATCAGCTTGTAAGTACGAAAGAATCTGCGAAGCCTCCCGATCATCTCTCACATGAGTTCGCGCATTCAAAGCATATATCATTGAGCAACTTGGCCTCCCGGACATAGAGGTTTGGTCACGAGAAAATGGGACCGATGCTCCTGTTGCACGCTTAGCCAAACTAAGAAACCGGCGAGCATGAATTGAAATCGTCCTGCACGGCTGTGCAGCCCAAGCTTGTTGACGTTTATGATACACCACTGTCTTTTGAACATTGCGCCGCAGAAGCTAAAGGGGTGTTCTGGATGATCCTTCCCCTCTGTTGATCGACCCAGCTTGGGTGATGCCCATGCGAATATTGTAGGCCTCCACTTCCCACTGCTTGACTTGATCAACGGTCCAATTCCCGCTGCTGCTCCTTGGACGCCTTGCCCTCGTGCTTGTCGGAAAGAGGGTGGCGAGGGAAACTTCTGCATGTGGTCTTCCGAAGATGGCATCGGGGTCCATGGCCGCTTGTGCTGTGAGAGCATCTTGCAATTCACGGCCCTTGGTCCATGAAGGCGCTTCAGCACGGCGACGCTGGGTTTCCTCGTCGTCGGACATTGAATATCTGGAACAAAGTCATGATGCAACGTCAGCATGAGCGGGCCGACAGAATCTTCTCCGAGGCTACGTACTCTGATTGCACATCAGGTAGTGCGATGTCTTCGTCCGCAACAGATTCTGGCGTGGGCGCATTGGTGGGAATGGGCGTCTTCTGCTTTGGCGTAGGCAAAGCCGATTTATGCTGCTGCTGGAATGGGTTGTGTTGCGTGAAATTGGAATTCTGCACTCCCCCCTTCGGACCTGATACCTTTGTGCTGCTGGGCTGCGCAGACGGAGGGCCGTTCTGCTTGGGTGTCTTCTTCGCGAATGCAAATGACGAAGACGGTGGCGGGCGAGCGCCCGCTGTCTGGCTAGCTCTGATGGACGCAGACGGAGGCGCCGCATTGCTCGCGGATGCTGCGCCATGCGAAGGGGTCTTCAGCGTCTGCAAGCTTTCGCTGGTGGGCACGCGTTTGAGTGGAGGCGGCACGATACCAGCAAGAGGCGGGGCGCCTCCAAACCTCGCGCCTGATGGTGGTTGATTTGATAGCAGCTTCGAGGTTGTGGAGGCAATGCGATTGATATTTGCCTGTCTCGAAGGGCCTGCTGCTGATAATGACACGGCTGCGCTCGAGATGACCAGCTTTGTCTTCTTCTCGGTGACCTTCCCATTGGCGATCTGTGGAGCATCTTCTCGGACTCGCTTCTTGGCCTGGGTCTCCTTAAGGTCTTTCTTCGCCTCGACTTGCTTCCGGCGTGCATCACGCTCGCGCTGTCTGCGCTCTTCTTCTTGTTCAGTCTGCTTGCGTAGCGCCTCCGCCCTCATGAGACTAGGTAACTTGGGCGCCGGCGCCATTGCTTGCGAGACGGCCACAGGCTGTAGCTGTTGAGCAAGAGGTTGCTGAGATGCTTGAGCCTTCTTAGGCGAGCGAGCAACAGTAACAATCGTGGCAGATTGGGCCGTCGTGGCTACTGGAGTAGACCCAGGGGCGACTGTGGCTGTAGCAGTAGAAGTGGATGAGGTTCCTATGCCAAGGAGGCCTTTGATCTTGAACGTCCAGGAAGATGGTGCAACGGCAGTCGCTGCAGCAGAGGTGCTGAGCTGAGCATGAGCAACATCCCCGTTTCCACCAGCCAGCTTGCTGTTCTTCGAAGGAACAAATTTCAAATTACTGATCTTTCCCGGCGATGCTGTTGGGAGACGACTCTTGAGGTCGGGTCGCTTGGGAGACTCGAGCGGGGTTGTGGAACCAGCACATATCGTGCTGTTCGGGAGGGCCTCGCTGTGATCCGAAATGGCGGAGGTGGCTTTCGGCGTTACGGCCCCTGCTGGCTGCACAGTTTGATTAGAACTGTCTGCAAAGCGAGCCGGTATCTCAGTCTCCTCGTCGCTGACCACGTTATGGGTATGCGACACAATGGCAGGAGCAAACACTTCGGTTTGCTGTTCTGAGGCAGTATGCTTCGGAGTCATAGCTCTGGAGACTTCATGCGCACTGGATGTCGAGGGTTGTGGCTGCATAGAGTGTGACATTGTAACCGTAGTATCATTCTTGCTTGCGAGCGTTGCCCGAGCGGGAGCTTCGTGCACGAGAGCAAGATGTGGGGCAGTGCTGGTACGTTTTGACACATTATCGATGCGGCTCCTCAGTGTCTCGAGTGCGCTCTTCGAAGTCGTCACAGCAGTGCCGGATGGAAGCTCTGGCATATGTCGTTTCGTCCCTATTGCAACCGAGGGTTCGTTGGCTTGTTGCTCGCCCAATGCTTCATCGCTTTTGCGCGCGTTGACTTTCGGTTTGAAAGAGGTCGCCACTGGAGGATCTGATGATGAAGCCTCATGCCCTGTGCTGCCGAGCGCCCCAGCAATTAGTCTCTGCGCGAACGATTGGGCCATGCTCGTGTTGGCCGGCGTCGCCGCAATGTGACTGGCGCCGAGGCTTTTTGTGGACTGGCTCATTAGTCCGCGCTTCTGCTTTGACGGAAGGGGTGTCATCGCGACGAATTGCTCAGCGGTCTCTCGAGCATTTCCGTCCCCTTCCGGCCTTCCAACTTCCTTTTCGGGGGAGCACTCCGTCGGCAGTGTGCTTGTGGCTGCAGGCTTCGACCTTTCAGCCGCCACATTGCTACTTTCATCTATGATTTGTACCATCTCCTGCTCAGACTTCCGCTTCTTGCGTGTGGGTGCGGCGGTAGCAGCCTTCGTTGCAGCGGCTTTCCTCTTTGTTGCTGCTGCGCCGGCCCTGGGTTTGCGAGTGTCTGCTGATCCGGCAGCCGGCACAATATTCTCCTTGTCCTGGGATGCCTTGGTCTGCTTGACTTTTGTTCGATCTGACCCGTCGGCATCAACCACCTTCTTCGTTCGAGAGCGGGCTGGCGTCTTGATGATTTCTGCAAGATCTATGGGTGCATTTGACTTTTTCTTTCCCGCGGTACTCCTGAGTCGAATTCTTAGCAAATATTAGTTCTCATACTGACTGGGCTGATCAGGTGCCGAAGTGACGATCACTCACTTGTGTTGCTCTCGGAGCTTGTGCGCATAGGTGAGCATAGTGTCTGCCCAGTCAAGACTGTCATACTGATCCAGAACGCTTAAGGTGCAGCATTCGGCCAATGATTCAACCATGTCGACCAGTGTTCTGGGCGTCGCGTTGGGGCGAGCAGCGACCCTTGCGTGCACGCTTGTGGAAGCCATTTTGTGCGGTCTCTGCAGTGCGAGCACGATGATGGTGGACTGGGGCAGCGCACCGCGTGCGTCCGACCCAAAGATACAACAGAGAAAGGGTTGTGAGGCCTCAAGCGACTCTTGTGCATAGTCGTAGTGACATGTATGTATACGTGTAGAATAGTCACTGCAGAGGAATTGGAGGCAAAGCTGGAGGGCTGACGGTGGAATGGGTTGGTATAGTAGTGAACGAGGTGTTGTTGTTTGGTTGACCGACGCGTCGCCCGCTCAATCGCACCTGACATCACGTGACAGACGCGATGCCCAATGCCAATAATTGGAGACCGACACCATCTGCAACGGCAGCCCATGCCATTGGTCCATCTGTACTAGGTATTCAGTCCATCCGTACTTGACAATAGTTCGAGGTGGGCGGTCATCGACGTAGCCACATACAAGCGTCGGAAAGCAAATGAAGCGCATGGACAGCCCATCTGTGCGCAGCAGTAAAGCAAGCTTCCTTGCTTGCGCGATCAGCTTCCATTGCACGGACCAGTGACTATGTCGGCCAACGGCAGGAGTAGCAACAGCAGCACTGTCCAGTCGGTCACGATCGAATCGTTTGTGGAACGCGCCACTCCAGCCCCGGAACACATCGCATATGTCATCGTCGTCAAGCTGCCTGTGCAGTCCTGGAGAATACTACGCCGCTACTCAGACTTTGCATCGCTTGAGAAGCAGCTTCAATCACAGCCGGCACCGCAAGGAGCAGGCCGGGCTGCCCCCGCACAACTTCCCCCCAAAAGGGCCGTACAGCATACACTCAGCATCCTCTCACGCTCCAATACCATCTCATTACAAAAACAATTAGCGGAAGGGCGCCTGCCTGAGCTGCGAGCATGGCTCAAAGCAATCTTGGACAGCCAGGATCCAATTTGGAGAAGTTCATATGCATTTCGTCAATTCCTGGAGTTGCCGAAAGACGCGCAGTTCCAAATAGCGCAGGCGGACACGTCTGGCTACTCCTCCTCATCGGCCAGTGCTGGAGCGCGATCGTCATCGCAAGCAAGTTCATCGATGACCAAAGGCGAATCGCATGCAGCCGCAAGGACAAGCTCGGCGCCACATTCTTCGGGTGGGATACGAAGGCTTGGCGCCCGGTCTATGGAAGTCAGAGAGACGGACGACACCCGTGCATTAGACAATCCAGATTTGTTGGCATCGCAGGCCGCTCAGATGGATGCCCAAGACCAGCAGCTCGGCCGCCTAGCGAATGTCCTTCGAAGACAGCGAGAGATAGGGCTCGCAATCAACCACGAGCTTGCGGAACAGAGCGAATTGCTACAGCAGTTGGACACCGAAGTTGTCGTCATGCAAGAAAAGGTGTGCAAGGGCGAGGACAAGATGAAGAGACTCGGTGGATGAAATTAGGAAGAGACGGTGCTTTGCAGGCGAAGACCCTGCCCCGGTGCATCAGTGTAAATGTCAAGCGGTGGCAAAGGTCTGCCCGCGCGACGTGGCATCCACGTCCTCAAATACACGGATGCTTCCCTGAAACTTGGGGTCCCACACAGCTGGCGCGTCGGGCCGAACAATATCGAATCCTCGCAAGAGATTGCGCCAGTCCCGCTCCTTTTCGAATCGCTCCACTTTAAGATCGCTCTCGCTGGGCGGCGGATCCCTTGCCTCTTGCTTCGTCATCTCCCGTCCACTGGCAATTTCGCGTGAAACTTTCAAGCGATCGAAGAGACTTTTATAGTAGCTCTCCTTCGCTTTTGCAACGTCGTCTGGGATCTTGGTGAAGAAAGGAGGATAAAACCTTTCCCCCTCCAATCCCCAGTCCAAGTCGCCGCCCTGCGGCGGTGAGGATGTGAATGCCCCGGTCTCTGGCGCGTCGAATGGCCGCGCAGACTCTTTGCTGCCGTAGATCAGCCTGAGCGCAGCTTCGCCCCCTAGCTTGACGTCGTCACGTCGCCGGAAAAAGCGCGCCATACGACGCGGTATATTGCGCCAGCCGATCAAATTGGTGAAATCGACAAAGCAGAGTGGAGGTTGTGCGGGGACCAGCTGAAGTGCCGGAAGCGCCTGGCCTGTGGAACCGGATCCGGTTGCATGCGGGATTTTCCGTGAGAATAGCGAAGTGCCTATTTTAGATGCAATGTTCGAAGGGGTTGAATTCGTAGCCAGTTCATTCGAGTGAAAGGGAGTCGAGTCTTGTTGGAACTTTGAGGAGGCGCCATCCAAGGTTGACGCTTCGAAGACGCCATCGTGAGTGAGTTCCGCAGCGAGCGAATCATTCGGGTCCACTGCCTTGATTGGAATGTCATTTGCCCACCCTTCCTTGAGCGCCCATAGCCACTCTTTCAAGGCCGGACGGCCGACCAGGACAATCCCGCCTTCCAATTCCCGTTCCAGAACTTGCTGAGGGGTAAGGGAGACGGGCCCGCGGCCGCTGCCATCTGGTGCTAGGAGCGGCGATGAGCTCCAATCCTCTACGCCAGCCAATTTTCTTCGACGTGAATGAATCGCGTCCGTCAAATCTTTCGCAAGACCACCATAGCGCCTGCCCTTTCGAATCTCCCAATCAACGCCAGCGGCTGCGAGCACCGGCTGATGAAGAACCCGGGGAGTGAATATCTTGCATGCGAAAGCAGGACAGATGAATCGACTTGACTTACTTTCATATAGCGCTTGAAGAAGAGGACCCCCGTGTTGAAATCCTCATCTCCTGGACTTTGCGCAGTGTACACCTTGATCTTGCGCGGCCACTCGTGCGGTTCCATCTTTTGCTCTGCAATCCACCGGACTTGGTCTTTGTATCCTTCCATGAGCTTCTTGCACTGTGCACGGTCATCCCACCACAGATATGTAAGACTTGAAGTTGTCACGATGAAAATGCTCCAGTTCCGGGAGGGCAACCGTGGTTTCCAAGCCAGGACACCTCGAGGAACACCCATGTAAAGAAGAGGTCTCAACGCCGAAGGGACGGGTCGAAGCGTCCCAGCCGCATTTGGCTTTGGAGGTGGTGCCGCATTTTGAATGAAGGACATCTTGTGGAGTTTAGTTAGAGGCCCTTCCAAGGTACAAGTAGCCCGCAAATCTGACGTTGGGTCCCTCGATAGGTTCAATGTCAAGCCCCCACGTTTGAGTTACCAGTGCATGCGTCACCAACATAACATGCGAGCGCCGGCCCAAGACAAAGCTGACGGTCGAGGTTGACTGTATACCAATTTTGATTGATTAGTTCCGGTTTTTGCAGAAAGCGCTCCAGACAAAAAAAAGTTCGCGTCCTTTCTTTCTTTTTCGGTCGGTTTTCATGTTCACCGTAATATGTTATAATATGATCTCGGAGCCGAACGCAAGGAGTTTTTTTTGGTGTCGCTTCACCCTTGGCTTATCGTCAGGGGATGCACACATAGAAGCCTCGATGGCCAAAGGCGCAGGACGGTCTCGACCTGATGTTGAATTCTGGTGTAGGACTTAGTGTTGACTGGTGAGTAGTGAGGTGACATGATGGGAAACGCACCATTGCTGCTTGTGAAGGCAAGTTGTGGCTGCTGTAGTGATGCGAGGCACGCTGACCCCGGGCTATCCACACTCCTCCTTGTCCAGCTTTTCGAGTTTGAACTTACGGAGTCGTGGTCAAGCTATCAAATTTAGAGCACTAAGTAAAAGAACGTTGGTCAAGGCTTTTGTTTCGGAACTGCAGAGAGGATGATGCGGGAGATTAGCAATTCGACGCTACGGATTGAGCGTGATGTGTCCAAGCTTGCTCACGGCAGTGCGAGTTTTACTTTGGGTGCGTACTTGTAACGATGTGCAGATATCCCGCTGCATTGCTGCACCGCTTAGATTGCTCTTTGGTCAGGAACATGCTCGGTTGTCACCAGCATCTCTGGCCCCATGGAGGCCAAGCAACGCGACGAACAAGCCGAAAATGCCACGCTAGATTTCAGTGTCAATGGCTTGAAAGGAGGCAACGGTGAGCTCAGCATTGCTGCAGTGGAATCCACCTCTCAAAGGGAAGCTGACCTGAATGTCTTGGTATAGGTATTAGCCAAAGAGCTTGGGCTGCATCCCTCCGCGAGCTCTTTTCGAGCGTCGTGCTCCTTCACATGCATCCTCGTTCGCTCATCCGAATATCGTCCCAGCTAGCAAGCGAAGGCAATAATTCTTTAACAGCTTCTTATTTTAAGAAAAATCATTCACTCCCTCCTCTCGACCGCGGTGCCGCTTTCCAGCCGTCACACAAAGCAGCGTGCATCAACGCGACATCGGTGGCATTGATTGTTTCGGGCATACCCTGCAAGTCAACCGTCGCTTCTGCCTGCTGTGTTTCCATCGAGGGTCGATATGAATCAGAAACAGGGGGTGACCGACGACAACGGTGAGTATGGTGCCATGGAGCCCTCCCATATCACTATACCGTACTGAACATCTGCCGCTTGAGCCAGGCGACGAAATCTGACGACGCATCCAACACCAGAGGATGAGCATACAGCTAGTAACACATGGCTCATGGCCTTTGCCTTCTCCGGGCACGACCCAAGTCAGCCGCTCCAAGAGTCAAGCACAGACCTAAGTGCAGAGTTGGTCTATTGCGAAGCTACAGGGGCATTCTCAGATGATTTGGTGAGCACTGGATTTTGAGGGCGAAATGCCTTTGGAAGGCAAACTGACACATAAGCCCCTCATACGTCCAGCTACTCGAAGCGACGAATTTGTGTCGCGAAGCGGCAAGACAAGTGTATATTGCAATCAGGCAAAGTGGATAAGATCGATGGCAAAAAGAAAAATGCCACTTTTCTAATGAGGTGACTAAAGGAGGCACTATGTGAAGAACAAGTTATCGTACCATTTTTACTGTTACCGGATATCAGAAGAGGCCCTGCACAAGACCATTTTCATCCAGATCGACTGTAAGGATAAAAACAATGTCAAAACCTGCCGACTTTCCCGAGTTAAAGTCCAACGCTTACTATCGTAGTATCCCGGGCGAGTCGATAAGCCGGGCATGGTCTGCGAGCACAGAGAGCACGGAAGATGAGGCGCTGAGGGCTTTACGCAGCGGGTTCGGGACTCACTTGCATGGTGCCACACAGGGGATACAGGAAACGAGCACCGGCTGCGAGCTTGACACTTCTGATTGGCACCGTAAATCCTTTTGGTTGTCCCTTCAACGTCGGCTCGTGGGACAAAGAAAGCTGATGAGAAGTCGCGGAAGGCTCAGCACATGCCGTTGCGAAGCTTGTCCATCATTACTCACATGCGTCTTGGCCATGCAGATTGGGAGATTTGCGTAGCCCTGTTTCGTGTAGGTTTCTATCTGCTTCGCCGCAAATTCGGACACATTGATGCCATCGGCGCCGTACATCTCCTTAGCGATAATCTCGATCTTTTCGTTGATCGGCTTTTCGACATCATAGAGGAACTTGAAGTCGCTCTTGGTGCCTTCGAGCTCTTGAATGACTGCTTTCGCAAGCTCAACGGCACCCGCTCCACCTTCGGCCCAGTGGTTGCATGGTACCGCTGCATCCGCACCCGCCTCTTTCGACTTCTTGCACACTAGCTCTAATTCGCGAGGTGTGTCCGTTGCGAATTGGTTGACAGCAACGATGACTTTGAGGCCGAATTTCTTGGCGTTGGATATGTGCTTTTCAAGATTGGTGCACCCCCTCTCCAGGATCTCGAGGTTTTCTTCCAGGTAGACCTCGTCAAGCGGCTTTCCTGGTGTGACATCTGGACCGCCGCCATGAGTCTTGAGAGCGCGGACCGTAGCAACGAGCACCACAGCATCGGGAACAAGTCCACTCTCGCGGCATTTGATGTTGCAGAACTTCTCCATGCCAATGTCCGCGCCGAAACCAGCCTCAGTAATGACGTAGCCTGTGGATTCTTGAGCATCGCCTTCTTCAAGACCTGCGAGCTTGAGGGCGATCGCATCGGCTAAAATAGATGAGTTGCCATGGGCAATGTTTGCAAAAGGACCGGCGTGCACAAACACCGGGGTCCCTTCTAGTGTTTGCATCAGATTCGGCTTGATGGCGTCCTTCATGAGAACTGTGAGAGCGCCTCCAACGCCAATATCGTCCGCAGTAACTGGGTCGCCAGCGCGGCTGGTGCCAATCACCATCCGTCCCAAACGCTCGCGCATATCCTTGAGGTCCCTGCTGAGCGCGAGCACAGCCATGCACTCCGAAGCGACTGCGATATCGTAGCCAGTCTTGCGCTCGTAGCCTTTTTCGGTCGGCGCCTGTCCTACAGTGATCTCTCGAAGGAAGCGATCGTTGGTGTCGGTGACTCGGTGCCAGGTGATCGTGTCCGGGTCAATGTCCAGCCTGGCAAAGCGACGCTTCTCCTCGTCAGTCAGGTCATCCGGATTGGTCTTGTCGATGCCAAGCTTCGCCAGACGTTTGAACATGACGGGTGCAAAGGTGCGCTTGCCCTTCTTCTTGGGGCACAGACGGTCGAACAGGGGCCCGTCTTTCTGGGTAGACTCATGAAACATGCGAGCGTCGATAGCTGCCGCAAGCAGGTTGTTGGCAGCCTGGACCGCATGGTTGTCTCCCGTCAGGTGAAGGTTGAACTAATCAAGCGAGTTGGATTTCAAGTGAGCAGGCGGGAAGAAGAGAAGTGAATCAAGGGTAGTGACGTGCTCACCTCCTCCATTGGAATGACTTGAGAGAATCCACCGCCGGCTGCACCGCCCTTGATGCCAAAAGTGGGTCCCTGTGATGGTTGGCGCACGCATGCGAAGGCGGGCTTGTGCAAGTGTGCACCGAGGGCCTGTGCGAGACCAATTGTGGTAGTGGACTTGCCTTCACCGAGAGGAGTTGGGGTGATACCGGCGACGACAAGATATTTTCCGTTTGTCCGATGAGACAGTCTATCGAGGATGGAAAGGCTAACCTTTGCCTTCACATCTCCATAGGGCTCCAGCTCTTCCTCCAGAATGCCCACTTCCCTTGCGATTTCCACAATAGGACGCGGTGTTTGCGAGCGAGCGACGATGATGTCTGCAGGCACGGGTTTGACGAGCTTGAGCGGATTAGGGGTCGAGACCCCTCGTGCATTATAATGGCCTTCGCGGAATTTGCGAGAAGCGCTCTCGAAGACATTCTCCATTAAGCAAGCGACCGTCATAGGCCCAACTCCGCCAGGAACGGGAGTAATAGCAGATGCGACGCCCATTGCGCTCTCAAAGTCCACATCACCAACTAGTCGTTGCCCGCTCTTCTTGGAAGCATCAGGAATGTAGTTGGTACCCACATCGATGACAATGGCGCCATGCTTGAGCCAGGAGCCCTGCACGTATTGTGCCTTGCCCATGGCAACAACGAGAATGTCAGCCTTGGCGATGTGCGCTTGAATGTTGGCAGTCCGGCTGTGGACTTGAGTGACGGTACAGTTCTTGCTCCGAAGCAAGCTAGTGACTGGGTTGCCAACAATGTCGCTACGGCCAATGACGACAGCATGTTTGCCGCTCATGTCGTCAACGCCTGCCTCCTTGAGCAGCTTGATGATGCCGGCCGGAGTGCACGGGAAGAAGATTGGGTTGCAAGCCTTGGACGAAAGATGACCGATGTTGAGTGCATGGAAGCCATCAACGTCCTTGCTCGGACTGACTTCCTCAGTGACCCTGCGTTCACCATCTGCGTCAATGTGGTCGCCGAGAGGGAGCTGCACAAGGATGCCATCCACAGAGGAGTCTTGGTTCAGGTTGCGGACACGCTTGATGATTTCTTGCTCCGACGTATCTGCATCGAGCTGCACATGTGTGCACTTCATTCCGCATTCTTCGGCAGCCTGCTTCTTCATCCTGATGTAGGTTGACGAAGCGTTTTGAGCGCCAACTTGGAGGATGCAGAGGTGGGGCCTGAAAGCCGGTATAGACTTGCGAATCTTTGCTATTTCCTCTGTCACATTGGCCCTGATGGACTTTGCAAGTGCAGTGCCATCGATCAGCGAAGCGCTGCCGCTGGAAGACGGGTTTTCCATGCTTGCAAGTGAGGTGGCCTGTCCTCTGGAGTGGGCAAAGCGGACCGGGGGGCGGAAGTGCGAGGCAGCTGATGCGGCTGGCGAAGCCGTTCTGGCGGTAGCACACCGAACGGCCGAGTGGCGTGAATGAAGCAGGGAGGTGACGGACGGTGCAGAGGTGCGTGACAAAAGGCGACGACTGGGGCAGGAAGGCACGGAGAAGAGGCCATGCAGCTGAGAACGTGCCGCTGCAGAGGGGACAGCGAGCGGCATGCGGGGGCGGCTTTCTATGCACCGTTCACTGCGCAACGATGGACGGTGGGAGAAGTTGAGGATCGAGGTGGAACAAGCTGGAATGGCCACAGTCCGCGGGTACCTCCCAGACTTCCCTGTTGCAAAGATGGCTATTGTCCCAAAGCAACTGTGGTCAACGCAGCGTATGTAATACACATACCCCCCGCTGAGCAATCTGAACCTTCCCATTGCTTCTCATTCATGGCATTCTTCGGGGGCATGACAAAGGATGCCCGGATTTTGTGCCATGCTTCCCGCAGTTCACCATTGACCCCGGGATTACAGGGATATCTGGAGAAAATATACTCGCAGTTGCACCGAGCTGATCGAATGGCCAGTCATTCGGTGATTGAAGCAACCTATTTAGCATCGCCTGTGAACTGTGGAGACGGGGTCAGAGATCTTGACTTAACGATCCCAAACTTGCAATATAAGTCCATGCGACTGAGTTCTGGCAGGGCTGTGCGGGCTCGCAGATTCGAGACGAGGTCATATCTCAGTGGCAAAGCCGGACAGTCGTTCACGCCGAGTTGACTTGGACCAGAACGACATCGCTGAACCTGAATAGCGCCGCCCGTAAGGCTGCCCTGTGGCCCTGATTAGCGGTGACAAACAACCAGGAGGGGGGGTGGATTCAGGTCTTCTTTCAGCATGTTTGAACGCTCACTCGAGTCCCTCATCAAAGGCTTTCGCTCCCACAGGGGCAAAGACGAGCCTAGATATCTGGCGATCGTCCTCGCTGAAATTCGTCATGAAGTTCGGAGCGGCGACATGGAAATCAAGGCGGAGGCAATCCTTAAGTTGATCTATGTTCGTACCTCTCCAATTGTAATAGATGAGACTGAATGTCGATCAATGCTAATATCGTTCGTCCGCCTCCTGCGATCCTCTGCAGCTGCAAATGCTTGGCCACGTCTCGTCGCAAGCAGCGTTTCACGTCGTCGAAGTCATGGCGTCGTCTCGATATCATTTCAAGTACATTGGCTATCTCGGGGCTGCTCAGCTTTTGGAACCAGGTACAGACGTTTTGATCCTTGCAACCAACCTCGTCAAAAAGGTGCGTTCTGATCCTACTTCTGTCATTCATCGTATTTTGAGCATCGCTGAAGTTTACAGCTTCCAGGATCTGACATCTCGCTCAGACCTGGACACCATTTCGGCCTTATCTGGCTTTTCATACCTTATGACACCGGATCTTGCACAACATTTTACGAGTGAGATAACATCCATGCTCAATCATAGCAAGCCAGTCATTCGCAAGAAGGCAGTGATCGCTCTGCACTCAATCATTACGCATGACCCGAGCAGCCTCGACAAGGCTTGGACCAGGTTGCAAGATCGCCTTGAAGACTCGGATCCCGGTGTTGTGTCAGCGACTGTCAGCATCCTATGCGAGCTTGCACGAAAGGATCCCAGGCCGTTCCTGCCTCTGTCACCGCAGCTATTCCAGCTGTTGACCACGTCCACGAACAATTGGGTGCTGATAAAGGTCGTCAAGCTTTTCGGTGCCCTTAGTACCTGCGAACCGCGCCTCAGCAGACGTCTCCTTCCACCCATCACCTCCATCATTGCCAGCACGCCAGCCATGTCGCTACTGTACGAATGCATTCACACCATCATTGTGGGGGATATGTTGGCCACGAATGATGGCTACCAGCTTGCGCAGACGTGCGTGGAGAAGCTAGCGAATTTCCTCGATGATTCCGATCAAAATCTGCGCTTCATTGCTCTGGTGGCACTTATCAAAATTCTACCGACTCACCCGCATCTTGTCGAGGTACATCGTTCCGCCATCACTCAGCTTCTAAATGCTGAGGATAGCACAGTCCGATTGCGCGCTATCACCTTGCTTACGGGTCTGTCCAACCGCAACAATTTTGAAGAATACTGCGCGACCCTTGAAAGCGCGCTTCGTTCCATTAATTCCACTAGCTCAACCGGCACTACACAGGAAGGTGGCAGTGCAGCGGCCGCCAAACTTCGGGCCGTCCTCGCGACCGCCGCTTCGGCAAAAGAGGTCAATCCCCCAGATGCTGCCGTTCAAACTTATGCAGCGGTAGCTAACCGCAATTTCATCAAAGAGGTCTCCACATGCATTGCGGCGGTCGGCGCAAAGGATAATTACGCACGAGTGCAGAACTTCGAAGCATACATTGGCACTCTCTTGCGCTTGTACCCTGATGCCGGCGCCCCTTTCCGCCGCATGGCCGAGCGTCAGCTTGTCGACATCCTACGACGAGAGTCGGTTGCCCAACCCTTGCCTGTCAAAGCCAAGCTTGGTGTCGAACGAGGGAAAGCGCTGATAGAATTTTGCATGCTGCGTGCCAAAATGTCGATGCAGAGGGTTGCAGATGTGTGAGTCTCATGGAGCTATTCTATCAGCATTCCGCAGCGAAAGAAACTGATGACATCCTGCTTCCAGGGGCACATGGGAGATTCAGCGACTCGTAAACACGCTTGTGCCGTCGCATGGTCGGCCGCTCATCGATCCTGCGGCTGCAATTGAGCTCCTACTGGAAGCATGGATGTGGGATATTGATCCAAAGCCTCAACAACTCAATTCATATCTTTTGCGTCCAAATTGTGCGTGGGTACGAGGCTTGGAGGCCATACAACGTGTGAGTCTTGCAATAGCACATGCCATGCGGCTTGATATTGACAAGGCCCCTCTGCCCAAGTCGCGCGAGGCGGGATGTTTAATCTCAACCGAATCTGCGCCCTTGTTTTCAGCCATGAGGCGGCACAGAACTTCAAGTCCGACTCTGAATACTGTATATCAGGGCTCGCGGCCTCCAAACACCACAAATTCTTGGCGAATCAGACGACCAATGCAGACAAGACACAACTCTCGTGGCCTGTTCGCCTCCCCTTCCGATCAAAAGCCAAACGTGCGTCCCCAAGCGGCAATAATTGGAGGCCATAAGCGATTGGCAGCAAACTCAGACCAAGGCACACGCACCGTGAGTGCACAAGAACTACTTCCGTGGTTGTGAACGCCATGCGATCTGACAAACATCTCGTCTGCTGGTACAGCAAGAGGGCAATCCGTTCTATTTGGGAGCACCCTCCAAAGCACCGGCTCGCGTTGTCGATGCGGAGGAGGGTGTCCACGCGTACTCGATTGATGCGGACGTGCCTGTTGTCGTGCTAGACGAAGAATTTTTCGGTCCGAGTCCGGCCAAAGTAGGGCCGCCAGTGATACCTCCTGCAGATAGCGCGCTGCCTGAAATTCAAGCAAGAAAAGTCGCCCCGTCAGCTCGCAGAGCACAGCGTAGACCTGTAACTTGAAATCATACCCTGCTGTGCTGCTTATCCCTTGCCAAGTGCCGTAAAGTCGATCTCGATCTTGCTCTTCTTCTAATAATACTAACAAAAATGTTGATCTAATATATCTTCTAAAGGTATCAGGCAGCATAGCTTCGTTCACCGGGCCATAGCCACTGCAGATGCGGGCGCTGATGTCTGGCTCGGCGCCGACAACCAGCCGACTGTGTACAGCACGTTTGTACTCGACCATGACGCCGACATGGAAGAAGCCGTTATCACAGACGAGGATGAGAACGGATCGATCAACATAACCTTTCATTCCAACCCGCTGCCCTAGGCAGCCACAACATCTTTCGCCTGCGAGGCGTGGCAGATCTACACCATGTCACTGTCGGCACCGACACTGGCGCAAACGGTTGCTCTGAGGGACACGCTCTAGTCAAGTGACTCAAGCTACAGCCAGAAAGTGAGCCCCACGGCATCCATAGCACCTTCGCCGGCGGCCGGGCCTTTGGCCCTGTCGACATCGAGCTTAAACTCGGAAAAGGATCAGGACCAGTGCGCTGCCACGTCTTTGACACCTTCGATCACCGCTTTCTCATTCAATTCCGAGACAAACCTCTTGAGCAGCTCGAGAGCATTCCGGGAGAAGCGGTGGTCAAAAACGTCGATTACAGTACGGGGACATCAATGAACACAGTCGACGCCGTCAGCGCCTAACCAAACTGGAACACTAATACATATGCATCAGTTCAACCATGTTCGAATCCACGTACTTGTCGACGGCTTGTACCGTGAGAAGGTGCCAATTCCCAAAAGCGGCGAAGGGCGGGCAGAGTCGATTGGATTTTGTGGGTGTCATCATCGATCACCGTGAGCGCCCAGCGGAAGCTGGGGTCGGTGGAAGACATTGAAGCTTTGATCTCAAATTTGAGCGTATCAAAGATTTGTTCTCAGAAGTAGAACAAGGCGAAGACAATGCCTCCCGCCGACTTTCGCAGACATAGCCAGGGCTCTGTTGAGTGTAACTTGTGTGTGTGCGTTGGTATGCACATGGCGTTGATCAGGTCGCTTGGTGACTTGCAGCAGTATCTTTCTTCCGTAGTCAAAAAGGCTTGAAATGCCGAGGTGATGTGCACCCTGTAAAGTAATATATCGCACCATACGAGATGGTTCCATTGATAGGTTAGTTTTATAGTTTGATTTTGTGGGAAAGTAAGCGAGGTACAAGTGTGTTGGAGTAATTTATCATTCTCATCGGAACCAGGAAGTCGCAAGAGGCCAGCTACCTATCTTGTAAGGCTCCTTCATTGCTTGTGAACAACCACAACTCGGCCACGCGCATATTCACGCCTGTACATGGCACTAGACACACTGTTCTCATGGCGGTACGAAGGCTAGGGAACGAATGGCAGAAGGGAATCATACATGTACTCATCGATATTCACTCACACTGCAACGAGGAAGAACAGGAAGTCTAGCCCCATCAACAGCGATGCAAGTGTAGCAGATAAATTCAGGATGTCTTCCTAAACAGCAGATATATTTAGTCTACTGTGAAGCCTTGCAACGCATAACAGATGATATTGAAGAAACCAAAATGTATTCAAAAGGGCAATTTACCGACTTATATTCCCTTCACTGCGGAAGCCTTGACTCGAATTTATCTATCTAGCTTCCTTCCTGACCGTAACATCAACTGGTCATTATGACGGTCAGCCAGTTCCTTTTCGAGATCCTCACTCAATGTGATTACGGACGACGCAGGCTTGACAAGACAGCCTTAAGCGTTGAAGCCTCAAGGTATGGAAGCGATGGCTCAGTACGACTAGGACAAGTTACGCTGACCTGTTGCTGTTCTTTACGCTGCAGAAATTTGGATGGTGCATTTGGTTCCTTCGATATCCACAAGGTCTGGCCTTCACTGCAGCCACTGTAGCTTCGCCCTTGCTTGAACCTTGCATGACGTTCGTTGGTGTTCTACAGGCTGTGCTGCATTACCGTGCGTTGGCTCGCGCGGTCATGCTGATGCTGCTCCTGTGTCACTACTCTTTGGTAGTCAGTGGTCGTTTCCTGAAAGCGACCATGCCGGCTGCCGCGCAATGCAGTTCTAAATTGCTTGCGTTGCAAGCAGCTAGACATGTGAGTTGGCTATATTGACATTGTTGTCAACCCTCTTGGACTTGATGGTGCCGCTCCTTGTGTGCTTCTCATCCATACAACACCTTGACATCGTAGTGCTAGAGTCTTACATGCTTTAGTTTGCTAAGAGTGTGGTGAAGTGCCATTGTTGTCGATCTTGATAGCCTTGTGCGTTGAAGTTGCAGAACTCGAAGAGCCATTTCTAGCCAAGCTTCGTTGCTCATAGCTTCACGTGTTGCCCGTCAGCTCAGCTTCCTGTGAAGAACGCGTCTCCTTGGGTTGCTTCCGCAACAGCAAATTGATGATTGCAAAGGGACAAAGAACACAAAGCCCATCATGGATTTCCTGTCCTTGCATTTATGCAGCTTAAATCGCAAAAATCGACTAGCTTCGTACCGCTAGATTCCTTGTACTTGATCCCGAGGCTACAGGTACCTCAAATGTACCGCATGATTCTCTTGGCAACCTGCAAAGCTGGTGCTGCCAGCTCCGCGCTATCTTCCCTGGCCCTGGCGACCCGGTAGGCCAGATCAGGTTGTGTCTCGAGTGCGAGATAGAGCAAAGATCCGACGATCTCAGGGTTGATATGCTCAGTTTCGATTGTCTCGCAAGCGTCCATATGCTTCTGCGTGTTCATGAAGGGAGGTACGACAACCTTACACTCTAGCGTGTCGAAACTTCGAAGTATCGACTCCGGGCAGGTCGCCTGGTCGTCCAAAATGCTGTTGGTGTTTATGTTGCAGCATATCTGTATTCCGACGCAATGCTGAGTCGCTCCGAGGTCGTTAGTGCTGAAGAATTCGAGCAACATGTCTTCAAGTCGAAGGGCCGTCTCCTGATGCTCGATTGCGATGACGACGTCGTCGATGTATGCGGTCAAGGCCGTGAAGTTGCTATCGACTGTGTCTGTGCATGGGCACTGATCGGCTTCGCCTCTGGTGAGGCTGATTTACCGAAAGGTCGAATCGAGCTTAATGTGTCGGTTCCGACCTGCTTGCCGTAATCGGGATATACTCTTGCACATATGGGGTTACTTGCCGGCCAAGTACTGCACTCTTGCAGGCCGTTTGAGGTAGAAATCCTCCTCGCACTCGCCGAAAAGTAGGTGATCTCGACGTCGAGATGATGGAGACGCAGATTGTACGTGTTAGCCAAAGCGAATGCTAGGAGGGTGGTCAGCCGCGAGCCAGGCACCTATGCCTTATGATACTCTTTCTGCTCGATTTGCGGAAAGCCGCTGGCAACTACTTTCGTTTATTATGCTGCAAGTTACGTTGCTGTCGCCTTTCACCTTCAAATACACATTTCGGGCCACGGTTCATTTGCCCAACAGCAGTTTGCCTCAGCCCATGTCGACCCATGTTTCGTTGTTCTTGAGGCTGTTGTCTTTGCGCTCTTGTTTGCTGTCTCACTTGCTAGTGTTTTCAATTCCGAGGGATTCGGTGTAGCTGCAAGGCTCTGCTGGATCGGAGGAAACGGTAGCTGATGAGTAAGCTGATGCTAAGCACCGGAGAACTCGCCAGGTGGCTTGCTGGCACGAGTCCATTTTCTTACAGTGGGTTCCTGGCGCTCTTGCAAGAATCGCCGCTCCTCGACTTGTTTCGTTGGTGCCTGTTGTTGTGCTGATCGCTGTCCTGCCTCTTCACCTTGTTCCACCTGGTGCGGGCTCCGGCGTAACCGCTCAGGAAGCATCGTTGGTAGTAACTTCGCAGCTGGTGGGCTCGCGCCCCTCGTCAGTGCGCACTGGCCTGTTGAGCAAATCAATAATCCTGACGTGTTGAAGTTGCATGAGCTGTTTGAGGCTAGAAATCCAGCCACGGTACGCTACGGTGTTGGCATACCTAAAAAGGATGCTCTTAACTGTGTGCTCATCCAAGTTGGTACCTTGGAGCGTTCCAGTGCGCAAAAAGTAGCTCGTTAAGCATAGTGCACGAAGGCAGTCGATGGATCGATTGCGATTGCAGTATGCCTCTTCTGGAATCTGGGATATCGTGCGACCAGCGAGATGCACAATACGCGCGGTGTGATTGTACGTGTAGACTGCTGTTGCGACTAACTCAACCCAGTGTATCTTTCCAGCTTCGACTCGGTGCACCATGCTCGGACCATGGTGAGATGAGTCAGATTGAGGCGCACAGCGCGCCTGTTCTATTGAGGCGTTTATGGGGGTTGACCTTTCGTGTGGATACTGTATCATCAGAGGATTTGCTGCACCCGCATGCCGCAATACTCGACGCCATTGTCTGAGAGAAGGATCATGGCATCTGTCCCCTTCATCACTGGGCAGATCGAGTTGTCTGATGTCTTCAGCAACATTCTTGCAATGTGCCAGTGTGTGAACTCAAGCTTTGTCCGACCTTTTATCTGTGAAGGTCAGGAAGTAGAGCACGTTATCTACGCTCTCCATGGGCAAAGGTCCAGCGATATCCATGTGCTCCCTTTCAAGCACATGGCGTGCTCTGCTTCTTCCCTTGTGGCGCCATATGGGAGTGGGCTGCCAATCCGAGTGCACACGATTCACATGGGCGGTCACCTTGGGTGACGGATAGGTCATTTGCGTTCCAGATCGCGCTGCGCAAGTCACGCCATGTGTGGCCAAGGGGTCGGTGCCATAGCTCACCGTCCGCATCTGCACGACCTCCACAGGTCGACATGTTCTGCAATGCGGTGGTGGTTCTCTTCATTACAGTGACAGCTAGGATGCCGTTATGCAAACCCGCCCTTATGGTTACCGTGCTGTTCCCACTGCCCAAAGTAGCTGTGACCCCATCCTTCTTGGGTGTAATGCAGCCGCTGGCCTCCGCGACCTTAACTCTGCTGCCGATGATGAGGTCCCAGTGCATGCCTTAGACCTCAAGCATATTCTTGAGATAGATGTCAACGACGGTGCCCTTATTAGTTTTGACACGGTTTGGTGCATGGTCGCCTGGCCACTGCCCCCATCCTTCGGCCATTGGTGAACTTGATGACGGTAGAATCCATGATTTTCTTGGTGAGAGTAGTACTTTAAGGGACGAAGTAGTGCGAAGACCCCGTGTCGAGGATGCTGTTGTCATTGCCGTTTTGCTTTGCAGGACAAATGGATAGGGTGAATTCCGTTATAGCATCTGTAAAAGCGGCATGCAGTTTCTCAGCACGGTAATGACTCTGTGTACTTGCTTTCCGGTCGGCATTCTGTTTGCAGGTAGCCTTGCTTGCAAAAAATCCAGTAAATTGGCTTTTCCTTGCCACCATGCGTAAAACTCTCGCTGCACATGGCTATGTCAGGCACCTGACCTGGCATTGTTGCGACGCTGGCGAAGCTCTTCTTGGATTAGGGTTGCGTCATTGTTCCCCCTTGGCAATTGATCGCCAAGCGGCTAGCGAACATCTACAATTTTGTCGTAAGATGCGTTGAGACCGGTGTGAGCGGCAAGGCAGTAGTCGGGCTTTGGCATTTCGACTTATTGTGCTTTGACCTTGTTGTATGTCGCTGCGACGGGGTCAAATTACTCCTACATGATCTCTGCAGAGCCCATTTTGACGTTCCAAAAGCCTCTCTTGGGGATGGAAGAGGGAAGGTCCCTTCTTGGGCTGGTACTTGGCTTCCAACGTGTCCCCGCAGCCCTTAGCTGTCTTTACCACATGGTTCCGAGTCAGTGATCTTGCCATCAATGACAAGTTCCAGCGTCGTCAAGGCCTGTTCCTCATCTGCACTCACATTCAGCGGGTTTTCCGTCGTCACTCATTGGCTTGTTGACCATGCCTGTCATGTAACCCCGCATACCGGTCATGTCCATCAGCATCCAGGCTTTGAAAGCTCACGCATTCTAGTTGCTGCCGTGCAATTCATTTGATTCTCACTGTTGCTCCCATCAAGTTCGTACTTGCTGGCATCTCCGTCTTCGCTTCAAGTCGCTCGAGAGCTTGAGTTGGGCTTGAGGTCTTGGACTCATACCTTATTGAAGGGATGGCTCATTACGACCAAAATAAGATTACGCAGGAGCAGCGACAGCGTGGACACTACCAGTTTTAACGTTTCTTTATCACGTCGGCCATTTGTCCGGCCAGAGCCTGAGAAAGGCTACCATATCCAAAATGGCAGCAGGCGCGCAAATGGAACCAACCTCAACATGAGGATTAGTGACAAGTAGCAATATAGGGCGTTTAAGGTCTTGTATTTGGAATGAGTGCAAATGGGATTCCTTAACGAGCAACAGTTGGAGGGCAAGATTGGTCCCAGCAGCTGCCATAACCCCAGCTCCAATAGTGTGCATTAAAATTGTTCAGTCAAAATTTTCAGATTAGGGCGTCGAAGAGGCTGAGCTGAAGACCCCCCATCTACCGTAAAAGAACCAGGTGGGTCCGTAGGATGCGCCTGACAATACATCAGGCAATACTATATGGCGCATAGTACCTTCAATGAATTGCATGTCATACCCAAGGAGGAGGGGGTCCAGAGCGTGAAGAGCCAACTTGTCAAGAGCATCCGCTAGATGCGGAAATATGGGCCATATACAGCTTGCTGGTAGTACTGTATGACCTTTGATTCTTCCGTAGCAGCAATTGAGACGATTTTGGGGAGCACAATGCAGTCTGCATACCGAGAAGCGAGAATCTACCATCGAGATGGACCGCTCAACGTGACAAATGGTGGCCTACAAAGCATAGAATGGCTGTCACCGCACGAAAAGAGACGAAGATATGATCATATTCTCAACACTGCCATCTACAGCACCCTGGTCTTAATGGATAGCCCTGTAAACTACGACCTAATGTTTGGATGTAAGTTAACACATCGTCTATAGCTGTAACCCAACGGTCCGTGATATCATGTTTGAGCCCGTCCCACAGCATCTTTCGTCAAGATCAAGTTGTCGTAGTGACCACCAGATATGTTATCATCGACAAGGACACCGTCCCTTTGTTGTGCATGACAAGCTTGCTTGCTGACTCATTCTCTTGGGGGACCAAGGCATTTGTACCACCGCTCGGCCCACGCCTTGAACAACGTAACCAGAAGATAGGCGCTGGTAGCAATCGCGCTTTAGCGACTTGTGGTAAGAGGATGAATTCGGTAATTGAATTCTTGAATGGAAGTGTGGACCAAAAGGGGAGCCATACCGAGCCTTCGAAAGAGAGAAAGATGGAAGAGTAGTCTTACAAACTTCCAGTTCGATGGTACAAGATTCCTCATCGTCACATTACGTCAGTAGTGTGCAGTGCTGATGGTACGTATGCGTGCTGATCGTAAGCGACAACCTGGCATTATGTGCAACTGTTCGAAAGCCTTTTCTTTCCACGTGTAGATATCCAATTGTTTCAAGATTGCACAAAGCACAAAGCTGCCAGAAACGATAATGGTTAGCGTGAACCTATACGGCAAGGTTCGTCTACGTGTTCGTATAGACCCGTATGCTGTGTCAAAAGTGAGCTGACCACCCTGTAATACTCGGAATAAGGTAGCAGATGCAATGTTGTGATGTCACCATCTTGAGCGAGCTCTCGCTAGCAACAAAATTGTTTAGGGGATACAGCGTTTCGCTGGGGTCACGGGGGAGGGCCCCTTGTTGTGCGTGCTCTGTTTGCCTATGCAAGGACGGCCGTATCACAATCACTTTCAGAACAGATGCCGCACTGTGCTTAGTTAAGTGCTTGCAATCGTCACCTTTTTGATGTTGACTAGCGTGTGAGCGACTGATTCATGGGAACAAGGCACGGACTTCATAAAGATGAAGGTTAATTTGGCCTATTCACCAGTGACCTCGGGGTGCTAGTCGTCCTAGAGAACTCGAAAACTGATGGAGAACGATGTCTATGATGTCAGGAGAGTAAAAAGAGAGATGAGTCAGTGAAGGACCGTCGGGCCGTGGTAAAGGATAAGAACAATCAGCGTATGATCTTCTTGACCGGCGTTGTTGATCAAACAAGACTACCGTTTGTTGCAAAGCTGCTGAGATAATGGAATCCATGCGTTTCTCGCATCCTTACATGCCGATGGGCGTGCGCGTGGTTTCATGAGCGTGGTTTGTTCGACTGGTTGCGATAATGGGCCTACTCGAGAGTGGATTGGGGTGTACGTCTGCGTCCCTTTCCATTTGAATGCCCATGGGGAGTTTTGAATCATAAGGTCCGTTTCCATTTCTTCTGTCGAACATCATAATGGCGAAGGCTCTCCCAAATATCAGGCTTGCTTGGAGGAGGAGTGCTGCCTTTTGACTATCCCAGAAGGGAATCAAGGTTAAAAGAGACTTGAGCGAGCAATGATAGCAGTAATTTTTCGAGTTCGCGAGGATTGAATTGTATATCAGAAATGCGTGCCTAACTGCCGTAACTGTTTCATAGAGCGCGTGTCAGGCATCCACCCTAAGCCGCAGAGCAGGACAAGACAGCTTCCACATTCAAAGCATACCTTCTATCAGGGATCCTGAGCGAAGAGACAATCTCACTGTGCTCACACCTCGAAAATCCTCCTGGAAGGCGCCATCGTTTCGGATGAGTTCTCTGGCAAACTGGCGTCACTTCATTTTAGCATTTTTCGTATGCATCAGGGGAAAGAGCTGGCAGGCAAGTCCTGGCGGTGGGTTTCACAAGTGAGTTGTGCTCGGGGACCGATGACATGCATGAACACGATACCAATGCGTTTGATCCTGTAGCCTATCGTCATGTGTCCATTGCATCCGGCTCGCGTGCGTGTGGCAGAAAGTGTGATGCGAATGATGATAGCTTTAAACCGCAGCGGAGCAGTTAAGTCATCAAGCGTTGACTATTACAGTTGGCGCGAAGAACGGGCCGAACATGTGCAAGTCCTTAGTAACACTGTTTTCGCAGTGCATGTGCCATTTCATCGGCTTTTCGGCAGGAGTAAAGACATCTATCAAGTGGAAAGAGAGCGACTCAAGATTTCAAACGACTGATACTTGTAGTACTTGTTGACGTTTTCCTAACTACATAACGTCAGACTTCAGCTGCTGTAATCTGAAATAGCTTTCTGTGAGGGCAAACATCGGGTCATAGATCAGCTACGGACGATTTTGATGAGGAAATGATGTTACAATGGCTCACAGTCAGCTCCGGGATACGAGCGCCTTGGATTTCATGAATCTTCTGTCCACCCTTGAAAAACATAAAGGTGGGCATGACCTTGACTTTGACCTCCTGGGCAATCTGCTCTTGCTCATCAACATCGACCTTGTAGAAGCCAACCTTGTCCGCTGCAGCGCCTTCAGACAGCTTTTCAAAGATGGGGCTGACCATCTTGCAAGGGCCGCACCATGTTGCCCCTGTGATGAGTCGGAGTGTAAAGCACACGTCAAAGTGAGTAAAGTGGCCAGGTCAGCCGCTGTGACAAAGGGGAAGGATTAGATGAGGCCGTACGAGTTACTCACAAAAATCAATGACGACGACTTTGTCGCCTTGAATGGCGTCCTGGAACTCCTTCAGGGACTCAAGCGGCTTGACACCCATTGTGAATAGCGGACTTGCTTGTTTACGGAAATGTTGAAAGAGCAAATATGCTCTTTATTTTCGGCTCACAATTGTGCGTGTCAGCCTGTGTTTGGCGACAGCTGTCGTTTCGATGAAGGTTAAAGACGTAATGAAAGTCTTCATAAGTTGTCGAAACATATATATATATAGATATGGAGTTGCAGTTGTCATCAGGGTGTTCCGTAGAACGAATCCACTGGAAGCCTCTCTCTCCTCCGGCTCTTGCTGTCTAATGTCCGAGAAGGCACTACGGGAGTCCCATTCTTCCCATCGAGCAACAATCCGAGGCACTGGTCCCATCCCAAAAGCCGGCGTGGATGATTACGTAATGCTCGTTCCTCAAGCCAGAAATTTGTCGATCGCCCTGATCTGGATCCATTCGGATTCTCCTGACACGTCAAGTTCCACAACCGCAGTCAGCAAAACGCCTGCGGCCTGAACGTGTATCTGTAGTGACTCCACACAATCAGACACTGACCGGGACAGGAGAAATCGTCGCACATAGCTGCTCCAGGCCTCGCTGTATGTGGTACCACGGCTAAGCCGAAAGCCAAGTTCAAGTGTGCAAGGCGCGCAGGCCGATACCCAACCGTCAGACGTGTGAGCCATGTGGATCGCACGAAAAAGCAGGTCGAGCCTTTGGAGGGCGTTGCTGTTGCATCCAGAGGAATGTCCCTCTCAGAAAGCCGCCACACTGCTGCGCGTATACATGACCGACGGATGCAGCATCGGCAGTACTCCTACACGTCAGTTTGGGCACGACCTCCGGTGGAAATCATCTGCTGCCAAGTTGACTCTGAGCGAACGCATGTCGCAACTTCGACGCGAACTCCAGGAGCTAGAGCAGGAAGCGGAGAAGGACATGAAGCTGGAAAGCCAGGACCCCGAACTAGAAGCACGGATGCTCAGCGAAGAGATCATTGACGAATTCTTTCAAGCTCTGCAAGCCCCTGAAGAACCGAAGGTAGACGACTTGCGTACCCACTCCAATCTGCAGCTGTCAAGAGCTCGTGCGGCGGTCGGTCATGCACCGGCACTGTTCTCCCCGGTATTCCGCAAAGATGTTTCCAACAAAAATCACTCGGCTCTTCAGGCACAGCGCTTGGAAACCCTCTTGGCTCGACTCAATGATGCTGAGCCTAGGCATCAGCAGTTCGAACTGGGTCTGCCAAGACCGCTCCCGCTGCAGAGTCTTCGGAGTGATAATGAGCAGCCTGGCCAGCAGCCGAAAGCAGATAATTTGGAAGAAACGCCACAGATGCAGTCTTCCGAACACATCTTGGCCAACGCAAATGTTGAAGCGCTTAGCGAAGCTATTTCAGAGGACTCGCTTCTCAAAGGAGACATCACAGTGCCAGAGCTGGCATCGATGGCGACTGCAGCTGTCTTGCAGGGTCGTTTTGAAGTCTTTACCAAAGCTCTCAACTATGCGGACCGGTTCGACAGCATCAAGTCTTCTGGAACAGCTCAAATCCAAGTAGTTGAAACCGCTGTCAAAAGCCTTTCCCATTATGGTCATGCAGATGCACTCATGCGGGTTCTGGAAGAAGTCAATCATCGTGCGTCATCGATGCGATTATCAATTCGTCGCAACAAAATGCTCACCTTTTTTTCTGCAGGTGACCTGAGCATGACAAGTGAGATGAGACACTCATTTGTGTCGCTGTTCATCCGTCAAGGAGATCTTCCAAAAGCAGCATCCACCCTGCGTGCATTTGAGCCAGACGTACCAGCTCCGATCAAGACGTATTCTGCATTAATTCGTCGCTTGCTGCGAGCCCAAGAGCCATGGAGCCACGAAGAAGCCTGGTCCCTGTTCTACCACATGCGGCTTGTGGCACATCCTGTTCCCGACTCACAGCTCTACACGGTCATGATCAATGCATGTTCTGCTGGACGCCTTCCAAAAAATGCGGCGACTCGTCGAGGTCAAAGTGAAGGCGAACGGGCCTTGGATTTGTTTCGCGAATTGACTGTCGCGTACCAGATTCGCCCAAGCGTCGAGGCCTTCAATGCAACAATTTTGGCGTGTGCGAAAAGTCCATACCTTTACAATGAGGCTATTCAACTATTCAGACAAATGCTAAAACTCCAAGGCTCGGGATCAGACCACTACATTCCAGATCAGGATGCCTTCAACGCTCTGCTGGCCGGATGTGCACGAAAGGGGGACCTGGGTCGAGCGAAATGGATTCTGAGCGAAATGCTTCGCTTGGCTCGAGCATTTGCAGAAGATGTTCAGAAGCAAGATGCGAACTACCATCTGGTGCAGGTTCTGGCGCGCCTGCCAGACGAGCGGACTCTCGCGCTGCTCTTCTCGACATACGCGGCTTATAAGCCTCCGCTGACGCAAGCAAAGATCCGTCAATCAGATCACCCTATGTCTAAGCCACACAACGTGGAGATTGAGCATTCTGCGACTTCAGGCTCTTTGAGCCAAGTGGTGCTTTCACGGGTACATGCAGAGACATCTAGGGAGGACCTGTCGGCCTTCGATGCTTCAACGCAAGCACCAAGCTCAACGTCCGCACTACCTCAGACATCTCGTGATGTTGTCTCTGAAGTTAGCAGGCTTTTCGAGTCTGTCTTGAAAGCAATTGAAAGACTACGATCAGAGCAGACGACTACCTTTGATGTGTGGATGAAAGTTCGGCCATCTGTCGCGCTCGTCAACGCATACTTGAAAGTTCTAGCCCGACATCTACCTCGCTCACAACGACTGGTCACAGTCAATGCCGCGATCACTGGTACCGGTGATGATAATGAAAGTTTCTTCATCCGATTGGGCTTGTCACCGAATTCCTCGACACTGGAGCTGGTTCTGAAGCTCTGCTGCGCCGAGCCTGATCGCACGCTTGCGGACAAGGTGGCCAACGATCTGTGGGCAAAGCATTCCAACTGGATCATGAGCAATGCTGAAGGATGGAAAGCGTGGTGCACTTACATCAATGGTCTAGCAAAGTCGCATCACTTGCAGGCGGCCGTCAGCGAGCTCAAGAGGCTCATTTCAGCACACCCCCCTATCAACAAGCTCTACTTGCAGACTCGTCGCCCCAGCAACGCTCAATGCCAAGCCCTCTTGTATGACATCGAGACTTCAGCATATCCCGCACTGACATTCCATCACGTGGACGTGCTACATCATCGGCTTGTGGATGCCAATGACCAGAAGGGACTGGCTGTCGTAGCCTGGGCACTGCATGCATACGGCAACCAAGCTAAATTCTTGGAGTCAGTTATGCTACAAGACTGTGATCACGCACGTAGCCTGAAGTCAGGCTGTCTGCCTGGATCTCTGGCAAGTGCAAGCGTGCAAGACACAGCATGTATCACATAGAGGGGAAAATAAATTGGATACCTTAACTGCTTCTCATGTGTCTTGTCGCCCATCTGACCATCTGACTTGTATCTGGCATCCATGAAATTTCGCCGCAGCTGGCGGCCCGCAATACTCGCGGTGTTGGAGTAGAAAGTCGCCAGACCGGTAAGAGTCGCGCATTTCTTTTGGAAACACTAGTCTAAGGCACGGCCTCTGCAACATAGGCTCTCGGCTCTTTGGAGGAGGGACCTGCCACCGGTAGCCGAGCACCCGAAGCTATGGGAAACCGATTTGGCGCAGGACTATAAATAGTGTTTTGAGCGATGATAGTGCATATGCACCGAAAGCCAGACAACCAATGTTTATTGCACCGAATTGAGTTGTTGAGGCCGTATGCATTTAGATTTCTCTCAATTCGCAGTTCTCGCTTCGTGTTCTTCAGAACGCCACCTTGTCAAAGCATCCACTGTCCCCTATGCCCAAGCGCTTGGTTGACATCAATCCTTGGTTCTCCTCAAGAGGCTCGCTGAGATCGACGTACTCGCCTCTACGCGTAGTAAATCTTCCGGGCGCAAGCCTGAACTTTGACTGATATGTCCGAGGCCGTCTTTGACGTGGATTCGGAACTGGACCCCAGTCAGCTCGTTCATGGTCAAGACGTTGGAAGTGGACAGTCTTTACCGACCGATGCGTCGAGAAATGGTGAAGACACAAAAGAACAAGATGAGTCTGATGATGGCGAAGATGAAATGCCGGACTATTCTTCCCTGGCAACACTATTGGCAAAGTCAAAGGGGCCTGGATCATCATCACTCGATGCCTTCATTCCAAAGCGAGGAGAGAAGGATTTCGAACCGACGGGCTTCACGGGCCAGACAAGAGCGCTACAGCAGAGTCGACAGACTATGTATCAGGCCATATCGGGTCAGCGAGTAATATCGGCTCGGAATTTGTCGACCGCAGTATGGGACCCTCTCACCAAGCGTGCAACAATGGGCGTCATCAAAGGCTCGAACTTTGCGAGTATGGGCGTCACCATCCGGCGAGAAGTGCCACATCTTCCATATGAAACTGTCAAGCTGGACCCTACCGGGGTGCCATACCCAAAATACGAGTCATCAGTACAGCTCTCACCCGAAGAGACCCTGTATCTCATGGAGCGAGGTGCTCTAGAGTGCTCATTGCGCCAACAAATGGATTCACACTCAAGGGAGGCCCATGTGCCACTGAGCTTGCAGCACGCGTTTGCCATCATGCTGGGGCCGAAGAGTTGCACTAGAGAGGAGTACCAGGTGAGCTGATTCTTTCTGGCCGACTGCGTCCGCAAAGACTGACACTGTGCACCTCGCCTTTGGCATCCAGGTCTACGCCTACCTGAGGCGATTGGGATACGTTGTTCAGAGGGTTGGAATTATCGATGACTTACGGAGGTCTGCTGCAGCAAGGTCAGGTCCCGTGGTGCAAGTTTCGGATGAGCATGCACCCAGCCTGTGGGGGACTTGGGGCCGGACATTGCCGACAAGTATCCTCATTGCAATTTCGGCTTGCCTCGATATCATCCGGAAGGCAATGCCTAAGCTTGCGCGTTCCCTGGCAAAACAATTGGGCACCTTGAATTGCATTCGTAAACATTCTGCAAGCTCAAAGATCTCAGAAGCGGGACTGCAACTGGGTTTGGGGAGACCTAGGGTTTACGGTAAGCCATGGGAATCAAGGCATTTGTACTCAACTACTGACATCGATTTGTTCTGCACAGGTGATGTTTTTTCGGAATTGCAATTTATCCCAGAATACAGCGCTTCGAAACCGAAAGGCTTGCAAGAGGACAAAAACGGGAGAGGGAAAGGGCTGCAACCATGCTTTTACGCGTGGAGGCCCGCAACTATGTTCAAACGGACTGATCCACCGCCTCCAGAGTTTCGCATCGCTGTCTGCGCTGCGAAGGACGTGAATCTGCCCAGCTTGGTGCAGTTTTCCGACCTATTCAGCTCTGAGGCGCTTCCGGATGGAGACGCGCAGGGCGAACTTGATCGGCTGAGAATGCTCGAGCAAGCGCAAAGGAATAACTCTGCGTACGGAAAGGGCAAGGCTCGACTTAATGACGGTCAGGAATTCAGTGGAAACGCCGAACCAAATCGTGCACACGGAACGGCGTCACAGCGAGCATTTGCTGCATGGTCACAGCTCTTTGCGCATTGCGCACCAGGCTGCGCATCTAATGTGCTGTGCGCGGCAGAGAAGAAGCCGCGGCCACCCAATGTGAATCCATACCCGGCTTTGAAAGCTGGCAAGCGCAACATTGTACTTGCCGTGGTCGACGAAGGATGCACTGCACTCCTGAGATTTGGGGAGAGCGACTTCAATGCATGGAAACTTGCTGGATGATCGATGCGTGCGAAGCACGTTTGCACTGTATTTTTACGTCCATTGTCAATGTAGCACCTAGGTCCACTTGACTCAAAATCCTAGCGTGTGCATGAGATAGCAACGGTGCAATAGAAAGCCTGGTCAGAAGGTTAAAAGAATAGTAAGCAGCGGGTCTAGCACGCTCGCCGGAAAGATCAGAGATGTGTTTTTGCCAGAACCTCGGCAATACTTGCTCCCAAAGTGCGCCAACAGTCGTCAAAACTGGTGCTGTCTGCAGCGTGTGCCTCCGACGTAAGGCAAGACTCAGTGGACCCAGCCTTCGGTGCACATTTGAATGAGAATCGGGGATCTGTCAAAGCAGCCTATATTTCACATGACGCTGCACTTGTCTCCCTCCAAACCAAGTTCCCTCATCTCCTCCTTGCGACGCTCTCTTTCATTCTCTTTGTCCTTCTCGTCCACCTCCCTGGGGAACCACGTCTTGAGCATGTTGGTCGTGGCTAGGTCCAGATTTTCTGAAAGGTGCAGCAACTTGTGTGGGTTAGCAATGAGCACTTCCAAGACAATGTATGAAACAAAGCTCACGTGCGCCTGCTATCCCTACGACATTCTTGGCTCTGCATAAAGGGCAGTCCCGCTTCCCCTGCTTTTGCAGCTTGACGAGGCAGCGAATGCAGAAGAGGTGAGTGCAGTCGAGTCGAATTGGACGCCAGGCGACACCGGTGCAGATCACGCACGAATAGTCGTCGATGGATGGTAAAATCGGCAGCAGAGTCGTAGATAAAAGGGAAAGCAGGATGTGCGGCAGTGACTTGGAAAGCATGCCCGTTGTGCTGGAAGGCAAAAGGGCTGCCAATGAGGGGTGTGTGGTGATGAGCGTTCGCGAGCTGCCATTGCCCACGTCCTGAGAAAGATTTCTAAAGTTGGGGCTGATATCGGGGATACTGGCGGCCGCAGCGACTGAGAAGGATGCCTGTACGTCTTGCTGACGTGCAATGAATGCGCGCAGGTCTTCCGAAGCGGTGAGCGCAGTACGCTTGTCGTGCTTTTTGAGAATCTTTCGTGCAGCCTCGACATTGATCCGCTGGAATTTCTTGACGTCCAGCAACGCAATGTTGAGTTTCATGAAGTCCTCAAGCGCCTGGATAGACTGAGGCTCGTGCATCGGTACCGCGGAGGCGTTCTTGCGCTTGACGAGACGCTTACTAGATCGACTTCTCTGCGTCGCGCTCAAGTCTCCAGGTCCCCATCCTCGTTTGGCCAGCTCGTCGGCAAAGCGTTTCAGACGCGCTTCGCTTTCGTCCACGCTCAATTCGCCGCGATCCTTCTCGCGCTCGCTCTCGAAGATCTGCATCTCCATCCACAGGGAGAATATTTCGCGCCAGACGTACAGGTCGTTCTTGCTCGCGTACGGGCTTGAGGCTCTTGCGATGGTCGCCGTCAGGTCCTCGGTATCAGCAATGAAATGATCTCGCTGCTCGTTCTGAACAATTTGGAGATTGGAAAGAGCGCCGGTGAGCGTGTCCAGGAATTCGGTATCGGCATTAAGCGGAATGAGAATCTCTCGCTTGCGCATTCTTCGGTAGGATGGGCGGACGCGGCGAGGACGGTGTTCGATCGAAGGCGTGCGATCAGCTGCGATTCCCGTCGGATCTGATCCCGCCACTTGGAAGTTGCTGGCGGCATCCAGTGGCGGCAAGCAGCTGGCGATGGCGCTTGCTCGTCGAGATGAAGGCTTTGCTCTGACCTCTGGACTAGGGGGTAACTCTTGGATGATGGGAAGGCCAGGACCTGTGTCGTCATTGCCGGCATCATCATCTCGATCCCCGTCATAGTCGTCGTCTGAGGTGACGGGAGACTCGATGTGGAGACGGATTCGGGGCATGGGATGCTCGGGGCTTCCACCTAGCTCATACTCAGCTCGTGCTCTTCGCCCACCTTTCCCCTGCACCCATCGCTGATGGTCTGGTCCTTGAGGGCTTTCCTGACAAACTGGGCGCCGCCCCGTCGCAGCTGACGGCGAAGGGCTACATTCAGCCGCCGAGGGCCCAGGTCCGCCGTCCTCGTCCGAGCCCTTCCATAAATTTGAGCCACCTCTCTCCCGCCATGCATGCGCCCCCCAATCATGTCGGCCCGAGCCTTCACCGCTGTTGGTATGGCTGCTGCTGTGAGGTGCGGGCGATTGTTCTCCGCCAGACTCGGATGCGTGTCCACTGTGGAAAACTTCCTCAGCCGAAGAGCCACCCATGCGTTTATAAAGTCTGTGCAGGTCTTTTTTTCCCATGCCGGATGACCGGCGCCGGCTGGCAGCTTGGAAATCGGCATTCGAAGGGGGCGAGAGGATTTCAACATTGTCGGATTCTTCTGAGCCATCCAGAAAGTGGCTATCATGCGCAGGCTGCTCCAGCTGACCTCTGAACTCGTGGACGCTTCCTGAAGAGCTAGAGCGATCCTTTCCAGAAGTAGTGCGCAAGGAAGAGCACGTTTTGCGGGGCACTGATTCAAGCCAATTGGCTGCCTTGCTGTCCTTGCGGCGCATATGGAGGGTTGCAGCGCCAGCCAGAGGAGGCGAGAGCGTTTCATGGCTGTTGCTCTTTGGAACTGCCTTGGGTGGAAAGACGTCTGAGCCAATGTCATTTGCAGCCGCCTTGACCGCTCCTTGCATCTCTTCTCCGCCGGCAGGAGCCTCTTCATCGGCAGAGGACTCATCCCCTCCCGCAGTACACAACTCTGGCCGCAGCAATTCGCGTAGTACATCTGTGCCTAGACCTAGTGACTCTAGCTCTGCAACAACACCGTTGATGAGCTTTTTAAGCTGTCGTCCGAAAAGGCGTGGACCAATACACGGAAGATTGTTCAGCATTCCAGTCAGCTAAAGTCAAGGATGTCCATGGTAGGCTCACATGCTTATACTCGATCGCCCCCCTCCTCCACTCCTCTGGAAAAGAGGGACTAGCGATCGTTTCCATGTAGCTCTTGCCGAATTTCATGTTGCCGATGGACGAGAACAAACATTAAACCCGGTGTTGACAGTTTGACTATTCTGAAGGATGGGGCGTCAAGGGTTGTGCCACCTGCCCGGTCAATTTGACGGCGAGGTTGCTTTTCAGGAATACCAGACAAGGTGAGGGGTACGTCGTAATTCGTTGCCACTTTCACAAAGCGACGGCACTGTTAGCTGGGGCAAATAGACCCAGGTGGCTGAGTTCCAACAGGGGACGGAGGTGGAGAGTGCTTGATGGAGAGTGCTTAGTGAAGATTGCAGCCTGGCGCGTTCTCTCTAACAGGACATCAGATCTGTTAAGTGGTCCTTTTTATTTTCGCACTGAAGCAAAGAAGCTCTGCAGACCCGAAGCTGTGGTCACTTCGGCTGCAGCCTGCGCAGTGCGCACGTTCTGCCCTTTTATGGATTAGACCTTGTCGCCAAGCAGGGCTGTGGAGAATGAAAAGCGAACGCGGGGGGAGCCTGCGGGCGCGATGCAAAAGTCGCACAAAAAGCCAAGAAGTACTTGCAGGTTGCTCCTGTCTCTTTATAGCTTGCTCCAACGGTGCTCCTAGACTTGACAATCCTTTTCATTACTCCATCTCCCTTTCTGTACATTGTACATCGAATGTCTCGCTGCTTTGTGGTGTGCAACACTCCCGATGAATGGCAGACCCCCCCCATCGAGGAGAAAAATGGTACCTTGGCCGCCACAGTGATCGTGAGCACTTTCCAGCAGGGTGCCTATTATACACGTTCCAAACGTTAATGTGGCGTTCTCGATGTTGTCCCGTGTCAGTCAGAGCTGCAGTGCCTAAGACATAAAGTGCACACATCAGGCACAAGTCAAACACGTTCTCACATGACTCACCCAGTAACAGGAAATGGCAAGAGGACGTTGTCAAGTGTCGACTGCTGAGCGCTGGTTCCACTCAGTTGTAAATTTTTAACCTTTCCCAATTTCAAGCCAGTGGTATACGGGAAAATTCCCTGCAAGAAGGAAGAAAACCATACACCTCACATTCTGGATTGAAGCAAGCAATGCACTCCTAGCAGCAGTGCAGGGATGTCTTGGTATGCCACTCGTAGCCCGGCTCCACTCAGTAGAAGTCATTTAAATGTCGTGAACTTCCGTCCGGAAGACCAGAAATATGCTTTTGCCCCGAAACATTGATAGTACTTATATCGGCCGAGAGAACGGCTGCAACAGCGTCGAGCGCTTCACCGCCAAAATTTTGCTGCCCAGTTGGAGCACGGTGGATGGCTATTGGCGAATGGTGAATCCCGTCGACTGGTCGCTACTGCAAATGTAACTGCACGATGCGTCCGTTCCGAGCCTTCGTGCCCATCCTGACAATCAGTGTGGTTGGTTGAAGGCATCGGATATAGAAGGTGCATGCCTCGCGTGGCCAGCGCCAGCATCAAGTCTCGAATCGTTAGCCCAGAGTGCAAACCCACTGGCCTCGCCCCGCCTCACTTCGCCTCGCATCTTCACTTGTGGCAAGCGGACGTCGCTAGGCGAGCTCGTGTCAAGATGGCGACTCACCCAGAGGACCAAGTGGACCCGCAGCAGCCCATCAGTAAGAACAAACGCTTCAGGAAGGATAAGCGTGAGTGTAGCAGAGGCGGCGCTTGGCCTGCTGCTGGGCTTCATGGAAGACGCCATGGTCCCTGGACTGCTCACGCACGCATGCCATCTTTTGCTCTCTTAGCTTGGGACACAGACGACATTGATCATTGGAAGATCGACAAGTTCACACCTGAAGACAATCCGCATCCATTGACCGAAGAGTCATCGTTCGCGACACTGTTCCCAAAGTACAGAGAACAATATCTGCGCGACATCTGGGGCCACGTAACCACTGCTCTCGAAAAACATGTGAGTGTTATGGCATCGAAGTTATCTTGCTCTTTCGCTAGGGTAGATTACTGATCCATCAACCCGCAGGGCATCTCCGCGACGCTCGACCTCGTCGAGGGTTCCATGACTGTCCGGACGACACGCAAGACGTGGGATCCGTATATGATCCTCAACGCTCGCGACCTCATCAAGCTGCTCAGTCGTAGCGTGCCCTTCCAGCAAGCTGTCCGCATCCTTGAAGACGGTGTTGCGTGCGACGTCATCAAGATCGGAAACATTGTCCGCAACAAGGAGCGCTTCGTCAAGCGTCGACAGCGCATCATCGGTCCCAACGGGAGCACGCTCAAGGCCCTTGAGCTGCTGACCGGCTGCTTCATCATGGTGCAAGGCAACACGGTCAGCACGATGGGCCCGTACAAATCGCTCAAGGAGGTTCGACGCATCGTTCTCGACTGCCTGCATAACATTCATCCCATCTATCACATCAAAGAGCTCATGATCAAACGTGAGCTCGCCAAAGATCCCAAGCTCGCCAACGAGAGCTGGGATCGTTTCCTTCCCAAGTTCAAAAAGAAGAACGTAAAAAGCAAGAAGCCCTCGGCATCATCATTGCCGTCAGCTGCATCAGCAGGGTTGTCCTCGACTCCGACCGCTACTGGCGCGAATGCCACGTCCTCTTCCGCCTCTGCCAGCGCCAGGGCGAGTGCAGATGCAGCAGCGCAACCACCCAAGAAGAAGCAGAAGAAGACATACACGCCCTTCCCTCCACCCCAGCAGCCGAGCAAGATCGATCTGCAGCTAGAGAGCGGAGAGTACTTCCTCAAGCCCAAGGAGAAGAAAGCGCAGGAGGATGCAAAGCGGGAGAAGAAGCAAGCCGAGAAGCGTGTGCAAAAGCAGGCGGAGCGTGCCAAGGCATACGTGGCCCCTGTCGAAGATGCTGTCGCGAGCAAGGACAGCCAGGAGGGGAAAGCAAAGAAGAAGAAAAAGGACAGGGACGAGTCTGCCACGGGCCAGAAAAGGAAGCGAAGCGTAGGCGACGGCGACGGCCCAGATGCATAAACATGGCCGCGTCGTGCACCCCTTGTATTGTATACCTTCCTATTACTAGCATCACGCACTTCGTTCGAATCAGCAGCAGTAACACCGGTGTGACTCGGTAGTATGTTGTGGTCATAGGGACATAGGGCATAGATTTGAAAAAGGCATAGAAGAGGACAGGGCATACAAATAGGAACAGATGCATAGTGGAAAACGACACCTCCTGACGCTTTGACGAAGCACCTTCATCGCATGAGTCTGGAGAGCAGGGACTCGATCGTCTGCTCTTTGTTGCTACTACAATTGCGTCCATCGCTGGGGTCTGCTGTCGTTTGACCAGGAAACGAACCTCCATACGACGGGGCAGGCGAAATGGCAGCTGTGAAGCTGCTGTTCGCTAGAGCTGCGGCCGTTGATGCTGTCGCCCATCCACTGTTTGCGGAAAGTGGCGCCGTATGCGACTGAATCAGTGAAGAAGTCGAGGAGGCTGCGTGTTGCACTACATCGGACGATGGGTGGTACGGCCAGGAAGGGTGGACGCCCATTGTGGGGATGGAAGGGGTGTGCCTCAATGAGGCGGCGGTTGCACCGTTTTGTGTGCCATGCACAAACGACGATAGAGGCTGGCTGGCATTTGGGAGGGCAGTTGAACGATGCTTTATGAACTTGGGTGCTGGGAGACTAGCAGGTGAGGGGGAGTTGTGGAAATTAGGGCCGGCGTACATCAAGTCGCCGCCGCCGGCGAGAGTGTATTGCTGGGCATGATAACCTGCAGCCACATTTTTTTGGGAGGCGGGAGACGGCTTGAATGCCTGTTGTTTGGCTGGTGTGCTTGGTTGAGCCGGGCCAGAAGTGGCGCTAGCTGAATGGCCCCTGCGATGCTGATGCTGATGCAAAACTTGTTGCTGTTGCTGGGACTGTTCGAGGGGTATGGTGGACGCGGATGCATCGCCATTTGGCCCATCTTTGAGCGTAGGTTTTGCTGAACTAGCTTGCTTTTTGCTCTTTGAGGATACAACCATCAATTCTTGCTGCCAAGTCAGGGGGGGAGCAGCAGCAGAGGCAAGTGAGGTCGAGCTTGTGCTGGTGCTCGCCTCTGAGGATTGCTGCGCTTGTGAAGCATGCTGGTCTCTCGTTCTAGCAAGCCCACTTGGGCTCGATGATTTCTTCGAGGCTTGAGTGCGGTCGGACCGCTTCTGCGGACTATCAGTAGATGCCGTCTTCTTCATTGATAGGAGCTCCTGTTGCCAGGTGAGAGGAGTGGATGCGCCGCTGTCTGCATCGATGGCAACATTGCTGAGGATTGGCATGTCCCACTCCGGCTCTGCAGCCGGATGTTTGGATTCATTTCCCCCGCGTGCTTTCCGCGCAGCCTTACGCTCTGCGGAAGCGAGACCCGTTGGAGGCGAACTGGATAATAGCACTGCAGACGATGCATCGTCTCGAGATGCGGCCGCAAGCTCCCCTCGAAGAGCAGCTGCTTTCCCTTTGCTTCGAATATTGTGAGGCTGAGACTTGGAAGGCGTAGCTATTGGCGAGATGTCTTCCGAGGATTCATTGCGATCTTGTTGCTGTTGATGAGATCTTGCTCGCTTGTTGCATGCAGAAGGACCGGGTCTCGGAGCCGACTTGGTTTCTTGTAGCGTCTGGGCTCCAGATTTGATGGCTGATGAGGCTGATCTCGCTAGCGAGATGGAGCCATGCATGACCTCTTTGGCACTGTTCCCTTTGGCTATACTGGCTGCGTGGGATGGTAAATCTTTGCTGGATGGCTGCATGACGGAAAGCATCTTTATGGCCTGCCGTCGATCAAGATATATGGGAGTGAGAGAGTGTGGCCGAAAGGGAGGAGCGCTCTAGCAGCAGTCTCTGCCAGAAAAAGGGACCTGTAAATGGAAAGGAGAGGTATGAAAAACTCTGCCTGCAGTATGGATGCTTAGATGACTCGTTCGAGCTTCAAGGGTGTGAGATGTTAGCAAATGTGATGGATGGAGAGATGCTGATGGGATCTGGTTCAATTGCAAGTCTGCCCAGTCACTTGCCTTCGTCCCCCAGTCGGCCAACCTGGTTTGTGGCGATGACGAGGACACGCAGACCATCGACCCGACCCCTTGTAAACTGGATCACGTGACAATCATTCACCTGACCACCATGCCTGCACGTCCCTCCCATCACCGCCACACATGCTTATGTCTCTCGCTACTCGGGGGTCGAGTGCCGGCGCTGCGAGTTGTATAACAGCGGACCGCAGGCTACACCATAAGCGGTGAGCTGCACTGACAGTCTGCCTCTCCCACCCTAAAACAGCCATTTGGAGTCTACAGTGGCGAAAGGCGCTCGTGGGTGAACAGTTTATTGGACACTCCATTCGCAACGGCTGCGTTCTTCGATGGAGATGGACCAAGCGAAGCATGTCTCCTTCTGGCTGCGCCATTTGCGCATGCTTCCCACGCCATACCAATCTGCTGATACGCAAAGGTAGGCTCTTTCTTCTTTTCTCCCTAGGCTAATACGCCGCTCCTTCTGAAGCGCTCTCTTTCACGGACGGGTTTTGAATAGAATGACCATCGGCTACTTTTGTCTTTCGGCATTGGACGTTCTTAGCGCGGTAGAGAGTCATTTGCTAAAGACGGAGCGAGAAGAGCTCGCCGACTGGGTGTATGAACAGCAGATTCGTGAGTGCGCTTCCTTCGGCTTTTAAATACGCTCCACCGCTCATCCTAGAACCCGCCTCCTTGTGTATTTCTTTTCTTGAAGCCCCAGCCATGGGAGGTGGGTTTCGAGGATCGCCCACAGCGGGAACGGTCCCTTCTACTTCTCAGCACGCATTCACAACTGGGGCAATGGGACATCTCGCAATGACCTACACTGCGCTTCTCACCCTCGCCATTCTGAGAGACGATTTTGGAAGATTGAATATTGAAGGTCTCCATGCACTCCTCGCTATATCGCAGCAAGCAGATGGCAGGTTCGTCTGACGCTCAACCCTTGCAGATAACTCAGTTGATCTCTGTACTCATTTATTGATCCGCCTCCCAGTTTCACGGCTGGTCCGAGCCAAGTCGAATGTGACGTCCGATTCACCTTTTGCGCCTTTGCGATCGCCCAAATGGCAGGTTGTTGGGACGCCGTCGACATCGATCAGGCATTGCGGTTCCTAGCACGATGTAGAGTGAGTTTCTGGGGGCATATTCGTCTATTTTCTCTTTGCTTACGAGCTCAACTGCTCAGAATTACGACGGTGGCTTTTCGCAAGCGCCAATGCAAGAATCTCACGGTGAGGCGTTGCAATGGAAAGACCCTTACCGGAACATGTCCCTGATTCGTTTAAATTCGCAGGAGGATCCTCCTACTGTGCAATTGCTGCATTCAAATTGGCCGACCGTATTGATTTCATTACAGAACTTCCCTCATTACGACGTTGGCTAATCTCGCGACAACAAGTCGGTACCGGCTTCAATGGGAGATCAGAAAAGCCTGTAGACACCTGCTATTCGTTCTGGTGTGGGGCATCATTAGCTGTGAGTCATCCTAGCTTGACACATCCACTGCGCAGGTCCTGGTTTGTATGCTGAATGCTGACTTGGTGGCGTGCAGATGGTCGGCGCTGACGAGATGATCGATCGCTCGGCCGATATTCGATGGCTCCTGGGCAATCAAAGCAGGATCGGTGGTTTCGCAAAGGTAGCAGGCGAAGCTCCTGATGCAATGCACTCCTACATGGGAACTGCGGCACTTGCTTTGCACCGTTATAACCCTGCAACTTCGTCCGCAGACACGGGGGAGGCACACGCGCCGTCATTGCAGGAGTTGCTACCAGAGTTGAACCTGAGTCGAGGTAGTTCACAATGGATCAAGATGCAGTTGCGGAAGAAGCATCGAGAAATGGATCCGTCTTGATCACTTATGATGCATGCCTGCGTAGTGGTCGCTCACGTATGCTGGAGGGAGCGCGATGCATGTAAACGCCTTCGAACTGTTCCTGCTCGTCATCGTCACCGCCGGCTCCTTCGCGTCCATGCGCGCCGTAATATACATTCGCAGAGAGAAGCCGCGCTGGCGCAACGGCTTCCGGACCTGTGAGCGCTTCGCCCACCGCTGCGACTCCGCTCGTGCCCTGCGACCCGCTGATGCCGTCTGTCCAAATGTTGGGTGCCTCTGGTGTCCCACGCCCTGAAGGGTACTGCGTTATAGAAGGCGCTTGGACTGGAGGTGGCGACGCAGGTCCAGCACCATTCGCATGCCCAATGCCGCTCCCGCCACGGGCAAGCGAAGTGTGACGCCGAGGGATTGGATTCGAGCGATGCCGAGAAAGCAATGAAGGTTTACGATTGCGCAATGACAGCACAATTGGGTCTTGCTTGCAACTAGCTGAGCTGGTGGTCCGCGCATGCTCTAGGGCCGCAGAAGTTCGCATATATTCTTCTTCCGGCTCAGGCTCGTTAGCATCGGCTTCTTCTGGTATTGGTAGCCATAGCTCTGGCAACACTCCCCTGTAGATATGAGATGAGTTGAAAAGATAAGGGTAAGTCTTTGATAGCAACCCGCCTTGGCAAAGCACGCCATCAAAAATACTTCACACTCACGTCTGCGCTGGATGCCCATACCGCCTTCTCCCAGTGTTAAGCACCCCAGGGAAGTAAGTGCCTTGTGATGGTGGCTCGCGATAATCCGTATGTCGGTCGCTTGCAGCGACAAAGAGAGTGTCATCATCTTGCAGATTGGCTTTGTTGGCAAGCTGGCCGTCCGCACTTGTGCCAATGTTCCAACTGGCTTCGTTCGGGGCGCTTGCGGTCGCTTCGTGTCCGGCCGGATGATTGGCCTCCGCAATACTGCTAAGATTTACGTTCTCGCTGAGTGGCGCAAAGGTCCGTGCGAGGTAGCCTTCCATGTACACGGTCGTCGTGATCAACGGGACGACAAGGATGGCGAGCAATGCCTGTTTGCGAACGACGAAAAGTGAGAGTTGGAAAATCTGGAACAGAACGAGACTCCACATGCATCTTGAAGCGCACAGCGGCCAAGCCTCTCCCTTGGATTCGTACGATTTGTAGTAGACGAAGAGGATCTTATACTTGTATACGACGTAGCACGAGGCAAAGTAGAGGCAGCCAAAGCAGAGAATCGCCGGGCTGACGATCGAGTAAAGGATAGACATCGTAAAGACGATCAGCGCTTGTGGGTATACCGTGCCGATGTAGAGCTGCGGTGGGGCATTGAGCTCTGCGTGCTCGCGCGGGGTATGCGTCCATATGCGCTGAAAGGAGCGAAGGAAGACGATCGGCAATTGGAGCATTTGCAAAGGGACGATGCCAAGCGACTGCAGCACCACGTAGGATAGAGAAAATTTGCGCGCGCTAGGCAAGGCGCCTGAAAGCTTCTCGAGCAAAGACATGGGGTTGTTGGCGAGCTGCGTAATCACCTCCCAGGCCGTGCTGGTGATGAGGAAGATGAACACAACTGATACGAGCAAGAAGAGGTCTGCAACGAGCACAAGAACGCATCAGCTTGATGTTCGGCTGCGCTGTGTAACCTGCATATCCATGCGAAGCTCACAGTATTTTTTAAAGACAGAATATTCGACGAGGCTTCTGGCGCGGAGCCCCTGGAAGTACGCTGTCCATTCGAACATGATGGGCAATAGCGCGTTGAACGCGATGAGCACGATTGATGGTAGAAAGTTGAGTACGAGTGCCTCGAGGCGCGGTTCAGCGCTGAGCAGCTTGTAGAGCCACGGAGCGTACTTTCGAATCGCTTCCGGTTTGAGAAAGGACGCTAGCGCCGTCAAAGGCGGGATGTAGAAGATGAGCACGAGCAGCACGAATGCGCTGACGAGCACCTGTCGCGTCCGGCGTTCGCCAGCAGGCATGGCGACATTCGACCAGATGATGTCCCTTGGCTCGGGTGCAAGAGTCGTGATGCATAGCCCCGGGAGAGGATAGTGTACGCTCTGTGCGAGGATCTGCGCAGACTCGGCCGATTGAAAGGTGACGAAGCCGACACCGGTGACGATGCTCGACGTGAGGCTATCCGTGCGATACTTGGTCACTTCGCGATCTTTGCAGTGGAAACGACGCGCTAGCTCGTCGAGCGCATCGACATGCGTAGAGAATGGGTTCCATGAGCTTGTGCGCATTGTCGGCCTGGGCTTGGCGGAAGGAAGCTGAATTCTTCGAGTCGGGTCGTCGACATCAGCGGGGATGAGCAGTGGCGCACGTTCCACATCGGGTGCACCAGCAGCGCCAACTGGAAGGTCGCGGCGTGCGTGGACCCTCTCACCCTCGTCTTCCTCTTGCTGAGCCATCCGCTGGATGGCTTGGTGAATAGCCCCCGGGTCATATGCCTTGGCGGGCGTCGGATTGCCTAGGAACTTGGACCAAGCCTTCTCGAGCTTGTACAACGCTTGTGCCCTTTCGTCCAGGAGCCTCCCCAGACCCTTGACAGCATGCACGAGTGAAACCGACTCGACAGGGTGCCCCATGTCCTCAAAGTATTCCGCCAGCTTCCTCTCCTCTTTCAGATGCATGGGAAGGTGGCGGAGCATGACAGTGCGTGCGGGAATGGACTCGAGGATTTGGAGCGCGTATAGCTGGCGACACTTGACGTAGCGCATGTAATTGCGGTAAATGGCACGAATGGCGAGAATTGAGATGAGCAAGGTGGAGAGAAAGTGCATAAAGTGGTACAGCGTCGCTTGAGGCGGTACCGAGGGTACACTTGGCACCCGAGGAATCGGATCAATTGGAGCGTCAAGGGGGCCCCCTCCGTTTGGAAGGAGGGTCATCTGCAACGATGCAGGGAACACCCAATTGGTAGTCTTTTCCGTCTCATTGTCGCCGCCGCTGTCTTGCTCTTCAGAGGGCGCCACGCCATCAATGGATCCATTTTGCATCCAATTGATGGGCATGAGAACGGCAGCAGCCCAGACAGACAGAAAGAAGAAGAGCCAGAAGCCCATTTTGAGAAAGTCGAGAAGTACTATCGCATCGATGCCCAGATTCTGGATGAAGTCCACCTCTTTGATCTTTAGCGTGGGCAAGATCCAAGCAAAGAGGTGTTTGAGCTCCAGATCATCGTGCGACGCGGTGTAGGCCTCGACTGAGGGACTGAAGAGACCGGTGATCTTGGTTCGAGGTGCGTATAGGGCGATATACTTGCGACGGAGAAAGGAGAAGAGGACGAGTGACAAAAGGCCGATGAGGAAGGAGAGCGCGACCTGCTGTTGAAACCACGGGCCGATGTACGCTCGACGCGGGTCGTTCGGCGCGATGGGCTCAGTGATGGAGGTCGGTGACGGCGCCGGCTCGGGCCCGGAGGGCGGATCGTGATCATTTTTGAATGCCAGCGATGTGGAGAGCGTTGCATACAAGCCTTTGTCGGTATGGAGAGCGGCAGAAGGCGAGGTCAGCAAAGCGGCGACGGTAACACATACCATCGCCATCGCTGCTGCGGTTGACCGACCAGAGCTGCGCCCCATCGTCGGTCGCGCTGCACACGCCTCGCACTGAGCCACACGGTCCTCTGGCAGAGCTGCTTGTATTACTGCCCTGTCAGGCGCGATAAGTATTCTGCGCAGTCGCCCCTCTTCATCCTCAACACTCCTGGTATCGTTAATCAGAGTACATGGACACAACGTCGTCATATGGGTGCAACCATATGGGAGTGTTGTGAATGGAGATTTTGCTTACATAATCCGTCTGGAGATGAAGTCATCGCACCCTTGATTATTCGGTGCAATTTGCTGTGTTTACCTTTTGAATATACGTACCTTTTTGAATATGCGTTTGACGAGTTAGTATCCCCATGTCTCTCGTTGACGAGATGTCGAGCAGACAGGAAGGCACTGCGGTATGCAGTAGCACGGTCGCACAACATATCGATACGGACGGACGACAGCACGGCTACTGAGCACCTCGCGGTGAGGTTGCTGATCTCCGCAAATCATGGGCTCGTGTGCGCGCTGCGTGCGCGTTGCGGCCAGTCGGGTGCAAGGCGCCGGCCCGCGTGCGTTGCTTCCCTTTCGGGTCCGTCCACATCAATTTCATCGCTGCCTGCCGCCAGGGGATCCTTCTGCCGGTTCAATCTTTCCCACACTGCTCCATAACCGCTCGCTTTGCGCGAACCGAGTGCGACGCCCATGTCAACGCAGTTCTTCAATTGACCATGTACGGCGAGAAATGCACCAGGAGCCGGGGCGCGGCACTTCGTCGCACCCAACAGGATCGAAATCAGCTGCCAAAGCAGCCTTGCGAAAGGGCAAGCAGGCACGTAATGAGAGTGCAACTGCAAGTGACGATGTTAGCAAGGGAGTTCATGAGCCCTTACCGCCAGGCTGGAACATGGTTATTGGCATCGAATGTCATGCTCAGATCAAGACCAAGCACAAGCTGTTCAGCCGTAGGTCTTGGAACCACTCTGTTGGCGAATGCTACCTTGTGCCCGCTTGACTGTTGGAAGGTAGCTGACCGCTGGCGATGCGTCCCTTCCCAGCCTCCCGAATACCGCCCTTCTATCCGCCTGCCGCCCCAAATACTCATGTGGCGCCGTTTGACCGTGCGGTGCCAGGCACACTTCCGAAGTTGAACCACGAAGCCGTCGAGCTTGCCGTCAAAGCGGCTCTAGCACTCGGCTGCGAAATTATGCCCGATGCACGATTCGATCGAAAACATTATTTCTACCACGACCTGCCACCTGGGTACCAAATTACCATGAAATACAGTGGGTCATTCGAGTTTGTCAATTGCTAAGACGCCGTGATGACCTCGAAATTCACGATATTCCCTGGATATTAGAACCGCTCGCCAAATCCGGGAGCCTGCGTTTGCGTTTCGACGAGGGCTACCTGCCGTCACCACAACAGGAGCTGACAGTCCAAATCGAGCAACTACAGATTGAGCAGGACACTGCAAAGACGTACACGAGCCTCAGTGCCGATGGCAGTACGACCCTGCGGCAGGTGGATCTTAATCGGGCGGGGGTGGGCCTCATGGAGATCGTCAGTGCGCCGGATATGCGGTGAGGAGAGGGTGATGCTCGGCACTCGATGAGAGTGAACGTACGCTCATTCTCCCATGAGGACGCTTTTTCAGAACACGGGAGCAGGCGGGCGCGTACGTCCGAAAATTGCAGCAGGTGCTTCGGAAAGTGGGTGCTTCGGATGGGAACATGGAGCAGGTACGTCGCGCCTGATCAAATGCAAGGGTGCCGTCTTAGAAGCTCATGGCTTGCTCCCTCTTCCCGGCGCCAACTCCACAAGGGGTCACTGCGATGCGACGTGAACGTGTCGGTCCATCAGGACGGGCAACCGTGGGGGACACGCACGGAGGTGAAGAACGTCTCGTCGCCGAAGTTCATCATGAACGCTGTAGCTTCCGAGGCGCGTCGTCAAGTGCAAGCCCTGCTGCGAGGCGACAAGGTCGTGCAGGAGACGCGCGCGTACGATGAGCTGAGCGGGGAGACCGTCTCGCTGCGGAGTAAAGAAAATGCTATGGATTATCGCTTCATGCCCGATCCGAGTTTGCCTCCGCTAGATATCACGGAGGTGAGTGTGTCGAGGTGTTCCAGTTCGTTTTCTTGGTTCTTATCTGATCTGGTGGTGCTACATTTCATGCCTGCTAGGAGAAGTTACAGCATGTGAGAGATGCACTACCGGAGCTGCCGGATGCTTTGCGGGACAGGCTGGTCGCGTCATACGGCTTGAATGGCAGGGACCTGAACGTGCTGCTCCGTCTCGACGACGGCAATGATAGTGGTGCTCTAGATGCGGATTCCAAGGAAGCAGCGCATCACATGACGGCGCTCGGATTGTTTGAAGACACGGCCAAGGGGCGCGACCCGCTGGTAGTTTGCAATTGGTAAGCAGAGTGCGAGATACCGAAGCGGCATGCGTGCTGACGGGAAGCAATGGGCGTTCACATTCGTTCACACTTGGAGGATCATCAACGAGCTGGTCAGCGCACTAGGAGATCGACCGTTCAGCCGCAATCCAGTCAGTGCACAGCAGCTAGGCGAGCTGATTGACCTGGTAGAGAGCAAGCGTATCACCGGTAGCGTCGGCAAGGCGCTGCTCTCGGAGCTTGCCTCGATGCCTCCAAGCATATCGATGACGACGATGGAAGAAGCTGTGCAGCGGCCAGTGCGCTTGCTGGAGCTGCTACGCGCGCGGGGCCAGCTTTCGCTGGAGGCGGACGAGCTGCAGCGCGTGTGCGCGGATGTGGTGCGCGACCTGCCGCAGGAGGTCGGGCTGGTGCGCCAGGGCCGGACCAAGGTGCTGATGCGCCTCGTCGGCGAGGTGATGAAGCGCGCCCGAGGCCGTGCGGACGCGCAGGGCGCGGCAGAGGTGCTCAGGGCGCAGATCGCAGCAGCTGGGACCTGAGAGGCACTGGGCTGCGTGGCGACATGTCAACTATAACAGTGTCTGTGCGTTGTCTCGCTGTGCAAAGCCCGCGATATACACGCAACGCGACGGATTCCGACCTGCGCGCTCCGAGACAAGCAGGGAGATATATCTCCTCGCCGTACGTGGGACCATTAGTCTCTCGAAATCCGAGTCGTCTCTCTGCTCCCTCACTCGTCCACAACCGGACAGGGGATGAGCCGTAGGAATACTGGCCTTGGCGGGCATTCCCGCTCTCTGTTCCTTTGTCGCACTTGTGGACGAGTTGTTCGGTTCAAACCCTCAGGAAAGTCTGTCGGGATGGAAAAGGCCAAAACAGAAGCGAAGCGGCGAGCTTCTCACGACACATTGTCGACGATGCGCACAATGCTCCCTGCGAGCTGTTTCGAACTCGGCAGCGTATGTGTAGACTTTGTTGAATGTAATCTTGTAAATCATGTGGGGGGTATGGATGGGGTTCGAATTGTATCCACTGGGGAGGGGGACACGGGCACATAGGCACTGGGAGTGGGAGTGGGAGTGGCGAAAGCCAAAAGTGTCCCGCCAGCCCGCGGTAAGGACAAGTCAGCAGTGAGCCAGTGGGCACACCGGTGGGCACACTGGCTGTGTTCGCCAGACTCGCGTATCCTACATATGCGCATAGCATGAGATATGTACAGTCAGCTGTGGGGCAGCACCCAGCGCCACGTACTTTGGTTTCGGACCATCCGTCCGAAACCAAAGTACTTGCCAGTCCGAAGGCTCTCCAACCACTCAAACCCCGCTCTTGATCAACGGGGCGGCGCAGACGCAGCAGCGCGTCTGCGCCGACACTGGGTCCTGCCGGCGGCTCTCTCTATCGTTAACCTTCGCTGGCTGGCGATGCCCTTTACACGCTTGCACAAAGCGGAGAGCTTGGGACCTGCTGCACAGACATGCCATCTCTCTCATTCATCCCTACTGTCACTATCACCATCACCATCACCATCCCCCTTCTATCCCTCCATCCGAGCGAGGAGCCGTGCTTCCGTATCGACCAGCGATCACATCCAGCGAACATCCCTCGCGACCGCAAGCGGGCTCTGATCACGAGCGCCTGGCTCGCCTTTGCCTTTCATCATTCTTCCAGGGCACACACACACATACCTACTTTCTCACTTCCACCTGCTTGCAGACCAAACAGCAGCAGCAGCATTTGGCCATGTCGGCAGGAGTAATGCCCATGCACACCAGGTCGCCGCCCGTCTCTCCGCGCCTGCAGCGTGAATTCGACGTGCAGCAGCAGCAAAGCGCAAATGAGAGCAAGTCAGCATCCTCCTCGCCGCCGCTTCTCCCTCCCCAAGCGGCAACGGCCACGCACCCCACCGCCAGGGTGGCCGCAAGCCGAGGCGGTTCGCCCAGCGCAGGCGGCGCTCAGCGTCCCAAGCCGCAGGCAGCATCCGTCGCTGCATGGGCGGCAGCGCAGGCGAAAGCGCGCATGGCGCGCGAGCGCTCCTCTGCCGCATCTGTACCAAGCGGCGCGGCGACTATGTCGTCTTCATACGCCGGCAGCCATGGGCCGAGCAAGCTGAACACCAACGCGCACGGCACTAGCCTTTTGTGCGCGGCGGGGGACAGCAGTAGCGGTGCCGCCGCCGCAAGAGCGATTGGACAGTTCATGACACGTGGCAGCAGCAATAACAGTACCAGCAGTACCAGCAGTACCAGCAGTACCAGCACTACCAGCACTACCAGCACTACCAGCACGGCTCCAAGCGCGACACTGACGCCATCGCTCGCATCGGCACTGACAGCATGTACTTCCTCCCCTTTGCCATCGCCATCCGCGGCGCTGGGCTTGTCGCCAGCGTCACTCTCTCCCGCGTCGGCGCTCGGTCTGGGCTTTGGATCTGGGCTTGGTTTAGGGTGCAGCAGGCAACCGCAGCAGCACAACAAGTACCAGCGGAGAGCCGACGACGGCAATGGGCATCAGCCGCGCCGCGGCTCGCTTCCGCTGTTTCTGCTGCAGCTTTGCGGTATGCCAGACTCTGCAGCTGCTGCTGCGATCGATGAAGACAATGGCGACGATGAGGCAAATGGTGAGTGCTTCTGCTCTCTGGAAGTAGGGTTGAGGGAGGCGTTAGGCTCGTCCACAGAGAAAAGGCGTGTCTTGGTTGCATAATTGCGGACGGAGTGTGGCGCCTGTCTCGGCGGGCGCTGTGGGTGGAGCAACGCAGGGGCTCTGCCGCAATTCGCAGGCGCAATGCCACGCATCCATCTTTGTAAATCCACTCTCTGGCGCAGTCTCGCACGCAGAGGCCGCTGACTCTCTCTGTCTCTCTTTTTTTTTCTCCACGGGCACTGGCCCACTGTTGCTCGTGTCCCGCGCACGCTCTCTCCCTTCCCTCTTTCCTTCCGTCCCTCGTTATACATACGCGTACATATTGGGGTGCGATCCAACCCAATTCTTGCGCCCACTCTGCTCTCACCTGCCCCTGCCCCTGCCGCCATCTCCATCCCATCCACATTTCCATCCCATCCATACATCCATCCATCCGACACGGTCCGCGTATCGGCAACGCACCCACAAGCAGCAGCACTATCAGCAGCACTCCACCCGGCACCCGCCCTCGGCGGGGCATCAGCCACCACCACCCGACGCGCCGTTTCCCTCGCGCCCCCAGTCATCCAGGACGCGTCTTCGCCTGCGTCCCCTTGCGCTGCGACTCGTATCACTGACACCCCGCTGCATAGATCGGCATCCTTTGTCACACCCGCCAGCATGCTTGGCAAACGGCGGAGAGAGCTCCTCGGAGGTCGCTCTACCGCACCCCCACCCACCACTAGCAGCAGCAGCGCAAGTCCCGCGTTGACGGCAGCTGCCGAGGCCGCTGCCGCCTACTCTGGTGGCTACCAGTATAGCCACCAGCATCTCCATAAACAGGCAAAGTATCAGCACCCCTCTACGAATGGAGACTACCACGCTGCCGCCACCGCCGCCGCCGCCGCTGCTGCTGCTGCTGCTGGCGACTACCGAGATGGCCATCCTCACTACCTGCGACACTCTGAAGCAGAGCCAGCACGAAGAAGTGTGCCACCCTACCTGGACCCCGCGCTTGCTGCTGCAGACGATGTACATGCACACTCAGCGGAGACGGCGGACGAATCGAGGCGAGCCGCAGTGCAGGGGCAAGCAGCATCATTAGCAGCTGCACCGTCCGATGCGGCGGAGCCATTCCAAGATTACTATCCTACGGCGCTGGTCAACCGAGTCGCCGCGAGTCACAGGCAAGCGGTCATGTCCGCAGCAGCAGCAGCCGCTTCATACCGCTACGACCCTGCATCTGCCCCGAGCATGCCAACTCCCAGCTGGCCCCCACACGGAGGACAGGGCGGTTGCTCGAGCCTGGGTCTCACCCTCGGAACCGGCGGACCAGCTTCAGGCTCAGCTTCGTCAGTAGCAGCACCGACATCCGCGTCTGCGCCCATCGTGCCGCCACGCGGACGTGGGCGCGGTCGCACGCCGCACAACCTCATGGCCGGCGGACCTGGTACGCTGCTGCACACCGCCATGGGCATCCCAATCGGCTCGGCGTCCATCACCGCGGAAGCTCTCTCGCTGGAGAACCAGCCACCGATCCCCATCCCTGGCGACTCGGACGAGGCAGCTGTGCGCTGCCCATACCCTGGGTGCAACAAGACGTTCGCAAAGAACCGCATGTATAACCTCAAGGCGCATCTCCGCAGCCACTCGCAAGTCAAGCCGTTCCAGTGTCTCAGCTGCTCCCGCGCTTTCAGCCGCAAGCACGACCTCGAGCGGCACTCGCGCACGCATGTGAGTCGCATCCGCCGACAGCCCTGGCGTCCGTCCGCTTTCTTCTTGCGCTGACACGACCCTCCACACACCCTCTTCTCTTCTTTGCCATCCGCAAGACGGGCGACAAGCCGTACATCTGCGAGGCGTGCGGCAGTGGCTTCCCGCGTTCCGATGCGCTGCGCCGCCACTGGAAGGTCGAGAAAACATGCGGCGCCATGGCTGCACAGATCGAGCTCGAGCACCAGCACCAGCGCGAGCTCGCCGGCGAGGGCGGCGGCGATGGTGGCGAGGGCAGCGGCAGCGGCAGCGGCGGCGGTGGCGGTCAAAGCGGGGAGTACAACGGGCACGAATACGCACCAGCAGCAGCAGCAGAAGCGGTGCCTCTAGCCGATACAACACAGCAGCAGCAGCAAGATGACGAGGACGCGGATGCCGATGCGCCGCCCGCGTACTTTCCCGAACACCCCAGCCAGCGAGCGCAGGCGCTGCAGAACGGGAACGACGGCATCGGCGGGGAGCTGGGGCAGAATGATCTCAATGCCCAGCAGCAGCACGACGCGCAAGAGCCCTCTGTCTCAGCGCCTGCGACCCCTGCTGCGGAAGCGGAAGTTCCAGCTGAAGCGCAGGCGGACGCCAACGCGGCTTCCGACGATCCTGTGCAGGCGATCGAGCGAGTGGCAGCAGCAGCAGGAGCTGAGCAGCCAGAGCCCGAGACGCACGCAACAGCTGAGCCGCAGGCGGAGGCGGAGCCTGCGGCTGACGCTCTCGTTCCGACTGGGGATGACGCTGGAGACGAAGCCGCAGCAGCGTCGGCTCCCGATGGCGACGCAGCGCCGATGAGCAGCGTCGCCGAGTAAGGCGACGATGCGGAGCCGCCAGCGCGAGATGGGACGATGAGCACTAGCACTTGCACATGGGAGAGCTGCAGCGGCGCCATGCTGTACGCCGAGCAGTGCCGATGCAGCTGCCGCCGCCGCCGTCCGATCAAGACGAAGGTGAACGCGAACGCGAGTACTTGTTCGGTTTCATTAATCACTCTGTTGTGCCATCAGTTCTGCATCAATGCATTCACGACTTCTCATCACGTACGATATGCCACGCCTGGCCTGGATTGTTTAAAACGTTTTCCTGCTCTCATCTTCGTGCCAGTCGGATGATGAGCGTCCGTGTGCATTCTAAGATATTGTTACATACGCGTGGTAGGTATAGTCTCCAGTCCCCGCCGGAGTGGGTGCGTTTCTGGAATGACGGTCGAGATGGCAGGCGCGTGCTCGCGCGTGGCTTGCGTCGCGAATGAATGCGCCGCCAGACATGATGTATTCGGCCGCAAAATAGTGCGATTTATGCTTGTCGAGTTTGCCCAGCACGCTCAGGGCTGGCGCTTGTGCTGGGCAAGCGCACAAACTGGCAAGCTGGAGACGATGGGCCCGAGTGGAGCACAATGCATGCCTCTGCGAGCACTCGTGCTTCGGGCAGGTGTGTGCGCCTAGAGCAAACTTCGGACTGGCGTGCAGTGCAGGCGCTGCCCCGTCACTTCAAGTGATTGCATGCTCTCTGAGCGGCTAGTCTCGTAAAGGCAACCGGTGGAGAGAGTAAGCTTTTCAAGCTTGCTCCTCGCCAGCGGCTGCGGTATCAGCCGCCGTGTCGATTGCCGGCCCGTCGCCCGCAAGCGGCTTGGCATACTGCTTGATCCACTCCTGCATGAGCAAGCGTTTTCAGGGAAGGTCGGGATCAAGTTAGCAGATTGCCTGTAGGGGGGGTGCAAAATAGCTATATGCGCGCGCACGCACCTCGTCTTGCCAGACCGGCTTGTTTGTACCGATCAGCGCTTTCAGCGGCTTGGCGAGATTGACATGAATGATTTTCTGCAGCGTAACGCATTTCAAAATGTGAGTTCGAGGTGGTAAAGTCACAAAGGTGCGGAAAGGCAGGTCCGGGTTGTAACTCACTCCTCCGAGCTCGTTGAGGTGCATGTTGTCGATCGCATCCTGATCAAGATATTCGAAGGAAGTGAACAAACGATAAAATGGATCGAACGAACTTGGTGCGAAAACGTAGCGACCACCTACCTCCGCTTCCTCAGTTGTGCTGAAGACTACGAACCCGAACCCTCGGTTTCTTGCTGTGTTTGCGTGAAGATTGTGGCAGGTTATGGAATAAGGGTCAAAGATCAGCCAGGCGTTCTTGCATCGAATGGCATCTCGGCATTGAAAGCGCACCATTGCTACCTGCGTGTGCGCCTCCTTCCTTAGGGATCTGCACCTCAAGCACATCGCCAAAGACGGAGAATGTGGACAGCAGGAGATTCTCGTCCGCCGCTGCTGGAAGCCCGCCTGCCGTGTATTTCGAGCAAGTTCGTTTCTTGCGTCAGCACTGCCTCTCTGCCTTCTGCGCGGAAATGGAAGAGAAGTCAAAGAGAACAAGGAAGCCGACAGACTCACCAACGTAGATCGTCTTCTTGTTGCGGTCAGCCATCGTTGCGCCTCAGCATGACCAATCCCGCTTGGGACGCGGCTCAGACCCAAAGTGAGAGAGAGCTTGCAGTTAAACGCAGCGATGGGCCTGGATGCGAGAAAGGCTACAGCCAGGAAAAGTCCAGGTGCCGGCTGCCGAGAACTGTTGAAGGTGTAATGCCAGAGGATGATTCGATCAACGAAAGCTGGTCAGAGCGGAAATTACTGTCACTAAAAGTGGGGGAATGGTCGCAGTGTAGCGGAAGTCGAGTGTTTGCTCACAACATCAGACTCCATTTGGCCATAACTTATATGCAGCACTGTGTACTCGCCCTTGCATATCTCAGCTCCCATCTTACTGGAGGCCCGTCTCATCATAGCGCAGCGACAACAGCCAGCAAAAGTATCGCGGCTTCGAGTGCGCCGCTATGGGGGCTCTGCTTTCAATCCCGTTCCTCACCGGCGGGCTGGCCAGCATCGGCACCTCGTGCTTGGCCGGCCTCGCCTTCTTTTGCACCTCCACCGCAGCCTCTGCTTTCTTCAAGTCGTGCAACTGCCAGTCCTCCATCGCTACTCGCGTCGGATTTGCGCTTATCTTCTGCTTAGATGCGCTGCTCGCATGGCTCAGCTTGACGCGCTTCGTCATGGACAAGATCGAGGAGTGGAGCTACAGCTGGGTCAAGATGGACTGCGCAGACCGCGATAGGTGCTACGGCGTCTTGGCTGTGCATCGCATCACCTTCGCCCTGGCCTTGTTCCACTGCATCCTCGGCCTGTCACTGATCGGCGTGAAGGACACGCGTGACAAGCGGGCTGCAATCCAGAATGGCTGGTGGGGCCCCAAGGTCCTCTTGTGGCTGCTCCTCGTCATGGCAACGTTCTTCATCCCCAACGGCTTCTTTGTCTTTTGGGCTAACTACATGGCTCTCATCCTCGCGTCAGTCTTCATCGTTGTGGGCCTCGTGCTCCTTGTCGACTTTGCTCATACCTGGTCAGAGACCTGTCTCGATAACTGGGAGCGGACCGACAGCAATTTCTGGAAGTACACCTTGATTGGCTCGACGCTCGGCATGTACGCCATTGCCATCACTGTAACCGGCTTGCTCTATGGCTTCTTTGCGGGACGTGGCTGCTCTCTCAATCAATTCTTCATTAGCTTCAACCTCGCCCTTTGCGTAGTTCTGACGATTCTATCGATTGCGCCTGTCGTTCAAGAAGCAAATCCCCGCAGTGGATTGGCACAGAGCTCAATGGTGGCGGCGTACTGCACCTATCTCATCGCGTCGGCCGTTTTTAACCACGACGACAAGAAGTGTAATCCGATTGCGCGAGGGAGAGCTGGAGGCGCCAAGACGACCACCGTCGTGGTCGGTGCCCTCTTCACATTCCTTGCCATCGCCTATTCGACCTCGCGAGCGGCTACCCAGTCCAAGGCGCTCGTTGGCAAGAAGCGCGCCGAGCGAAACGAGTACAGCTCTCCGGCCGGATACGGGCCATTAGCGACGCAAGAGCAAGGAGACGTGGTCACCGAACAGCCAACGCGCAATGACAACCTGCGCATTCAGGCTTTGATGGCGGCCGTCGAAGCTGGGGCGATCCCGGCGTCGGCCTTGGACGAAGAGGAGGATGATGAAGACGACATTGCGGCTGGTGGCGGCGATGGGAGGGACGACGAAAGGAATGGCACACGTTACAACTACGCCTTCTTCCACTTTGTCTTTGTTATTGCGGCGTGTTACACCGCTATGCTCCTGACTGATTGGTGTGTACCTTCATTTTTCGGCGACCATCCTTTCAACGGCTGCTGACGCGATCTTTGGAACGACTCCACAGGCGATTCGTCAAGCTCGGAGGCCCTTCCACGGATCCGACGGAGGACGGAGCGCCCGTAGTCTCTATCGGACGCAGCCCGACCGCCATGTGGATGCGTGTCGTGAGCAGCTGGCTTTGCGTGTTCATCTACGGTTGGAGCCTGGTTGCGCCGGTGTTGCGTGAGTTCAGTCCCCTCCTCTGTCCCCTTTCCAGTATCCGCCGCTAAAGACACTCGCCCCTTTCACAGTGCCTGATCGCTTCGACTTTGTCTAACCATTAATCCATTCTGTTCTTGTTGTATCATATTGTCGTTGACGTTGAAATGCAAATACCAAGAGAAAGGGCAAGGAGGTGTGATTCATGTGGTAGTCGTTTCGATTGTTTGGTGCGCGACGCGTCGAGATTTTACCTCCAGCCAACGCAAAACAGTCAGATTAGCAAGCCGCAAGTAGCATCACACAATATACCTCGTCGGCTCGTCGGCTTTCGTGTTAACTCCCCTATTCAACGGCCCTTGTATACACTCTTGTCGCGTGCAACAGTATAAGGCCAAAAACCAAAACAAAGTGTGCACTGGATTATGAGAATTCAGCCACGCCTCAGCAGTTCTCGTTAGCCACGCAGCAGTGAAGTCTCGTCCCTGCTCGCGATGAGGGACCCAGGTGACAAGGGTGAAGGCCCAAGCCGACCTCGCACGCCGGTGTTGTCGCATTCCCACCCTCTCTCAGGAGACCTCACTGAACCAATCTCGCCGACTGGTAGTGTCCGTAGGTTCCCCGCCCGGGCACCGGATCAAGATCTCAGCGGGAGCCCAAGGACAAAGCTCAGATCTCAGCCTCACTCTTGCGATGGTCGGGGCTCGTTCGGTGTACCGAACAGCGACCGCAGGCATGAACTGCCGCTTCATATCTCGCCGCTGTCACGAAACAAGGCACCGACCGACGCAGAGAACGCAAGTGGTATCGCCAGGAGACGCAGAAAAGCCAATGTCTCAAGAGCTGATGATGGCGACAATACTTCATTATATCCGCCGTCATTCGCCGAGTCGCAGTTTGCTACAATTGTCCGTCGGCAGCGCAAAAGACGCATTTTCTCACCGATGGAACACTCTCTTGAACAAGGTCGGACGGCAAGCGAACCACCGCCAGAAGTAGAAGGTTGCGGCTTGAAGTTCAGAAGTGATGAAAACAGGCCGGCTCTGGAGGCAGAAACATCAATCGCTGCGAACGGTCTTGACGGTGCTCAACATCAGGAGCTCAAGATCGCTCGCAATGGCTCTGGGCCTGATGATATGGGCCGGAAAGCATGGGAATTCGCGGGTTGGGGTAGCATGAGTCTGCTAGAGTTATCCCCCAGCAGTTATCAACTAGCCAGGGAAGCCATCAATCGTCGTCCCAAACGCGATCTGGGGCAATGGCGTGCAGCAGCCATTGCGGGCAACGCGATCACAGGAAGCGTCTTTTATTCACTCCCAGCAGTCCTTGGCGTTGCTGGTGTCTACGCTCCTATCTCACTTCTCATCGCATGCGCTTTGATCGGGCCTTTCCGGCCACTCATGCTGGAGCTGACTTCTGCACTAGGCGCAAATGACAGCGTCAACTATTCTTATTTTTGCAATATTTCGCCTCGATCGCTCGCTTTGATAGCGGCGGCCATCACCGCGCTGGATGCGCTTGCCACAGGTGCCGTCTCTGCAAGTACGGCGGCATCTTATCTGAGCGCAGAGACAGCCGGAAAGGTCGGAGACACTGGCTGGACCATCCTCTTGCTTTTAGCCCTGGCTGTTATCGCTCTTCTGGGCCTGCGAGACAGTTCCAGCGTAGCGCTAGGGATGATGGCGTTTCATCTCACCACCATGGGCATTCTCATCATCGCGGGTATTTCTTTCTGGGCGACAGAAGGCTCAGCCATCCTCATCAGCAACTGGTACAACGCAGACTCATTGCTGAACGGAAGAAGCGTGCTGAAGGCTGTCGTCTTTGGCGTCGCCATTGGTTTTGTAGGCCTAACGGGGTTCGAATGCGCGCCGTCGTACGTCACGCGCGTCAAGGAAGGGCAATTCGGAAAAGCACTTCTCTGGTTGCAAATCACAGTCTTGGTGAGCTGTGCACATCATATACGGCTTTAGCATTGCGTGCTCATACCCGCCTTTGCCCTTAGGTGACAGAAGCCCCTTTGATGCTGCTTTGCCTGGTCGCCATTCCTACTTCAACTTTTACATCTAATGGTGATAAATCAGCCAACATTCTGGCTTTGCTTGGCGACGCTGCGGGGAAGGGGTCGCCATGGCTCAAGGTTCTCGTCGTAATTGATGCTGTCGTCGTGTTGTGTGGGGGCATCATCACCGGGATCGTCTCCTTCGGAGGCTTGGTAGAAGCACTTGCAAGGTGAGCCTGTCAAGAGAGCCTTATAGCAATCTTTCCCTCAGCTGACTGGTCATCAATTGTCGCAGAGATATGATACTCCCCGCCTTCATTCTTCGCCAAGTCCCCAAGACTGGTGCTGCTGGATTCAGTATTAGCGCTTATCTAGTCCTCGCAATAATTTTGTGTGCAACATCAGAATTCAGCCTGTCGACACTGTCTTCCATCTGTGAGTCTTCCAAGTGCTTGCGAGCCGCTGCTGTTTGGGGTCACACTTTCCCTTCTCTTTTGCTTTCGGCAGTGAGCTTGAGTTTCCTGGTCGTAATGTCTCTCTTTGCGGTTGCCATTCTCTTGATCAAGCACAACCGTCCGACACTGCCGCGAAAGCCAGTCAACGGCCTGCTTCTTACTTTGGCCGCGCTGGGCATCGGCATCGTCGCAATTGCTCTCAACATTGCGCTCGGCCCCTTTGCTCTTCTGCTGTATGCCATTTACGCTGTCGTCTGTCTCGGCGCGCTTTGGCTGATCAGCAGCAAGGTCAGCATCGCCAAGCTGCTTTACTGGACCATCGACCAGAATCGCACCGATTGGCTCGCGAAACGCATGCATGCTAGCGCCGGCAAGAATCTCATCGCCTGGATCCGAAATGAGCGCAAACATCCGGTGGTCTATTTCACGAAGACGGACGTGAGTAATTTGGCAAGACTGGAAGGACAAACGAACGACAAGTCGAACCTGATTACCTGCTTGTGCGTCCGTAGGAGTTGAGCGTCTTGATCGATGTGCTCAGCTATGTTCGCAATGTGAGTGCGTGCGATGTGTACCGCAGGTTTACTCGATCTCTGACAGTCGATGAGGGCTTCTCCTAGAACGACCACACTTCACGAGTTTTTGTGGTGCACTGCTTCGAGTCCATTGAGAGCATACCGTCCGAGCTTGAGGTGAGATTAAAGTGATAGCATTGTTGTGTGCTAACCACAGATGCTGACCACCCTTTTTGGACATTGTGCTTAGGCTAACTACCAATTGGTAAGACCTTGGAAACGATACCAGGGGTCTCGTATGATAAACATGCACTGACGCACTACCTATGTTGAGCAAAGGTTGACGAATCCTTCCCGACCATCACGGTGGATCTGGTCTTTATAGAGGCGGACTTTACGCCAGTGGTCGTGCAAGCGGTCGCACTCAAATTGGGTGTGCCTCTCCCTCGATGCTTCATCTCCTGCCCCAGCGCCCGTGGGCAAGTTGGAGGCGAATGGCAGCTGGCCGACTTTGGTGGACTGAGGGTAATCACCGACTGATCCGCATGGCAAGACGCAATGCATTCCACTTCCGCAATCTACACTCATAAGCATACAGTCTGCCAGTAACTTGAGGCAGTGAGGTGTGGCCGCGTGATGTATAGAGATCAGAGAGAACCCAAGTCCCCAGAAAGTGTAGTTTGCTTTCGATGCGCGCGTGGTCGAGCTTGTGACTTGCGGCGCAACACATCTCTGTCGTCACTTGTGTCGCCAATCGTCGTTATTCATTGCCCAGCAGAGGGGTTATGGCTCACGGCTCAAACACATAATCCTCCTTGACAACCGCGACTCGTCCTTCTTTCTCGTCCAGTATCAACTACCTGTCCTGACCCTACTTAGCCCCCCAACTGGCCCCAGCAAAGGCAAAGTGAAGGTTGAACGAGGTCTCCGTCACTATGTCCTCCCTCCTTCAGCGCGCCAAGGAGAAAGCGCAGGAAGCGGCTCACCAGCTTCAGCAAGCTGCAGCCAATGCGCAGTCATCCAATGCAGCAAGCAAAAGCAACAACGCGGGCAGCAGCAACGCCAACGACAATGCAACTGGACTCTCCTCGTCCACCTATACATCTTCCTTGCCGCACCTGCTGCGGCATGGGATTGCCTCCTTCGATCCGCGCCTGCAGTCTAACCGCTCGTTCTATGTGCTGAACAACGCCATGAAGGCAGTCAGCATCGATCATGAGGCCCTCAAACGCGAGACGCATGCCCTAGCGATGGCAGCGTACAATTATGGTCAACAACATGTTGCCAGCACCAGGCCTGATGGCGTCGGAGACGAGGTCATCGTCGATGTGTGAGTTGATCGCCCCTACCGTGGCTTCGAACGGCGTGTTGACACGCGAGCGACTTATCTCACTAGTATGGATCGTATCGCCTATGTCCTATCCCTCACTGGAGATCTACACGCTGAACATGTCTCGCGCGTCGAGTCCTCGCGCAAGACCTTCAAAGCGACGATATCCAGTGCCCCCCTCGAGTCGCAAGATCTGCTCTCACACAGATCCAAGCGCACTGCGATCGTTAAGGAGTTGCAGACATTGATGCCTGAGCGTGCCAAGGCTCCGGGCATGCAGAGCGAAAAGGTGAAAGAAATGGAAGATGCTCTCAGGAAGCTCGAGCAGGACGATAAGGCGAAAGAAGAAGAGGCCGCCAAGGGCAAGCGACAGGCTGTGCGGCAAGAATGGGAGGGGTACTTTGACAGCTTGATCGAGGTGAGCTGCACGAATCCAAGAACACACACAGATGGTTCCCATGCAAACGCATCTGACCGTTTCCTCCACAGCTCGGCGAAAAGCTGGCTCTCACAGCGCGTTATGGAAAGCTGATCGCCCAGCAAGTGCCTGCTACTCCCGAAAGAGACCCGATTGAATTCCCTGCCGACCGTACCCCTCGCGATCGTTCACGCGAGGCGACATGGTCAGGGGCAGTCCGTGTGGCAGAGATCAGAGCAGCAGTAGGTCCAGCAATCCAGCAGCTGCAAGTGGACAAGCATACCCTGCCGCAGGTGCCGTCCATGACTGCTGGCACAGGTACGGGTGCAGGCGCTGCCAGTGGGCCTTTCGCAGACAATACGAGTGTCTTCAGTGGCGCAGCTTCGAGTCTTGGCCGCAGTGACACGGTGTCTTTCGGCGTCAGTCATGCTGCGGAGCTCAAAGCGGCCTCAAGCTCGGAACTCTCTTTGAGCAGCGGAGGCGGAGGCATCGTTGCTGGCCACGAACGCGTGCAGCTATCGAACGATGGCGCCGTTTCGCATCTTGCGCCCCCCGGTAGCACCGCGCAATTGCCTTCCAGCAGCCCTCAGCTGAGCCACACACAGCTCTACGGCTCCTCGCCATCTGGCTTTGCATCTGGCGGGCCGCTCTCGGCTCGTATCAACATGAACCCGATCGACATTCCCACCTCGCCCACCAGCGGTATCGTTCCGTACCACCGTCGCACATCCTCTTTCAACCGGGACTCGCCGCCGCCTGTGCCTGGTAGGCCTACGCAGCACCCACCGCAGCAACATCGCGTGCCGCCCTTGCCCGGCAACAGCAGCCATAGCAGCAACAGCAGCTTTAGCCCCAGCAACGTTGCCTTCAGTCCATCCTCGCCTTCGAGGTTGGCCCACGGTATTCCAGGCCATGAGCGCCACCCCCCGCTTGCGCCTGGAGATGGTGCTTCGTACGGTCAGGGAGACGTTCATCACTATGGTGGCGCAGACCTCGCGTCCCCCATGACTGCGCCGGATGAGCCAACGGTTGCGGAGACTGGCTCGCCGATTGTTGGCCAAGGCGGCCCCAAGACTGGCTACCTGCCCCGACGCAAGAGCTCCGTTGTGCCATCTGCAGCTTCCACAGCAGGCAGTAGCAGCACGGGGGGCGTTGGCGGCAGTACTATGGCGGGCATTTCGTCGTCCTCCTCCGGCGTGGCAGCGAGTCCATACGAGACGACGGCAGAGGCCAGAGCACGCAAAGACGCTGAAGCTGAGCGCGAGCGCCAGGCCGCTGCTACTTCTAATGCTCAGAGCGGCATTGATGATGACTTGCCTCCTTACTCTGAGCGCGGGCTTAAGTGATGGACATTTGTTTAACACGCACTGTTTCCTCGAACATTATCCGACCCAGCTTGTAAGCACGATACGCGCATGTCTCGTCTCATTAGTCAGTGACTCTACAAGCCTCCCAAGTTCTGTTGATAGCTCCCGTGTGCCAAACAATTGAGCTTCGTATTTTCTTCAATACCAAGTCTAAAGGGGAGTCTTGAGCTCTCTTGGACCTGCAGTATTTCTTCAACATGAAAAAGTCAATTTGGCTTGTCGACGTTGAGTTTCGACAGTTCCTCCAACATGCCATCCATCTCGTCCACCTTGGCCAGCTGCTCCGGCAAAAGCTTTTCGCCTGCATCTCGCTTGGCCTTGAGCGACTCTGCAGCGCGAATTTTCTTCTGCAAAGTTCTTGCTCTTTTGGTTGGATCTTGTGCTGGCGCTAGCGCTGCTGCTTCTGTTGTTAGTTTTGATCCGGTTGTTATCTCGGCCTTTAAAAACGCATCGGGGTGAAGTGCTCGCAATGGTGCCGCTGCTGGGACGGGGGCTGATGCCTGTCTGCTGCTCGCTGACGAAGCTGCTAGCGTTACATCCTCATCCCAAGCGTCTGGCGGTTCTGCGTCATCATCTGCATCATCATCTTCACATTGCTGCTGGCCGCCATTGGCACGTGCCTCTTTCCTCTTTGCGTTTTTCTTGGCACTCTTGCTTAGCCCGGCTGATGCTCCCGCCGTAAACGACGGGCTCGCCGTGTTGGAAGCCGGGGGCTGGGGCCGAATGTACCCGACCACCGATCCTGGCGGGAGCTTGCGTCGTTCTGCTTCTTGTTGCCGTGAGGATCGGAATTTGGTCACATCCTCAGCGGGCGTAAAGCCCGGCTTGACCTTGCGCTCTTTGCGGACGCTGCGCCAGACAAGGGATCGTACCAACGCGAAGCGAGGAAAAGTGAAGAAAAGGAAAAGAGGAAAAGCTGATCAGAATCCTATTCTCAGCACCTCCTCCTCCATTACAGATCACCGTCTCATTACGCACGATCCATCTGCCCGTCTTGATTCAGGAATGACGCGCTGCTGTGTTAGTGGATCAGAAACGATCCCGGACGCCGGGGCCGTTTCCGGGAACAGCTGAGGCTTGGACATTGCTCTATTCCACCTTTTCTGATTGACTGACTGGAATCCGTTCGGGTCCGAGTTGCGACGCACGCTGCAATGACAAGAGAAAGATCAGGCCCCCTTGGATAAGATGCTACGGTATGTATGTCACGTTTTAGGCTGTACGGTGCTATACAAAGTACCAGTTGCAGTGAGCTCTAAGAAGCTCACATGGTCACGTGACTACCGTCATCTGAAGTGCCCCGCGACAGCCGCGGTTTGCCAGCAGAGCGTCGTCAGCAAGTCGGTCACTGAGTTGTCTTGCCTTCGACATACTACACCTAGAGCTCCATCTTGGCTTGCACTCGTCGCCATACCTGCAAGCTGCTTTCTATATGCTTGTGGTGAGACTTGTGTGACCAGCAGAGAAGACGGGGATGTGCTGAATGCCACCCAGCAGCAAGGAAGCTGTAGGAATCTTCATGCAAAGTGGTCGTACACCTGGCTCATTCTGAAACGTGGCACCGTGCCGCGCAACCTCGGCGACTCTGATAACGACAAGAAGCCGCCACGAGTATGCCTTTTGCGTACAACTGCCTCTGGCGTAGTTCGCAGAGAAGTTTTGCGCGACCTGAGCTATTCGCGCTCACTTCCCGTCTCGCGGCAAAGCGCACCATGGCGTCTACATCGTCAGCAGCTGCGTCGGCTGCGTTGGCCCGCGCGCCGCCACTTCTCATCCAGCCGCAGCAGCTTTCGCTTTTTCGCGACCGTGAGGCCAGCGGACGACCCATGTACGGGCCATTGCGCATCCTGGACGCTTCGTGGCATATGCCCAATGTCCAGCCCCCGCGCAACGCCGAGCAAGAGTTTCAAAGGGAGCCGCGCATACCCGGGTCGCGGTTCTGGAATGTAGATGCCGTTGCAACCAAGGGAGAGAGCGTGCGAAACTTGCCGCATATGATGCCAGATGAGCAGACGTTCGCAAAAGCAGCAGGGGAGCTGGGAATCTCGCGCGACAGCCATGTGGTCGTATACGATACGCACGGCGTCTTCTCTGCGCCACGCACCGCATTCACTTTCCTTGCTTTCGGTCATCCGAAAGTATCTATTCTCGACGGCGGACTGCCTGGCTGGGTAGATGCTGGCTTTCCAGTCGAGGAAGGCGCGCCGACTGCGAAATTTGAAAAGACTTTCTATGAGGCATCTCCATTCCCCGCAGGCCTGGTCAGGTCGTACGTTGAGATGGTCGCCAATGCACGCATGAACCCTGCAAGAGGCGGGCAGACGGTCCTTGATGCCCGCTCTCGCGGACGATACGATGGGACTGAGCCCGAGCCGCGCCCAGGTTTATCCTCGGGTCACATCCCTCAATCGCTCTCTCTGCCGTTTCCCACGCTCTTGAATATCCGCACGGCCAAGGACCCGCGCCTTCCGCAGGGGACCAAGTACACCACATTGAAGGACCAAACGCAGCTCTGGAGGACCGTTTCAGACGCGGTCGGCGGCATGGAGGCCCTTGAAAAGCTCAGGCAGGCGAGCTCCGGCGGAGAAAGCGCAGCTACCGCAACTTGTGGGAGCGGTATGACTGCCGCTGCCATCTGGCTTGCTCTCCGGCAACTCGGTATTCAGACGAGCATCTATGATGAGGTATGTGCGGAAGCTTGGCGTGCTCGCTTAACTGTGATAGCTAAAACAATCGATTCTTTAACAGAGCTGGATGGGCTGGGCCAGTCGAGAAGAGAGTCCAATTGAGAAGACAGAGAAGCATGCAAATGATATTCTGTAAAACAGAAAGTACTGCATGCTGCGCCCGATCGCGCCATCTCATGAATCGTCGTGTGAATGTCTTTCGCTTTTCTCATTTGAAGGCCATCCTGTTAAGAGAATACAACGTGCGCGTACGTTCCACTACTGTGAGGGAACACCGACCGTCCTCAGCGTCCGATCCAAGCTGGCGACTACAAGACTGCCGTCCTTTGCGTCCCAGTCTGCAGATGTGATCTCCGCTGCGTTACCGTCAAAGGTGTAGAGCAAGCTCCAGCTCTTGTTGGCGTACACTTTGGCGTCAGAACCAACAACAGCCAGGAACTGGGCGGATGGATCGAACGCGACGTCTGAGACAAGCGAGTCATCGCTGTTCACCGCTGCTTCAATAGTGCCCGCCACGCTGAGCTTTCGCAGGTCCCAGACCTGGACGATAGTACTGTTCTTGGCCGCAGCTGCAAGGTAGTAGCCATTTTCGCTGAAGCTGAGCGCAGTGATCGCGGAACCCACTTGTGAACCACGGAATGTCGTAGCTTTCGCCGCGGTCTTCACGTCCCAGACTCTGATCACACCTTCCTTGGTGCCGGTTGCGAGAAGCTGGCCATCAGGATGGAAAGCAAGGCTCTCATACGCGTATCCTCCTGCTGCTTCTTCCTCTGTCTCGGCTCCAGACGCCGGCGCGTCGATCGAAATGAGCGCCTTGCCACTCTCAATGTCATACAATGCCCACGTGGCATCGCGGCTGGCGACGCCGAGGAGCTTGCCCGCTGGGTGTACGTCAATACCGGTTACAGCATCCTTGAAGCCTTTCAGGGTATGTGCTAGTGCCCACTTGCTTCCATCTGGTTCCGCTCGCCAAATGCGCACAGTCTTGTCTTCGCTCGCACTGACAGCAAACCTCGGGGGCGGAAGCGCACCGGCAGCCTCGGATCCGATGTCCACTTCTGAAGGCGGCTCGAATGCGACACATGTGATGGGCTTCGTGTGGCCTTTGAGTGTTGCGACAACCTGGTCTGAGACCCGATCGTAGATCTGCACTTGCTTGTCGTTCCCTCCAGTGATCACCCAGTTGCCGTTCCCGCTGAGTGCCAGCGCAGAGATCCCTGGCGGCTTGGTGCTATGCATGGATGGAAGGGACTTGGTCTGCGCAAAGGAAGGGACTTGAGCTGGAGTTGCGTAGCCCGCTGGCGCCTTCTGCTTCGATTTTGGCTTGCGCTGCGAAGAAAGTCTGCAAGAAATCCAGGAAGACATGTGAGATCGGAAGCCCTACTCTGGCTCACATATCTGAACTTACCTGGCTGCTGTTGCGTCAATTTCAGCCAAGGCGTCAGCTGGAAGCGCACCTGCAGCCACTGCTGCCCCCGCGTCCCCAGCTGCCATATCGGTATCTTGCTGCGCCGCAGTTGAAGCAGCCGCACCGTTCCCTAGTGTGCCGCCGATGTTTGCAAGTGCCTCTCTCGCCTCGTCACGCTCCTTCAGTAAGCGTGCAATCACACGGTTTGCAGCATCGTTCGTGTAGAGTGCGCTCGCGAGCTCTTGTCGCACGCTATCGTATTGCTTTTTGAGGGTGATCATCTCGAAGATGATCGAGTCGTACTCATTTTGTAAGGAGGAGAGGAGGGACGGAATAGATGTGAACTGTGGTGGTCGTGGTGCGGCAACTTTGGGGTCTGCAAGAGGCGCCGTGAGGGTGTCAGTGACATGCTTCTCAGATGAACTTAAGGGGAAAGCAAAGGAACTTAGTGTTCCCCTGCCACAAAACGCCCCAACCAAAGCGCAGCAATCAACACGTATATCAGAAAATTGAAACATGTAAGCATCGCCCCAAGAGGCTCAGCAACAGCTTCTAGTTGACTTTATTTTTGTTTCTTTGAGAATCATCCTTTCGTGCTGCATTTTGCATGTTTTGCACGTTCCTTGGTACACGGCGCAAGCATAGGCACGAAAACTTACCGCTCTTGACTTCAATCAAGTCCCTATCTGCATCGAGCTCATCGCCTGTAATGGGATCCTTGGATGCATTGTTTGAAAGGTACTTGAGAATGAGCCGCTTTTCGTACACATGCCCAGACTTGGCCGAAACGACTGGATGTTGCGGCGGTTCGCCGGAGACTGCAAAGAGGAGCGTAAAAAGAAAGGACGTTTGAGCGTTTAATAAAACAAACCCGTGCTAGCTGTCTTCTGTTTGCAGAGAAGGCAACAGTCCCAGCCAGGAGACTCACTTGCGCAAAACATCGTCAGCTACACGCTGCTGATCTCCTGGGGAAGAATCTGGGAAGCGCGCTGAGGCGGCGCAGGGTGTTGTTAGTCTCGATGTTACACAGCGAACGTCTGCGCTGAATGAATCTGTCGAGATGGCATTGAACTGCGAGGGAGAGGATTCCTGCAAAGGCCGGATGTCATCTGTAACGTGGCTCCTCGCTGCGTCTGAGAAGGTGCGTCGAGATCACAAGAAGATGGCGAATTGGAGCGGTGATCAACTGCTCGTGTCCCAAAGGGGCAGTTAGTTTGACCCCTTTAAACCAAGACCCGTTGGTCTGCTCATCTAGTTCCTTCACCGCTGTATGACGTCTCTCTGCGATGGGAAGTTCGAGAACGATCCATCTGCCATTCGCCTTGCTCCAGTTGTCTAACTTTTCGTTGACATATCTATGCTCAACCTTATACAACTACGCCGTATCTCCCCGAGTATTGCTTGGTTATGCTCATCGGTTTGTCCTGTTTCGCAGAGATTTCGCCACATTTGTGAGTAAGGAGTTAAACCTTGCGCCCGCTTTGCGGGCACACCATCGTTCCTCGGATGCGGCAAGGCGTAGTGGCAAGCTTCAGTTGCTGTGCCATCTTATCCCAGCATTATTCCTACTTTTCAAGGCACCCTGCTGACCATATTTCTACCGTGTACAGTTTATAGCTGTATTCGAAGCCTACCAAGCAAATATCGCCGTAGCTTTGACCCAACCTTCATCATGTCTGACTGGGGTGAGAATCCGTCAAATCAGTTTGAGATGCTGGAAAGTCCAAAAAGTTCCTGATCGACATCTCCTTTCATTGTATTCCACATTGGTAGACACCACTGTCAAGATCGGCTACAAGGCTCGTCCAGCCGGCTCGGGCGCAGGCGGTGGCGACCGCGGCCCTACGGCTCTGGAACGTTCGAAAGCGGTCGGCGCAGTGACGGAGAACAACCGCAAAATAGCTGCGGGCCACAACACAAACCACGCTGGCGTCGATCACGCTCGGCTGGCCAAGATCGATCGAGAGAACGAAGTCGCCCCACCACCCAAGGTTGCGCCTTCGGTAGGGAAGGCGATCGGACAGGCGAGGCAGGCAAAAGGCTTGACGCAAAAGGACCTCGGGACCAAGATCAACGAGAAGCCTCAAGTCATCGCCGAGTACGAGAGCGGAAAAGCGATTCCGAACCCGCAAATATTGGGCAAGATGGAGAGGGCGCTGGGTGTCAAGCTGAGGGGTAGGGATATCGGTGCTCCAGTGAGTATCCCCTCCTTTCCGATGTTGCTGTTCGCTCGCAACCAGCTGATTGAAGCTTCCTTTGATTGCTCAGCTGGCGCCTCCTAGCAAGAAGTGACCTGGCAGCAGAACTTCCTATCTCTAGAGCTTCTTCTGACTTATAGAGCTCTACGGAAGGACTGCCACCGCATGTGAAATTCCGTAAGACTTTGCAACAGCGTTATATCCATCTACGTCGTCAAATTGCCCCCCATCAAAGTATCCTGCCAGCCCCCTTTTGCCCACAGCTAATATCGAGCGGTCGGCGACGAAGCTAGGGACGAAAGAAAAGATGCCCTGCTGTAGGACATGCGCTAAGCAAGCCGAACCTTGTCGTGCTCCGCCGAGAATCCTGCACATGGGTTTTCCAAAGATGCCCACGTTGGGCATGAAGAACCCGGGAGTGATGCCGGCTAGTCTGGTCGTGCACACGGACGTGGCGATGAAATTCTACAGCCCCAGCTTGCGGCTCCACGTTGGAGGATTGAGGGCCTCGAGACTGAAGGTGTTCATGGATCCGTTCAAGCACCCCTTGACGGCCGAGTAGTTGCTGATGGAGGGTACCGGCGCGGTAGACACTCCGCTTGATACAGTAGCAATGGGCGCCTTTTTCGTGGGAGACTGGGCGAGCAACACCGTGAGGTATTTCGTGACGAGCATGTTCCACGTCAGATTGATATTGAGCAACGCAGTGATATCATTGTCCGGCACGTCCTGGAACGCTTTGAACGGCTCAAAAGGCTCTTGTCGACAAAGGCGGTGACGACAGCGACAGCGGTATTGTTAATCAAGATGCTGAATGGCAATCCGGCCAAGGGCTTGACGAAGGTCTCGGAAAAGTCGTTTTCGCGCGCCCTGCTTGCGGACGCGCATATCCTCCGCACCTCCACGGGACCCGGCGCCGCTTGACGCGGTGATGTTTCGCTTCTTGCTCTTCTCGAGCTTCGACTGGGTGCAGCCGTGCAGGTTAATGTTGAAGACATATGTAACCGCCAGCATCATGGCTAGTGCCTCCTCGATGGCATTCGGGGTGCCCGTATTGAGCGCGTATGGCTTGGAGGACTGGGTCTGCGACTATGTCTGTGAGAAGTTGCCACTCTCTAATGCTAGCATCTTTCTCGCGAGGGCCGACATAAGCCAAACCTCGAGCGCAGCCAGGCCTGTGCGTGATGCAGCATTGTGGCGATGGGCTCCAACCGAGGGATGAGAAGGAGAGGGAAACATCAGGCCGTAGTCTCGGTTACGACTGTCACAGTCGTGGTCAACCAACTCAAATGGTCATGATCAAATTGAGTCAAAGTCATGGTCAAAAAAATTGATGTGGGAGTTCCCATGGACATGGCCTACCTTATGGCCCTAGTGGTCCGCCATAGGCTAATTTTAAACGCATATTCATCACCACATCGCATGGGTATTAGCATCGCAGCAGAGGCGAGACTTTTGCCACCAAGAGTATGACGGCAGCGGATTAGGTCGTAGGACATCGGGCTAGGATATGGTGAGGATGAACCCAGCCGCAGCCGCAGCCGAACCATTAACCCTAACCATTGGGCATCGTTGGGTGTGCTGATCGCCTGTTGGCGCCATGTTGCGGCCTGTGGGCTTGTTTTGCAGAAGCGAGCCATCATAGGACATGAACAAAACCCTGCTTGCTATTCAAGGTGACGCTAGTACCCCCTCTTGTTCTTCGCACCCAGCTCTGGGCACGTCATCTGATGTGCAATCTACGAGTTGGTGGTACTCGAGGTGTCTAGATCAGCTAACATGCCCTCAAACCTCAACTATCGGCCGCTCACCAAGCCAAAGGCGCACGGCGGCGCGCAAGAAACACTCAGTTCGCCGATGGTGCGAATAGCTGGGCACACACTCTTCAGTACGTGACGAAGTGAAAACGGTAGAGGTGTGCTGATCATGGGCCTGATGGGATCTTCTGTTCTCGGTAGTCCTCTGCTTGGGATGGCTTGCCATTTGCGTTCTCTTCTCCTTCGGCAGCCCTAGGTGAACACTTTCCCAAGTTTTTTGCAAAGTGACTTTGCGGATCATGCTGATTGAAGACCATGCCTACGCATTTGGGTAGCCTGGCTATTCGCCGGCTACCCTCCTTTCGCCAGAGGTTTTGCAACCTTGGATATCTTCAGCCTGACACGACTTCTTCCTGCGACCCGTTTTCCATACCCGGCTTCGTGTCCTCACTAGACGGAACCTCAAAAGACACCCTGACTCCTTTGGGTGTCTGGCGTACGTTCGATCAGTCATGTCCGACGAGTTCTCACCTTCCAGCCCTGTTGTCAAACTTGGAGAAATCTCCATATTACTCTGTCGCCGGCAAGCACAGCATCGCCAACAGCCAATCCACCCCAGGGCTGATCACCAACAAGCATGTGCTGCTCGTTGGCGATTCTGTCGATAGGTCGCTCGTCGAGAATTTTTGCTGGCTTGCTGGAGAGACTTCTAAGCCTGTCGATAGCTCCCATCCTTGGGGCAAAGCGGCGCTTGCGAGCGCGCAAAAGGACCCGAAATCCTCGAGCTCACAACAGATCGCTCATTACTGCTACTTGCCCAAGTACAAGTGAGTTCGATTCTTGAAAGGCTTACACAAGGGTAGCAATGGATCTGTTCGTTCTAACATACTTGCCCTGCAGCTTCTTGCTCACCTCCATGTACCACTATGGCATCGATGAGACAGATGCCTGGTCCAAGATTCCAAACTACCAAGGACCCGGCCTTTTCGAGGATCGGATATCTCAGCTTGTCCTTCCATTCCTCAAAGCATCCGCTAACTCGGATCTCATGTCGAACGTGACACCTAAGAGCCGCAGAACGCATGTGCCAGACATGGTCTTCTTCCAGTCGTCTTTCTGGGACTTGGCGCTCTGGGCGCAGCAGGACATTGCCGCAGGGCGCTCAGCTGAATCTGATCTGACGGAGATGCGGCTGTTGAAGTGGAGAAGCAGGAACGTTGACATGCTGTCGCATCTCGCAAGCAAGGACGTCTTTGGATATGAGACTCCACTCCTGTGGAGAAGCACTCACTACCCTGCCGAAGGCGCAAACCCGACAATCGAATGGTTCACAGGGCAGGACAACCCCGATGCTACTGCAGCGGGAAAGCCGAACCACCCGCTCTTTCGCCTCAACCGCCTGCATCAGCTCAACGAAGCGCAACTGAGCACGCTGATATCCGGCGGCGACGACTATGTGCGTGGCAGCAAATCACCCTCCGCGAGGCTGCCTGACGATCTCGCGTTCGTTCCGTGGGGGCAGGTCATGCTCGGTCAGGCGGGCAAGCAGATGGACCCGATCTCACCCAGCCCCAATCCTGGCGCTAGCATCTTTGCTGAAATGATGTTATGGAATCTTGCATTGCACAAGCCATAGTAATTTACATGCTATTACTGTGATTAGTCTCCACTTCAGTCACGGACCTCAGTATTTTAGTGGATGTGTACTACGTATCGGCCAACTTGAAACTTACGATAGTCGCCGAAATCCTCTAGCTGCATCTTCCATGTTGAGACTTGGACACCACCCGAGACTCGCAAATATATGCCGACGACTCGTCACTCGTTTACCCAGTACCCCAGGCCAACATTTACATGCCTCCTACGAATAGTGGGATGTTTGTGAGCACCAACCGCTTGGCCCGTACACGCCAGCTTCGCTTTTGGCCTGCATTGCCAACGAAGAGCTGATAGGCTACAAAGGCCTATGAGGGATCCTCGTTATCCCATGGAGCGATGACGTCCGACGGCGGCCGTGCGCCGTCACGGTGGGCGAATTGGCTCGCTTTGCTACTGCTATCTCTCATTTCACTCGCAGGCGTGGCCGGCGCAGATCGGTACAGCTCAAAGCATGCAAAGCGCGAGGAATCGTCCGCGCCGCTCAAAGCTGCCCTTCGGGACATGCTCAAGCAGCGACAGCAGCTATGGGGGCTGATGACTGCGAATGCAACTCTCGAACACGGCTGGAATTTGGTGAGCTGGACTACACACCGTAATCGATGCCCCGAAATCAGAAGACTCAAACAAACTCTGCTATGTAGGAACGTGATCCACACGATCTACTGGCGCCTCTTCTGGTTGACATGTACAGCCGTTCTTTTGGTCAAGAGCGAGATCCTTCGTTCGACCCATACCCAAGCAACTTGCACAAGGTACCAGCTGCACCGAAAACTCTCAACAGAAATAACAGCCCACAGGCTGCAGGACCGCTAGAGGATCTCTCCGGATTTCCTTTTCCGTCACAAGCCTATTACAGTACAGTCTCAGGCTTCTGGAACAGCCCTGCATGGGCGATTCGGCCAGAGTTTATCGCCTACTCTTCCTCTTCTGCCCATAATCGCAACTTGAAACGAGACTCAAAGACTTTTCTGCCTCGTAAAAGCCCGATTGACACATTACCTGGCGGCAGAAGAGCGCGTTTCGGTCACCGTCAGCGTGATTTACTCACTTTGCTTTTCGGACCAGACTATCCCGGTTCCACCAAAGAGGCATCGCTAAACTCGTACGCGAAAGATATCAAGGGTGGTGGAGCATATATTTTCCTCAGTGAGGATAATATCTTACCAGGCCGAATATCTTCACTCGGTGGCCATCTGCAGCTCATGCCAGCGTCGACATCCGCTAAGCGGCCTTCGGAAGGCTCGCCAGGACAAATGAACAGGCGCCAGGATGCTGCGGTCGGGAGTCCGAATAACATCACTTCTGCGGATGCTGAAGATGAAACCACAGAAGCTATACGCAAGTACATGGAGTACTTCACGTATGAAAGTCCCCATGAAAAAGCGTCTGAGGGAGTGATATTCGACCTAGACGGTCTGCACTTCGTCAAGCAAGGTCTGCTATATGCACATGCTCTTCCTGTTGAGTCGCCGGTCACCACAGATCCGCGCGAAACGCTCGCCATGATACCGCTCCCCAAAACACCGTCGCCCCCCGCCTCATGGGCGAGCGCCATGACGACCCGGAATTTCACAGATTTCGACAGGGAGACATCCGCTTGGCTGCTGCTGAACGAAACTTACAACGCCCTCGAAAGCATTCTCACACGTCGCATAGAGCATAACAACAAAAGTATTCAAGCAGAGCGCATGATCGACATGGAATCGAGAATTGCGCATCACAATTGCTCCTTCCACTTTTACGGTCACCTCAAGCCCGCCGGTCCTGTATCTCTTCGACCGCAGTTGCAAGAACTAGAGCAGGAGATGCGCAATCCAAGCGGAATAAGCACAATCAAGCAACCGCCTTCTGAGCTCCATGGGCTCTTGTTCTCGCCGGATTGTTTCCTTGCTCTCACTTTCGCGCCAGCTCGTGGTGACCTTGATATTTCGCGAGCGGAAAAATCGATCCGTTACTCCATCTGTTTCTTCCTTGTCCTCATCGTTCAGTCCCTGCTCACGACGCGTCAGATGGACCGCAGCATGACGCCGAGCGCCATCTCCAAGATCTCTTCGATATCATGGTCCATGCAATGCCTCATCGAGGTGGGCATATTCGGCTTTCACATTGTCTTCCCCATCCTTGAGAACAATCGAAGCTCCAAGTCGATGATGGCGTGCGCGTTTTTGGCCGCTACACTGTTCATCGCGCTACAATATCAGGTAGGTCTGCCGCTCTCACGCATCGAGCCTGCAACCTACTTGGCGTACGAATTGATCCATTATCTGCAATTTTTGATTCGCTCAGCACACTTTGACAATGTGGCATATCCAAACACCGGCATTTCGCCGGCCGCCCGCGGAATCAGCAGCCGGCTCAACAACCATGGCCAACACTGCAACAACACCAGAGGGAACAACAGAGGCAACGCCTATCCCACCGTTCTGGCGGCGAGCAACCGCTCTGCTGGTCCCTCGGGTCCGCCGGCATTGTGAGTTGGACCAATTGGCATTATTCATCTAGTGGACCCTGCTTGCTAACTTTCATGGGCACATATTGCAGCCACCGCACTCACGTGGATCGCGAGCATCACTGCCTTCCTCGTCATGCAACAGGTTCCGGGTAACGTCTCGCTTCTTCTGCTCTACAGCTTCTGGGTGCCGCAAATCTGGCGCAACATCAAGCGGGGGGCGCGAAAAGCCGTGGAGCGACGTTACATCATTGGCATCTCCCTGTGCCGCCTCTTCCTCCCCGCATGTGAGCGCTTTCGCAAAAACGATTGCGAGGCGTGACAGCATACTGATGTCAGCGCGGACGTGAATCTGGCATCCTTCAGACTACCTGGGATGCCCAGCGAATTGGCTGCGATACACAGACCTCAATTATCCTTTGCTCTTTGTGACTACCTTCTGGTTATGTTTACAGGCTTCCATCTTGATTGGACAGTCCTTCTTCGGTACCCACTTCTTCGTGCCTCGAAATCTGCGGCCGAAGGACCTCAGTTGGGACTGGCACCCGCCATTATCGACCCTTGCCAAGCGTGAGGACCCAGAGACTGGGGCTATGACTGTTGGAGACTGCTCGGTGTGCTTGTCGCCTATTGAGTCGGCTACTTCTCATGTAAACGAGGAGGACGGTGATGCCGAAGAAGCAGCGGAGCCGGAACTACAAGGCTTACTTTCCGGTAACGACAAAGCTGAAGAGTCTGGCTCATCGACACGGCGTGCTAGGAGCGGTCTCCAGCGGAGGAGCGCGTCGACCTTACCAGGACGATGGTTCGCGCCGCTCGCAATACTAGCTCAACCTCTGATCAGGGGGCTACCGCGCACCATGCAGCTATCTGCACGGCACAATGTGATGGTCACGCCTGTGAGTGCTAGAGATGGGCTTGTTGTTAAACTTTGCTCGCATCCCATCTCGATGCTGACTTTGCACACCATGCCTACGCTCTGATAGTGCCACCACATCTTCCACACCTCTTGCCTGGAGCAATGGCTGCAGGTCAAGACAGAGTGCCCGCAGTGCCGTGCGCCTCTGCCGCCAGTATAGATTTGGCAGTTGCAATGCAATAGATGATGACGCGATTGAAGGTATACATGGGTATTGTAGGGGGCACGGGGCGTGAAGTTGTAGATATGCTACGTTCACGCAAGCTTTGGCAACTTGCTGGGCCTAAGACGGGAAAAGATCGTGACTCCCAGCGCGAGCAGAAGTGCGACGGCTGCGACGTGGTAAATTGTGCTTGCATTTTGCTTGCCCCATGTCGTCTCCCACACGGCGAGCGCGAACGTGAGGTGGAAGAGGAGGAGCAGGACGTATCCCGACAGGCGATGCCACTTCCACGCCGCCTTGGCGGGCCGCTCGCCGCCGAGCGCGGCACCGTTGAACCAGACACTGGCGGCGCCAAGGGCGGCTTGCAGCCAGGCGAGCACGACGACGGTGAAGCCGAGCGTACCGTGCCAGGAGATGAAGTGCTTTGTTCCAGGCTGGCCGTGCAGGTAGTACATGATGCCCGCGCCGGCCGTGAAAAGCGGGAGCATGAGCAGCAGGTTGAGCGTCTGGTGCACGCTCAGGCCGATCGCTTTGGCTTGCGGTGTGTTCGTCGGCTGCAGGACCAGCACGGATTGCACGAGCGAGATGAGCGCGAGCGATTGGATCAGAGGGTGGTACCCGAACAGCGGCAGGGGGAAGGGTAGCTTGGTGAAGATGAGCGACCAGATCAGAGCTACGAAGGCGAAAACGACAGCCTGCCCTCAACCATGCACCAGCCCCCACATGAAGCGGGTAGTAAGGAAAGGGAAGGTGGAGCGATCGGCATGAGTCGGCCGCCTCAAACACAGCTGTACAACAGGAAAGGTGCTCTCAACCTCACCTGTGCGAGCCGCGCACTGGAGCCAAGATTGCGGCGCTTGTACACCTCGGCCATTGTGCTCCCTTGATCAAGCTGGTCTACGCTCGCAGCGGCGGGTTGATGGGCGGTCTGAAGTAGCGGGGTGCGGCTGTCGTCGCCGGAGCCCATGCTCGTCGCTAGCGGATGCTGCGATGTGGGCTGAGCGGAGATATGCAATGCCGCTGCTTTCCTTGTTCGAGCTAGGTTGATTGCGCTCAAAGCTGAGTGCCTACCAGAATCAACGAAACGACGGCAAGTCGAGCAATGAGTGCAACACATGTGTCTAGCAATGGGGTGGTTGGAGGAACCTCTCAATCACAAAACTCCCGGGCTGTTGAACAGATCCGCAGGCAGCTGGATACATCAATAAGGGACGCCCTGTTGCTTGAACAGCCCTGAATGAAGAGCAGGCCTCGACGGTCGGTGGATCTATCAGCACCCCGATCATCCAGATCCTGGATGAGGATCCCCCTGGCCAGCTGCTCGGCGATAGGGAGACGGGCAGATGACAAATCACGTCAGCGTTGAGGTTGTGCAGTCAATTATCTCTCTCGTGTGAGCTCTCTCATTGCTTACGGCTCTTGTTCGGCTCCGGACAACCTAGCGGGTAACCTCTTCGTCTTCCACCCACGTCAAAGCCTCATCACTCCTTCACACCTCGGTTCCATCGATTCTGCTCGCATTCGTTCACGTGCGCTCTTGCAATCACATCGAAGAATCCACCAGAGCACAACACGAACGCGAATGGGCTTCTGCATCCGACAGCGGGCTCGTAGTGCATGCCAACATCGCGTGAGGAGCACCTAATCAGTGCTCCTCAACGTCGTAGCTACGAGCGTATCTACGTTGTCTGGCATTGCGTGAACCCATACTCGAACTGGCTGTCTTGGGCATCCCAAAGAACTGTTGGTTGGTCTGTTGACTGGTTGGTTGCTTGCTTGCCGATGCCTTGAGAAGTGGGACGAGATGGTCCCTCGTGAGCTGCTTGTCCACAGCACCCATGACATTGAAAAATGAAAATACGAGGTGCTTCTGCCGTTGCGATGCGTGACGCCTTTTCGTGCGCCATTTGCCCAAGCTCGGTCTAGGCAAGCTGATAGAGGGTCCAGCTCCCGCTGATTCACAGGTGGCTAAATTGGACAGGCGTGAAAATGATTTACAGCGCGGTAAACAGCTATTCGAACTTTCAAAAGGCCTGCAGACCTCTTGTTTGATGGGGCAGGACAGAAGTTCCGGCAATGGCCGCGTCATGACTTCAGGGTACAAGACCAAACTCCCAAGTTCGGCACTCTCCCGTGCCCGCATGCTTTGACGATTTGCCAGGCGCTTGGCCTTTATTTGAGACGCCCTGCCGAAGAATGTCCTCATTGGCCGACGTGCTCAGCCCCTCGACCCATCCGATCGTCCGGCGATGGCTGTAATGCTTCCACATGCCAGGCAAAAATTCAAAGCTCCTCCACAGCCTGTACTTTGCCCTAGCGCTCTCAATGTCGGCAACTTTGGGTGTCCTGACACCTTTGGGCAGCGGAGGTGCCGTGGCGGCAATGCCTGGTAGCATGGCCGACAAGCGCTTGCCGAGCATGGGCACGTCCCACAGCGTGTACGGATGCGCGTTACGCAGCGTGATGAGGATCGATCCCGCCCTGGAGGGTGGAAGGAAGCCTGTTGCGTTCGATGCTGATTGCGCCTGCTGCAGTTGCTGCACTGCCTCCTCATCCGCATAATCGATATCTGTGATCACAGACGCGTCTTCTCCATCACTTTCATCGCATGGAGACGAAGCTCGTCGCTTGGAGCCGCGGTTACTTTCTTCGCGAGCGTACGCTGGTTCGTGGCCCTGTGTGAGGAGCGGAGCTGCAGAGACGAAGAATCGAGCGAGAAGCAGCTGGTTGGCCAGTACATTTCGCATCTCATCTTTGTGTCCGGCACCTAAATAAAAGGAACCCAGTATGGTCGTCTCAGCTGTTGGCCCGATCAAGGTGGTCATCGCATCCACGGGGTCCAGTACTGACCTACGTGCGGGAAGCCAAAATAGATTTTGCTCCATCTTCTTCTGGTATCGGCAGCTTGTCCCACCACTGCTTTACAGGCCTGTAGATTGCCAGCATCTACTCCAAAGCGTACGATATCATCGCGATTGCCGATTTTGCGAATCGTTGCGACGATGTCCTTGGCGTCAGGGTATTTGGTATAGCACGTCGACTCGTCGTCGTAGCTCGTGGCAAGCAGTAGCGCTGGAGGGTGCGAGCGCGGGGGCGATAGAAGGGAAAGAGCGAAGGAGAAGTTTCCTGTGTGTATAACAAGGGAAAAGTTTCAACATAAGTGTTTGTCAGTTTTGAGGGTCATCGGAAGAAGTGAATGGTGATCAGGAATCGCAGTCTCACCTTCGCCGACGAGCAGAATCGTATCATCCAGAGCAAAAGGCTCGACTTGACGCTGCTTCCCTTGTTTCTTCGCACTCAGGCCACTGACACTCGACTTTTCGCTTGGCACTTCTTGCGCGCCGTGCTGCTGTTGCTTTACCCTCTTGGCAGCCTGGCCCGTCTTGCCTTTGGCGCCGTTGCTGCTTGCCACGATGGAAGCATGCTTGCGCTCTCTCGCCTCGTCAGCTGCCCTCTGCTTAGCCTTCAGCTGCTGCGCTGAGTTATGCTTCGTCAGTGCAGCCTTCAAATGGCCTTTCTTGGCCATCTTGCTCTGCTCCTGTCAGAGCAAATGCTTGTAGAAAGTAGAAGGGTTTTTCGACTGGTCAGACGAGATCATGAAGGAGTAAAGCCCAAACACCTGGTATGAAGAGATGTACAAGGACGTATATATAGTGCGGAAGTGATGCTTTGGATATTTGACGTTCGATATTCAACAAGCCGAAGTTGAAGCCGACCGGATCTCAGTTTAGCCGGCGATCTCGGCGATTCAGATGAATTTAACTATGCGCAAGAAGTTTGCCTACGAACAAGCAGAAGGTTCTCTCAAGGTTCTGCACATCGCCTGGTCATTCTTCTCTATTCAAGTGTAGTACATGGAACGACACAGCCAGCCGAAAGGTCGTGGCCCCCTCTGCTTCACAGGGATGCTTAATTGTCTTTTCTCTCCGCGCTTAAACGCCTTGCGCGAGCATGTTGTTCAGCTGGTTGACGCGGTTTGAAACGCTGAGGTCAATAGAAGAGTCGCCAAAGTCAACGACCAGGCCGCCCTGGATGCTTGGGTTGACCTTCTGGGTGATCTTAAGGGTCTTTCCGCCGCCGTTCTGAGCGATTTGCGATGACTTAAGGGCGCTCTCAAGACGCGAGAATGCATACTTGTCGAGAGGCTGACAAATGGCAAGATGTTCGACACGCAGTCAGCAAACGGACAAACTTGCTTCCTGCCGATCGAAACAGAAGTGAAAGTGATGGGAGGCTCCAGGCGAGACGAAATGCATACTCACAGTCGCGCTGGTAACAGTGACCTCTACTTCGCCCCTGTATGCGTTCATGAGCTGTAGGAAGCCCTGAATTACCTTGGGCGTGTCGGCCAATCGGCCATTCTCGGCAAGCACCGAGAGCAGGTTGCTGTTGGCGTCGTCGCGTAGTGAGAGCAGTCAGTTAGCTCGCCAAAGTGGGACAAGGTCTTCATATCTCGCCAACTGACTGAGTGATCGGATCCGGCTTCTCCTTGCTTTCGCTAAAGACCTGGTCCAAGGTTTTGATCCTGTCCTGGACGCTGAGGGTTGGGTTGGTGATGACAGCCTCCAGCTTGGACCCTTGGGAGCCCGCAAGAGTGGTCTGAATGGCCTTGAGGTCTGTCTCGACCTTCTGCAACGTCCTGGCGTCTTTGCTAAGAGCAGCAACGTAGGCCGAGGAGGCATACTTGCCTGCAGGCCATGCAAGCAACCGCGGATTCGCATCGTGTCAGCAAACTGGATTTTCCTCTGCACAGGCCAGGAGTCTTCCATTCGAGCTTACCAGGGAGGCCGTTGAGCGTCAGCGGCGGCTTGATGCTAGCCTGGCTAGCATAGCCACGGGTTGCACCCTACAGAAACAAAGTTCGAGTCAGCGATGGTGGTCCATCGTCGGAAGAACGGACGCAGCCAGTAGAACTTCGGCGACGAGTCGTAGCGCTGGTCTTACTCACCTGAGCAAGAGAGCGAGCAACGAAGCGGGCCGACATGATGTTTCGGTTGAGTGCAGATCTGAAGTGATGTCTGTTCAGATGCCCTTGAGCCTGCTTAAGACAGATCTGTAGAACGTCGAGGAGGTGTCTTCTTTGAGGTGCAGGCCCGACAGAGAGAGTCTTGCGGAAGCGCACGGAGGGGAACGGCCGACTCTCCAGCCTGATTGCCAGAACATGAGCTGGCACAGAAACGTATCTGGTTTTACAGAAACTGCGTCACAACCTGGTGGTAGGGTAAACCTGCAGTCCTCTAGCAGTCAGAAATCGTAAATCCAAGCATCGCTGGCCGTTCAAACCAAATCCGCAGCCTGCAGAACGTAGCTCATCCCACGTTGGGCAGAGACTTGCACAACACCTCGAGTACTCCACTCTCTCGTTACTTTACAGGGCACCAGGTGTCTGACCCCCAGATTGCATACGATACAACGCCCAAATGAGCTAGTTCATCCGTCACAGATGCAGCGGTCAATTTGGCACATCATGTGGCAGGCCCGGTCAAGCCTCGTACCACGCTGGAAGAACGACGGCGCCGTACTCTTGTCTCTACATGCTCCAGGAAGTAAGGTCCCCGGCGGCGACTTAATCCTTCCATTGTATGAAGCCATTCACGTCTGCTTGTAGAGTTCTAAAAATGCTCAACACCAAGGCTCAGCGCTTTCCCTCCCATTTCGGAGTCCTGACGGACGAAACCCCAGCCAGCACTAGTCAAATTGATACCAAACCGCGGACTTTCTACGAGACATTCAAACCTTCGGTTCACATAAAACAGGCGATGTAGAAGACCTTCGATGGTGATGTGGGAGCCCTCGGAGCTCCCTTTTCCAAAAATCTACAAAACGGTCTCCATTCGACAGATCCTTCAAGGCCTGACAGACTCAACGATGTCATGCCTGGCTTCCGTGCGCCACCATCCGATGCGCCGACCAAGTGCGCTCTGGGGAGCTTCTTAGATCGTTGGCAATGGCTTAGCTTTACGTGTCCCGCGGTTGCATTCAACACCCCGAGCATTGTCCCTCATATCTTGCCTGCATTCAACTCATGGACTGCAAAAACACTGTCTATCCACTGGATTTCATGCAGCGCTGAGCTGAGCCAGTCACGACCAACTAGATGAGGCCCATTTCAACCAATATACACGAGCCACGACTGTTACTGAGGCCTCTTGATAGCAAGAAGGGGACGTAAGGGAGAAGGGCCAGCCCTAAAGAGAAAGACAAGAGAGTGTGTGCAATGCCGAGTAGAAGATGTGTTGACCAAAGCATCCTTTTGCCGTCGCCCCAGGTTCACCCTTCATCATGTTTGGGTTCGGGTTCAGGCTTATCCCAGCATCTCCTAACTACCTTTCTCCTGCCTCATCTTCAATTCCATCCGATACGCTGCGTGCGCTTGCAGGATAAAAGGTATAGGCCGGCTCTTAAATCTGTCATGTGGTATCAATAGGTTTTGGACCGTCTCGAGTTGTTTGATGTTCACTAACCCGGGAGGGTTCGCTTGCCATATCCTCAACGTACTCCGGTCAAGGATGCAGGTTGGGGCAATGACGGGGCGGACCGTATCAGCAAAGCCCACTGATGAGCATGAGGCTAAGGTATGATCATTTGGTACGGTAGAAAGACGCGATTCGGACGTCCCAGTCAGACTCATCCAACCAACGTGCTACGCCGAGATCTTTGAGTTGGCCACTCGCAACTGCGTCCGGGCATGTCAACTGATTCTCTCTTGGCGGGCGCTCCAGTCTCCCAGTAACAGCAGCAGCAGCCTTGGACATGGATCGATTCAGACATGACGCTTCCGCAGCTGGGGGCTTGGGCACCAGCTATGCGGCGCATTTGAAGCGCACCGTTCCAATATCTTGTCCTATCGGCGTCTGAACCGCCAATCGCACAAAGAATCCATAGACCCGCAACTATAAGCCGTGTAGGTATTTAGGCATGAAATATAGCAATTTATTAAACTGGAATGTGGTATGGATGGAGTTCTAAAAAGGTGAAGCATATGCAAGACAAAGGGTTACAGATTGTATGTGGGATAAGAGGACTTTCTTCGGTATTTTTTTGTCGTTACCGTGACATCAGAGGCGAGGCGGTCTGCTGCAATGCTTCACTGTCCTCATATGGGCGGCGGTGGCGTGGACTGCGACAGACGACTGGATCGTTTTTTTTGATAGCTGCGCTGGCCCAGAAGCATGTGCACACACATGCGTGCGGGGTGCTGCGCTCAGGCTCACCAGAGGTACGCGAAAAGGAAAGCGAAAAAGGCAATGTAGAGCGCGATGAATAACTTGGTCCACGGGCCGGTGAGCGCAGGCTTGACCGTGAGGATCTGATTCTTCCTGAGTGCATCGAGCTGCTCGGCGTCGAGGTCAAGGCTGCGCGCGGGGCTGTGGCTGCGGACGACCGTTTCGTAGTTGACGACAACGGCGTCCATGGCGTCCCACCAGGTCTTGCGAGACGCGTACTGCAGCGCGCGTTGGCCCATCGCGGCGCGCAGCGGTCGGTTGAGGATGAGGCGCTCGAGGAGCATGCTGTACGACTTGGCGCAGGCAGTGAATGCGCCCGCGTTGTTCGGTGACATGGCGTGCGCGAAATCGAAGACCGAAGGGATCGGCCGGCTTTGCACTCCTGTTCCGGACGCTGCGGTGAAGCGCTGCTGCTGCTGCCGAGGACGCGGTGGGCTGCTGAGCCTGTCGCTCGCTTCGTTCGCCGCGTCCGCAAAGCTGGTCGCCGAGTCTTGGCTCGAAGGGCTCGCCCTGTGTATCGACGACGACGACAACGAAGTAGAAGAAGGCAGGAGGGCTTCCGCTGGGCTGGCACTCGTGTTATTGATGTTGCTGCTGCTGCTGGCAGTATTGATGTCGAGCAACAGGCCGGACTTGCCGTGACAGACGAGGTCGCTGGTTCCTTCTGCATGGAGGCCAACGACAGGAAGGCCACTAGCGAGCGCTTCGAGGACGACCTGTCCGAACGTCTCGGTGAAGCTGGGGAACGCAAAGACGCTGCTGCTGGCGTACATGGCCGCGAGGCGCTTGCCCTTCTGGTGGCCCATGAAGCTAGCGTCCAGGCCGAGCCTGTCGCAAAGGCGCGTCAGCTCCGCGCGTGCGGGGCCATCGCCGACAAAAACGAGCTTAGCGCACTCGCGTACGGACGAGGGCAGCAGGCGGAACGCCTCGATGAGCAGGCGCAGGTTTTTCTCCCACGAGATGCGTCCGACGTACAGGATCACCGTGCGGCTGCTTTCGGCAGCGGTGGCGGTGGCGCTTTCAGATTCGGCTAAAGCGGCGGCTGAGGCGAGATGGAGCTTGTCCTCGAGAGCGGCGAGGGAAGAGGCGTATGTCGCATGCTGCTGGGCCGGGAAGCAGACGGCAGGCGGGGGGAGTGCAAAGTTGGCGATGGTACCGAGCGGAAGCTCGGGGATACCCGCGAGGCTATCGTATGCGGGCGGCGGGCTCATTTCAGGACAGGCGCCGATGCCACCGAGGAACGCAACGGTGCCGCGTTTGGCGCCGATGCCGGGGCCGGAGTGTTGCCAGACGGTCGAGGAGGGCGGAGTGCAAATGAACGAGTCGTCGATGCTGCTGCCACTAGAGGAAGCGCTGTGGCCGTCTGCGGCGGGGTGAAGGCTGCGCCCGCTGCCGTTGTGGTCAGCCTTGCTGGGCACGACAGACGGCGTGAGAGGCATCTGCAGCGCTTCGGGCTTGGGCGTGCAGCCCCAGCTTGCGCGCAGGTTCTCGTCGCGTGCTTGGGGCTGATGGGAGAAGGGAGCAGGAATAGAGGAAGAGGAAGAGAGTGTGAGAGTGAGCGTGGTGGCGCACGTCACGAGCTGCTTGCTTACTTGTGGGCGCGCGCGAGGTGGAGGCACTCACATTGAAAATATCCGTGTCGACGCCCCTGCTCCAAATCTGCACGTTTTTGAAGCCTTTGGCGCGAAGCATGCGCCTCGTGCTCTCGCTGGGGCAGAACGTCATCTCGCAGCGGTCGTGCAGGCTGCGCGTCAGGCGCCACATGGCGGGCTCGAGCCAGGGGAGGCCGAACAGGGTGGCGTACGTTGGCAGGTTGGTGTGGTACGATGCGACGCACGGGACATGCGGCAGCCACCGTTGCACGCACGGTAGCAACTGCGCGCCGAGGAAGATGGGGTCGACAAAGTGCACGACGTCCGGCTGAAACTGCTGCAGACGCCGGATGAAGCGCGGGCGCATAAAGTTCAGTTTCAGCCCCGGGTAGATGATCAGCGGCAGGCCGAATGTGCCGACGACCGCATGCCCGGCGTAGTGTGTCTGGCATGCCGCAGCAGTGCAGAGGGAGGCACGTCAGCCGCGCCGTTTGACGAAAATCAAGCAAGCATGACGGCTTACCATCCCCGTCTCGGGCCCACAGACGAGGGCCTCATGGCCCTCGGCGTTGAGGTGCTCCAGAAGCCGTGCCAGCGTCCTCGTCACGCCGTCCACCTTTGGCAAAAAATTTTCCGTGACGATGGCGACGCGCAGCGTCTTGCGCTTGATGTCCGCCGGCCACGATGCGGCCGACTGCGGCGGCGGCTGTGCTGGGACCTGCGCTGTTGCTGCTGCTGCCGTTGCTTGCTGACAATGCGCAGCCGTCGCCCCCGGCTCGTGGGCGACTGCTGCTGCCGAGGCAAGCAGCGACGACGGCGATGTAGCTGACATGTACTGGCTCATGGTGCTGTGACCGCTCTGCTTACCGCACGGCACGGTGGCGCGGCTGCGCTGAGCTTGGGAGAGCGCGACGGCAGTCGTGGCAGGTTGTACTGCGGTGCAGGAGCGAGGGGTGTCGCTCGGTGCCTCCTCGCGTCTCGTTTGGTTTTGCGATCGATTCGAGCCTGGTTGGATGGCGCTGGCAGCTGGTTACAAAGACGAAACAAGGAGATGAGTTTTTAGTGTAATGCGAAGGGAGCGATGAGGTTGAGAAAGAGCCGAGCGATGGCGTTTCGCGTGCAGAGATAGGAAGGAGAGAGAGAGAGCACGCCGAAAACGGATCGAGAGCACGGGCCAGGGTGATATGGTCAACAGCTCTGTCGGGGCAGCGCATGTCATTGTCCAGCCAAATGTCTGGGGGGCGTGTGTGCGCGTGCGTGTGTGCGAGTGCGACGCAGGCTGGCTGCAATACAATACAGTACAATGCAAGCCGATGCTACCCACAAATGCACTGAATGTCCATCTAGCAGTCTCCCTGCCATCTGCTGCTCGAGGTGGCGGTGGTACGTGGTGTTGTTGCCAAGCTAGATAGCTATCGGTGTGTTGCTCTTGTGAACGTGCGCCCCTCCTAAAAGCAATGAGCGGCACTGGGGCACGTGCCCCTCCCCATCCCCACGTCGCGCCTCTCTGTCTCCCTATCTGCCATGTATGTAGGCTCACCGCACCAGCCTGCACGTGCTCGCAACCACACCGTTTCACATAACCTTGCCTCCTCTTTCCGGCTCCCATCTAAACTGGGGACTGTGGCGCAGGCGCAAGAAAAGTCGCCGACAAGTCGCCGACCCCCCAATATCCCCCCCCTTACCCCACCACTTACAGTCGTTTATGGCCCAGGACGTTTGCGAGGGGACGCCAGATTCTAATAGAGTTGGTTATAGCCAGGGATGGATCTCTGCTGGCCGGATTGTGGAGATGATGGATGGATCGACTCGTCAAATCAGCGTCCCACCCCCATCGTGCCGCCAAGCTCACAGTTCACACGGCCCCTTCCAAACTGTCCCCACAACTTGGCGGCCGGGGTCCCCGCCCTCGTTGGCCATCCGGACCCCGTCGTCCACCTTTATAAGACGCGCAGCTGTGAGGAAAGGTATGCATGCGTCCTGCTCAGCAGCTGATGCACATCTCTGCCGCACGGTCCCCCGCACTACGGGGCTTCACTTAGTCAAAAGCCCAGATCTCTCGCCGCATACCATCCCCGCTGCCCGCGACGCCGGGAAGAGGGGCAACGGAGAAAGAGAGAGAGAGAGAGAGAGAGAGAGTGTGTGTGTGTGTGTGTGTGTACTTTACAGTGTACATACCGTACATACCAAGGGATGGTGCGATATATGTGCGTGTATCCAGCCACACGTAATCGTCATACCCCCGTATCCCGTCGAAATCCGACCCAGCGCTGGCAAGGAAAACGCGAGGGCTCCAGTTCGGCAGGCCGTCCCCTTTGCGCCCGTCTGTCCAATACCCAAGAGCCACATTCTCGTCCCGAGTCCGGGTCGGTCCTTCAATTGGTTTCTCTCTCTCTCTCTTGCTTGTGTACTTCCTAAATTGTCGGTCAAGTGCGGATGGCTATGGCTACCGCTCCTGCTCCCGTGGCCGCAACTGCTCTTGCGTTCTGATATGGTCCACAGTCTGGAAAAAGTAGTCGCCCTGCCCTCGGTCGCTGCAGTGCATCCCTGTCTCTCGCATTCCGCTGCTACTAAGCGGCGAGGCCGATATCATCATCCTCGTCCCCGCTGAAGCAGCCACCGACGCCGCCTCGTTTTGGTTTAGTCTTCGCCATCGAGCTGGCTGGTTCGCATCCAGCGGCTGCGGCGGCACAGCACGCAACTAGAGCCCCTCTGGCTTGCCCTTGTAGTACTCCGAAGCGCCTTCGGGTGTCTTCATCTTCGTCACCGACGGCGACTGCACCAGTGGGCCGTCCAGGATGCGCGGCCGTCCGCGGCCGACCGTAATGGTCCCGTCTACGCTGTCGCCCTTCTCTCTTGAATGAGGATGTGAGCGTGACAGTGGCTGTACCAGCCCCAAAGCCGAAAGCCCCCCGGTCGTGCTGTAAACGTCTTCCGCTTGCGGCGCGTGGCCGGCATCGTCCCACTGCTTCGCCTGCTGCCGCGCCTGCTGCTCCAGCTCTTTTGCCCGTTCTTCGTCCCGTTTGCACTCGCTCCGCCGACTATGCTCCGCCGCGGCAGCCTTCAGCGCGCACTCAGCCGCATCCGTGACCGAAGCTTGTGACTTGTCTGCCTTCCCCTGCTCGTGAACACCATGCAAGGCCGAGGCGATCGTCTGGAACTGACCGCGCGCCGGGGGCAGCTCGTCCAACCCGTTGCGGCCCCGCTTCATCCTGACCTCGCCTAGCGCAGCTGCATCCCCGTGTGGCGCGGCGCCGCCCACCTTGACTTCGGCCGCGGCCGCGGTCTCGTCATCGCTCTCGTGCTCTCCGCCGGCCAGTTCGAAGGGCAGGAGTTGCTGGTGCCGTCGCTCGAAACGCCCAGCCTCTTCGACCGCTGCGACCTTGGGCTTGACCTCGAACAGCGCTGCGCCGATCGGGCCGCCGCCGCTGCTGCTCGGGCTCTCATCCGAACCTCGCGCCTGCCAGTTCCCGCCAGCAAAGCCGGCCTCGCTCGCCGCCGCCGACGTCGACGACGTGGCCGTGGCCGTGGGACTGACGCTGGAATGAAAGAGAGCATCGGCGCTCGCGGACGTGCCGGACCAAAAAATGTTGTTGCTGCTGTCCTTTCGAAGTGCATTGGGCCGCAGCATGCTGATCGCAACCGCCGCCGCGCTACAAGCATTTTCTGCCGCAATATTGCTACTTTCGCCGCCGTGACCTCCTTCGGAAACGAGACTGACGATGCTTCCCGTGCGCTTGCTTGCACCGCCCTGCTCAACCTCTTGGTTGTGTAGAAAGCCGCCTTCCGACGACGCCGAGGGCGACATGGTGAATCTCGCATTGTCCAGGAGGCCCTTGAGCGGCAGGACCTCGCTGCCTATGGCGTCATGCTCTTGAGCTGCCTCCGATTTGGGCTCCTCATTCGGCATAAGCATCTGTGCTACGTTCTCAGCTGCGTCTTGCAAGCTGGTAGCCTGGCTCGGGTTCGATCGCATCGGCGTACCCCCAGCCGAATTTAGCTTTTCTTCGCTCCATTTGTCCGACGTGCTCCTGCCTTCGCTGCTTGCCGTACTGGCCATGCTGCTCGCACGCCTCGAAGCGCTGGAACGCTTGAACTTGGTGATAGCGCGCGCGACGGCAAAGACTCCGCTCATCGTGGCGATGGCCTTCTCGACATCCTCCTCCGTAATCTCCTCGACGACATCCGCCAGGTTCTCCTCTTTGCCCAGCATGGGAAGAGTGCCGTCACATGTGACCCAGGGATGCTCGCGCAGTTCATCCGTAGTCATTCGCTTTTTTGGATCCTTGCAGAGCAGCTTCTTCAGGACATCCTTGCAGCCATCGGACAGATGTGACGGGTACTCCGGCTCGTCCTCTCGGATGGCGCGATAGAGGTCGAGGAATTGGGACTCGTCGAACGGCAGACGGCCAGCGACCATGCAGTAAAATGTGACGCCGAACGACCACATGTCATCTGCCTTGCCGTGATAATCACCATGCCCCGCTGTGCACAGCTCGGGGCTCATAAATGCCGGGCTACCCACGCTCTTCCGAACACGGTCGTCGCCAGGCTCGATGAACATTTGGCTGACGCCGAAATCGACGATCTTGCTGACCTTGCGGTCCTTGGAGAGCAAGATGTTGTCCGGCTTGATATCTCTGTGGACGATCTCGTTGTGGTGCAGGTACTCGATGCCGAGGGCAATCTGCCGCATGTATTCACGTGCTGTGTCCTCCCTGAGAGGTTCGACTTGCTCGTGGAGCCGGATATCGATGACTCGGCCGCCGCTGCAAGTTGCGAAATCAACAAGGCGATGGTCAATCGCGGCGCCTCGTAGCTCCAGCGGCGCTCGAGTCTTTCACTCACGGTAAGTACTCGAACACGATATATAGGCTTTCGCCAGTCGGATCGTCCAGCACTTCATACAGCTTCACGACGTGAAGATGGTGCAGCTTCTTGAGGATAGCAAGCTCGTGTCGGATGAAATGCAGCGGGTCTTTGCTTTCTTCGCGCTGCTCGCGCTCCAACCCTTCCGGCTCAGCGACATCGCTTCGTCTGCCCTCATCTCCACCACCTTGATTCACTTCCGTCTGAGAGCTTGAGCTGCGGCTGACCTCATGACTGCTAACTTGCCGCTGCTGAAGTGGCTCAAGACGGAAGCCCGGCGCCGGTCCTTGGGATTTCCGTCCTTGACCTCGCTGCGCTTGCATCGGGCGCCGGGACATGTTGGCAGCACGATGCGTTTTCCGTAATCGTATCTTGCTGAACTCCTTCACCGCCTTAACATAAGAAAATATGCCATGGTGAGTAAATTTATAGCTAGACAACATGCCAATGTGCCAGAGGTCAGTTGTCAGAGTGAAGAGCAACTCACAACTTCTTCATTTTCTTCATTCATCATCACAGCACGATGCACCGTTCCGTATGCTCCTTGCCCGATCACCTCGAGGATCTTGTATTGATTGATAATCCGACTGCCATCCCTCATATCTTTGCTGTGAGCATCGAGAGTTTCCTTGTAGCTGTGCGAACGTCCGCTACTGATCTTGCGCATACTCGGCGCTTGACTGCCCGAGGCAGACGCAACCTCTTGGGGACAGTCAGAGCCTGCACCTGCGCCTGGCCTGCGATAGGTGCTCCCGTTAATAGAGTTTCCAGTGCTGCTCGGGCCTGCCAAGGAGTACGCTGACGAAGGTTGTCCCGTGCATCCTTGCTTGGTGTCCGCAGCAACGCCTCCGTCAGCGCCTTGCGCATGATCCGTGTTCTTTGACTTGGTTGGTAAATCAGTATTACTCTGGATGTTTTGGTTCGGCAAGCTGCATTGGTCGAAAGCACCAGACCGACTGCAGTACTGTGCACTGGCCTTGCCTGATGCAAAAGTAAAAGCCATAGCCTCTGCCGACTCTGACTCGTCTTCTGAAACGACTTGTGATTCCATGCCCCGTTGTCTGACATTCGACAGCGATACTGCCGAACTTGTGCGTGACATTTCCCTCGAAGATGATGGAGTTGGCGATGCAGACAGTTGCACGCTAGTGCTCTGTGATTGAACCGCTTCCGCTGCATTTGTCCTCGAAGAAACATTACGCTGCATCCCTCGCATCCGAGATCGATCAGCACCTCTGCTGTAATTTGGCAGCGCGGGTGCCTCCGTCTCCAGGGGTGACCCCGAGGGTGAATCGCTGATCAGAATTGGTGGTTGCGTAAATTGCTGTTGATCATGAGAGTATGGGGTCTCCTGCGCCTTCCACTGCGCAAACGCGGCGTCGGCTATCGGAAATTCACATATGGGAGAGACGCATAATTCGACCTGTCCATCTTCCTGCTTTCCCGTATTTGAGGCCTGAGAGTCGCCTCCAAGTGGAGCAGCCGCTGACCTGGGCGTGCTCGTGCCTTCTGCAGGATCGACTTCCAGCTTTGCTCTACGTGGAGTAGACATGTCTCCATCAAAGCTACCATCACCGGTACTGGCTGGATCTCTGTTCTTCCCTCCACTTCGCATAGCATGCTGCTGATGCAAATGCTGCAAGCTCGACGAAGAAACGTCAACGGTGATTGCTGCGCGCTTCCTGACAGACGCACCGGCCTCGCCTCCATCTGGCGCGACGCCCGCCTCGTTTGACATGCTTGACATTCTCCACTCCTCCCCTTGGGGCTGAGGCGTCAGCGTTGGAGATTCTGGTACGTATCCGCAAGCTGTCTTCTCAGGCCAACCGCACCTTTGGATGGACTAACAAGTGTTGCATATGCCATGGCCATCAAGGAGAGATAGTGACGAGCCTGCAGCTGCAATAATTGATCAAGATCAATTCTTTCTTTTTGTGCCAGTGACTGTGATCAAATGCCCCCCTTTTGAAAAGGAATATCACAAAAAGAATTAGGGATGTCATTTCCAGCACTGTGGTCCATTAAATCATTGTTCATCCACTGTACAACGGACCGCAACCCCTACCTTTGAGCAGAACAGGCTGCTTCTTTGCATAAGTCATTGGTGCCAATCGTGTGGAGGCTAAGACCGGTGCTCCTCCCACAATTCGCTCAGCCGACGACGCGGCTGCAGGCGCGAGACGGACTACGCCATCGGCGCGCCCGAGGTCTTCATCCTCCTTACTCGCAGGTCTGGATCGTGACAGCTTCGAGGCAATGGTGAATGAGGACACTGGCGAGCCGTCTCAAGGGAGGCGAGGGACTATGCCAAAGCCATCGCCAACCCTGTTTCTCGACCTCTCCGATGAGATTCTTTTGATCATTGCGCAGTATCTCCCCAGAGCGAGAGACATCAACGCGTTGCAGGGAACTTGCGTGAGACTGCAGCATATTGCACAGGATGATAGTGTGAGTAGTAACACTCTCGGGAAAGTAATACATTGAGGCTGATTATAATTGGTACTTGAACACGACCGTGCAAGATCAGGTATGGAAGGGTCTTTTGATCCAGCACGTTTTTGCCGACAAAGATTCTCATTCTCGACGGTCCAGTCGCCACCGTCGAAGCGCAGCATCTAGACGCAACCCAAATAAGAAAGGCAAACAATGCGCACGCGGCAACATTGAGGAAGAAGAGGAGGAGGGGGGAAAGGAGGAGGAAGACATGATCGAGTCTAGAATGCGAAGGTTCCCGATAATCAAAGCGCTTCGCAACTTAATTTCGCCACAAATTCTGTCCAGAAGCTCAGCTGGAAACATCAGAACTTATCCAGCTTTATTCGACGACAGCTCAAGGCTAGTCGCCGGTCTTCCAGCGAGATATTATCGATCTACCCTGTTGCAAAACGCAACTGTGATATCGCCCGCATCCGTCGAGAAAGATGTTCCATTGAACTCTTCCGACGAAGCCGAGGTGGAAGCCGCTATGCGCAACAAGAGTCTCGACTGGAAGCAATTATACGAGGTCTTGTATTGCTGGAGTGCAGGGGTGTACAGTGTGCGAAATCTCACGGATGAGGAAAAGGCCACAGAAGCTGATCCTGGAGGCAAAGTACAACCCACCATTTCCCCCGCATCATTGTCTCAATTATCCCAGCAAGCTGGTGCTGTCGCTCGCTTTGAGTTTGACGCTGGGATCAGTGGTACAGCTGCAGTGATTGGCAAGCGACGTAGGAAAGATCAAGAAACTGAAAACGGCTCTTCAAATCACGCCTCCTCGTTGGCTTCACAGTCTGCAAAGCTTCCGTCCACAAGGGATGACGCAGTGAATGAAGTAGCTGACCAAGAGTTTGAGGGCGAACCGTATCGGCTGCGAACTCTGGTTCAAACATCATCACACTTGATCTTCACTGCTGATCGGTCACTTCACACGGTGGACATCGCCTCTTCAAGCACTGGGGACAGTCGCAACCGAGGACCTTCGGTCCAAGTCTATCTTGCCGATTCACAGACCGGCACAACATCCCGTGCAGCTGCACCCGACGATGACCTGGACGGACGGAAGTTTTCTTTGAACCCTTTCGCCACCATCGACAGCGGATCGGTGCTGGAAGACTGCTTGCAGCACCTCGCAAAGTCACATGCGCAGTCGTGCAGGCTTGGAATCTCACACATACGAGTGGATGCATCAGGATTGGTTGAAGCTACTGATGGCGACCATCAGGCCTTTGAAAACGCAGCACAACGACTGATGGTGTGCTACACGACTGGCCATATCGTCATATATCGGGTGAATTTTAACACCAACCCGAAATCACAGTACCCACTTGACGATCTGACTCGGGTCCGCGTCGAGGCTATGTGGGCCCCCCCGATCCTGCAAATGAAAGGCGACAACGACGATTCGACCGTCGTGGCGTCCGCCTTCCGCGATTCGTTGCTCGTGGCATGCACGCGCGACTTTCGTCTAACAATTTTCCACCTCGCCACGACCACTGCCGCCACGAATCCGCACACGTGCAGAGGAACCGCGCAACTGCAGTTGCAACAGACGCTGAAAAGCTTTATAAGTTGGTGGCCTGCCTCTTTATCACTTCGCCGAATTCCATTCATCGAGAGCGAGGATGATACAACCAGTTCGCCGAGCAATGAAGCCTACAAACTCTATGTTGCATATTGCACGCCCTCTTATCCCTCCGCCTTCACTGTTGGTCTTCAAGAGGTCATCATGCGTCTGGACTTCACAGGAGACGCTAACAAGCCGCGTTTCAGCATCGCTGGCAGCCGTCATGCCACAGCTTTGCCTCGCTACCAGAAGACTCCCCTCGATACACGTGGTTCTAGCATTTTCAGGATGCACCACTCTGCGTTTCCTCCAGCATCAGAGGCGGCAGCGGATGGTCGCAACCGTAACACTGGAACCTTGCTAGGCAGTTGGGCGGCGTTATTGCCTCTGCACACTGGAGGGCTTGCGCGGTCCGGTCCAGGGTACGCGCAAAGGCTGATTGTGGCGCAACATCCTTCCCCGACGCTGCAACGTGCTTCGAAACGGATATTGAGCATCACGTTCGAGGAGCCATTCGTCGTTGTTGGCTCGCAGGACAACCTGCTAGAGGTGTATGAGCTTGTCGGCGGCATGCGTGTCCTTTGCCCCAAGTCTGCAGCAGCAGCAAGTCCTGATAGCTTTAGCACCCGCGGCGGGTTCAAATTGCTGCATCGCGGCTCCGTCAACGGTCATACAGGCAGCGTAGAGAGCGTCTCCCTCGAGGATGGGCGCTTGGTCAGTGGCAGCAACGACGGTAGCGTGATGGTGTGGAGTCTGGACAGTGATGACGCGCCACGGGGCCGAAAGCAATCTTCTCAGCGTGCTTTGTCGCCTAATGCTCAATCCACTTTGAGCAATCACAAGGCCGGCCGCAGCCACGATGACGTCAGCGAGGATGGTCACAGTGCTGCAACGACATACATGTCCGCGCGAGCTTCATGTGCAACGCTTGAGCACGTGCGCCATGTCATCACGCTTACCGTTCCAACGCCTCCAGTACCGCGCAGCGTCCGTAGTCGTTCTTTGCAGCACTATCCGTTCATCTCTATGGCGGAGGTTCAAGAGGACGATGTGGGATCCTCCTCATCTTCCGATCAGGAAGGCGGATCCAATCCAGTGGAGAGCATAGGCGCCGCGACCTTGTTTGAAAGTCGCGAAGCGCTCCAGCAAGGGTCTTTGCCCTCTTTGGCCGCTCTGCATTTCACCAAGCGGAGCACAGAATTAGGTGACGAGCATTACTCCTCAACAGACACATCGATTCGGCGATGCAAGCGCCGTCAGCTCAGCTCTAGCCTCTTGACTCACGACATTCCACGCAGCATCATCCGCTACGTGAGCACATCCTTCGACAAGATCGTGTCGGTCTGTTCGGTGGAGCATCGTTTCAGCGGTAACGGTAGCAGCAACACGACCACGATCCGTGATGAGGAGACTGTGCAAGTCTGGAGCTTCGCAAGAGCCATGTAGCATAGAAGAAAAACTGGAATGTGAACGGATCATAGCCAGCTAATACAGCCCGAAAGCAGGTATATGTTACAGTAGTACATGTGCCCTTGCGCGCTAGCAGAAAATTCGGTATCTTTTGACAAAGTGAATTCGAGCGTTGTAACGAGGGAAGCGGATTGCATGCATTACGACGACGATGGTGATTTGCAGTCAAGATGAACCGAGAGAAAAGAAAGGAGATAAAAGGCAGCAGGCCCCACATTGCATGGGAGGGGAGAGAAACCGATGGAAGGGAGGTAAGGGAGGAGTGTGCCAGAGCTTACGAGCTCAACAGCGCCCAAGGCTGCTCGTTGCCGAGGAAGTGGTTCGCGTCGAACCAGTTGTCATTACCGCCGCTGCCAGCAATAGTGCCAAAAGATGCCTGCTCGTCACCTTTTGACCTATCGTTGAGAGAGACCGAATCCTTTGCCATGGCGACGGCGCCGCCCAAAAGGGAGACACCGTCGGTCGGACTGGGTTCGCCCTCATCGCTGCTGTCAGCGGCTATCCCAAAAGGACTCGCCGAGCTCATGTCGAATCCAGCTGCTGCCATTTCAGAGGAGAGCTTGCTTCGAACTGCGGAGTTGGTGGCAGAGGAGGACAGTGCTGGCGTCGGAGCTGCAGAGCTGGAGGAGGTCATGCGAGAGCTGTCACCCAGGTCCGGCGTTGCGATCGACCCGTCCTCAAACAGACCGAGACCGGTCGCTGCTGTTGCCCCTGACGTCAAGGCTGAAAAGTCTCGAAAGGTCTCAGGTCCCATGGCGTCGACATCGATGAAGTCGAAGAGGTCGATATCCGCAGATGCTTGCGCATCTAGCTGCTGTCGAATGCTGTCGGTGCCTGATATGGATAGAAGCGGATTCGACATGCTGATAGCTGCGGTGCCGCCGGAAGCACTGTTGTCCTGGCCAAGCATCGCGAGCAGCGAGTCGAACCCTTTCGAGTCTGCACCACTGGCTGCTGGCAAAGCCATGCTTCCGATGTTCATGGTGGACCCGAAAGGGCCGCCGAACGGATTGTGGGACGGCGCAGGCTGTGAGGACAGGTAATCCTGGAAGGCCTGCTCGACAAATGCGGCAGGGTCCTTTTCAGATAGCTCCTTGTCTCGCTGCTGCCTCGCCTGCCCCTCTTCGAGCGCGCGCATTTGCGATTCCTGTACGGAAAGCGCACCTAGAGTGCCGTCGCGCTTCTTGCGCTCTTCGTCGTTGGCCATGTCGCCCTTGACATCGGCCACGATGTCCGCACGCGACTTTTTCGCCGTCTCTGTCTCCTTGCTAGCCTCGTTGTCCTTGTTCGCTGCTGTCGCCGCCACCGCAGTAGCAGTAGTGACTGCTGCTGCTGCCTTCCCTCTCTTCATAGCCGCAGGGCCTTTGCCCTTAGCGGCAGCAGAGCCGCCCTTGGCGCCCTTCTTGGCGCTGCCTTTGGCTTGAGGCGACCCGGAGTTGTCCGCGGACGGCGGCGTGTCGGACGTTGCAGCGGCAGCAACCGGACTAGAGTCCGCAGGCGCAGAGGTTGCGGCGATCGAGGCGGAAGAAGCAGACTTGGCCATCTTCGTACGCTTGGCGGGTGGCGGCTTGATCTCCTCGACACGAGAGGTGCGCTTGGCAGCGGACTGTGCGAGGTCGGATGCAGAAGCAGATGCAGCCTGGAGGTTCGGCGAGTCGTTAGCGGTCAGACCTCTTAAGGGTCCACGACTGATCGACGGCTGCTGCTGCTGCTGAGGAGCCTGCTGAGCTGCATGCTGCTGTTGCTGCTGCCACGCGCTGGTCTGCTGTTGCTGTTGCTGTTGCTGCTGTTGTTGCTGCGAAGACGAGTTTGCCCAGGCGCCCACAAAGTCGCGGAGGCCTTTCTCCTCGATGACCTGCCGCGCCAATTCGGGGTTGCTGCTTTTAACGAAGTAGATGCACCGTGTCATTTGCATCTTCATCTTCTCCAGGTCCGTACTGCGCAGGATGCACTGGCCGGACTCGGCCATGCGCATCTGGTCGCGCAGGACGAATAGCATCGCTGTCAGCTTCTGCGTTGCGAGGACGTTGCCGTTCATCGCAAAGAACGCGGGCATCAATGCAGAGACCATGCGCTCCAGCGTCCCAATGCGAGCGATTTGCGCCAAGACAACTTGGCGCTCCTGTTCGGACATGTCTGCCACGGGTGGCCAGGGTTCTAGGAAGGACGAAACACAGCGCGTCAGCAAGCTCCCTGTGAGACAATGAACAAAAGCGCAACAATTGCACTCACTCTTATCCCGCAAAGCCTCCTCCTCCATCAACGCGATGGTTCTTCTCGCATTCTCGAGCATCTCCGGTGTCACCGGCGATTTGGCAGGTGGGAACCCGCTCGAGTTGACCTGCCACGTCCCCGGTGCCTGCACCTGACTACCCTGCTGCTGCTGAGGCCCTGGCGCCTGGCCGGGCTGCCCGGTATTCTGCTGTTGCTGCGCCGCCCAATGTTGTTGTTGTTGCTGCTGCTGCTGCGCCATAGGCGGCGGCATGAGCGAGGCCATGGGTCCACCAGGCTGGGCTGCACCTGCTCCACCAGCACCAGCGCCCGCCTGCAACTGTGCCACGGCTGCAAGCTGCTCTTGGCGCTGCTGATGCTGTTGTTGGATGCGCATCTGTAGCTCCGGGGTTTGCTGTTGTTGTTGTTGTTGTTGCTGCTGTTGCTGCATGCGCATGCGCTGCTGGTTGATGTAAACAGTCTCGAACTGCTCTTGCGTGACGCCCATTGATGCAAGCTGTTCCTGGCTGAGTTTCGGCGGGGGACCAGCAGGCAGCAGCGGAGGCTGTAGCTGTGGCTGCTGAGCTTGCACCTGCTGTGGCGGCTGGCCAGGCATGAGGGGCATGCCGCCTTGCTGCATGCGGGCCATGAACTCCTCCTGCTCCTTCATATGGTTCATGGCCTTGGTCCACGTCTCCTCGAACGGGACGATGAGGCTCTTGAACTGCTGGCTCACCTGGAGCGCCAGCGTCATCGCCATCGCCGAGCTTGGTGGTGCGAGGTCGAGCGCGGCGACGACGCTGACCCACTGGTTGTTGCGCTGCACCGCCTCGCTGCCGCCCAGGTTGTGCACGATCGTGTAGAGCTTGTACAAGTCCAGCGGCTTGCCGCCCGCCATGGGCTGCGAGCTGATCGGCGTGCCGCGCTTGGCCATGATATCGTTCAGCGCGCGCTTGAACTTTTCCTCGGACAGGTCCGGCAGGCCGGCAATCGCTGCGGCTGCAACAGTGCTGTTGCTCCCGGACGCCAACACCGTGGCCGCACTGGGTGTGCCAACCTTGCTGGTCTGGCTGCGCTGCGAAGGCGACGGTGCAGTATTGCTTGGCGGCGGCGGCTGGTGCTGCTGAAGGAGAGGGCTGCCCTGCTGTTGCAACATGGGCGTGCCCGCAGCCGACGGCGGGCTGAACACCGGCCGGCCGAGCTGAGGCGATGGCCGCGTGATGGCGCCCATGGCGCTCATCGGCGGCGGGCGCGCTGCTTGCAGGTGCTGCTGCTGCGGGCTCACCGCAGGCCCCGCGCCCACGCCGCCTGCGCCGGCACCTGCAGCAGCCGCGGCAGTGGCGGCGGTGGGCGGTGCCTGGCCCTGGCCCTGACCCTGCGACGCGAGCTGCTGCTGCATGTGCTGGGCCATGCGTACACGCATGGTGTTGAGCATGTTCTGTGCGTCGTTGATGTTCTTCTCGAGCATGGCGCGCTGCTGGCCGCTCGTCTGCGATAGCTTCTCGCGCATGCCCAACATGCGCTGCTTGAGCATGTTGACGAAAGCCTCGGGGTTCTGCGACGCGAGCGCCGCGTACTGAGCCTGCGGCGTCATGCCCGGCTGCGCCTGGCCACCCTGCACGGGTGGCTGCTGTTGCGGATGCGACGGTTGATGTGGCGCCTGCTGCTGCTGCTGTTGCCGACCGCCAGAAAAGTCGGGCATGGTGAACATGCCCATGCTGCCAGAAGCGGCCGGCCCGTTTCCCGTCGTGGAGACCACATTGTACTGCTGCTGGAAGCCGCGCTGCTGGTTTTGCTGCTGCTGGCGCTGCTTCTCTATCGCAGCCTGCAGCTGCAAACACGGTTCCAAAAGGAAAAAGAGGGTGAGGGGAGGGGGCGAATCCTGGGTCAGCACAGCCGCACGAGAAGAAATGCGACGCAGGCAATGAGAGTGACGACAAAACGCCGAGCTCACCTGAGCACGCTGTGCATCCGACATGTCCTTTCCCGTGACGCCGGCTCCAGCGCGGGTCAGCCAGCCGGCCAACTGGGCCGGAGTGCTCTGCATTGGACCAAGCCCTAGCACAGGCGGTTGCTGCTGCTGTGGCTGTGATTGCTGGCCTGGCACCTTCTGCTGCGCCTGCTGCTGACGAGCAATCATGCTCATCGCACTTGCGCCGCCCTGCTGCTGAGCAGCGCCTGGCTGCTGCGAAGTCATGAATGGCATGTGCTGCTGCGCATGTTGAGCAGGGGCGCCTTGTGGCTGCTGCATCAGCGATCGCCCCTGCACCGCTGCAGCGGCTGCCGCCACTGCCGCAGAACCAGACATCATCTGCTGTTGCTGTACGCGCTGCTGTGCCGATAAGCCCGCTGCGGCAGCGGCAGCCGCCGCAGCTGCACTGTGGTTCGTATGAGTGGGCTGCTGCTGCTGTTGTTGCCACGGCAGCATGCCGCCCGCAGCCATTTGCTGCTGCGGCTGTGGCTGCTTTTGTTGTCGTTGCTGCTGCTGTTGAGCCATGGGTTGCTGACGCTGCTGCTGGCCCTGCTGTTGCTGCGAGGAGCCGAATTGCGACAGCGCCGCCTGCTGCTGCTGAAGAGCATGCTGGGCCTGCTGCGGAAACCCCATGAGGCCTATGGACCCAGCGGCCGCGGCCCCCGCTCCTGCTCCTGACGCGCTCGCCCCACCGCTGGTACCGCCGGGAGCAGCCATGGCGTAACTTTGCAATGAATTGTTGTTGAACATGCCTTGCATGACCTGCTGTTGTTGTTGCTGTTGCGGGTTCTGCTGGTTGAAGCTAGCGAGCATGGCCGCCAGGTCGCTGTTTGCCTGCTGCTGGGCGTGAGGGTGTTGCTGTTGTGGATGCGGATGTGGAGATGGCTGGGCCATCATGCCCGCCATTCTCTGCAGCTGCTGCTGCTGTTGTTGTTGTTGTTGTTGTTGTTGTTGTTGTTGTTGTTGCTGCTGCTGATATCCTAAAGTACCAGCAGCGTTGATACCGACGCCGTTCGCGTTTGCTCCGCCGGCTGCACCATTGCCAGGCATGAACCCGCTGCTGAGGAAGAGAGCGTTCCAGTCAAAGCCACCACCGCCGCTACCTCCGGCAGACCCATAGTTGTTCGCCATGTTACCTACCACCCGCCCGCACGGCTACCTTCGGCAACAGGTAAGTTGCTTTTGGCCTCCCTTGTCCGCCCCTTTTCCTCTTCCTCCGTCTACAGGGGCGCACTGTGCGCAAAGAAAAGAAGGGCGGCGCGCGTCGTGCTCAGAATCTTATTCTGCTGCCAAGGGCAGGTGTGCGTGACGGGGTCTTCACGAACTGCGTGGCGACAAGGAGAAGAAGCAGCAGCAAGGGTGCAGTGCGGCCTGCATCTGGACGTGCCCAAGCTGCTGCTTTTGCGTGATATGTGTTGGAAGGAGGGATGGATAGATGCGTTGATCGGGTCAACGGTGCAACCAGAGCCAAGCCGCAACCGGACGAGTGACAATAGCGCTGGCGCTGGCCCGCCCTTGCCCCGTGGCAAGAGGAGAGATGGATGGGTGAATGGAGGGATGGATGCAAAGCCAGGCGGGGGTAGCCAGGGTTCTTGCTGGCCTTAGTGCAGCGTGGGTTTGACGTGATGAGGAGACGAGGTGTGGCTGAAAGCGGAGAACCTATTCCAGCCATAGTTACGAGATGCGCTCGACGTTTAGTGACCATGCTGAGCGTGTGTGCTGTGTGGGATAGGATGGCGGCACGATGTGTGGCTTACTCTGACTTTTGGGGGGGCAGCACGCCACTCACTTGACTCTGGCCGTCGCCCTCTTTCTCGCTGGGCTGAGCTGACTGGGCTGGTGAAGCCGCCGGACTAGCGCGCGCCACTGGTAACACTGCTCCAGTGCAATTCAGCGTAGTGGGTCAACCTACACAGACCCAATGCGTGAGTGAAGCCAGCCCTCTTGAAGACACTCACCCAGTGCTCTCTACTAGAATCTGGAAAACTCTGACAGTTCCTCTCTCCGCAGTCGAAGGGTGATGCATGCTCCCGCCAGGGACAGATTGGCCTTCGGTACACCGACTCGAGGTTGCTCTATCAGATGCATATCCGCAGGCCTGCTCAACCGACGTCAATGAAGAACCGACCTCGATGGGTAGGCCGATCGGGTCACTGTCGCCAAACGAAAGAGCGCACAGGAGAGAGAGAGAAAAGAGGTTGACTCGGGTCTTATCTGTTACGCGTGCCTCTACGTATCGCGACATGGAGAAATCCTTGTTGAAACCATATGCTCTATGTGACCATCGCATGGGCGCATGAACTCAGCCTTGATGCGCGCTCAGACGGACCGTGCGTTCGTAGACCTGCAACCAATTGCCCCAGCAGACTGGAAAGATGTTCCAACAAAAAACGGACCACCGCTCCCGTAAGTGCAGCAGCAGCCATGAACCAAGCAAGCCTGCAGGAGACTTCTCCACAGGCGTTTCGCGAAAGAGTGGTGTTACCTTGTCGCTCGCCCTTTTGGATCGTGCTCTCAAGCGCTTCGTGCGCAGGCCGTTTGCGCCCCCAGCGTGCTAATTGCTGCTGCGTGCTTAGCGCTCCGTCATGTAAGCCGCATGTCTCAAACATCCAGGGGAGCCTGAGATCCCAAGGCGCTGTAGCGTTGCACCCTTCTATCATGTGAGCAGTGAAAGCCTGCCGGCTGCTACCCAGCCAGGCACGCGGATACATCTGATTCTTCACTTCTTCATCCTCCAAAGCCCAAGGCAATTGCAAATCGACAGCGGGACAGCCAGCAGGCAGGCAAGCCAATTGCTTTTGAGAGGGGTATCGAGAACCCTTCGTTGATGCCACAGTTGCCAATTGCCAAGTCCAGCGGGCCCCATCGCGGCGGCGCGATGTTTCTTTCTTTCACGATGACCCAAGAAGTCAGGCAGCCCGCCACGCGCAGTCGTGCATGCACTTGTGTAGACTTTTCAGATACCTCGCTTCTCTCCGCCGTCTACATTGGCATCGGGCATATGCCGGGAGGACGACATGGACTGCGATCCTATAATATATTACGCACGTACTGCGATGGACGTACATTTAAATCTGCCGCGTCCGTGCGTGCAATCAAGTGTGCCTTCGGCCGAGCTCATCAACGCCTGATGCACGCGCTGAGAGGCGCCACCGGCGAGTCCGTTCGTGCCTCGCGCATCGTAAACAAACAAATGATGACTACGATTGGATTCCACCTCTCAATCGTGGAATAGGAGCGCACCGTGCTGCGGCAAACTTGTGTGCCTGGCAGTATTATATAGTCAGCCCTCCAATTCTCATACCTCACCAAAGCAGAAAATCCCAAATAAATGCGCGGACCGCTTCATGCCGCTTAGATGTGGGAGAATCTGAGGAAGTTGAAGCGTCGAGCGTCTCACGCACCCTCCTTCCGGGGGCTAATCGCCACTGACTCCCGCAGCAACCGCAGCACGCACGAGCCCAGCAAACAAATGAGCCTTCTCAGCCTCAACTTAGAGTGCGAAAAAATAGGTCAATGCAGCACATCAGTGCAATCTCTTTTACAAGCGAATGACGAAAATCGTATTTCATCCCAAACGTCCGTGTGATGATGGTCGGCATCTACGCAAAACAATTAAAAGAACCTGTGAAGCCGCTCTCACGCATTGTGTCCCTGAATCAGTGCTGCGGAGGCGAGAGCCCGAATAGGGGGAGGTATGTATGCAATGCCCGAACACGGCCCCGGGAAAAAGGGAGGGGTGCACTGGAAACCCAAGTCCCAATCGGTGGGATTTGGTTTGTTGGTGTTGGAATGGGCAGCAATGGTGATCACGCAGTTGGGAGTGGAGGAACGCTGTGCAGCACAAAGCGAACGTGCATGAGCCTCCGCTTAGCCTTGGCCGGGTACGGGCGTGCCGTCGCACGTCCACGAGCTGTCGCGCGAGCCGTGGGAGGTGACGACCTTGTACGGCTTGACACCAAAGTTCTGCGCAAGTGTTCGCACATTCTTCATCGTGTACCCGTTCTTTGCGATGATCGGCAGCTCCTGCGGGACGAGCTCCGAGTGTGTCGTGTTGACAGTCTCGTGCTGCAGCACGATGGCGTGCGTGGGCGCCGTGATGTTCTTGATCACGTTCAGCGAGTAGTCTACCGTCGCACCGCTGGCGTCTTCCGTGTCGTAGTTCCAGTTGACAACGATCAGCCCGTGCTTCTCGTTGAGGTACTGGACAATTGTATCGTTTACCTCGCCGTACGGCGGGCGCTGGCAACGACGAACGGTGAGCGGTGCAAGGAGGGTAAAGGAACAACTAGTCAGTCGATGCTGATGCGCCTTTGCACACCCCCTCCAAAACGCACAATGAATGCAGGGACGACGCCGGCTGTCTTGAGCAGCGCTGTCTCGATCAGCTCGACCTGCTCATCGATCTGAGCGTATGTGAGACCGACCATGTGTGGGTGGCTCCACGTGTGCGAGGCAATCTGGTGGCCGAGGTTCAAACTTCGACGGAGCGACTGCACCTGCGGCGCATCGTAGATGCCTGTGGAGCACAACGCATACGCAGGCACGGGGGTGGAGCATCGACATATCAGCTTCCGGTACGACACGAGTCAGTGCGCAAGAAAAGGCCACGACGTACAGTCCCAGTTGAAGCCGTTAACCATGAACGACGCGAGGTAACCAGCGTTGGCGACGTCATTGGCAATTTCTTGGTGCCAGGTGTACGGGCCATCGTCGAACGTTAGGGAGAAGCAGTGGCTGAGAAGTGAGAAAGACAAGGGGGGACTTGAGCAAATTTGCTCGACGCGAGTGTCTTGCAACATGACTCACCTTGCCGTGCAGCGCGTCTGGAGGCCAGAGAGAGCGACAGCGCGCTTAACCGGGTCGGACTCTGCGCCAGAGAGGGCGCGAAGGAGGGAGAGATCATTGTGGAAGTACTCGATGTCCTTCGGATCGCGCTTGGCCAACTCTTCGATGACGGCCGGCGCAAGCGGAGGCAGTTCTGAGAGGCGCTTCCCGTGCAGATGCGTCACCTGGCGCGCTGAATGTGGCACCGCTGCGTGGGCCGCGGAGGTAGAGGCGAGCACCACGAGGGCGAGCGGGAGCAGAGCGAAGAGCTGCATGACGTGGTAGCGAAGGGGAGGGAGGAGAGAGGAAGTGATAGGGCGAAGAGGACGGGAGCGAGGTAAACGTGGTCGGTCGGGCGAGGAGAGAGGAAGAAACAAGGAGGACAGCGAGGAGAAAAGGCGAGGGCGGATGGCTGGCCGTACAGAAGAACAACCAGAAGAGGATGACAACGTCAAAGAAGGAGAAAGCTTGAAGGGCTTGGTGAAGGTCGGATGGCGTATAATATATTGTTGCAGTCAGGGACCGCCCGCCAGCCGGCTGGTGTGCTGCAGCCCGCGTACGATAGGCAGCTGGGTGTGGGGCAGTGGATCTGCAGGTTTCAGAAAAAAAGTTGCATTCCTTGTGTGACGGCAAGCGGATAGCTGGCAAATGCACAGAGGGCACTGCACCAACGCTCTAAAGCCACCACCCACTGTCCCTTCCCACCCTCTTCCTCCTCCCACACGTGACACTCGTGCACTGCCCGCATCCACTCCCTCCTGAGTTCAGCGGACACAAAACAAGAGGAATGCCGACGGTTCCAACCAGGGTTTTTTGTTTCCCCCTCTAGAGGGCAGCACTGAGGTACTGCATCCCAGTGCTCCCCCAGCAAGTGCTCCTCATGCAAAGCCATGGCCTTGCGGAAAAATTGGGTTCATGGGCTGGAGGCACTGCGCAAGTGTCACCCCACCAGGGGCTTCCCAGCAACACGTGCAGGGTGCTGAGGGTGGACGATATGCTACACGCAGCTGGCAGACGAGGGTGGCACGGCGACTGGCACGCATGGCGGTCCTCCCGTTCCCTCCGTCCCTTCCGTATCGTGTCACAGCGGTGCAGTGTGACGTGGCTCGTCGGCCCTACTACACCGGGAGAGCGCTGGAGCGTGGAGCAGGGTAGGGATAGAGATAAGGAAGGGTTGGGGACCGGGTGTTCGCGCACTGCTGTGTCGCCGCACTGCTGCCGCTGAAAGTCACGGGCCGATTCACTTAGATGGGGGATCACCGGTTTGCTGGCCCGCATGCCACAAGCTGCAGCCAGACGCACACTTGCTGCCGCCGGAACGCACGACGCGGGATCGTGCGTCAGAACTTGTCGAGGGGAACGGGTTGCGCATCCGGTGTGCCTTCAACCGAGTTCCCCGATGCCCGCCCAAACCCGCGCTTTCTGTCGCTGTCGGTCCATGTGTCTCTGTGTGCCAGACCAGAGTTCAAACAGCTCTCACCAGCTGACCAAAAGGTACCAGCGGGCAGCCTTTCGAACTCGATGCTCGATTGCAATACACACCTCCATCAAGTGAACACTACCTTCCTTTTCTCCATTCAATTGGCCCAAGATCAAGGTTAGTGCGTGTGTGAGTGTCATCGTTGCTGGTCCTTGCCTTTCGCTGCTTCGTATGTACGATCAAGGGCGTCAGGCCGTCCGACGCGCCGTGACGAATGACACACACGGCCGACATTGGACATTCCGCCCGGAAGATCATCCATCACCTTGACAGGGGCCGGCCGGGCACAAGTATATGTGCACATGAGTGCGAACACCGAGAAGGGAACACTCAGCACAGGTACTCGTGTGTGAAGACGTCGAGACGTCATAGTCGGCTGCGTTAGCAGACCCTGTGTAGCAGCACCCCCAGGGCCCCCAATAGCCCCGTATGCGGTTTTTGCAACGAGCGCACCGCGCAAGACGTTCTGATCGCTCGGTCTGCCTTGCAAAGCGCACTGCTGACCGCTTCCAATCTGTGTTCATAGTTTCCATCCGTGATGAGCACCACGCGTTCATGCCGTATGCAGACCAGCTAGCCTGTGTATAGCCTTTCATAGCCTTGTGTGTTCCCCTAATGACAGTGACTGCGTCCATTGTCACGGACAGCGATGACGAGGACGCAGAATGTCTTCTCTATATATCGAATTACTCTACTCGTTCGACTGTCGTCTTCGCCGCCCACAACTCCATTCCACTGTTCGTCCTCTCTTTCTTTCCCCCTCGCCCCTTTCCATGCGCGTTTCCTTTGCTGTGCAGTGGAAGAAGTGAATGGTGATAGTGAACCTTGACGTATAGTCCGTACGTGACTGGTACAGCGTCGTACGGTTAGGCGCAGCGCCAAGTTGGAATGGAACGGGGCCCGGTCTCCTTGACGGTCGCGACGAGATCACCTTCGCGCCATCAGAGTCCAGACTATGTGCGGACCGACCGCCGGCGGAGCGCGCGTCGGATGGCGACGGTGGCAGCAATGATGACGATGAACACGATGATAGTGATGATAAGCGAAGTCGAGCGTGTCGATGCTCGCAAGGAAGGAGTCTTGCTACCGACATGTTGCAGATCATCGATTTTGGAGATACGACGAGTCGGAGAGGCCAATGCAGATGCGTGATATGACGTAGCATGCAAGAAATGCTTTTCGGGGGCTTCCATATGTAATGCGTGGTGGATCGCTCGCGGTTGGTACTTGCTAATGCGTATGTGTGGGCGTGCGTGCATGCATGCAGTGTGTGAGCTGAGCCAGTAGATGGTGCCATACTCACTCGTGCGACCGGTTGAGAAGGGAGCGCGATGACATGAAGGCCAATTGCCACGTGGAAATAGTGCTGGTGGTGAGGCCGGTGGTGTAATGGTGCTGCGCCTCGTGTGTGACGTATGCCGTGCTCAGAGTGAGACAGTGCAGCTTCGCCACGCTGACCGCAGTCCAGTTGCTGCAAATGTCAACAAACAGCTCGTTGCAACTGTGTTCCAATATCCAGGCTCCTCCTTTTCATCTTATATGCGCTGTGGGGTGTCGGCTGAGTCTATCATCATCCTTCTTGTGCCCCCTTTATCAGTCTGGTCTCCATTGAAACCTCACCACCCCGCTGCTGTTGCTGCTCCTCGCTCCCCTCAACAGGCTCGGCATCATCGTCGTCGCTGCGGATCGTCGCCCGGTCCAGCGCCGTGTCGTAGTTCAGACTGTCTTCGACGCCGCCGCTGCTCGGCATCGCGAACCAGTGCGGCTGGGACAAAGAGCCTGACAACCTAGCCGCTGAGACGGCATCAACGTCCTGCTGCGACAAATCGGCCCCGCTCGCATCCTCGTCGTCGCCGACGCTGACGGCGAAGGCGAAGCCCCGGTAGCCAAAGCCGTCACCATCAATACCCCCTTCTCCAACCCCGTCGCCGTTCCCATCCGCATCTCCATCCCCATCGCCGTCCGCATCGTCGCTGCCGCCATCACCGGCTAACCCGGGTGAATGGGGCTTTAGCAGCTCTGGCAGCTTATCCCGACAGTTGTCTTCCGATTTCCAGTGTCGCCGCAGTGCGTCGGATCGTGGGAAGGTTTTCCCGCACGGTTCACACATATATGGCTTGTCGCCCGTCTGGCGTGCCGTGCACAATGGAGACAACGATGAGGAAAGGGTTCAGTATTCTTTAAAACATCCCCTGCGGTAGCTCCTTTGCTTCTCCTTTCGACTCACGTGTACACGAGCGTGGCGCTGCAGGTCATGCTTGCGCGAAAAGGACCGGTCGCAGTCGGGACATGAGAACGGCTTGGAATTGGTGTGACTTCGCAGGTGAGCCTTCAAGTTGTACACTCGATTCTTGGGGAACACCTTGCCGCACCCTGGATAAGGGCACACGACTTCTGTCGCAGTCGACCGAGCTGACCTCTTCCTTGATGATACAGTCGAGTTTCGCCGCCGCATTGGCCCTGCCGTGGATGTAGACGAAGGGCTCTGCTCAAGGTCCGCCCACGGTGGTTGATCTGCCCCCAGGCACATGGGCTGCATCAATGTCGGCGTAATGTGCTCGTTTCCGCCTAGGTCAGTCGGTTCCAGTGATGCGTACGAATCGAGAGGATATTGGAAAGATGAGGCACTCGGAGCGAAACCGCCTATTGGCCCTGACAAGTCGGACTGGAAGAGCGGTATGGGAGCGCCCACAGGCGGTACCTGGGTGCTGAAGCTCGCCCTCCCTGTAAAGGGGCGTCGATGGAAAGTTGACAAATGATCGGATGGCGTGCTCCAGCTGATCGACCGCGGCCGGTTCTCCACACCGTGGCCTGCGCCTCCGTATCGCTGCGCAAATTCGGGATATATCCCCGGCGGGCCAAGCGGGAGAACCTGTGCGGGTGCAGAATGCTGTGATGGGAGAGGTACGGAGAGGCGCGGGGATGGCATGAGCGTTTGCCAGTCCGCCACTGCTGAAGCAAAGCCCAGATGCGCAGACGTAGGCGCATTTGATGGCAAGCCTGGCGTCGAGTGGTGCGTCTGCACGCCGGATCCCGAGCCTTGGTCCGCGCTCGGAAGGGCCCCAGCTGCAGCGGCAGCGGTAGCAGTTGCAGCATGATGGTCATCGACGACGTACTGTGTGTATGGGCTCGACACGACCGACAATGCTGGGTGATGCGGCGGAGGCATGCCCCCGGGGCCGCGTGCGTATGCATGCTGTCCCGATGCGTACGACGTTGGTGTCGTCGGCGCGCTCACTAAATGATCGGCTGCGACTATCATCATCCCTGCGGATACGTTCAGAAAATTGGGTGGCGCTGCGAGCCATGGCTGCGAGGATAATGGGTAGCCGCCCACTTCTGTGCCTTGCTCATGCGAATAGTCATAGCGCGAAATTTCCTGCAGAGGAAGGGGAGCCCGATGGGATGGGCGAATCAGTCGGCGGGGTGCTCGTCAAAGGATCTCCAGCTCCGTACGCTTCGACATTACGCACCTCCTGGTGGGCAGTCGAAGACATATTCAGACTTCTCAACAAAAGCGAGACTTCTGGAATGTAGGGCAAAACCTGTCGAAGACTATCCTTCTGAATATCCTTCGAGCTGACAATGTGCGGAAGTTCCACGCGAAGACCCTCGACCATACTCTAACGTTGACTCAAGCTGACAGATTTGTGTCTTGGCTGCCGAGGGTGTGGCGCTCTTCCCAAGGCTATTTCACCACCGATAACCCTTCGCGCAGTGTGTGAGAGCCGCGGTTCGACTTGGATGGCGTCCGACCTGCGTCGAGCGAGGATGAAGAGGAAGATGAAGACAATAAAAATGAACGGGCGGCGACTTCTACGTCGGGCTTGGCTAAGGAGCCAGCAGGATGTTAAAGCCTGAGCAGGGGCCTCGGCGAGCGCTGCTGTGAATGCGAATTGCGAATGCGGATGCGGGAATCAACAGCAGCATCAGCATCGATGATCCTTCGTGAGCAGCAGCGAATCATAATGCAAAGCGCCGAACGAGATCGTGTGCCAACGGCAGCAATAGCAGTTCGCCTTATGTAGTGGATCAATACTACGCCTGACTACTGACTAGTAACTACATATTACTCCAAACAGATCGCTGCACAAAGCTGACCACGAGGCCCGTCCGGAGGCAAAACGAAACGCGCCCGGTCACCAGCCTGCCGACCAGCCAGCTGCAGAGACCAGAGAGCGGAGGCGCTGAGGGGAGACCCAGGAAGGTAATCAGACGTTTACTATCATTGCACCCCATCACGATGAGAACCCGCTGGTGGCTCAGGCTGGCCCATGCCATCAATCCAAAGCACAAAGTCCCCCCTCCCAATCAGACACTTGTGGCATGGGAACGCGGATCCACAGCCGGTATAAACGAACCCATAATAATCGACAGTACGTAATGGCTCAGAACGTTGCATACATAACTCGATACGGATTTCACATTCCATGTTCGCGGTCCGTTCATACCCATGTTCTAGTACATGTTGACACAAACATATGTATGTACATATAAAAAAGTGACCCAGAATTCAGGCACCTCAATTATTCAGCGTGGATGTGCGTCTACGTCCGACTAGAGCACGCGTTTACAAGTATGCAATCCTTGTTGGTGAGACATTTCACCAGCACACGGGGGTGGAGAGCTATAAAGGGCATAGGGAACCACGTTTACAGTCCACTTTGACAGATTTATTCCAGTGCTTACATACATGACTGGGTGCGACGGCCGCTACAGAATCAGAGAATGAGGCGCCACTAGCCCACTCATGACGTGCATGTCCTGAGTGCATTTCTTCATTTGCTCACTTGATGAGAGTCTTAACGCTTGACTTTCGACCTTGGATTTGTATTGATTGATTCTCGACGAAGCTTTAGAGTGGGAGCTTGGCAAGGAGAGGAATTAGTTGTAATTTTGGTGTCCTCGCGGTGAGACACTCTCTACATAGTGGTACATAGCTCGCTGTTCATCTCGGTCGTCCAAGGCCGTTTTTCTGTTCACCCGGAGCATTGGCAACTTGAGCAATGTGTTCGCTGTTGCCACAAGGAAAGACGTACATACAGTATATACGCACTCTAAACTGAGAATGCTCGGTAACAAGAATCTTGCGCAAAAATCCGATCACAAAGATGGACGTGTGCGGTCTGAGGTCTGAGTCTGAGGCGTTAGGAGAGACGGAGCACCTGTGCTTGCTTCGTCCCATCGTAAAAGCCCCTCACATGTTTTCAGCCCTTGATTGGCGCTAGAGTCAGGGAGCGGATGAGGTCCCAGATCCATTGTGATTCGGAGCCCATCGCTCATTAACTCTCAGGCACTCAAGCGCCAAACATCCCAATGCTCAAAACTCAAGAAGAGTCGGAAGCACTTTTTGGCTCTTACTCGAGCAATGATTGGAACGGGAAACGCAGCGAGAGGCGCTGCTATGTAATGGGCACAGCTGTATGCTGGGATTGCGAAGGTATTTGGGCTTTCGCAATGTTTCGACAGTTTGAATCATAAAGAGAGTCGAGCTTGTCGAAAAGTGATATGCTGGTTCCCTTTTTCTCACCGACGAGAACCACCCTCCACCCGTCCCGAGGTTCTCCGACCTTCATATGAAGAATTTGGACCTATTTGAATTCCTTTCTCGCGTCCCTGATACATACGTACACCATGGTGCGAATCCCTTTTTTTTCGTGCAACGGGGCCAGACGAGGTCCAGCCATACACACCATTAGTATGTACACTATCGATGATAACGAGGCTCGCCTGATCCGCTCCAGGGAAGTGTAAACACATTTTTCCTTTGCACAAAAGTGGACTGCATTTTTCGAAGTTCGGTGCTCGGGCGCTCCGGTCCGGCTCGGTTCGGCGCCGGCTCGCGGTTTACCCTTGCTATGTCGCCGCTCACACGCGCGTGTGCCCATCCTGCCCGATTGCACTTCCATCGGGTAAGGATTGTACAGAACATATTTAGGTTCATATTGGGGATGTGCAAAAAAACCGAGGCCTCAGTATGTAGAGCTCGGTCCGACTGATGTCTCAACGACCTGATTGGCCTCAGCTCTTGTTCACTATTCATCGATATCGTTCATCTTTGCACGTCGAACAAACTTGACTACGTAAGATGCATACGCTTGTCCATTTCATCGCATCATCGCCAGTTCTACTGATATCGTCAGGTGTCATATTTTGAAAACGCGCTCCTACGGTTCTTTCATGGCAAGGGGGACAGGGTTAGACAGTGAAGAGTTGATGCAGTTCTGTGAAGGCTGATGCGACTGAACGCGCAGCGTCTACGGCTTGCTCACGCACGATTGTCGCAGATTTTTGCACTCTGTTCATTTAGCCAGCCATGCCACGGTTGCTTGCGCTTGATCGCTTGACCGTAAATGCTTATGTACCCGATACTTGATGCTCGATAGCCAGAGGCTTGTTTTCGGCGGCGATGCGTGCCCAGACTTTTGAGACGCCAGCACAACGACGTAAGCTGAGAATACCGTGAAACACCGACGCACTGGTCTTCGCCTGATCCAATATCATGACAACGGACAGCCATCGCCATGTCACTGCCCTCCATTCATATCACTACGACACAGGCTACCAGATTCTACCCTGAAACTGTAGGTAGCGACTCTAATGACATAGATCACTATTGTCCATCAGGTATCGGCAATTTGGTCTGTACACGTCAAGTTGTACAGTGTGATGCAGCCAAGTTGAGGCTGTACCGTGGGGCCAGGATGTGTCAACATGTCCCAATTATCAGCGGAATATGTATGAGTATGTATGCACGAATGATTACAGATTGCACATATACATACATACATACGAGTACCAATGCGAAGTGCCAAATGCTATCGCCAAGTACACTGCCCAGCGCGCCCAGACGCAACGTTGCCACACATTGCATCGCCTTGCAAAGCGCAGCAGACGCAGCCTTAGCTGAGCACAACTGGGCAAGCCACGGAAAATATATTAGCACATGGATAAGAGCTGCGATGCGTGGGTCTGTGGGAGGTCATATGTACATACAATTTATTCAAGGTAGGTAGCATCTATGTTATATATATATACTCGTACATACTATACAGCAAATATCTTGTTTGGGTGCATATATATGCAGCCTTCCCAAATGCAGCGATCCGGCGTTCAATCGCTGCACCTTCCTGCAGTCGTACATAATGGCGGCAGAACAGCATGGAAGGGGCAGCTGTGGCGCAGTGATGGAGGTATATTTATGCGCTAAATAAAATAAAATCATTCCTACTTACGTACCTTCATATGCGACATACTTTAAATACATGGGTAAATACTACGTATATACTTTGCAAAAGGAACACCGTCCCTTGCAGAGTGCCGAATGCTGACAGTCCTCAGTTTGCGGACCGGCGACCGTGGAACGTGGCAGAAGAAAGTTGCAAGGTGTCTATATACATAGCATGTGTCATGTTATGTAATGTACAAGGCTGAAGCCAGAAGAGCGGAGGCTCCAATTGCCAGAGCCCAGGCGCGCAGGAGGCAGCAGTCTGAATCTCTGCTCCCGACATGTCAGCAATAACCCTGCCGCAACAGAGAGAGACAAGCCTTCGACAATCACAAGCACGCGTTCAAACATCAAACACCCTCCAACAGGGGCAAATGTAACATACTTAAGAGGCATTGAGATGTCACAGTTGCCATCCCCAGTCGCCAACCACCAGTGCCTGCCAGCGTCGATTGTCAAACAATGAATTTCCTTCTGGCGTCCACCAGCGTCCGCCGTCGCGTCCAGTAGGTACTCCACTTACCACTGGCGTCTAACTGCTAGCAACAACCTCACCCGACCGCCGGCATCGTGCTCCCACTCACTGTTGCCTCCAACATTTGTATTGTGCTACATGCACAAATTCTGTTGATTTTGAGCTTTAGACAGGGTTGGACTTGGACGTGCGAACCAGAGAACCGGAACGAGCGTCTCTACGGAATCGCGGTTCCTGACTTTCCTTTATGGACGCCACAGTTTATTAATTCAGATACAGTATATGTATATATATCGACTAATTTCTGATTCCGTATCATGTCCGGTTCCACCCTTTTTACTTTCTACTATCATCTTTTCTGAACTATCCAGTGACGCGAATAGGCAATGGTATGCAGAGAACTTGGCAGTGGCGACACCCCGCGAGGTGTGTACATGGTTTACTCTTGTCCAGATGTACGGCACAGCAGTTACATCATGAGGACGTGTACCGTGTACGTCGAGCGAGGTATAGTGTCAGTTTGCGGGCGTTAGGCTCAGCAGCACTCAGGGGCTCAGAGTTGTTGTCAGTGCTGTAGCATATACCCCCCGTGGGGGCTGCAGTCTGCTGCAGTACGGGCTTTACTAGGTTACGGAAAATTTGTGTTGCCGCACATGATGCATGATGCACGATGTCGTGATACATGTTGCCACCGAAGAGTACGGACACAAATCGCAAACGCGACTTGTATGCCGACGGGCTGGTACTGTTGGAGCTTGGATGTCACTCACTACGATGCTGATCTGGTCAGTGAGCAGGGAGTATGTAGTGAGCAGTGTGCAACAAACCCTTTGTCACGCGTCTGCACCATTCCTCATGATAGATGCGGTAATGAGCAATGAGTAATGAAGAATGAGTACTTGGTAAGGCTAGATAGTGAGTTACCATGTCACCCCGCCGCCTGATGGCCTCGGCTATTATTCCTTGAACCATTTTCATTCTTAAAAATGTATGTAATACACCCTTTCGCAGTTTGCAGGCTTTCCCTTCATCTCAGTCATCTATCATTGGGCCCAACGCCCTCGGCACTCAGGCAAACCTGTGCAGCTTGCGGGCCCGCGTCCTCGAGCAGTGCGGCCATGTTTCTACATTCTTATTACGGTCCACCCCACTTCCCCCACTCGGCATTTCTCTCCAGTATTTCCGTACTCAGTCGGATCGAGGATTGAGAGAAGGATGAGCGGCATTGCATGCAACAACCTAAATCGAGTGTTTGAGTTGAGTTGAGCACTTGGTCAAAGCACTTTGAGAACTGCGATTCAACTTGGATTGGAAGAGCCTCTTGATCACTCGAAAGGAGATGGAAGGGAGGAGACATCGCTTCTGATCATTGTTCGATGAACGGGAGACGCCTTGTTCACAACGGTTAACTTTCATTGTCAATTTATATTCCACAAAATGACCAAAATTGATCGTTGGTTTACCTCCCCATACGATTCCAAATTCTCAAATCTTTCAGATCTTCATCACATTCCAAGCATCTTATCTAAAGTTCTGGTCTCGATACTCGGGACGACTATGCAACAGTCTATCAACAGATGTGTGCACAATACCCTGCGACAGTCTGTGACTTGTGAGCCCCTCGCCAGTAGCCCCCTTGCTCTGCATATGCACCGTCCCCTACGCTTGGCCATCCCAGCGTGTATGTGTAATTTGTGAGAGTATTTGAATACTTTATATGCAGATGAAGGGAGTCTCTAAGCTATTGGTCTATTTAAAACAGCCCTGCAGGCACGAACGCGTGTCAGTCCTCTTGAAGTCTTGAGCCGTTCAATGTCCAGACTCCAGAGTTCCCAACTCCCCGGCTCCAGCCCGTCTCCTTCGCGACACTCCACCCGCGCGCAAACGCTAGGTGCCCGGAGGCGCTGCCTGCAGCACAAAAGGGGATTCAGAGGCACAGCCATGTCATTCATTGTAGCCGAAACGCGAAGCAAGAGCGGAGAGATGCTATCCGTACATGATAAAGAGTCCACAGTGGGTCAAGGGCACCGAACGGGACGGAAGGGGAACGACAGCGCGGCCGACGAGATCCCAGGAAGCAGCAATACGATTGACAGTGTTGGGCTCAAACGTGGCAAGCAACGGCATCCCTCGGCTCCGCAAAACTTGGCGGCGTAGAGGGTATGTTATCTGCTTGGACGATCTGACCATCTTGCGATTGCTTCTGCTTGATATCGTCGTCTTGCTCCTGCTGGTCACCAGCAAAGCGCGTGCCGGCGCACAGTGCATCGTAAAGGCTCGCATCGTTGCGCACAGTGAGGTCCAAGTCGATGTCGAGGTTGACGTTAAGGCCAAGGTCAAGGTCAAATGCGCCACCAAAGCTAACCCCGCCGTCGTGGCCGCATTGCTGCTGTTCCTTCCTGTCGTGATACTGCTCCTGCCGAGATTGAGCCATGTCTTCTAGCATGCCGTCCAGGTCGAATGTCTGTGCAAATTCGTCATCAAAGTATGCCGGGGTGCTTGCACTGGCAGAATCGATGCTGTTATCTCCGCTGGTGGTCGTCAATGTAGGCGGCTCATGCTGCTCTTCGCTGTCGTGAGGCAAGAAAGGCTGGACATGGTCGTTGTTGTCTCCGAGGATCAAGCCAAGTCCACCAGCTTGCGCAAGAGGCACAGCCGTATCGTTGAGGATGGCCGCCGGCGATGGCTCGAAGAGTGCAGGGGAAGCGGTGGTGGAGGTCGTAATACCAACCGTAACCTTACCCGTGTCCGCATGGTCTGAGGGCTCTTGCTTGATGGTGATGGCCGTGGCGCACCCTTCAGTGTTCGCTCCATCCTTATTACCTCCTGCACACTGTTCATCGATCCTGCTGGCGCTGACTGTCTTGAATCCGCTCGAAGCTGTCGCCGCATCTTCGCACCGGTTCTGTAATATGCCCGATCCGCTGCTGCCGTGGTTTCCTGCCGTGCCTTGCCCTGCAACCACATGTTCGCCGTCGATTCTCTGCAATGCAGCCGCGACCGATACTGCCGCGCTTGCGCAAAAAGCATTGTTGGAGCTGCTGACAGCCATACTGGAGGAGGAAAGAAGAGCGCCCGCTGCTGGGTAAACGCCTCCACTGCGGGGAGACGAGCGCTCGATTCTGATCCCTCCGTCCAGCTGGCTACCGGCTCCTGCTTGATGTGCGGGGCGGCGAACGGCGCGGCCGGTGCCACAGAGAGAGACGTGGAAGTGGTTGCAAGGGAAGAGGAGGAAGGCGCTGCAGAAGGCGCTGTTGCAAAGGTGGTACTAGATGCGGCGTCAGTCGTAAGGTTCAGTGCAGTCGTTGAGCTGATCGATGTCGAGGCTACTGAAGATGGGATGCACGGTGCGATGGAAGGAAGCGAGACGAGTGATGACTGGCCGCTGGCTGGGTCGAGGATGGACTTGATCATGGACTCCATGGCCTTGAGCCTGTTTTCGAGACTGGACATCTTGTTGTTCATGGCAGCATTTTCTTGCTTCAGCATAACATTCTCTTTGCAGAGCTGCTTGTGTTCGACCTCAAGGGTGGAGATGAATGCCTTTTTCTTGTCCCGAGAAGCCTGCGCCGATGCCCTGTTTCTTGCCTGGCGAGCCTCGAGGCGCGCAATGCGCTCTGGAGACATAGGCTTCGCTCGTTTGTTCGAAGGACAGAGATTGCGCTGCGCCGGGTCGTCGATGTTCTGCGGGGGCCTGGCATTGAAAGAGGCCTTTCGCTTGCGTGACGAGCTGGCGGCGGCAGGCGACGACAGATAGGAGGCTATTGACGCCGCCGGCGAAGCAGAGTGGCATGTCATTGAATCATTGCCATTGTTGTCGTTGTAATCGGGCGATGATGATTGTGGAGGCGATGGCATGGTGAGGACATTGGGATCAATGGTGGCGGACATGATGTGTGTCGTGAAGGGTCACAGTTGAGTGGTTCGGGGGACTGGTTGGCGTGCGCAGTCACGCTCGATCAGCACGCCGTTCTCTCCCTCGATCCAGCTCCGTCTGCGCATTTTCTCACCATATATAAAAGAAACGTAGATGCCTGGGGACGACTGTTGCCGAGAGCGTAGCGCTCTCGTGCAGGTGGACTCAGGAGGGAGTCGAGATGGGGGTGGTGGAGGCAAAACGACAAGTTCCAGCGTGGAGCCCTGTTTGCTTTATTAGTAGTATATACCAGTGCCTGCCAGGCCCAGGGGCAGGCAGGCACCGAAAACACTGAGGCGCGGTGCGGCGGGGAGACCGCTGTGGAAGGTCATTGGCTGCTTTTACACAAAGAAAATCATGTGGCCCCTTTGTAAATCCGTACAATTGCATTGTTTATGCTTGAACTATCTTCATTAGTGACTGTGGCGACAGTCGCCGCACTTCCGCCTCCTGTTTCGGAGACGAACCTGCGACGCTTTGACTGACCCGCTGACCACCTCTAGCGGAGGGTTTGGTAGCTTGGCCGCAAGCGCAGCGCATAGGAAAATACCACAAGGCAATAATCAATGTCCTTGGAAGCATACGAGCAGCTCTGAACCGCCTTGTATCTATAGGGCGCTGGTGGGAAGCTACCGAACTGGGGATGGACCCCAAGTGCGGGGGCATACGACGACTCGCACCTTGCGCATGGGCATGTGTGCGCGTGCAGTGGGGGAGATGGAATTCATCAATCATCCTATTGATACAGCGAGTGCGACGATAGACAGAATATGAAAGACTCGAAGCGCATATCAGCGAGATGCACGTGCGCAAGAGCACAGGCAGGACAGTGAGCGGTACACAGGGGGACAAGAGTCGAGAAGAGGCGCTGATGCCTTTCGGCGTGCGATCAGAGACCAAAGAAGCCTTGGCCTGCCGAGCGAAAAAAAGAATAAAGCGCACGCGCAATTGTAAGGAGCAAGTTCTCGTTTCCCGCACCACATCTTTCGCAAGGACGCTCACCTCCATGAGGATGGTTCTGCTGCGCCCCATAGTGTGGTGGCGGCTTGCCGTATTGGGGCTGCTGGTGGTCGCCGAACATGTTCTGCTTGTGCCCATGATTACCCTTGTCCTTCATCATCTCCACTGCCATCTTGGCGCCTTGTGCCAGGAGCGCGCCGCCGAGCGCAGACGTCATGCCGCCGTGGTGCCCGCCTGCAGGTGTTGAGACAAACGAAGTGAGACACACATAAACTTGCTTGGAAAGGGAAAGAGCGCGAGGCTCACGTTCCTCAACGCACCTGTCATCTTGTTCACTGCGAGCCCTGCGATACCGCCCATCGCCATCGTGCCGAGCCCACGCTCACCGCCTTCGATGGGGTTTCCATTCTCGTCGTACATCTGCTGCTGCTGCTGCTGCTGCTGTTGTTGTTGTTGCTGCTGCCGAGGGTACGCGTCTGACTGCTGGGGAGGCTGCGAATAGTACGCTCCCGCTTCGCCGCCGGTGCCGCGCGCGGAATCTTGGTATCCTGGGATCATAGACGGCTGCTGCTGCTGTGGATAGCCTACTTGTTGTGACTGCTGCGGTGGGTAGGGTCCTTGCGACGAGTCGTATCCGCGGCTGCCGTAGCCGCTGAGCGGAGCGGTGCTGTAGTCTGGCATCGGCATGCCGCCTCCGGAAGGCCCATTGGGACCGTTATATGGATGCACAGGCCCGGGGCCGCCATAAGGCGTCGCGTAAGATGGGCCGTAGTTGTCCTGGTGAAAATCGGGCTGCGGGAAGGCTGCCATTCTGGTATGTTCCTTGCCGAATTGCTCTTTCACGTTTGTGTGCTTGGAATGAATATCGGCTGAAGCCCAGAGCGTGTGGACGCGGGCTGGTGTGGATGGACGAAAGGCGAAGTCAGGTCTGATGCACTGTCTCTGCACGTTCACCTTTATATATTCGCCGAATCCCAACCTACATAAAAGCCAGTTGCTGGAGCAGAGTGGAGCCGTTTCCTGACAGACTGCTATGAGGTCCGTGTGCTCCCCTGTGGCGATATTACCTCTCACCAGCAGTGGGGTACATACATCGTAGTGACCAGCCACCGGTCAGAGTTGAGATCACTCAACGTCGTCTCGTCAGCGGCGCTTCCTGATATTCGGCAACTTCTCTCGGCGCTGCAGTGGCAACGAGCATTGCAGCCCACAGCCCACAAGACACGGGCCGCAGGACACATGCCTCAAGACAGCTGTCCCGCCACACGACTTCCATACCCCACAGCTAGACTCTGCACTCCATATTAGTACAGCAAGGCCCGAGTGGGGTGCAGCCTACATTGCACTGCCCTGCCGCCACAGCCTGCCAGCGCTCTCTATCAGCAGGGCAGGTTGGGGCCACAGCCCTGCACTGCCGCGCCTAGATAAAAGCTCAACCGGTTTTCTCCATGGACTCGGATTCACAGCCAGCCTGAGCCAGGTTCGGCATCAGCCAGGGCAAATGGGAAACTGCAGGGTTCCGCCCCAGAGGCCTCCGCAACTGCGCCCTAGACCCTGTCGTCGGGGCCCCCGAGTTGCACTCTGGCAGCAGTAGACCGCAGTCTTTGCCTTTCTCTATACAAATACTCTGTTAGTTTCGACCCTCCAAGGGGATCGATTGATTGCAATGCACCGATGACAGCACAGCTTTCGTATTCTTGTCCTCCTCCACTTCCAACTCTCCCCGCTTCTCCCCCCCCCCCACGGAAGACGACCGCATGTATGACTTGTACACTTGCTTTCGTCAACTTCGCCGTTGCTCGGTTGCATTTGCTCCAGGATCCCGACTTTGTCCCACCTGAGGCGACAGACAACGTTGCGGAGCGAAACCCCTGTGAAGCACACCGTCCGCACTTGCTCGTCTCTACGTCTTCTGCGCGTGCTTCCCTGCTCACTTTCAATCCCACTTAGGATGATGACTTGCTCTCTGTTCTACGCCGTCCTCATCGGTGCGGGCGAGATTAACTTTGGCTCGGTCCAGGGCACATGGAACTACTTATCCCGAGTTGAGCAAAATCAGGGGCAGCGGCTGCGGCATGGTGGGACTGGAGACGGCAGTGGCGGTGACTCAGATGATGAAATATGACTTCCATGCGCTCGCTCGGACTTTAGTCCAACACCCAAAGCGCCACGGCACCACCGTCGCAGTCGGGTTACATGATGCGGTATCTTCGCGATGTGCAGCGTGTGCGCCGGACCATCCGACAGGGACGGATGCAGGTGATGTGCGTGAATGCGAGGTACTACATGACGTATGAGAATGCGCGCATGCTCGGCTGGTGGAGCAACCAGCAGCCATGTGAACCCGTCTTCGAGCAAGCTACACCCTTCGTAGACGTGAATCGTTACGTCGTCGGTGCCAGTGTGTCCGTACCGCTCATCCTTTCAGACGCAAGAGCAGGCGCAACGATCATGGCGACAAAGTCGAGCGGAGCAGTGTCCACATACATCACGGTCGAGCATTGCGAACGTGCCGGGCAATTGCGTGCCAAGCGCTTCAACAAGCCCTTCGTCCCTCCCTGGAGTATATGCCCCGCATGACGGCGTCACGCTGGAAGTTCAGCGCACCGGCCCGATCAGCACTCTGACCCACATCGGTCTGTGCGGCGCGATGCCGTACAACATGCAGCTCGAAGTCATTTCTGACGACTGTATGTTCACACTCAAAGAAGCGTACTCCGAAAGAACCAAGCTGTTGACCCCCGTCAGTTAGGGGCCTCGAACGAGGCGTTGTTCGAGGGCGATGAGACGTGTCTGCATATGCGCCCGCTGCTCGCATTGGGACGAAGAGTATAGTTGGCTCGTCACGCATGCTCGGCGCATCTGCTGTCTTGCATCTGCTTTCTTCAGGATGACACGTTCTTTTCTGAGATAGAAGCGACCATATAACAAGTCGGCGCCAAAGAGGCAGGCGGCAGCTCGGCGGCAAGGGACGACGCGGCCGTTGCCGCAAGTGGCGCCGCAGGATGCTCGCGGGAGCCCAGCTCATTCGAAGATGCACTCAAGACATACTAGCTCGCGTGGGCGCTCCGCGATGTGGGCGATGCGCTGCTCTCGCACAGGGAAAACGAAATCGCTGGCGGCCATGCAAAGGCGTAGCTGCGACAGGGGCGTAGTCTCCTCGCGTCCCACGCATTGAGCAGGTTATGTTGGTATACAAGCACATACATACATGCATACACGCAGCCAACACGGATCATTCCAGTCCAGGCGCAGAGCTGTCACACACGTTCGAACTATGTGTCTCACCGGAGGGTCCCATTAGTTCAGTCCGTGTGGCGGTTAGTGATGCCTTGCGTGCCTTGCTGAGTGTGCGTGATGAATGTGATTGGCACTTGAGGAGCTTTGATTAACGCAGCTGGAAAGTGATCCTTGCATATATCGCTTGATCGGCGTAGATGTGAGAAACGTGATGAAGTCAGCAAAATCGCATTGAGACAGTCTTCCGTCACGCTCGGGATGGAGACCTACAGATACGGCTGGTGAGGGTAGGCCGGCCCTGGATGGGCGTGTACTATTGCGGCTGCGACCCTGCCTCCTCGCTGCAGCCTGCCGGTGGAGACGGTGGTGGCCTGGAGCCCGTCGAGATGCTGACGCTGGATTTCGGTCCGGCATAGCTGAGATGCGGCCCTTGGTCCTGCGCGGTCGATGCGGCCGCTCCTGGCGCTGGCGCTCCTCCCGTTCCGTCTGCACCTCCGTCGTCTTGCGAGGACGCGGCGGCATCGATCATGTTCGCGGAGCCGCTCTGCACAGCAGTGGGCAGGTTGGACAGTGTGTCGACTGTGCTAAGTGCGCTGGAGCCAGTAGTGTCGATCGCGTCGCGTATCGAGCGCTTGCGCAGCGGCAGGTCCGCTCGCGAAGATACCGCGCGTCTGCTCGACTCATGCGTCGAGCTGCTGCTACTGCCGATAATACTGCTGCTGCTGGCGGGGTCGATCGCGCCTGTTGTAGGCAAGATCGCACCATGTGTGCCACTCACAGCAAGCAGTGCCATAAGCAGCGCGATCGCATGCAAGACGAAGAACGCGTGCATGACTACCAAGCCACGCGAGCGCTTCCAGGAAAGATGGAGAAAGCCGTCTTGGCTCTCGAGTGTAGAGTAGGCAGGCTGTAGCTAAGCCTGTGATGCTGTTCCGCGAAGTCCAGCGTTTACCGATACGAAGATGTCGTGGACTGATTGGCACCGCGGATGCGTTGCAATCGGCAAGGAGATGCAAGCGATATGGCGGATTAGAGAATGAGCACGTTAGAGGCAAGCAGGGGCAGGGGTAGGACTTGGGCAAGGATGTCAGGACAGTGTGAGGAATGGGGACTTCAATCATAGTCGCGCATGCTCTTATACGTGAGGGTTTGAGCGCTGAACGATCGCCCTCCATACGTGCTGCGGGGAACAAAGCTGGCCAGTTTGTCGGAGCAATTCCACTGTGGCTCAGAAGACAATGGCCAAGCTGTCAAATGCCAGCTCTGGTGAGCCCAGAATTAGGTACGCATAGAGACAAAAGCATTCTGGTCCATGAGGAATTTGAACTTTAAGATGCAAAGCCTCGTGCAGCGAGCCCGGAACAGGCTGGGGCAGAAGCGGGTGAGAAGCGGAGTGATTGAACGGATGCACCGCTGATCGCTGAGCTTTCAGGATCCGCCGTCAGCCGGATCCAGCCAAGCGGTAGAGCACTCCTTGTGCTGCTCCCTGTAGCTCAGCAGCCGCTCGATGTGTTCGAGTTAGCCGACCGATGACAGCGGGTAGAAGATCCCGAGAAGTTGACAGCAGTGCGCCCCCTTGGACCGTGTACGAGACTGCGAGGCGCGACGATCACTCCCAATCAGGACAGGCTGCACGGCGGAAAGGGAGGAGGTGTCGGCCTGCTGCATTGACTCCAGCACCACCTCTTTGGCCCCTGGGTCCTTGGACGCCAGGCTGGAGGCTGGACGCATCCAGATGACGGAGCGCCAGACTGCGCTGCCCCATAACGAGGGCCTGTGCGGGGCAAGGTGCTCGGCCGACTGATCGAGCAGAAAGATAAACGGGGCTCTATTCTTGGCGCTGTCCATGCGCTGGTCGATCTGCCAAGCATATTTCGATGATCCGGCGGGATGTGAACGGGGCATGTTCGAAAAGATTTACAATGATCAGAGATGATGGTCGACTGAAGTCCACTTTGGAAGTTACTTCTTTCATTTCTCTTTTTCTTTCTTTCTCTCCTTTTTGGGAGCCGGCGCGTCCACCCTGTCGTCCACCCACTCACTATGTACAGAAATGAAAAGCTAGACACATTAAAATAGTTCCACACAAACTAAAAGACACATCAAAATCGCAAGTTCACGATATGTAAAAGCCCCGACGAATCAATATAGGCGAGCCCAGGAGACTGCGCGTGTGCCTGCAGAGGGTAACAGTCCCTACTCAAAACACTTGGCCCCAAAGGGTATACCTCCCCCACATATACATGCGTCTATCCAGATTCATCGCTTTAATCACCACCACATCATCTCCCATCAGCTTCTGCAGAGCCTTGACTCTATTGAATCACCATGTCACGATGCCAGCAGCATTCAGCCAGCCCGTGCGCCGATTGATAGCTACTTATCCTCTGGTTTCTCCGCCATCATTCCGCTAACCTTCCACTGCATCGTTATTACTCACCGCTGACGTTTCAGAAGCGCTGTATACGCGTTGGGTATGCGTAATGAAGTAAGTTCAGCTCTCATGGATCTATGGCCAGTGGTGCGTCTTGTTGGCATATGGATGCTGATGGGATTTTTCTCATCCTATGCTCTGTCCATTTGCCAACATTTCCCATACCAACGGGGGTGCATTGCCATTCTCCCCATCTATGGGTTAAACACACGCTGCCTCTGCGATCGGTAGCCCCAGTACACCTCATGCTACCTTGCAATCATCGGTATCGTTGCCGCCATCGCCAACGTGCTCCCTCAGTAGCGCTGCATCGATCATTGAGAGTGTGCACAGGCGCGGTCAAAGGCGTTATCAGTGAAGTAAGACAAACGCTTGTTGAGTCTCCTGTGGTCGTGGTCAACGTCCCAGCGCAGAGGAATCCTGATCACGATGCTTTCGTTCGTGTCCTATCTGATCCCCATGCCGTGGCTTACTCATATCAGTGCTCGCTTGCCGAGTACATCATCCGCTGCACGCTACGAAGGCTGACTCGCTACTGTCATACCACTCGCCAACCCCATCTCTCGCATTGCTTCCATTTGGCGTGTCACTCCCACCAAGACCAGTCATTTTTCCGCGTCACGCGACTGCCACTCATGAATATATGCTCTTACCACAGGAATTTCTGGCTTCTAGCAGGCCTTCGCCGTGAAGCGCAAGCGCCTTAAGCAAGTCTAGACACCCGTCGTCATCGGCCTCTTCCGCCGCGTCGTCGACGTGCACGTGGGAGTGCAGTGCTCCCTGAGGTCTGGACGCTGACTTGACGGTGCTGTCGTCATTGCCCATGTCCTCGACAGTGTAAACATCGGCATTCAATTAAGAGAGCTCTGGAAGTGACACCTAATCCCCTTGGGCTTCAACAGTAAGCGATATCAATGAGAGAGTGTCCCAAGGTTCCGGATGCTGCGTCTGAAACAGCGGCGAGTTACATGCTCCATCTGCTGGACATCTCGAACCCAAGCGGCTCATGGATCTTCCGCGTTCTGGCTGACCAGTCCTAAGCGATTTGTGCTGAACGTTTGGTGCCACTGTTGCTCGAGCTATAAGAGCTCTTGTATCTCTCGCAGTAGAGAAGGCCTCCATGTGCTGGATGAATCGACGTGCGAATGCAAAACTGTGAGGCGATTGAATTGGAATTGCAGCCATTTGATTGCACTGGATGCTTCCTGATTGACCAGAACAAAAATTTCTCGAGCTCGATTCCATAGCTCCTATGCGTCGAGAGGGCGGGGGGTGGCAGATCCAATTGCCACATCGAACCAGGGCAGATGGTAACGATTACTCGTCATTTAGAGAAGAGCAAGGAGCGCCTCCAGATCTGCGTATGTGTCATGTGGCCCACCACAGCATACTAGCTCGGCAACATTGAGGCTGAGCGGAGCGCCAACTTCCTCTTCACGCGACGCTGCAGATCGTTCATCCTGCGCATAATCCTGTCGCGTCCCTGCTCTCACGCCTTCCACTTGTTTCAAGAATGCGCGACTTCGACTGCCTTGAGTGCATCAACCGATTTTGAATAATAAGGTTTGACCCCCTTCATTCGTCTCAACTGGTAAGGAGACTGGACGTGGGCCAGAGAAGCGCAACAGCCTGTGGGTGACCCAGACTAAACATACGCGAGGCTGCACCCCCTCTCTCTTGAGAGGCTTCCTCTAGATGCTACCAGCTCCAGCTTTATTACGGGCTATTAGGGCACACCAATCACCAAACCCCTTCCCTCATCTTTTCCTTCACCATCGATGCTTCGCTGCAGACCGGCTTACCAGTGGACTCTGCAAGTGCTTATCGCTGCTCATGCGGGGTTGGTGGACGCGGTGGTGCTCAGTCACCCCTCTCGTCCTTGCACTCAACCATGAGCGCATGAGCAGCGATGATTTCATGGCAAAATCAATCGGGATTTGTTAGAAGAAGCGAAGCGCCACATGCCCAAGCGCTCGCGGGAGCCCTGCTGGAGACTGTCGCCTGGCAAGTAGTTTTGCGGTGGATCAATGGAATGCAGTTACCAGCTGCCAGAGCCTGTACTTCTAATTGCAATTGACTGACGTGCAGGTACTGGTTTCTTGACAGCTGCACATGCTCTTGAATGGGGCCACATTCATATGGATTTGTGCTTCCTTGTCCACAACTGCATCCGACGGGTTGACACTTTGTCCCATGGCAAGCGGTTGCCTTGGGCAGATAGCTTGATGTATCCATTACCGGCAAACCTACATGAGCAGTCAACACTTTCTGCACTCCATTCCCTCAACACCAAGCTCTCCATCATAGGCCTCAAATTCGTTGGACTCGAGATCGCCCGCCCGCCCGCCCTGCTGCAACTGCAACTCTTGCTCCTTCAGCACCACTCTTGTGCAAGGAAAGAGGCAGAGGGGACGCAGTAGACTGCCTCGCTCGACGCTGACAAAGAGAAGAACAACAAAATGCCGAGTGAAGGGGCTACAACTTCGCAAACGTCGCCGTCGTCTTTTGCATCGCAGCAGCCATAGCGGCGAGGAGGTCTTCCGACTGGAGCATCGCCGCGTTCCAGATACTCGTGTAACGTAGCCCCTCTTCGACGCTGTGATCACGCGAGTAGACCATCAGTGCCTTCGTGCTGCGTACCGCCACAGGCGACTTTGTCGCGATCAGCGCCGCCGTCTTGATCGCCTCGGCTGCGAAGCGGAGGGCAGAAGCGAGTGGATGAGCGACCCGTTCAAAGGGTACAGGCTGTGGCTCGCAGCAGGCACAGTAGCAGTATTATTTAGTTGGGGGACTCACCGACGACGCCCTTTTGTCCCCCGTCTACAATCTTGCTGACGAACCCGATCTCCTGCGCCTCCTTGGCGTCGAAGTTTCGCGCGGTGAACGCGAGCTCGCGTGATCGGGAATCGTTGCCGACGATCTTAGGAAAGCGCTGCAGCGTTCCCAGATCCGCCGCAAGGCCCACGTCCACTTCTTTGATACTGAAGACGACGTCGGTGGAGCAGTAGCGCACGTCGCATGCGCACAGGATATCGATCGCGCCGCCTATCGAGATCGAGTGCGCTGCGCCAATCACGGGCTTTTCACATTTTTCTGCGGGCGATTGAGGATGCGGCGAAGGAGTCAATGCCAGATTCAAACGCTTCGCTTCTTTCCCTGGGTGAAGCTGGAGTTATTCAAGGCCACTGCTCACCTATGGAGGAAATGGCAGCCTGGAAGTCTTGAACATGTTGGCGCATGAGGAAGGCTTTACGCGCAACATCGCTGCCGGCCTCCATGATTTCTCCGAGGTTCGCATCGAACACTATGAACGAAAATCGCCCGGTCAGTCCAGGTTATGTGTTTAGCCCCACCAGCCTCCTTTCTAGAGGTCCAAAGGCGCCACGTACGGTCCAGCCCAGCGGTAAAGCACCTCCCCTCGCCGGAGAGCACGACAGCGCGCACGTCGCCGTCGGAGTGGAGGTGGTCGAAGATGCGCTGTGTCTCGCGCCACAGCGCTTCGCTCAGAGCGTTGACCGGTTTGCGGTGGAAGCTGACGCGCACTACGTGTGGCACTTCCCACTGCACGAGGTGGTGCGCGACGCTCGAGGCGAGAGGCACATAGGGCTGCGGGAAGGACATGACGTTGTCGTCCGAACGGCGATGGGTGAGGCGGCGAGCGAAGGTCAAGCGCAAGTGATTGGCCGCTTGTAAGTCAGAGGCGCGTGTGTTGGAGAGGAGCGTACTGTTGGGGACACGTTTTGCACGAATCTGCTGTATGTGCAGTGCTGGTGGACAGCTGGAGCTTGGAGGTGAACCAAACTAGTGCCGGCCGGCACAAGGTGAGAAGTGAGTAGCCCGGCAGTCGGCGGAGACTGATGACCGAGATGCGGAAAAGTGCAAGTAGGGTTGCCAGATGCGCCACTCGGACCCGGTGCCACCTTTCAACCGGCTCCGAAAAGAGCGTCGACAGGTTGACTAGTGCGGGGAAGGGGGCGGAACGACACGAACATACATTTTCACACACCAAACACACTCACACGTTCTCTCACGCAGGAGCCCCCACCTGACCTCCAGTATGCATCCCTGCAACATCTTACCTGCTTACCATGGAAAGCCCTCACTACGCTGGCTTGGCAGATATCACAGTCACGGACAATACACCTCCTGAGGTCGCCCTCAATCATGGCCCCCATTATCCTCAACGCCGTCCTTGCCAGCAGCGCAACAGCCATACCCCCGCCCCATTGTTGATGGGTCAGATAGGCGCGTTCGGCGAGGTTTCAGTGTAAACATCTACCCTGCCCATCTAGTGTATCAGCTCTAGCGTAGCCTGCTGGGCGCCAGACCTCCAGAGTTTTGCAGTATTTCTTTCCATCGACAGTTGCGACGAGTCACTGTCGCCTCGCCGTCTTATCCGAGCTGCGTGCCACCGCACACGAACAGTAAGTAAACGGTCATCATGCCCGACGGCATTACATCATCTCTGGCCAGCGCACCCGAGCAGCACAGCACAGGGGAAATCGGCAACAAGGACGATGCAGAGAACGGCAGCAATGACGCCAGCGTGCGAAACGCCCAAAAGGCCTTCATGTACACCAGCTGGCCGAGCAAGCCGCGCTCCGAGTGGACGCGCGCGCAGCGCTTCATCGCCTTCCTCGACGTCTTACCCAACTTCCCCGGCAAGAAAGCAGCTCCGATCAAAAAGAAGGACGACCCCGTGCCTGTGTGGACGTTCTGGCAGCAGCATGCCCATACGCTCCCCTGGGCTGTTGCGCCCGTGCTGATGCACTGGTCGTACATGAAGTTCACAGGTGCTACCCTCCACCCGATCGCTGCGTACGTTCTGTACACAGCCGCCTATAATGGCCTGTCGGTGTGGAGCACACAAAAGGTCAACAAGTTTGCGATGAAGTACGGCTTCCTCGACGGTGCGTATCTATACTTATCTATTTACCGTCGGCTAGACCAACCATGCTGACTGACTGACGCTATTTTTCCCTCTGCTTTCAATGTCTGCTACTCCCGGTCGGCTACAGGCAACGCTCCGCGCGACGGCGTTCCAGACGACAAGGATTGGCACATCCTGTCCGAGGTGCTCAAAGTCGTCCTTCTCCGTCCCCTCATCGGGCTCTTCCTCATCTACGACCGTAACGAGCTCCCCAGCGTTACCTGGCTGGTGCCTGTCAAGGTGCGTTCGCTTGCAACAACACCTGGATTCACTGTCCCGCGCTGACCCTGGATGATCTCGTTCACGACTGCAGCTCTTCCTCTGGTCGATCACCCTCGATTTTTGGTTCTATTGGTACCACAGGGCGATGCACGAGGTCCCTGCGCTGTGGAAGTACCACAAGAGTGAGTCGAAACTGCCAAATGGCACTGTGAGCCCTGTTCCTTGTCTTTGCCAATGCTGATGATGACGATGATTATCTCTCTTGGATGATCACGCATTCATTAAGCCCACCACATGACGAAGCACCCTTCCTCGCTGCTCTCCGCGTTCGCAGACACGGAGCAAGAGATTTTCGATGCGTACATCGTGCCCTTTCTCACGTATCTCGTCATGCTCAATCTCGGCCCGCTCAGTGTGACGTACGCCGAGGCATTTATCTGCATACAATACGTCATTACTGCTGAGAGCGGCGGCCATTCTGGCGCCAGAATCTGTGAGTCCGCTGCTGCACGCGTCGCTTGCTTCTACCGCACGCGCAGACACTGACCTCTCATTTTCGGTGTCGCGTGCAGACGCCTCGTCACCGTGCAACAGCATCATCCTGCGCCCGCTCGGCATGGAGCTCGACCTGGAGGACCACGACCTACACCACCGCCATGGATGGAAGCACTATGGCGGCAACTACGGCAAGCAGACGCGCCTCTGGGACGTCATCTTTGGCACCAGCAAGCCGCGCATCGAGACGGTCGACAAGAACATCGATTGGAGCTGGAAGGTCAGCTTGCCGTGAGACAGATGAAGAACAAGAGGTGCCAGCGTCGGTCGTTGCTATTAATTGAAGAAGGCCGATGGAGAAATGATCCCCTCGTGGCACGCACGCCTCGACCCTCTTCCAGTCATGTATATGTCCGAGTACATTCCCGGATAGTTTATCAGAATCGAACAGCTTCTTTGCTTCGATGTACAACCCATTGAGTGTGTGTTGTGCGCGGGACCGGGCGAGTAGAGTGCAGCTGGTGTTAGCGCAAAATGATGCCTGTGCTTGGAATATCCAAGGAGAGTAACTGCCTGCCAAATGCAAAAGTGGATCTGGTGCACAAAGTAGAACACCTACTTGCCTCCCGCTCGCACTTTGCATTTTGGCGCGGGAAACTGAACGTTGTGATGCGCCCGCGCTCGCACTTCTTGTCGCTGGACTTCCCGCCCGCTGTTTCCGACGAGTGATTAATAGATATCGTCACCGAGGGTACGAATGACGATACGATCACAGAAGGCGCTCATCTTGGTCAGGCCGGCCGAAGGTTAGAGTGCGCACGTCTTGAGCGTGCAACAGATGCAATCTCACAACTCAGCAGGCCTGAACTGACGATGGCGTTCGCTCAGGCTGCGCGCCTCGGCCCGCTGGTCGAGGCATTCGATGCGCTGCAGGACAAGCGTCACCCTGCCCGCTGCGCAGAGTCCAGGCAATATGGCAACGGCGGGTTCTCTTCCGTTGTTGCCAAGCTGGCTGCCGCGCAGACAGCCCAGCAGACGACCCGCAGATCACTAGCCGGTGCGCACTTGCAGGGTTCTCGAACGACGCATCAGCCTCTCAAGCTCCAGTTCGTCGCACCGCCCACAGACGCTGGCTCAGGTGCTTCCAGTCCGCCCTCTTCGCAGCAGCTGGTCCATGGCTTGCGTCAGCTTCTCGACTTGGGCAGCTCCCCCCGCTCGCTGAACATCGATTACAACGCGCTTTACAGGCAATGCGAGCTGGTTGCTTCGTACAGTCTGCGCACGTCGGATGACGAGCCGCTGCAGTCGCTCTACGAAGCAGTCAAGGTGGAGATCGAAAAGAGCTTGACGGCATTGACAAAGCAGCTGCGCTCGGACCTCCCGCCTCCCTCGTCTGACGTCAGTGCGACGGCTGTGGAACAGGCTTTGCAAAATGAACAGGCTTGGCTCGACACCTTCGCGAAGTCGTGGACCACCTGGAAAGAGCGCACGCATCTCGTCGCCAACATTCTCTTGCCGCTCGATCGTGCCGCCTTCCGGCACGCAGCTCGGCTACCTGCAAAGCGTAGTGCCTTCGGAGCTGACGAGGATGCGGCCGAGGGTGAGGATGTCCAGCTACGCTTCCAGATCAAAGAACTCGCCATCGACAGCTTTGCATACCAGGTCATGCGGGATCCGACGCTCTGCGCTGCCATCCTGCCCTTCACGACGCGGGCGGTCGACACTTTCTGCCGCATCCCGCAAGTTGAGGCGCCAGCGCTGGTATCATCGAGTGCGGGTAAGCAGCCCCTCCCGCCGCGCTCGATCGAAGCGTCTGCTTTCCAGCAGCTATATGCCGAGTCGATCCTTAAGCTCTTCTGCGAGACGCAATCGTACGACGCGCTCAAGAATGCAGTACACGCCGCAACTGAAGCGTACTACGCTCGCCTCGCTCCGCTCAAGCTCATTGCCAGCAAAAGTGCGGGCCAGGACGCGTACGCAGCTCTATATGCGCACTGGATGGCGAGCGTCGTGGAACACGAGACTGTGCTGAGCGGGTGGCTCTACGACAATGAAATTTACGCAGGAAAAGCCATGTCGATCGTCTACAACCGAGTCGCTAACGACCACGCGGAGGAGCTCAGCACAGGTGGGCGTGAAAGTCGTTCTTATGCCGGCACCATGTTTGACCTTTCCCTTTCATTTTCCCTTCTGTTCAGGCATATCAAGTGTGTTTGACGCTGCCGGTATCGCCACTCTTTCGCATCTTTACTCCATCTTCCACGTTGCTTCCAGCCACCACAAAGCCCAGGCGAGCGACAGCAAAGATGCAGCAGCAACACCGCTTGCGCGCTTGCGCACTGCCTTCGGCGCGTACATCCGTGGCAAAGTAGAGGCGGTCGTCAACGACAAGAGCAAGGATGACGAGATGGTTGACCGGCTGCTGGCGCTGAAGCGCAATCTCGACGCGATCGTCGCAGATGCTTTCCACGCCGACAACGACTTTTCCGCGAGCATGCGCGATGCGTTTGCATGGGGTGTCAATCGACGCGATAATAAACCGCCAGAGCTGATCGCCAAGCACGTCGACGTCCTCCTGCGCAGCGGCAACAAGACCATGTCGGATACCGAGCTAGAGACGGCGCTGAACAAAGCCCTCGTCCTCTTCCGCTTCACTAAGGACAAGGACATGTTCGAGGAATTCTACACGCGACACTTTGCCAAGCGCCTGCTGCTGAACAAGTCGGCCAGCTCTGACGCGGAGATGAGCATGCTACTCAAGCTCAAGGAGGAGTGTGGACCGGACTTCACGCGCAAGCTCGAGACGATGCTGAAGGACGTCGCGCTATCGGACGATATCATGAAGGCGTGGGAGAGGTTCGAGGCCAAGGCGCGTGGCAGTGGCGAGCTGCCCTATCAATTTGACATGTCTGTCAACGTTCTCACCCAAGCACACTGGCCGACGTACCCACAGCATGAGATCATCCTGCCGACAGACATGGCCCAAGCGACAGAGACGTTCAACGTCTTTTACCAGGGTCGCAACTCGGGGCGCAAACTGCAATGGCAGCATTCGCTCGGTAACAACACTATCATCGCTGAGTTCCCTAAGGCGGGTCAAAAGGAGTTGCTCGTCTCGACGTATCAAGCTGTCATTCTCACCCTCTTCAACGGCATCGAGTCTGGCAAGCAGTTGCCGTACAAGGACATCGCCGCGCAGACAGGTCTCGAGGCAGTCGAACTGAAGCGCAGCCTGCAGTCGCTCGCCTGCGGACCGATCCCAACACGCGTCCTGCGAAAATCCCCACAAGGCAGAGACGTGAACGACGGCGACACGTTCTCAGTCAACGACAAAATCAAGAACGATCGGCTGCGCATCCGCATCAACCAGGTCCAGATGGCTCAGACGCAGGAGGAGCAGAAGGACACCGAGCAGCGTGTGCTGATCGACCGCGAGCTCGTGCTGCAAGCCGCGGCGGTGCGAGTCCTCAAGGCAAAGAGGGAGATCAAGCACTCAGATCTAATGACCGAGGTGGTGGAGCAGATCAAGGGTCGGTTCGGCGTTGAGGCGTCCGAGCTCAAGAAGACTTTCGAATCGCTGCTCGAAAAGGATTACATGGAGCGCGTTGAGGGCCAGCGAGGCGTATACCGCTACGTCGCATGAAACATCTCGCTTCCCATCATGGGCGCGTCCTTCAACAGCGACCAGGAGAGACTCGTAATATGCAAGTGGAATACGGCAACAGCACACTGAAATTACATCCGCTGGACCGTTAAGTCTATCAATCTAGCACACCACGCTCCATCCCTTGTGTTCAATTGCGCCGGTCTGTCTTCCGATGAGCTCACGGAGCAGCGTCCACGCAATGTCCCCGAACCCGTTCTTGCCGACGGGGATGCTGTAGTCCTTCCCTTCAAACCCGATGCGGTCGACCGGCGCGATGATCGCTGCTGTCCCCGCGCCGAACGCCTCAACGATCGAGCCAGTGCGCGAAGCCTCAATCACTTCGTGCATAAACACTTTGCGCTCCGAGACGAGCAGCTTGTCAGCTGGTGGCAGCCCTGTGATCGTCAGCTGCCCTGTGATATGCATGCGCAGGAGCGTCAGGATCGAATCACGAGTCACGCCCGGCAGGATGTAGCCGTCGTCGAGTGGGGCGGTGGCGATCTCGATGACTGGCAGGGTGGGAGTCAAATGTCAGTCATTCGAGTCGCGCTCGTCTCCAATAGTGGGAATTCTGGTGGCAATACTCACCACCGTCAGGTTTGCGGAAAACGAGCAAAAAGTTCATCGCACCGACCTCGGTAAGCTCCAGCTTGTCACCGAAGAGCCAGAGCACCTGTTGGTAGCCCTGCTTGGCTGCTTCCGCCGCTGGAACGGTTGCAGGCTATTTGACAGAAGAGTATCAGCGTTATTTGATCTATGAGACAATATCGGGCAAAGGATGACGAAGGCATCCACTCACAGCGTAGTTGGCGGCGAGCTTGTAGCTGCCTGTTCCCCCAGTCCATGCTCGTACGACATCTGCACGTGCAAACAAAGAGACGGCTGCGACGATTCGGAATGATGCACACGGGAAAGATATGCGTCAGCATCAGCACTTCTCGCCATTGATGCTGGAGACAAAACATGAGACGTATAACTCACGCTTGAAGTCCGCAGAAAAGTACGGGCCGCTGGGGCTGCAGATGCAGAAGAGTCTCGCATCGCGGGGCGGAGCCATGCCTATCGCGGGTGTGGTCTACAAAAGGAAGCACGGAAGCATTTTTGGTGTCAGCAACCGTGCACGTGCCAGCGAAAGCCAGGAGAAATAGAACGCACCCCGATGAGTGTTGGTCGGAGGTACAGCGTTTGTCCCTCGCTGGCGGGCACGTAATCGGCGTCGAGACGGACGAGCGCCTTGAGCAGCTTGATCATCTCATCCGCGTCAAAGGTCGGCAAGCCGGCCCTCGCTGCACTGCGGTTCATTCGAGCCATGTTCATGTCAGGGCGGAAGAGCAGAATGTCCTGCTGCTCTTGCGAGTTGTCCTCCTGGTGCGCGGAGCGGTAGGCCTTCATACCCTCGAAGAGGCCCGAAGCATAGTGGAACGCAGGCGCGGCGGGAGAGATGCTCATCTCGCCATACGGCATGATCTTTGGATCTGCCCAGCCCTCGGAGGCGGTCCAGTCAACGACAAGCATGTGCGGCGAGAAGCGGTGGCCGAAGACCATGTTCTCAAAGTTGGGCGGCGATGGGTTGGGATGACGGGTGATCGTCAGCCTGCTTGCGTCGAGCGGCCGTGGTTGGTCTTGATGGCCACTGCTGTTGCCATTGACATGCCCGTTCGTCGTTGCAGCAGGAGGAGGCACCGCAGGAAGATCGCCGTTGCAATGAGTCGCAGCGGCCGCTCCACCGGCCTCCAGCAAGGCGCCCGTGCCGCTGGCGATGGTCATGACGCTGCTGCAACTTGTGGGGTGGTGTCCTGGCGTGTGTGCCCGCGGTTGCTTCGATGTGATGCAGCAGCTGCTGCAGCAGAAAGAATAGCTTTTGTCGGCGCGGTGCAATGCAATCTGATGCCAAAGCCAGCGAGCACCACCTCTTTGAAGATATGGTGAATATGATCCCTTTGCATTGGTTATCTATGCGAGTTGTTAAATATAATTGCGTTTTGGGGTGACCCGAGTCATACCCGCTGGCACTGCTGCAGTGCCTCCAAAGCTTTCCCAAGGGAAAACAAAAAAAAAGATTCGTGAGCATTCTCATTGCTGCCGTGGCACATTCGGCCGAGAGTCCCTCGCCGATAATTGCCGCACCTTCCCGTCCACACAAGCGAAAGGGAGTCCCTCGTGGTCGAACTGATGCAGGGTTTCACATGCTGTTCATTACATGCATGCTAATCCCCATGTAGATGCAACTGGAGTGAGTTGCTCAGTCCTTCGATGGAGAATGTTATGGTCCCTCCGAAGTGCAGATGGTTGGGAGTAATTGGGATGCGCTGAATTGGCGAGTGGGCCCCAATTTCGTTCGGCCACTTTCCGGCACCCAATCATGTAGTTGAGGAAGCCGGCAAATCTGTATGTGTTAAGTACAGCCATCGTACGCCATACGCGTGGCGGCATGTGCGAGGACATCGGTACTTCCATTTCCGCATTCATCGACATCATCAGCATCAGGATGTTGAACTTAATACATGTGACCTAGTCTCTTCCGAATACAGACTTCATTGGACGCACTCCGAAGCTGAAGATGAAACGACCGATTCGGGTTGACGTCTCGTACGTTTTAGCGTGCTTCGAGTTGTAGCCTGCACCGCCATGGCGTTGGCGACGAAAGCACCTAATTTGCGATGATCTATGGGGCATATGCTGCTGTCGTTGTTGTCCACTGGCATCAACCCGTCGACAACAAGCGCCCCAGAAGTCGTCGCGAACTAGGATCTTCTCGTTGGAATTCAGATTTCAAAGAAGCTTGGTATTAACTCAGGTCGTGCTACGATTACGTGGCGTCAATTGGCGTCAATTGCTTCATCCTCGAGCATCATCTCTTGACCTCGGCGCACAGGGCAGGCTGAAGGACACTGAACTTGTAATTGCATATAAAATGCATACGCTGCACGAAAAACCAACCTGATCCAGTGTTCAGCCACCACCCAGTTTGTACCGACGGCTTCTCTGGCGCGGCGCCTATTCTGCATCTTGTTCTTCGTAGGCCACATTCGAGGGGCTATGTACCGCCCCCTTATACGTCGAGCTGGTTCAGCTGGTATTTATACGGTGGCGACTGAGCGTAGTTGTCAGAAACGTCTTGTAGATCTGGCATGATACGCCAGAATCTTTGTTCTCCCAGGTCAAAGCAGAATCAGCTGCGAGTACAAGACCAGCGTTCCAGCGCTCATGGATTCATGGTTTGACATCTGAAGATTATGCACTATGCGGTGCAGCTACCTTGTTGCAACCGCTCTACTTCCATGGGGGCAGAAAGCCAGAGAGGGACTACAGATTTGTAACATTGACATTGTAACACCCGGTGTCGCCGTCGGTTTGTCACGAACGCGGGTCTCTATTGAATGGGATAAAATAAAAATCGTTGCCTCGACCAATCCGACGAAAGCTGGTCGTCCATCCCAGCGAGCAAGCAAGCGGATCTTTCTCGCATACGTCTTGCAACGCGCCCTAACATAGGGAAGCTTCGGTTGAATGCAGGCCATTCCCTCAGCGAGCATGGTCATCAATCCTTCCACCCTCCTGTCTTGCTTCTTGCCACTGCAACGTGCTCGTGGTGGGCTTGAAAGCTTGTTGTCACTCTCAATCTCCTCATCTCAAGGTGTCAATTCCTCACGAGAGGCTTAGCGGTACGGGAGCCACTTCCTATTCGTTTGCGTTTCACATGCGAGGGTCAAAGCAGGATGCTGAGCTGCCGTGCTTCCAACGACCAGCGATTGATGCGTGTGCGCGCCCTGTTTGAATCTCATTCCATTCATTTGCTTGCAGAGAAAGACTGATCAATCAACAAACAAAGGAGTTCCCGCACACAGTGTGCGTTGAATCGTTTGCGGCCAGCTCATCTACCCATGTCAGATGTGTCGTCACACATCCAGCTTTATCGGAATGCTTTCCATGGGAACGGAAGCCAAAGTACACGGTGAAAGTCACACATCAGATGCAGCGACTACAGTTGGAAATATATTACGTAACCAGAGGGCGGGGGTCAGAGTGGTGCAGTGCCCATGTCGCGCCTGCTGAATGGAGCCTCTCGATCGACTCAGGGGTCATCCAGTCCAAGTCCAGCTAGCATGCAAGCGGTTACCATAAGCTGAATGGCCATCCGCTTGTAACAACTGCCTCGTATGTCAGGTGCGCGCTCCCCTTAAAATGCCACCACATCCGCTCGCACCTCACACACCTTCCCCCGCATAAATACATAGACCAGCCGTTGGTGTAAGGTGCGAGCCCCGGACATAAGAAGGGACGCAACGATCGCCGCAGGAGAGGCTGGGGAGAGACCGACTCTCAATGTTGCCTCGCCTCACCTGCCCTGCTCCTCTCCTATTGCGATATCAGCTTGCCCCTCCCCTCCAAAAGGACCACGACCAGCACCGGGCGCATAGGTCTGCTCATCTGCTGGTCACCGCAGCGTTTGCCTGACACTCAGCTCGTCGGGCGGTCACTCACGTCTTAACGATCCATCCACGACGACGCTCTAGTTCCGACAGAGAGGAGTGCGTGGTCGCACATATCAACCTGCACAGTTGCTTGTGCTTCAAACTCGCCTTCTATCCTTAGCCTTGGCATCCGCACTGACGTACAGCTTGATAGACACACGACAGGCTCATCAAACACGACGCTGGCCTCCAACCGGTGGCTTTCGCTTTCCGACGCTCCATCTCCCCTCTCGTTTCCCCGCATCGTCATCGTCTCTCACACGACATCCGATACGACGCATCAGCATGCTATGATAGCTTTTGGCTCGCAAATCACGCTCGGAAGTCTCACACCCACACGCGAGCGCACGCAAACATTATCCTTTGAGAGCGTCCTCTGTGCGCAGCAGCATTACACTATCGAGCACCCGGCCTTGAGTGACGCACGGACAACAGAGAGACCGCCACAGCCACAGGAGAGGAGACACAGAGGGAGGAGTAACCAGTCATGGATCGCTTCGACGTCATCTCGTTCTCGGACTTGACCGGCCCCGACGGGAGCGACAAGTGGGTCAAGATCGGTGGCGGCTCTTTTGGCGTCGTCTTCAAGGGCGAGTACCTAGGTACACAGGTAGCAATCAAGGAGGTCCTGCCGAATAACACGTACGATGTCGAAAAGTACTTTGAGCGCGAGTGTGTGCTGATGAAGTGAGTTGAAAGCGTAGACGGGCGGCCGGTCTACTGTCGATCGGCCGTCACACCATTTCGGATGGTTTGCGAAAAACATGCTTTCTTACATTCGCTGCGCTGTTCTACAGGGAAGCGCGACATCCGAACATTGTACAGTACATTGGCCTCACCAAGTCACCAGAGCCTGATGGCCGTATCTACATCATCTCCGAATTCGTCGGCGGCAACCTGCGAAGCTTCATCGCTGATGTGAGTTGCGCTTCTGGCCGCGGATCCTGCTGGCTTTGCACGCTATGAAATCGAGCGCTTACAGTCTTTATCTCCTGGAATATTCGTACGCTTTCACAGACACGAAAAGCGTTCCCGTGGCGCCTGCGCCTTTCCTTCGCGACGGATATTGCGCGCGCGCTTGCGTATCTGCACGCGAGGAACTGCATGCATCGCGACCTCAAGGGCGAGAACCTGCTGATCACTGCCAATGACCGCATCAAAGTCTGTGACTTTGGCTTTGCGCGCATTGCCGCGCGCAATGAGGAAGAGATGCGGCGGATCAGCGTGAGTGTTTCTGCGAGTGACCACGGCGGCTATCGCCAGAGCCCTGGATGCTGACAACTGCCTTTTCCTTCCATGCTCAGTACTGCGGCACAGACGGCTACATGTCGCCTGAGATTCTGATGGGCATCGACTTTTCGCTCCCCTCGGATATTTTCTCGCTCGGCATCATCTTCTGCGAGATCCTCTCGCGGCACCTCGTCGACGCCAACACATTCAAGCGTGAGATGCCCTCGTTCGGCGTTAACGCCGATGAGGTGTACGACTTGGCGTCTGACGGTTGTCCGCCCGAGTTCATCCAGCTCGCGCTCGACTGCGTCGACGAGGACCCCGCGCGCCGACCCGGCATGCGCGAGGTCGTGCGGCGTCTGCGCCTCATCGAGAGCGATGTCGTCCGTCGCGAGATGGAGCAGGCTCAGAAGGCGGGCGAGGCAGCGCTGGCGTATGCCGTCGGAAGCATACGCGGCAGCTCGCTGCATGCCGTCATGGGCTCCAAGGCCGGCGGAAAGCAGCGCAAGGGCGCAGCAGCAGCAGGCGGTAAGGGTGGCAAGGCTGATCGGCATGGGCTCTCGCCCAAGATGCCGAGCTTTAGCGGACAGGTGGACGTCAAGGCAAGCAATGCGGCAGTCGCAGCAGCGAAGGAGAAGCACCTGCGGCGCACACCGTCGGAAGACAGCACCAGCTCGGATGACATGAATGAGGCTATTGCCGCGCTAGAGCAGATTGGCATCGATACCAAAGACCCTGTGAGCGGCGAGCACGTCCCGCTCAACCTGGCAGCGGGCAGCAAGGTCTCGTTAACGCTGCGCAGAGGCGGCAAGATCAGCATTGTCGATACCATTAAGGCCGGCTCGACGTTCAAGGTCTCCGGCCATGGCAACCCGTGGTGGAGCGACGACGAACGCGAATCGCTGCCCAGCATCAACGCCAGCTGGATTAAAGGCAAGGGTGTAGCGCCAGCGTCTGTAGGTGCTGGAGAGAGCAGCAGCATCATCAACATCGACGCAACTCCACCAGCGCGATTGTCCTCCATTCTTACCGTCAAGGGCGGCGACAAAGACGCTGATTACAGCACCTCTGTCATTCGCTCCAGCAAGGTTTCCCATACACATGCACCGCTTGCATCCGCCATGAGCGTTCTTACGGCCAGACAGCAAGGTGAAAGTGGCAAAGTAGCGCGAGCCGCAGGAGGCGGCACCGATGCCAGCGACGAGATTGGAGCAGGGTCGGCTCTAACCGTCCGCAAGGGATTGCAACGACCGCGTCGCGATGCAGATGGTAACGTCGTCGGAGGCGGTGCTAGCAGCAGCAATTTCCTCGGCCAGCTCGATGAAACCACGCCACAGGGTTCGTTCATGACAGCCCGCACGCCGTCGCTCGCTAACGCTACGATCGCCTCTTCCATCCGCGCCGCCCGCGTCCATGCCGATGACGGTGTTGGTGCAGCCGCAGAGGGCACTAGCTTGAACAGCAGAGATGCAGCACCCACGCCGGCCCCGCTTCCTCACCGCTTCACGCTCGTCAAGAACGGCATGAAGCGGCCCAGCAACCTCACTGCTGCCGCGACAGCCGCCGCGAGCGGAATTGCCGGCTCTGCATTCGGCAGCCTTCTCCCGCCGGCCATCATGCTGACCAACGCCTTGGCCAAATGCTGGGTGTGTGGCAAGCGTATTGGCTGGAAGCCTTTCCTCGACTGCGACGACTGCCCGTACAAGACGCACGTTGCCTGCGGCGAGCTCGCCGAGGCGAACTGCGAGGAGATCTGCTACCCGCCCCCGCGCTCAGGCAGCAGCACGCCCGTCGTCTCCGCCGAACAGGTCGCTGCGCGCAGGCTCTCGCGAAGCAAGTCGCCTGACCAGATGTCTGTTTCGGCAGCCGCTGCAGCGCTGCGTGCGCAGATGGCCAACTCGGATTTGGCAGAGGCACAAGCACAAGCCGCCAGTGCTGGTGGGGCGAAGGAGAAGAGCGGCGGAGGATTGAAGCTGAAGCTCAAGAGGAACAGCACAAGCCAGCCGCTGCCACCATCCGGACCCGCGATCCTGCAGGCGCCAGCGGCGAACAAGAAAGGCATTCGCACATAGTGCCCACTCTAGGCACATCATACCTCTCCCGGTGCTGAGTACCCCCACGCATGCATGGAACGCGCAAACCAATCATCCAAATGCACTCAGTGCATGCTTTCTCGCCAGACGGACCAATTTCGACTTCGCGCTGCCCCATATGCAGCCTTCTTTTACATATCCTTTTGGCTCCGTTCGTCACCCCCACAAGCAAGTTGGCTCTTTGCACGCATCAAGACAGGACGTTTCCTCTCCTCTTCAAATCAAGCTGCTGCTCACCTCCTAACGCCACGCAAGAATCAGCATTATCTACCGCTTCCCCAGAGTCACTTCTTCTCCTCACGGTCCCTTTTCCAAGCCATCTCAAAGATCATTCGGTGCATTTGCTCGAACACGCCCGCACAGCGCGTACGGAACGACAGGAGGGCCCCGTAGTTGTCGGCACGCCTAGCATACACATTTTCTGAACTGCATTTAACGACCTGTTATGACCACGAACGAATTTTAATGACAGTCTCTCGATGAAGACCAATGCCGCATCCTAGTGCAATCGCATGAATGTGTGCTGAACAGAACGTCGGAGCATTGTTAGCTGCCCTGCGGCTCCGTGAGGCGAGGCACGTTCGAGCATGTTGGTCTAAGCACATTGAGGTTCGAAATACGTTTTATGTAACAAACGCAACATCAACGCTGGCGGACCGTCGGCAAACATATTTACACAGGCCTAATTCAGGCTTCTACAGCTCCAAACACCGCCGTGATGTCCACAAAAGTTATTCAATATTTACCGGAAGAGGGGTCGACTCGTGCAACGTACCGGCACGGTAAAAGCATAATCAGCGGCAAATTGGCCCTTTCGAGTCGGCGCGAAGGCGCAAAGTGCGGAGTGCTATCTAGGGTTTCTTGGTAACCCCTGTCTCGTGACGGTCAGCTTACACGCAGCAACCCTCACTTCGCATGACCTGAGCGCTCTCAACGCAGTGCAACATTCCATTCTTCTACCCTACCTTGAGAATGCAGAAGTGATTTACATGGATCGCAACCATGAGAATTTTCATTGCAATGTACCTTCCCTTATTCTAGATGAGCCTAATAGCCTAGAGCCTGTTGTAAAATACAGCATATCCACAAGGGTTGGCAATTGGTACCGTTGAATGTAGGCTGAACTCCAATAAGAACATTCTATATAATCCTGAGAGCACAGAGTGTGTCACTCTGACGCCTGATCACCTGCTATACAATGCTACGATCCCTCCTTCTACAGCACATGAGAGTGAAGTGGTGTCTTTGTCTGGCAGGCTGATGTGCTACATTTCCTTCTACATGAATCTGAGAGCGTAGGTGTCCTTGCCTAGTGGGCTGATGTCCACATCTGGAAATTTCTGCGAACTATTGCCACAAGCTTTTGTTCTGCATGAGCCTGAGCATTTGCAATACACACACCCATTGCCTTCTATATGACCGTGGGCGTGTTGCAGAAAATTTACAACTGTCACTTTGGAGCGTCGGTTGAGATCCAATGCCTTCTCCTTGGGACCCGAGAACGGAGAGATGGGGTTGTGAACCCGAGGCTGAGATTCTTGCATGTGCTTTCGAGCAATTTTAGAAATTCAGAATGTACTTGCGTCGATTATTACCAGTGCAAATTCATGGAAATGCGAGGTCCCCCTCCATACATTCTCGTAAAGCCATGGGCTGAGCGTTGAGCGTTAAGCTGTAAAGTATCGGCAGAGCGCACGCTGGAATTGCGAGCACAGGCAGGGTTAATTCGAGGCCGCAAATGGCGAATTCTTGCTGCCTGATAGAGTATTTTCCAGGAAACTTTTTAGGTGCTTTGTCAAGATGCATGCTAGAGAGAACATCAAAGCTGTTCATAGTAACCGTTGAGTGCCACCTGGTTGTTAACCGTAATAAATGGAGTCCGAGCACGTCGAGCGGCATCATCTATAGCTGCTGTAACTAGTAAAATAGGAAAAAGACAACGTTGGCAATGGTAAAACGGTGGAGAGGAATCGAGCTGGTATGCGAAAGAAGATTGAGGCGCAGAAAACAAGGGTGCTATAACCCCCAGACCACGAAAGGAGCGATATCCTTGACTCTAACGCTCTCAACTTAGGTTGCAGCGGCTGAGGCAGAGATAAGGCACTATACTGATGTACAAGCGAGACGAAGACGAGCATGCACCAAGGATAGGATAAACAGAGAATTGTGGAAGTATATGCATTGCTGATTGTGTATTGTGATGATTGACTGGCTGATGACCGATGACTGGCTATGACTGACTGACCAGTGGAGAGTGGAACGTAATTGAACCCGTTTTCGGCGCAGGTGGCATGGTTGCTCGACTCCAGGTGAACATACTGCTGTCTAGTGCGTGTATACGAATAGCCTTCGTATTCACTTATGATTTCAATGATCAGGTCTGCCTTCGACCAAACGCCGGCCAAAATAAGGGCGGAACACCACAGTAAACACACCCAAAAGCACTGATGAAGAACGTTATGATGAATTGATGATGTAATTGACTGATGAATGCTTCACGGTGCTGTTTCTGGGTTTGCCAGGGCGGTTGTACTTTGGCTTCATCGCCCGTTCGCCCCCGCCGACTCCATCAAGTTCCTCATGGGACAGCTTCCGGCGTCTGGCGCCTGATTCTTGTTATTTTTCAAGAACTCCTCATGGCTGAACGACTACCGCTTGCCTGCAAAGCTGTTCTACTTCACCTGCTCGGCGGACTTGTAATGCATACCCTTGCATCTTTTATCACGTTCTTGTGGTTTATCGTGTACATCTGATCATTTGTTCGACTGCGTACTTGGCCGCAACCGCTCATCGCGTCACCAGTCACTCCGGTGGAATGAAGCCTTGCTCGCGCGAATGGTGACACTCACGGACAGAACGGCAGGTTATCAAGTGTCTCCATTTATTCCACCTCCAAGGAGGACAGGGCGAGGGTTACACTTCGTAGGTAGGCCGGCGAGTTAATGCGTGGCTCAACTTGGACTCGCAGCTTCCTGCTTAGTATCAAGGGTTAACCGGACGCTTCTCTCACAAATCATGAAAGAGTGTGTCATGTGCCACGTCTGTGTCATGTGGGGTCAGCCGTGCACTGCGAGTAGATCGGCCTCTCCATGAGCAGCAGAACGCGCGCGAACCGCTGACCAGAAGGACTCGCAACCGTGTCGGCGAGGCATGTGTGCAGCCAAAGCGTACACGCGAGGCAGCGACTGTCGAGTGGAGGGATGCCGTGACACGCCTGACGCGTTGCGCAAAGACGTTCACCAATAAGCGCTCGCAGCCACACATGGAATAGCGCCCAGATATCGGCAAATAGCACATGTGATTCGCGATGCCCGAGCGGTGCAGTCGGTTTCCCACTGGATCAAAGCCGTTGCACGCCTGGCGTGAGACTTTGACATCGCAGAGGGGCACACACACAATGCACCACTTCATGCAAGCACTGCTTCTGGCTGCTGCCTCTCTTGTGCTCGTTCCCGAACGGGTGCAGGCTCTTGTTGCTGCGACTCTTGCTGTATAAGCTTGGTCTTTGGGGCACTTGGCAACTTTATGATCTGCAAAGTATGTCAGAGTGCAGAGTAAGGGAGGAGTCACGACGAAGTGGTTTAAAATGCTCTGGAAGACGTACCAGGACGGCATCCTCGTCGCCTTCCTCCTGCAGCATCAGTGCTTGTTGCTCTTTCTCAATCTCCTCAAGCTCCTTCATAACTGCTTCTTCCTCTTCGGCCGTCATTTGAGAGGAGAGCATTTCGTCGATTTCCTGCATCAACGTGTCAAGAGGGAAGGTGACCGGGTTAGCTACAAGGAACACAGTCCAGCAGCAGAAAGCGACCTAGCAGACAGGAGCGTACGCACTCTTTGGGCGGCCTGCGCCTCAGCAGTTTCCTCCATGAGCTTCTCGACGGATTCAATCTTCATGACTCTATGTATGTCCTTCAGGACCTCATTGCCTTGCTTGAGGCCGTGCAAGACGGCTTGCTCGATCTGGGCGAACTCGATTGTCGAGACCTGGCGAGATGGCACGCGGTGGGGGTCATAACCATGGTCAGTGAGGTTTCCAGCACGCGAAAATTGGCGAAGCAGATGGTTCGCCTTCGAGAACGCACTAGGCCCTCAAGCGTCTCAAGCTGGCCATCTGTCTTGCTCAGAAGCGACTCTTGATACTTTCGGCGCCGCAGCGCCGTTCGTGCCTTATCCCGGTCACCTCGAGCGAGAGCTTCCTTGGCCAAAGCATTTTCGCGCTCGGTACCTATGGACAGCTTTCTCATTTGAAACGCAGAAATTAGATCGGTAACCCAGGAAATAATTCCTTGAAGTCAGTCCTGGACGAGCATGCCGCGCAAGATAATTGGACCATTCACCTTCTTCTGATATTGCTTGATTTTGTCGCGTTGAAGCTTCAGGCTAAAGCGGGAGGCGACACAGATGACAGTCAGCTCACTTTGTTTATTCCTCCTCACCTCTTCAGAAAATACAATACCCACTCCAGAATGGCACGATCTTGCGCCGTGATTTTAGGCCCCTTAGAGCCTTGCTGACCCATGGCTCGGGTGGACCCCGCTCGTGATCGGCGATCAAGGGGAGCGCCTGGACACGTTGACTAGCCCACTTCAATCGCACGTTTGTCCAGGTGAACCTTCAAAGCGTTCCCTTCCTCGATGTTTGCTATTCAGGAACTACCCCTGTTAAAACTCTTGTACGAAGCACATATGCGGCTTGCTTTGGTCACGCGGTGAGGATGAGCAAAACAGCATCTTGCCATTGGCCGATTGACGCGGTCAAATGGCCAGACTGACCTGGCGACTGATGTTGCAGGGAGCCTTGCGGCACCGCCTCGCGTTACATAAGCGATCCGATAGCAAATGAACGGCTGATGCGGATTCCACATCTAATCGCCATTCATCCGTCGCATCAACTCGGTTCTGCGATGATCCATCGTAAAGGTCCTTCGAACACCGGTGCGATGCATAACGCAGACCTGCGGCAACTCGGCTTTCTGCGCTCAGTGGGGAACCTCACAACCCGTCTCGCTTAAAGCTCAATGTGGCGCCTGACTGCGGCGACGGTGAACGAAGGCGTTGAAGTTGGAGACGGTGCTTCCCTGGAGAGGTTCTCGCAGCGGGTTTGCAAGGCGTGCACCTGCTTGAGCGAAGGTTCCAGTTGAGCCTTTATTCGCATCCACAATAGAGTTGCAGCTCAAATAAGACGTTGAAACAAGCCACCCGCGTGAGCACAGGATGTCGACATCACTACCAGCCTCGCAAGTCCTCTCGCAGGCACAGGACGATAGCAGCTCGTATACTCCACTCTACCTCCCACCAGCCGCCTTGATAGAGCTCGAGCAATCGCTAAGGAATGGGTGCGGAGCACAGGTCAGCTCTTCTTCTCTGCAAGGATGTTCCGTGCTGCAAGAGCAGGATTTTGCAGCTTCAATTGAGTCTAGTGCAGTATCTTCTGGCTTGGTGCTGATCAACGTTCCAGACAACATACTCGAGCAAATGAGCACTTTGAACGCTGGTTCGACTGCAACTACGACGGGAGCAGCTCAGCGGAGCAATATCAGCTTGAATTGGTTCCAAAGGGAATTTTGGAGCTACTACATGGATCTAGTGGAAGGCGAAGAACATTCCGCAACAAGAACAGGCGTCGCTCATGACCAGCCAAACCAGGCCTCGGCGCAAGGCACAAGCGCTGCTGCCATTGGCCAGTCACAAAAGCACGTTCTTGGCTCCAGTCTCCCGCTCGCAAGGATCAAAAAAGTGATGAAGAGTGACGAAGCGGTGAAGATGATCAGCACAGAGGCGCCGATGCTCCTGGCGCGAGCGTGTGAAAGTGAGCTTGCACATACTACACTGGGGGATAATGTTGATCATACCAGAGCTCAGTGGAGAAAATTATCAGTCTTCATTGCAGATCTCACGTCCCGTGCGTACACGGTCGCAGAGGAGTCTCGGCGCAAGATGATCACCAAGCAGGACGTTATGGCCGCGACGACGCAAACCGATATGTTCGACTTTCTTCTCGACATACTTCCGCGCAAATCAGCTGCCAACGAAGCCTCACAAGAAACATGGGGCCCAGGGGACGCTCTCGCACGCGAAAGAGGAGACGCCGTCTCCGAAGACGAGCATGACGAAGAGCACACAAGCGTGCTGGCAGCAGAGTACAATTCGCGGCACCCACCTGAGCACCATAGCGATGATCTAGCGCATGACTAGCTGTTTACAGGTCGCAATTGTGCGATGAGGTCTTGAGATGCCTGGTTCCCAACGAGCAAGTATCGCAGCGCTAGGATGGCATGCTCCTTCATGTCTGTGTATTGATGCCGCATTCTGTCAATGCTAGTGACTCACAAACGTCAGACTACCCTCTATCAGCAACTCACAGGGGTTTTCAACGTCCAACACCGTCATGCTCAGCACTGTGTACAGCCCGTCACTTTCGCGCACCCTGTCTTGCACCTCTGTGACGGTCGCCCTTTCGCTCGCGTCAACGGCAGCCGTTCTCGGCGGGAGAAAGACCAGTGACGTGAGGAGACGAAGAAGGTCGCGCTTGAGGTAGCGGAGCCCCTTTCCTTGTACTTCTCTTCCTGCCGAGTCTGACTTGGAGGAAGCCAGAGACTTCGCTTCTCCCGTCTGCGTGGCGATGTGGTTAGGTGGCGGAGCGGCTGCTGCTGAAGTCAAAGGCTGAAAGGGCGAAATGGCTGGACTGAATGAAGTGATTGTCTTGAGCAGAGAGACAATCTGCTCCACTGCAAGAGTCTTTGATGCTCTCAACTCTTTGATGAGTATTCTTCCGACCAACAGCAGCCCTTCACCTTCCGCGGGGGACGCGATCTCTTCATGGACGGCCATCTCCTCCGCTGGAAGGGCCCCCACAGTACCTTGCGTGGGCAATACAAAGGCGAGTATTGCTTGCAAAAGCAGCACAAGGCCTTGGTGGATGGCAATGAGCTCACTCCGCGCTCCCTCCCATGGCTCGCCGTCTTCCATGCTCATAATGCTCAGAGCTTTTCCTGCCAGGAATTGATATTGCTCGAGCAGTACTTGTGCATCGCCCATTGCTCTCGACAGAGGATACTCGTTGGCATGATGGCAGAGGTGTGCATCGAACAACTTGAGGAATGTGACTTGCTCCGTGGTGATCGTGCCGTGGGAAGAGTTCTGCTCAGGCTGGATGTTGGTGTAGATGTCGCCGAAGAGGCCCAACGAAAAGAGATAACTAAAATGAGTGTGTCTGCGAACGGGCCGTTCAATCGCTAGCGCCATCTCAATCAGACCATAGGCACTATACTCACATGATTCGTAGACGCTCCTCGTCTAATTTTCCGTCTTCCTCCTCTGGGTCGTCTTCCCGTTCGATGGACCGGCCAGATATCTGCAAAAGCGCCAAAATGACAGGTTTACAAGCTGACAAGGTAGCTAACTCCGTGCTTCGTTGGAGGAGAAATATCCATTCGAATGAGCTGGGGTTTGGTTCCTCAGCTCGTCAGATCGAACATGGAGGCTCACCATCGTTCTATGCCCGAATCGCCGGTTCGGCAGACATTGAGCAACAACACGCATGCTACTAGTGAAGTAGCTTTGTTTGGTAGTGTCAAAAGATGTCTGGCGTTCAGAGATCCCAAGATGTGCATCAGCAGCACGTACAAAAAGGGACAGGAGCCTGACGGCTGCCCACTCTACCCAGCGGAAGTCGATGTGCGGAGCCGAAGTGTGTTTGGCACGAAGCGCAGACCAGAGAATCTGCTGAGCGGATTCATTGCATGTAATGGAGTTGCAAAGGCATTCGATCATGGATTGACAGACCTTATGATCTGTGACGGATTAAACAGCTTTTGTAAGGACGATCCGAGGCAGTCTCTCGTCAGAGGGCGACAATCACGCACTTTCTGCTTCCAGCTGAAAGGTCCACGTTGCTAGCCTCTGCAACAAGTCTTGCCTCGCCAAGAGAATAGACCTATAGTGAAGGATAATAGAGATTCTTATCAGAGGAGCGGGAACATGTTTCTCATGGCACAGAGAACCCACAGCACCGAGAGCTGACCGTCGCCAATTGCAGCATTCCGCAGAATGCGTAATACGGAAAATCCTATTCGCCCCCAACATTGCCTTCGTTCGTAGGACTGCTCATCTTCTTCAGCCTTGACGTATTGTTCAACAAAGGCGAGAACCCGCGTCGATGGGAAAGCGTCATTGCGGACCTCATCGATCACGCCCGCCCTGCGATCCTTGTCACGGGTGGTCTCCTTTGCCAAAGTTTTGAGCTCGTCCGAATATCCTCTGAGTTCTTCTAGGCACGTGTCGAGAGATATATCACGCAAAATCAGCTGTGAGAAAGACATGGCAATGTCAGGTGCTCTCTGTCGCCGTTCATTGGAAGCTAATTGACAGCTCGAGGGAGGAGGGCAGGGCCGAAAATGGCGCACAATCTTGATTCCTTGCTGGCTAATGAACATACACGAGCTGCCGCTAATTGTTGGCACCCCAAGGCGAGAGAGGAAAGAGGTCACGTTCGCGCAGCGAGATGTGCGCCACTACACTCTGCTGAGCCCAAGCGTCCTTCTTGGACAGCAGATCAAAAGCAGTTGCAGTGTTGCAATGTTGAACGGTCAATGCCAAAGTTGGGTTGCTGGCCAGCTCGTGATACCAAGACGGAAACCTTGATTCTTTTTGCTCTTTTCTTTCTTTTTTCTCTTTCTGGTCTTGATCACGTTCGCTGTTCAATCCAGACGACATCCATTCTCTGGAGTCAGGTCGCAAATCAACAAGGAGCGTAAAGGAAGATGCAATGGCAAGTGGGCGAACAGGTCAAACATCTGATTGTCCATCTGGAATCCACTGTAGTCTACATGTAGTGCGGGCAGATACAAAAGCTGTTGCAGAATGAGCTTGCGTCCCGGTCATGTAAAGGGCTGCCAAGATTCTGTGCTGAGTGCCTCTCACGACGACGATGAACTGCCCTCGCGATCGGGATTGGCGACGAAGAGCTGCGCTTTGGGCGCTAGCCCGTGCACATACTTCACCTTCTCGCGCTGTGTCGCAGTCGGCGGCATCTCTTCTTTCGCGCGCCTCGGGCTCCTGATCGGCGACAACACAGCATTTGGCGAGCGGGAAGGAGACACGAGGGGACTGAACAATTGCTCCACATCGGAAGTGCGGCCAATGTTCTTGCTCTCGATCGCCTGTACACGCTCTTTTACGCTTCCCACCAGCGGGGGATCGGGCTTCTTGACCGAGATGGGGCTCAGCGGAGAAGTGAGAAGCGGATTCGCGCGCGCGCGCTTGGTCGTCGCTGGCGTGATGCTTTCTGCTTCCGATGGCAGTGCCCGAATATCACGCTGCGAATCGGGGGGAGCAACGCTGCACCCTCCGAGGGCAATTTCGCCTGCAGAGGTATCGCCTGTTTCGGCTGGGAGACTGGCAGTGTCCGACACTTCCTCCTGCAAAGCGGCGGGGATATGCGGATTGCGCCATTGGCTTGGATCCCAGATGACCGAGCCAGGTGTGGACTGGTCATCAGACGGGGAAACGACCTGTGAAGAGTCGCAACGGACACTCGCATATCGGCTGAGATACTCGAGGCTGCTCGCTTCGCTCGCTGAGTGCGTGCGAATGCTCTCCGTACGCCCTGCTTCATTGTCACTCGCAGTTCGCACGCGCTGGACAACGTCCATCGAGCGCAGCTGCGCTTCGAGCAGCGAGCTGTTCGCTGTACGCAAGCTAGAGAGGGACTTCATGTGCGAGCGCTTCGACAACCAATTGTTCGCTGCGAGCGAGGTGGACCGACGGATCGGCTGGCCCATCCCATCTAGTCCATCCGAAACGCCTTCCGACCGTCGGAAATGCGAACCTCCATGCACATAAGCGAGTGAATCGCTCTCGCTGGCCCCGCCGCCGACGCGTGGTGATTCAGCGATGATCGACAGCGTTGGTGGCTCTGCTGGGTCGCGAATTGGCTCGGCTGAGCCAGGCCCGTAGAGGGGGCGAGCGGTAGCAGAGCGCTCGAGCATGCTGCCAGTCAACCTGTTCCACCACGTCGGGCTGCGTTTCATGCCACTAGCGACGGAAGGCGAGGCACGCGGGCCACGCACGCGCTTGTTGCCACCCACTCCTGCGCGCGGGGAGTCGGTTGCGTCCGAGAAGGACGGTATTGGGCGCGAGCTGTAGCTGCGACCGCCGGAGCTCGTGGCAGTACCGAGCGTTGGACCAGACGACGGTGTTGACGAGAGAGCGTGCGACTGCGCTGAAATGGCGCCGTGCGTGTCTTCACTGCGCGCGTAGTCTCCGTCTTCGAATGGATCATCGAATGGGGATGTCACATACTGCGCGGCGCATGCACCAGAGTATCGGTCGCTGCCGCCAATTTCGTGGTCGTCAACATCAATGTCGTTCCGGGCTACTCTGCCGTATGAGATCTCCTTGCGGTGTGCACCGGCTGCGTACGCATGTTCGTCCTCATCAAAATCTTCCGCTGCGTTAAAGTTATCTGCACCAGGATAGAACGGTGAGCTCTTGTGCTTGCCCCTAGCTATGCCGCTTCTGCCACCGGGTGGCGGGTAGAGGGCATCGGTACGATCGCTGTATCGCATCTCCGCCATCTCTTCGTCATCTTCATCCTCTTCCGCAAGCATGTCGAACCTCGTCTGACCATGCGCAGCGGCTGCGCCGCCGATCCCGATGCCGGTCAAGAGGGCCAGACGCTTGTGCAGCGCCGGACCAGACCCTTCAATCGCATGGCCGATGTTACCTGCCGCGTTGGAGAAAGCACGCTTGAGACCTGCTCCTCCTGAGCCACCAATGCCAACGTCATGCGCCAAATAGCCCTTCTCCATAGCGTAGCCATTGTCCGCTCCACCGCCGCCTGCGACCGGACCGCCTAGCAGCTCAGCCGCGCCGTCTCCACGCCTCCAGTCCTGATGTTTGTGTGCACGGCGGTAGACAACGTAGCCCGCACCTGCAGCGACGAGGCCGAGTCCGACGAGCGCGCCGACGACGACACCAGCCTTCTGACCTGAGCTCGCCTTGCCGCTTTGGTCCGAATTGGAACCGGGGTTGGAGGAGGGTTTGTGCGTCGGTTTGTGCGTGTTCGTTCCGCCACCAGAGGAGGAAGAGTCATTGTTGTCGCCGGTGCTCGTACCGCCGCTGCCAACGGAGCCGCCATATGAGATGGATGGATCAGGCGTGTAATTCGTCGACCAGCTGCCACCGCTCCAGGCGCCTGCGCCTGTAGTCGCTGAAGAAGACCCAGAGGACACCAAGGCGGTACCGTCAAAGACGTAAACTGCGCTGTCGGCAGCATTGCTGCCGCTCCATCCGAACGCCATGACCACATTTGCGCCGTATGCGATGGCTGTGTGCGCATAGCGCGCTGATGGACCGCCTGTTGCAGTCAGTTGTGACCATGTCGGCTGCGAGCTGGCGCTAGTGAGATCAAGGAGCCAAGCATCGGCATACGCCGCCGTCAGGTCTGCCGATGCGCCGCCGTGCATGAAGATGCGGCCGCCAGGCAGGCTGACAGCGATGTGCGCGCGTCTCGGAGTCGGGAAGCCGGCTGCGGAGCTGTTGGCCGTCGTGACAGACGACCAAGTGCTTTTGCTTGGGTCGAATAGCGCTACGCTCTCAAACGATACAAGGCTGCTCGTCGTACCGCTCGCGTTGCTTCCACCCAGCGCAAGCAGCTGTCCTGCGTATGGCCCGGCGCTCAACATGGTCAGCGTGCCATCAACAACGCCTACGCCTGCGCCTGCATCCGCTGCGTTTACTAGCGGCGGTGTAGAGCCTGCATTACCCTGGGCAAAGCTGCCACCGCTCAGCGCTGACGCGGAGCCCGAGGCGGGATATGAGAAGGTCCACAGTTCATCTAGGTACGTGCCCGATCCGTCCGTCTTTTCGCCTCCGATGATACAGACTTGCGAACCGCCGCTGTTCATAGCCGCGTGGAACCGGCGCCGCTGCGGCTGGTTCCAGCTCGCCGGCGCAGCTGTGAGATTGGCAGTGAGCGAGCTTGCACCTGCAAGCGTGAGAATGTATGCACTGTCATTTCCGCTGGGCAAAGGAGAGCTGGACGGGGTTTCTCCGCCAAAGAGGAGCAGCTCGCTGGCGCCCAGCGGCGTCAGCGAGTGGAAGCTCGTCGCTAGCGATGGAGTGGACGCATTGAGTAACTGCCAGGGAGGACTGGACGTGGACCACGGCTGGCTGACGTCGAGAGTGAGAATTTCAGCCGAATCCGGCGCACTGGTGAATGTGAACCCGCCGCCTGCTGACGTCTTGCCTCCGTGCACCACCAGGTGGCCGCCAAGCAGGGCCGAGGCGGCGCCCCAGCTGTCCGCGTAACATTGTCAGTGGAGGTATAGTGGAAGATAGAGCATGAGCCATGAGCTTAGCAAGGGGAAAATGGAAAAAGTAGAGACCCACCGCTGGGCAGCTGCTGGATCCGCTGCTGTTTGCGCTGCGAAGTTCCCAGTCGCACCAAACAGTGCCACCGCGACCAAAGTTAACGGCATCCTGAGCCGTGACGTGCCGTGTGCTTTCACTCTCCTTGGCCTCCTCCTTTGCTTGCTTCCTTCAAGTTGTTCCAGATTTCTCTGCTCAGTAGAGACAGCAGCTGTAGGCCAGCACACGTCTCTCGAGCGTGAGGCACGCGAGCGAGAGCATGGATGGCCCCGCTGCAGGGAAGCGCGGACGCGGGTGCTGCACTCGCCGGCGTAGATGGGCGTGGCGTTCATGTCCATTTCGTTCGTGAGTGCAGTCATCGATTGCTCGTTTTTATTTCTATCGGGAATTGAAATATCGGATGGATGGCCAGCCAAGGGAACACGCTTGTTGGATACTCGACTGGGAGAGGTGGTCTTCAGGTGGATCCGCTAAAGCCCCTCTTGCCGCTCGCTCCTACGCCCAAGCATCGAACACATAAGCTGCAAGCCGGGAAAATAGTTCGTCACGGGCCCATCAGTGTAACTATGGCCGTGATTCGGTCCATGCTTTCGAGAACATCTCCTCTATCACGCAAGCAGGAATGATCGGATAGTTGTGCAGGGATGGATCGATCATGTACAATTGGTGCCCTTTCCCCATACCCGTATACTATGCACTCCATTTTTGGTATGACAGGGGCAACTTTGAACATCTACACATCTACACCCTCGGAAAAGGCCCGATCGGGACATGGCGCACGGAAGTCGGCACATGTGATCTATAACCCTACTTGGTCCGCACACAGCAAAATTTGCGCCGTGAGACGCGGATGCTCATTGCTCTGCGCACTCACTTAATCTCATCATCGTGGTTGCTGCTGCTTGTTCGAAGACGCGATTGCTGGCTCGGCTCCCTACTACTCTCACCACCTCTTCAATCATCATCTCCCGGGGGCTGCCAGTGGATAACGAGGACCGAAATACGCGACAGTGTTCCATTGAAAATCTAGGGCAAGAAGCGGGCCTCAGTGGCAGACTGCAATAGCGCTCGCGGGGACGTTGTGCGACGTCCTCAACAAAAGGCGCGTATACCGAACGCCACTCACGCCCCTGCAGCAACAACCATCGAACAACCCTCTGTTCCCTGCGCCACGTCCTCTTCGTGCGCTCGCATCTGTACGCCTTATTATTCCTCCCCATTCTCATCGCTGGCAACTTGTCCTTGCGCAGTTGCAGAAGAACAGGGAAGGTGGGACGATAACGCAGCAAGGAAACGAACAGCACCTGTACATTGTCTTCTCGGTTTGTGCGTACATCTCTCGCACCCAATCCTCATTGGTCTGCGACCTCTCGACTCTTCCTTGCGAAAATTTTGCTGCACTACTGTTGCGCTGCTCAGCGTAGCATCGGATAGCGCATAGCTTTGGGAGTAGCAAAAAGAGGTTAAATCGCTTGCTGGGTTTCTGCCGTCTGCTCGCTGGTTTCGTTCACCATCCGCCTCCTAGCCTATTCGACGATCGTGTGATCTCGCAAAGCACTCAGAATTTCCTGCGCTCCAGTTCGTTGCCAAGCTTGCTTTCGCCTCGGAAGCACATTCAGAAACTCGAGTTTAATTCGAATTGCTCCACAGAACGTTGCCACGATGGTGTGTAGGAGCGGTCTCTTTCATTCGTCTGCGGCTTCAACTGAACTCCTCGTTCTACCTTTGGCTTCTTTTCTTGTCGTTTGCGCAATGCTTGTCAGGGTGTTCCCGCGCTCTTTCGTTGGCTTTCGAAAAAGTACCCAAAGATCATCCAGTCCGTTGAAGAGGCATCGCCCGAGCCGGTCGACAATGGCAATGGAACCTTTTCCGAGATGCCGGTCGACATTTCCGCTCCGAATCCAAACGGCATGGAGTTCGATAATCTATATCTCGACATGAATGGAATCGTACATCCGTGTACGCATCCAGAAGGCAAGGTGAGATGCCGCCTTCGTGCAGTTCACGCGTGATGGATACTTGCCGAATTGACACCTGACGGCACGCTCTGTCATCCTTTCCGGTTTTGCACACAGCCCGCACCCGAGACGGAGGAGGACATGATGGCCGAAGTTCTCAGCTACACGGAGCGCGTCGTCAATATGATCCGCCCGCGCAAGCTGCTGATGATGGCGATCGATGGAGTCGCTCCGCGCGCCAAGATGAATCAGCAGCGCTCACGACGCTTCCGATCTGCGCAAGAGGACAAGGAGAAGGAAGATGAGAAAGTGAAGATGCGGATAGAGTGGGAAGCAAAGGGTCTTGAAGTGTCAGAGGAGATGAGAGCCAATAGCGAGAAGAAGGCGTGGGACAGGAATGCCATCACGCCCGGCACGCCGTTCATGGACCTACTCGCTTCATCGCTGCGATACTGGGTTGCGAAGAAGATGAACACCGATCCAGGCTGGGCGCACATGCAGGTGATTATCTCAGATGCGAGTGTGCCTGGTGAGGGAGAACACAAGATTATGGACTTTATCCGTCGGCAGCGGAGCTACCCTGAATCACACGACCCAAACACCAAGCATGTCATCTATGGCCTCGACGCCGACTTGATCATGCTCTCCCTCGCCACGCATGAGCCGTACTTCAAAGTTCTGCGCGAAGACGTGTTTGCGCAAGACGCGCAACTGCGGGGCAAGTGCCGCATGTGCGGACAGAAGGGCCACATCGCCAAGGACTGTACCGGAGAGCCAGCGGCGAGCAAGAACGACCCCGTCAATGGCGTCCGCAAGACCGGCGTAGAGACGGATGTGGGAACGGCCAAGGTGGAGAAAAAGCCTTTCATCTTTCTCGACGTCAGCATCCTGCGCGAATACCTCGAGGTCGAGCTCGATGTCCCCGGTCTTCCTTTCGCCTTCGACCTGGAGCGCGCCATCGATGACTGGGTTTTCCTCATCTTTTTTGTCGGAAACGACTTTCTGCCACATCTACCCTCGCTCGAGATCCGCGAAGGCGCGATTGACGTCCTGCTCAAGCTGTGGAAAAAGGAGCTGCCACGCATGAAGAGCTACCTCACTAATCACGGCCAGGTAGAGCTTTCCACCGCGCAGATCATCCTCGAGGGTCTTGCGACCGAGGAGGATGAGATCTTCAAGCGAAGGAAGGAGCAGGAAGAGCGGCAGGACGCGCACCATCGCGCTCGCAAGGAGCGCGAGAAGGACGAGAAAGAGGGAGCCATTGCCGCTAATGCAGATGCACCTACGCAGAAAAAGCGAAAGCTAGTAACGATGGCCGCAAATGGCGTCATCGGTGTGGGGGATGACAGCGAACTGATCGCTATCACCGCACATGCTGGCAAGCATACCAGATTCGGCCTCCCGCCGAAACCGCACGTGGCTGCCCCTCCGCCTACTGCAGAGATTGACAAGGAGAAGGTCAAGGCGGAGAACCTGAATGCTGCGCAGAAGCTCAAGGCGGAACTCGCGGTGATGCGTGCACAGGCGCTGCAGTCTAACAAGCCCGCGACCGGCAAGGAGAGAAACGATATTGATACCGTTGGTGCAGCCGGAGCTGCTCCCGCTGCTGCGGCCGGCAGCGATGCTACAGCTGATGGCACAGCAAAAGAGGGCGAGTCCGGGAGCCAACAAACTGCGGCGCCTGCAGAGCAGGAAGCCAATTCCAGCCAGGCATCTGTCGCAGCCGTCTTTCAGATGGACGAAGACCAGGAAAGGAAGCTTGAAGGGGCGGGTGCAAAGTCGGCGCCCAAAGTCGCCAAGAAGCGTCATTTGGAGGAGATGCTGGACGGGTCGAATGCTGCTGGCGATAGCGTAGTTGCCACCATTGTCGCTCGTGATGCGAATGCTGATGCTGATGTGGATGCAGAGGTTGAGGACGCCGATGCGGACGCGGAGGATGATGCCGATGCGGATGAAGAAGAGGATGACGCCGCGGAGGATGAAGACGACGGCGACGAGGCTGTTGACCCGGTCACGGCACCGGAGCGCAAAGTCAATGCTGATGGCACAGTCGAGTATGTGGACACTGTCAGGCTCTTTGAGCCTGGCTATCGTGAACGCTATTACAAACAAAAATTCGGCGTACCCCTCACCGATGTCGAATTCCGCAAAGGGGTCGTCAAGTCGTACATCGAAGGACTATGTTGGGTGCTCGCATACTACTACCAGGGATGCCCCAGCTGGCAGTGGTATTATCCGTATCATTACTCGCCTTTTGCGGCAGACATGAAGGAGATTGGCATCACCGATCTGGACATCAAATTCGATCTGGGACACCCCTTTAGACCGTTCGAACAGCTTATGGGAGTCTTGCCTGCAGCGAGGTGAGTTTCCATGTGTGTGCGCTCCGAGGTGAACAGAGACGCTGATCGATTTTTGCCAACTCATCAGTCGAGCGAGCCTTCCTAACGTTTTTCACAAGCTGATGACGAAGGAGGACTCCGCGATCCGAGACTTCTACCCTGAGACCTTTGAAATCGACATGAACGGCAAGAAGATGGTCTGGCAAGGTGTTGCACTTTTACCTTTCATCGACGAAAAGCGGTTGCTTGATGCCATGTCGGATCCATACAAGGATCTATCAGAAGACGAGATTCGTCGCAATGCTTTCGGCAACGATGTCTACTTTGTGAGCGAGAATGCGCGGGTCTACGACACAATTTGCGGTGTTTACGCCAAGCAGATCAAGCAAGGAGAGGAAGAGACGAACGCAATTGCACTGAACGCCTCATTGACGGGCGGTATTTCTGGGCAAGTCGCGCCTGATCCATCCTGTGTACCAGGTTCCACCTTTGTGACCCCGTTCACCAAGTACGTGGAATACGGAGATATCACCAGCGATCGTTCGATCTCTGCTTGCTTCTTCTTCCCGCCACAACAGACGCCGCACCGTAGCGTGCTGCTCAAAGGTCTCAAGCACCCTCAACGAAAGCTCAACGAGGGTGATAAGGGCTGGATCCGATCGGGAGCTGCGATGCGAGGTGGCCGACCGCCAAGAGAAGGAGGCCCTGGACGAACGGGACCGCCCCGAGGCCACCATCAGAGATTCGATAATGGCTTCCAAAGTTCGAGCAGCTATCCAGGCTTGCCATATCTCCAGAGCCAGCATCAAAAATGGGACGCGGGGGCTGGCGCCGCAGCTTTTTCGTCTCCTTATGGGAGCTACCAAAATGGAGTCGCTAGCTATGGCGGGCAGAGCGGATGTGAGTTCGTCGTTCACACAAGCCCTCTCAGAATCGACCACCCTGACTCACTCTTTCTTACGCAGACGGCAATTATTCAGCTCAAGGTCCTTATAGCCAGTACTCACAAGCACCAGCGTATGGTGGATACGGAGGCTATGGTACAGCGCAGTCGTACGCCCAGCAACCCTCACCTCAGCAGCAAAGCTATGGTGCCGGAGCTTATGGAGGCTATGGCGGCAATGGAGGCTATGGCGGCAATGGAAGCTATGGCGGCAATGGAAGCTATGGCGGCAATGGAAGCTATGGCGGCAATGGAAGCTATGGCGGCAATGGAGGCTATGGGAACGTTCCTCAAGCCTATGTTGGCTACGGTGGTCAGGGCACGCACGCTGCTGCCCCAGCTTATCAGCATCAGGGCGCTTACGGAGGTGCTCTCGCTGGCTATGGCGGGCCACCGGCTCACTACCAAGGAGGCCCGCAACTCTATCAAGCCCCGCACCAAGCCAATTACGGGTCTCAAGGACTTTCAGGTGGGCCACCGCCGGATGCGTATGGTCATGCTGCTCCTTCCCGGCCAACCCCCAACGGCCCGCCTATGCCGATTGGCGGCTCGGGCCCACCAAAGCCCCTTGGACCCGCCAACGGTCCACCAAGGCCACTTGGCCCCTCTGCGCGGGGTGGTGCACAACGTGGCAGAGCCCGTTACGTGGGCCCGTACGCCCAATATTGATTCACGTTGCTCCCCTGTTCCAATTGGCTTTCGGTATCTGTAGCTTCTCAATTCGGGCGTGTACCGCCATTGTAGCCTATGCATCGCTTTGCGTACTGCAGGATATGCCAGTCATATAGCTTCGACATGCGGAAACCCCTCCCATGGCAACGGCTCGAATTCTTCCCCGTCCTCCATATGCTCCAAGCCATGGAATAGCTTCTGATAACATGGAATACCCGGCGTGTTGTAGTGGACGTATGGATTGGCAGCTGAGAGCGTCGACTGGCATAGATAGCAGAAGTGTGCTTGGCACGCGCGGCATGTCATATGGTTACAACCTTCCGACTTGACGATGTTGACCGAGCATGAGGGACACGCAGTGCTGTTCTCCCTGATCCAGTTGCGATTGGCGATTTCTTCGTTGTAGATCCTTGTGAGTCGGAGTATATTTGAGCGGCCATAGCGCGCTTCGAAAGCCTTCTGCTCAGCACTGCCCTCTATGAGCGAAGCATACTCCTCGATTAGCGCAGAGATCTGTACCAGCGTGCAAGGAGCCTTGCCATGCCAGGCTTTTTCGCAGAAGCAGCAGAAGGCGTAGCCACAGGACGAGCAGATTCGCAAGCCTTCGGACCACGTTCCGGCTTCGCGTGCATCACCACGAGCAATCCCGCCGCAAGCGCTGATGGGGCAGTGCGTTGCGTTCGGATCTGTTTCCGCAACTGCCTTCAGCTCGAGCCAGTCGTAACGGGCCAGCAGCTCCTCTCCAACTAGACTCTGAATCTCGGTGCGAGAAATGAGGCCGCTTGCTTGGGGCCCTTCTGGAGCAGTGTCACCCTGGTGGCCGACAGCTGCGGTTGGTCGCATAATTTGCGCGTCAGCCATCGCTCGTTCTTTGGCAGCTGCATCTTGTTTCTCCTTCCGCGCACGCATCGCCGTACACTCGAGATCAGGACAACGGCGAGCACCACGCCAGTCTCCCTCCTTGACGAGCATGCAGAGGTAGTCCTGTAAGCAAGGTGTGCAAAAGACATGGCCGCATCCTTCGAGTCGCGTACACAGCCGACCTTTGACGGATTCGAGGCAAATGGAGCAATTGAACCTTGTGTGTGAGAAGAGGGTGAGGATTCGGTGCTTAGAGAAATGTGTGAGAAGTGCTGACAGAGTCGAGCTTGATGCTGACTGTTCGTCAATGCTGCCTTCTACTGGAAGAACGATCGCGTCTCGCCATTCCTGCGCTTGACTGTCCGTCCAGCCTTGACCCTGCTGCATATCGCGCCAATCATCTTCAAGCAGTTTGAAGGGATGACGGCTGCCCTTCCCATCTCTGTCTGTATGTCCTTCAGTAAAGTTCCACAACTGTTCTGATGCCCACTCCGCCAACATCATTAGACATTCTGCCTCCCCAGCCTCCTCTGTCCAAATGCGGCTGACCTGTGCATGAACCCATGCGCTAACGGTCTCTGATGTCCCACCGAGCCAAGGACTGCTCATAGCAGTAATATCTGGCGCTTGATGCAGCGGATAGTTGGGTGGAAGCCTTAATGTTATCTCCATTGGCGGCAGGTGTGAGACGCTCGGCAGCAATGTCCACCGCGATAAATTGCACATGCACGATTTGATTGCCACCCTCCGTGGCGGGGAGAAGTTGATCGGCACGGCGAGCTTTACGAGCGCCCCAGATTTTCCATCCGAATCTGCAACACTCAATTGGCCGTTGCCAAGCTTGATACCTTTGCAAGCATCGCGGAGGTCGCTCTGAGGGTCGTTCGCATCCGGGCGATTCGGGTGGCGTAAGACGACGAACGGTTTCGTGTAGCTCGCGCTGCCAATAGCCTGTAGAGCTGCATTTGACTCAGATGTCCGGCCCTCTTCTTGTTCCTGGGAGTCATCATAGATGCTCAGCATAGCAAGGATCTCGTCTTTCTGCATCAGAAGACATTCTTCAAGGGTGTCTGGGTCGGTGGCGACAACTGAAGCAGCCGCGGGCATGATGGACGTCGACATGAGATTGATCGAGTAAATGTTTCGCACTCTGCGCTCATACAAGCAGCTGTACTTTCCCTCATGACTTCGGTCCGTCGAAGCTAAGAGGGATCGCTGCGCAAATAAGTAGTAGAATGTAGTGAGTAGCGAGAGTTAATGGTTGTAAGACCGTAAGGTTTGTGGTAAGTCGCTCACAACGAGGTCGAGAGAGCGTCGCAGTATTGGGCGGCACTTCCACTTTACCACGAAGTCACGCCACGCCACAAACGACCTGGTGTAGTCAGCCTCCGTTTACAGATCACACCAACAATATGACTCCAGCGGCTGACTCCCATGGACGAGGCTCCACGGGCAGCTGCCATTATTAGAACGCTCAGCATGCTGGCAAGGACAGTGCACCAGTCAATTGCATGCTCGGCGGCGAGCCGGGCGACCTCAGCAGCGAGACCCAGCTTGCAGGGGCAGACAACCGCAGGAAAGCAACGTCAACTCCGGCTTCTCTCCGCCAGGTCGGGTCAGCAACAAGCACCTAGTACCGCAAGCATATCTCGACGTGGAACAGCTCAACCGAAAGGGCCTGAGGTAGTCAATAGTGGTATAAGCTCAGTCTCCGCCGCCCAGCAAGCTGCGCCGGCTCCTACGAGCACTTCATCTCAAGTAGGCTCCACCCTGGGGTCTGCGCCAAATCCGGTAACTCCGCAGATCTCATTGGTACCTTCGCCCTCAACAAGCGGTGGAAAAAGTGATCGGCTAGCAATTCGTTGGGCCAGTGGAGTAGAATCAAAATTCCACCATGTCTGGCTGAGGGATCATTGTCGTTGTCCTGCTTGCTACCATCCCAAAACGAAGCAGAGACTGCTTGACACGTTTGCCGTGAGCGGGCCCGTTTTGGCTGGATCTGCTTTCTATTGGACACTAATGGTGGAAATGCTCGACTTACAGATCCCAGGAAATGTAGAGCCCGTTTCGATGGAAAGCACGACCGAAGGCTTGCAAGTGGAGTGGCCGCCTCTGCTGCAGGCCGCTGAAAACGGTGCAGTAGCGGCGAACGCCGCCACAACACACCACTCGCTCTATCCATGGCGATGGCTGATGCTCAACTCGTATTCACCGCCGTTTTCTGCCGTCAATGGACCGAGTGCACACGTTGTCGGCCTTACTGCTGGCGGGATGGCAGGGCTGCCGCCTATTGAGCGCGTCCTTTGGGGCCGGAGCATAGGGCAGGCGCCGCCCACGGTCACCTGGGACGAAGTCATGGGTCGCAAGCCAGGTACCGAGTCTTCGAAAAAGACAGAAACACAAGGGAGCCCTTATACGATGTCTTCGGAGCAGGCAGATGTAAAGGCGGAAGGGAGCTCTCTCGATCTGAGCGTGCATGACGAGGAGCTTGGAAACCTCGGTCTTCTCAAGTGGTTGAGCAAGATCGCCACCTTCGGCTTCTGTTTCGTCTCAGGCGTACCTGTGTCGCCTCTTGCAACTGAAGCTCTCATCCGACGCATTGCATTCATCCGCGAGACGCACTATGGCGGATTTTGGGACTTCACCTCGAATCTCGAGCATGGCGATACGGCGTATACGAACCTCAAACTACAAGCACACACCGATACGACATACTTCACCGACCCTGCAGGTTTGCAGATGTTTCATCTGCTCAGCCACACAGCCTCAGAGTGTGGCTCGGCGAAGGCGGAGGGCGGGGAAAGTCTGTTAGTCGACGGGTTCCTTGCTGCCAAGATTCTGCGCGAGAGCAATGAGACAGCGTACGCAACACTCAGCGAGGTGCGACTCATGACGCACAGTGCCGGTGATGACGACACGCTCATTCGCCCGCTGATGGAAGAGAGTGGGTACCCGATCTTACAACATACAGATGACGCGGGTGGATGGAGACACGGTGCGAAGCTTAAGATGGTCAGATACAATAATGACGACAGAAGTGTGCTTCGCGTCAAGGAGGAGGACGTTGACAGCTTCTATTCTGCTCTGCGCGAGTGGAACAGGATCTTGACAGATCCAGAGGGCGAGTACTGGCAGCAGCTACGGCCTGGGACTGCATTGAGTGAGCGTCACAACTTGGGATTTTGCCCTTTGAACAACTGCTGAATTGCGACCTTTGATAGTTTTCGACAATCATCGCGTACTTCACGGCCGATCAGCCTTCGTAGGCAACAGAAGGCTGTGCGGTGCATAGTGAGTCCCTTTCTCATGCTCAGGACATTGCTCGTGGCAAGAAACTGACAATTTTATGTAACCCTGCATCAGTGTCTCGCATGATGATTACCGCAGCAAGCTTTCGGTCCTTAGCGCTCGCTATGGTGACACGCTGCGCAGCGATTCAGGGAGAAAGCACGGAAGAGGGGTGTGGGACGACGGCCTGTGATGCAGAAGGACGCTTACTCTAGCTCAATGGTAAGCGTATCAAGAGGGAGCGGCCAGTAGTTCATGGGGTTGTAATATGGTGCATACATCTAGAATGAAATGATCGGGTCAATCACCAAGACAAGAGGATTAGCTTAGACCAGCAACTAAAGCCATTCGGTACAGGGGGTGCAAGCCAGAGCCGTGAGTTCGCGCGGGCACCGCTCTGACGGTCTCATGCTGGAAGCAAACGAGCTGAGGGAGTTCGAAGCCGAGCAATGGCTCAAGTCCGTCGTCGCGGTTACGATCATCGCTTGTAGTGTGCCGCACATGCACACGCAGGGTTCCATCTGTCGTCTGCTGTAGCCAAGCGCAGCTGGAAGAATTAAGCCTTGTTACAGAGCCCGTACACCTGCTTCAAACCATCACCACCAAGACACAGATGAAGTGACCGTTGACTTGCGATGGATTACAGTTTGAAGCCGCCTACACCTGCTTTTCCTTCCAAGGATACTCGAATGGCGGCTGATCCTTTCTCCTCCACAGCCTCCTCTTCTTTCCACCTACTCCCTCGGCCCAGACTTCCACTGTGTGCTTGGATTTGAACTCCCTGACGAACCTGGGATCCCACAGCTCGCTGGCAATCCCCAAGTCCTTGCAGCAGCGCATGAGTGCATTGCTCTTGGCTCCTTCGGAAGCGGTGGCGATCCCGGAAGGGTCAAAGTACTCTTGCTCGCCTCGCGCAGTCGAGACGAAGCGCCCGAGACAGATGAGCATCCATTCCCGACTGACGATCCGAGGGCCGACGTTCGTCTCGCCACGAGGGGCTAGACCCCAGCCACCTGGTCCGAAGGCTTTGTTGAGAATGCGACGATACTTGATTTCGGGTAGGTAAATGATGCCGTCTAAATAAAATCAGAGTATGCGAACGTGTGTATGTGTGTGTGTGTGTGTTGCGTAAGCTAGCTTGCCTCGCCACTTGCGGGTTATCGCCCTCGAGGCGGCATTTCTATTGCTTACCAGGCTTGATCTCTATGTCAAGATCGTTTAATGGGGCACTGAGGATGTTGGCGATGCGAGAGTCGAAGGGATGTGAGCCCATGCCTGCGTAATTTTGTGCTAGATGATCAAATGAGGTTTGCTGTTGTGATGGGGCAGACAATTCAGGAGGAGTTGATGCGTCAGCCGTGTCCAAAGGTGAGGGTAAAGATGATTTGATGGCCTGCTGTGTTGATCCTGCGTTTTCGAGGCTTGGTGCCGCAACAGATGAGCCAATGGATGGATTGTGGGCGCCTGGCGCAGGGGGGCGAGTAAAGTGAGCCGAGGCAGCCGCAGAGTTGGCGCTGCCGCTTGCGCGCAATGATGCCGGTGACTTGGCTGATGTTGTTGTTCTCCGTGCTGCTGAAGAACCTGTTGACGCTTTTGAATAGGACCGAGGCAGATGGTGCCGCTCTTGAGAAGAGATGGCATCCGCCACGGCATTCAAACCCGAGCTGGAATGATACCCTCGCGGGCCGCTTGAGCTCTTCTCCTTCACTTTGTGTCTTTCGAACATGCTCGGCGTGGCGACGCGCGGGTTCATATCTGGATCATCAGAACCAAGTGCAGCAGGTCTGCTCTCGTTAACAGAAGCATTCTTTGCTGCGAAGTTGGGGAGAGCGAGCTTGCCGTCTGCGGACCAGTTGTAATCTGTCGGGCTCGATTCGGCAGCTGTCGCGCCGCTCTCGGGCAGCGTGTGCAGGTCCGCAGCAGTCGTGGTCGACGCAAGTTTCTCGGCTTCCCCAGGTGAAAGAGATAAGCTGGAGAGCTTGGCCGCAGCCGGCGCGGAAGGCGGGGGAGATGGCAACTTGCTCCTGGTATTGTACTGCGAGGTGCCCGAACGGTGGGGCAGCGCCGAAGTGCTACGCAGCGCTGACGCGATCGCCGGCTGCGACCGGGCGACGTGGCCGATTCGCTGGAGGAGGGATGAGCGGGCGAGCATCTGGGGCGAAGTATGGCTGCACGGGCTGCTTCCGATCCGGATAAGTGTACCCGACGTGCGTGCGGGGCAATGGTTGATCATGGAGTCAGGATGGAGAAAGTACGCATTCAATAGAAAGAGGCTTAGCAGCTATGGCGTGTGTCCTGGCAACCGTTCCGCCTTATCATCTTGAAGACTGACTACGCGATCCCCTGTCAGCCGTTCAGTTCTGATTGATGGAATACCTCTACCGAAGGGCCGATGCGCCTCGGACGGATGGTACCACTAAAGGGGATTAAGTGCCTCAGGCCTATCTTCACAGTACCAATATGAATGTCGGTGCCGCAACTGCCGGCCGGCCTCTCTGGATGCCCCCGAGGACACAGCCGCGCTGGACCCAATTGTCCTCCCCCGCGAGATGCGATACTTGTCGCTCTTCAGCGGCATCAAATCCTGCAAGAAACCACTTCTATGATAAAGGACCCTCATGCTCGTATAGATTGCTGCAAGCTAGAGGATACAGAGACTACATTCGCTCGCAGACACTGGACAATACCACGGGCAAGTCACGTACAGCACGCATCCCGCTCAAAAACGGCTCGGTCTTTGGCCTCTCGGCGACGCGAGGCACGCGAGTCTACCAAGAGGATGCTTCAAGTGTCTTGTGCGTTCAACTACCGAGTGGAGATCTCAAAGAAAGCTTAGCACAAAGCCGTAGCAGAGTGGCACAACAAGCTGCCGTCAGGTGGGACGCTGAAAAGGCTGGCGGCGAGGATCTTGCTGGACAAGTGCTTTGGATCGGTTGTTTTGACGGGTGAGCATGACTGTCTGGTACGACAGCGGTCACAGTCAAAGCTCACAGTCGCGCTCGCATTTGATCTAGACATGGAGGTCAGGCCATTTCCGGATTTCTGCGATCATTCCTGCACGACATTTTTGAACGCGTACAGCCTGATATGGTGACTGACACCGGTGCGTACAACTCAAGTAGTCGTGCCGTCCTTGTGGCTAGGAAGCTGATTGAAACTGCGCTCCTCTTGCAGTGCAATACACACGATCTCATGGAGGCTATTTTCGTCGCTTCACCGGGGGCCTTCTAGAGCGCTGGGTCCGGCAAGATCAATTACGCTCCGTGCGCTCCGGCGGACCTGGGGGCGCCGCCGCGACCTCCCGAGCGAAAGGCGCTGGTACTCGACCCACAGCATCTATGAGTAATGATGCAATGGCCAGAAAAGAAGTGGATCCTCCTGGTCCGCGGACGCTTTCAGATCTTGCAGCCACCCTTTCACCTGGTGCTAGATACAAGCAGCCCAATGTTGTGCATTCTGGTGATGATGTAGGGGAGACGAATAATGACAGGCCGATCGAGAGCCCTCATATGCAGACCGTGTCTTCTCCTTCGGACTCCTTTTCGAAGACAGGAGAGACCGAGAGGCAACCTCCGGAGTCTGATGCGAAGCAGATACGGAATAAGGGTGATGCAGTGTGCGGCGTCGACACGCAATCTGGCAGTAGCCCATTGTCTCCCTTCAGTGTCGAAACACCACCGTCCGCTTCACAATCGGACGTAACGAAAGGGCTGGACAAGCCTCTAGCAGATGGTCAGATGCCTGATCTTCTTGCCAAGCCCATCGAGCCGCCCGAGGAGCTGGAAGGGCAACATCTGACGCTTGCGGAACGCGCTACGCTTGCTTGGCTCGTCGCTGACCGCATGATTCAAGCAGACAAGGGCCGACTCGACATCGGTGGCTCAACGGCAAGCGTTGCTCTCATATACAGTCTCGACACACCGGCTGTGCCGTGGTACAGTAGCAAGCTAGTTTCGATCACGACCGCGCATGTCGGGTGAGTTACCGCCCAGAGCGGCTTCACAGTTGAGTCTAGAACCTCGACAGCGCTGATGCCCCTTTACTCACTGCTCTCCAGCGACACGCGCATGCTGCTCTGCGCCACAGAGGACGGGCGCGCGATTCCGCTGACGAACTACCACCACCCAGACGACCGAGCCGAAGCCGTGCGTCTGCGCAAGCTGGGAGCAGGCATGATCACAGATTCGTTTGGTGAATTGCGCTGGATGGGTGCATTGGCGAACACGCGTGCGTTCGGCGACTCGCGTTACAAGAAAGTGGGCGTCACTGTTGAGCCAGAGGTGATCAGCCAGATCATCAAGGGAGACGAGTACGCTTTCCTCATTGCTTTCAGCGATGGCGTAGGGGGCGTGATGAGCGACCAGGAAATCGTCGATCTCTGCCGAGGTGCAGACCATCCGAGCGACGCGGCAAAGGCAGTGCTGAGCTTTGCAGAGGAGTTAGGAACGTGAGTCACAGAACTACACCAGACGCAAACCGTGATGCAAAGACTAAATTGCAATTATTCTTCAGTGAGGACAACTGCACCGTGGTTTGCGTGCCACTCCGTGGGTGGGGTAAAGTCAAAGGAGAGGATGCAACGCAGCAACGGAGAGAATATCGGCGAAGTAAGGTGGACATCTTTCGCGACTCGCGAAAGTAGCCTGTATTGCTTTGACGCTCAATTCTATAAAACAGTATGATGTGGATCCTGCATCACCCTCTGCGCTGCTTCTTCTGGCTTGCACCATCCTTGCCCTGATTCTGTTCACCGCTGCGCTTTTTGAGCTTGCGCGCGAGATACAGCAAGTCATCAGAGCCGGCACCTCCTTGCGCACTCGGCGCTGACGAAGCAGTTTGTCCCCTTTCTGCTGGCGCATCACTAACGCTGCCAACCTTGCGCTTCCCAGCTTCTCTCTTGGCTCGAAGAATCTCGTCCATGCCCTTGGTCTTGAGGAAGCTCTTGTGACTCGGATCGAGTGCGAACCGATGATCCTCGAAAATGGCCTTGAAGCGATCGTCGTGTGCGTCAAGTTTGAAGTCCTCCTGCAGCGCCACCTCACGCACATCCTTGTCCGCATTCGCCACATCTTTCTTCGCCCGTCGCTTCTCGAAGCGGTTCTGCTTCTTTTTCCCCCTTGAGTTCTCTTTTTCGGCGCGCAGGATGTCCTTCATATCAAAGTGCCCGACGCCTGACTCGGGGGCAGCTTCAGTGTCCAGAAGCGCTCCGAGATCGGCAGGTGAGGATGCACCACCGTGCACGCCGTCTACGCTGGCAACCTTAGACGAATCCTTTTTGTAAGCCTTGCCATTTTTCATAAGTTGTGGCATTTTCTTGCCCTTCTGCTCGGCAGCCAACGCCTCGTCGAAGTCCACATCGTTGTCGCTAGCGAAGAAAGGGTCGTCAAAGCCAAGCGAATCTGCACCAGTCTCCTGTATCTTTGCACTGCCCTCGTCGTCCACCGTGGGGTCTGCACTTTGCTTCGCCAGACGCGCCTCCTTCTTTGCCTGGCGCTTCTCCTTCTGCTTGCGAAGGTATTTCTCCAAGGTGGTCTCTTCGTCCTCTTCTGCGCATGTGCCCTTGCTCTTCTTCTGCGCTTTGCGCGCTGCAGCCTCCGAGAGCCCAGGTGTGAATGTGATTTCCATGTCACCTTCCTCCTCAGCACCCCCCGTGCAATTACGTAATCGGCGAGGGTCGTCGAAAGCACTGCTGCGCGCTTTGCCGCGGCCTTGCTTGCTATCGAAGCCGCTGCCTTCGCCGCTGCCATCGAGATTGAGCAGAGCACGCAACCTATCACGACCGCTCTTCGCCTCTGCTCCAAGCTCTTGCTCATCGTGCTCCCCATCGTCCTGATCATCCTCGTCGACGTCGGAATGATCAGAAGCAAGGTAAGCCTTGAAATCCTCGTCCCTGATGTCGCTTCCACCAGCAAGCAGCGCATTGCGACTCTTGCGCGTCATCTTTGCCCGTTCTGGGTCATCTGCGTCCCATGTAAGCTTAACCTTCGAGTGCCGCAGCGCATCCGTCTTGAAGTCGACGCCTTTGTACGCAGCAGCTGCAGCGCTGTCTATCCCCTCCGCTGAGGCAGTGGCCTCGTCGCGCCAGCCGGCATCGCGCGTCTCGGGGTCCGGGTGGCGCGGGTCGTCGAGCTCATACTCAGGGAAACTCATGTCGCCCGGCACAAAACGCAGGTCGAAAATATTAGCAGATGCTTCCATCTCCGTACCGTCAATCTCGTTGTAAACGTGTCGTGCCGAGGCAGGCGAGTCAAAGTCAGCTATCGCGTAGTAGTACCTGTGGTAGTTAAGGCTCGTTAGCTTCTTTATATGAAGCAGGGGGTAGCAAGGAAGTGACGACGAACCTTAGGCGCTCGAGCTGATACTTTCTCAATTGCTCCTCGTCAAACTCGCCACCCTCGTCTACTTGAAAGAGTTCGTCGTCATCGTCTTCACTCTCACCCGCCTTGCCCTTTCCTTTCCCTTTCCTGCCCTTTCGCTTGTCACTTTTCTTTTTGGAGCTACCCTCTCCAGACGCACTGGAGAAGATATCACGTGGCGGCCCCTCTCGATCTTCTTTGCGCATGCGCTCGCGTCCGAAGTCACTCGGATAAACACGAACGCGCAGGCACTTGCCACGCGCCATGTGAATCGCTTCGCCCTTGCGAGTATTCCCTTGTCCTCTGGCGCTATTTCCCGTGCGCGCAGCTGCAGTTGCGAGAGGGTTGACAACGGAGGAGAAGACTTTGAAGAGATCCCGCGCGCGAATGTGGTCCCAGTCGAGATTAACCACCGCCAGGCGTGATGTGTCGCCTCCTCGCGGAATGCCGTCTTCAGCTTCTTCGTCCACGTCTTCGCCAGCTTTGCTTTTACCGTCAGCCTTGGTGCCGCACTTGCTCTTCTTTCCGTCTGCCTTGCTGGATCCGGCAAAACCGCTCGTGACTCTCTCCGCCTCTGCATCGAGCAATGCTATCGCTGAAGGATCCAATTCATCCTCAGCACCGGCCAACAGCTCTTCTGCGCCGCTACTGATTGCCGCCTCGTCGTCGCTATCGGCTTCATCTCCGTCCTCTTCTTCATCGAAAGAGGGAGCAGACGCAGCGGCTTTTTGCGCCTTTCGGATAGCATTTTTGGTGCCAATGATGACTTCTCCGTCGTCTTCCGCTTCAGAGTCATCCGTAATGGAATCATCGTCCTCGTCTTCGCTGTCGGACTCTTCGTCGCTTGACGATTCGAGCAGTCCCTCACCACGTGCATAGTCGAGAACTCTGCCGTCTGACGCTCCACTCTCATCAGAACCTTCTTCATGATTGGAGTGACCCACATCGGAATCAGCATTGCTTTCTTCCTCGCCTTCAACCTTGTAAATCCGTCTGAGCTCAGCGTCTGCATCTTCCTTTTGTCCGGGTCCTTTGAGCGGTCTTCCGAACCTGTCAACCTTTGGCCTTGCCTTGCCCTTGGCTTTTTCACCAGTTTTTCCATCCTGCTGCTTGCCATTCTTGGAGAGTAAATGGCTGAAGCGCTCGTCGAGGGATACTTTCAAGTCCTGCCGTTTGGGCTGCAAGAAGCGAGGGTCTGTCTGTACTCGTGCAAACCGCGGATCCGAGACGGGTGCAGCGTGCCTGCGACCGCCACCGTCGCCACTACCGCCGCCCTTCTTCGTCTGTCTGGCGGCCATGCTTGCCTGCTTTCCAAGGTGTTCCGTTGAAAAGCTGACTGCCAATTCAGCTACAAAGTGGGGAAGGGTCAGTTTGAATACATGTATGTGCTTGTAAATGAGTGAGTACTAACGGCGGAATGGTCATGTGGGCTCGCCGATCAAATTTTCTATAGGGAAGGACTTTTTTGTTTCTGCGTTCCGCCCTTTCTATGAATGGTGACCACGACGAGGTCGACAAAAGTTAGTGCACTTCTTGATGGTAGGATCATCTTTGCCAGCGCCGAATGCGAGGCAACCGCAGCGGAGACACCAGCAAAGCAAAAGGAACGAGGAAACTCTAAGAAATATGGACGCCGAAGCAGTGGCACAGGTCGCACAGACTCTCGCCCTTGCGCGGACCGACACCGCAGCGCTCTTCACCTCGCTCACTAAGCTCCAACAGCTGCTAGGGAGTGGTACAGAGGGTACATCAGGGAGCTGCGCTGATGGACCATCACTCCTGACTCTCAAAGTGGATACAATCCTCTCATACACACATGCACTACTTCTCCGGACGCTGCAGCGGATCTTACCCGCCGAGGGAGGAGATCGAGGTGTAGTAGGTGTTAACACGACGAACCTGCTGGTGGAGCACCTGATACGCTCGCGCCTCATTCTAGAGAAGAGCAAGCCGCTAGAAAATAAGCTCAGGCATCACATTGGCCGCTTGCTTAGTGCCGCTGTGCAACATGATGAGGACGTTCGGCTTGGCAGGAAGGCACACCAACCGGCGGATGGGGAGGAGGCAGAGGAGGACTTGCTGGCCTACGGTCCCAACCCCTCCGCTGTTATTTCCAGAAGCAAGAACAAGTCTGAATCGAGAGAGCGACGAAGCTTTGCATCTAAAGGCAAAGCGCCACAAGCTGAGCCTGAATCGGACGAAGAAGACGATGGCCAGGGCCGTGGCGGGGTGTACCGACCGCCGAAGATTGCGCCAGTTGCTTACGATCCAGATGCATTGTCAAAGCGCAAATCGAAAGAGCACAGACGACGTCTGGCTCTTGGAGGCGAAGATGACTTGGATGGAGATGGCGACGCGTACTCCTCGTCCTCGCGGCGCAATCGTGCACTGTTGTCCGAATTCACCACATCTCTCTCCGCGAACCCGTACGAGCAGTCCTCTACAGGAACAGGCATCAACCGCCCAAACGCATCTACAGCAGCGGCCTCTTCGCACGCGGGTGGCTCCTCGAAACGCGCTGCAGAGCTTGCGCGCATGGAAGCATACGAAGAGGCAAACTTCACGAGGCTCATCCTCAACAAGAAGGAGGAGCGCCGACGGCGGCGCGACGAGGAGGACCTCGCATTGGGCGGTGCACGCGGACGAAGGGGCCGCAGTGGCCAGAGTGCCGGGTTTGAAGCCGAGCTCGGCGGGCTGTTGGGCTCTGCTGGTGGGAATGGGAGCGGAGGCAAAAGCGGCAAGCGCAAGGCCTCAGCTGGAGCTGGTACCGATAGCTACGATGTCCTCCGGCGCGCAAAAGCCCCCCGGACAGGTCGGAGCTCCAGTGCAGCTGGCGCCCGCGACTTGGGTGGGAGGAAGTTTGAGCACGGCCTCAAGAAGCTTGCCAAAGGCGGTTCACGACGACGACGGTAGATGTTCCACACACGTTTGCCGGCGACTTTTCATGTACAACACCGAATATTACCGATTGGACACGCCCGGCTTGCCAATAAATGACAATCTGAGAGTTGGGGGTGGGGGAGGGGCGAGTCCAAACCCTGCAAAATTAGCAAATAATGCCCTAGCGCGTTCAGAGTGGGTTTTGAATGCAATCTGGCCCCCGCATGCCGAGAGTTCTATTGATTCTCCAAGCTTCGCCTGCAACTGTGACTCGTATGTACATACAAGCTAAGCCAGAGGCAGCGGCGACGATCATTGGGGGGTGTGCTAGCGTAAAAAGTGACATTGGCTATATACCGACTTTCCGGCTTTGGGTGACACAACAAGTCTGGAAATCCTGGACCTGAAGTGAAAAGCTTTGCACGCACCCTCGCGTGATGGAATCGGTTGTTTTGTCAGGGGCCGATGTGCTACGTGAGCACCCAGTGCTCTGGGCTTACCTTCGCTGCATCCTTTCCTTACAATGCAACTATGCCCACCTGAACGTACCGGACCGACGGGGTCGCCTAGCCCAGTTGGGATTGCTTCGCCGTGGGAATTTCGGTGGGCATGGATCTCCCTAGGTATTGCCTCGTTTGAAGACTGGCGCAGGGAATACCCTCAGGCATGGCAATGAGACCAGGATATGGAATTGCCACCAAAAATTATTCAAGTGAAGTCTCCAAGTAGGTTTACAAGGCAGATTAGCGTGGCTGGGAATGATTTAGTGCCACCTGTTGACCTCACTTGGAGCAACCGCCTTGACAGGAAGGAGACTTTATCATCAAAATACGGACCATTTGGTTGATGTATGCCATAGCCACATTGACGGATTTGACGTTTGCTCCTGCAGGGGAGCAAGAGCATCACGTAGAGGCAACTTTCAGAATCAGATCATGGTTACCGCACATGAAATTTCTTTGGACCTTATCAATTGAATGTAACCTGCCAAAATGTGGATGTCTCCCATGTCTCCCCTGCCTAGTCACCCTTCACCACGAATGACTCGCTGGCTTGATGGGATGGTGTCAAGTGTGTGCCAAAGGACTCGCATGTATCGAACAACTGTATTCCTCTTTAACCATGCAGGACGGAGTAACTTGTGTGAACCCTTTGCAATTGCCAGCGAAGCCGCAACTGCTCAAAGCGCCTTCATCTTGGGTCTTGTCAGATGCTGAGATATCTTAAGATGCGTGCCATGCAAGCCCGTCTCAGGAAGCAAGCCTTCGCGACGCGAGAGTTTGCTTAACAAACTAGGAGAACCACACAGGCGAGTGTCATGCAGTAAGCTGTCACGTATATGACCCAGCGCAAGCAGAGCAGCGAGGTCATATAAGTGCTGACGGCACTATCGTCGTATAGAAATGCACATGCGCTCTCGCGTGCAAGACTCTCGCATCTATATGTAGATTTAGCGTCAGCCGGGGCGCAATAAAAGCATCTGGAGATTCGGGGCGTGTTCTACTTCGCTGATCACGCAAGAGAGATGGCGTATGCGCGCACGTCACCCGCCCCTAGCACGCCATGTTGTCATCCACCTGGTGCCCCGCCCACGGTCCACCTCAGTCCGCGCCTCGACTGGCATCACAAATTCACAAGTCCTATGATAAGAGTCGCTAGAACAACCCTTCCGAAATATACTAGCGCGCAGGCCTCGTGTAGTTGCGCCGTCTGCCGTTGCTTTGGCGCCTGGCGGCAGCGCTTGGAGGGTTGGGCTCGTCTGGCTTCAAGGGGCAAACTGTCGTATGGTATAAGGTCACTTCTACTCCTGGAGAGCTTGACCCCTACACACCACCAGTCCATCTATTGACTGCTCGGGAAGAGGTACCTTTAAAGACGAACTGCACCCGGTGAGTAGTAATTCTGGTGTACATATACGGGAAGTACTGCGACACTCGTCCAACTGCTCGGCTGTTGGAACCATCATCCCGACTGCCGAGTTTGCCTCGGTGGCTCATACCGTCGAATTCTCACGCTGATTTATTTGATTGCGCATTCACTTCTCTCGTGAAGTCTTTATCTTAGAATCGACACGACACGACTCGAACTTCGCATCTCCTTTTATCTGACCGGAAAGTTTAAAAGGAGTGACCCTGTGCGAGAGTGGTACATCGACCCCTTAGTGTTCCCCTTCCATCACTGGCAGTCGGCGACTCATCTATTTCGCCTTCACAACGAGGTCACCAGCCTGCATTTTCCGGGAAATGACGGACAATTATGCTTCAAGCTCCACCTCGCACAGGCAGGATGAGCATACAAAGGATGCCGTCTCAAGCGCGCCATCTGGCAGCTTGTCACCAAAGAAGCCTGTTTTTTATCGCTCGACCTTCTTTCAAGCGACCGTGCTGGGAATCTGCAGCTTTCTGGCCCCTGGATTATGGGGCGGGCTGTCTTTGCTAGGTACGTCCAAGCCGCGTAAGCCCTGAGCCCACAGCAAGAGAAACAAAGACTGATTATCAACGTGCACATTGCCAGGCGCGGGAGGTAGCCAGAGCACATCGCTCGTCAATGCAGCGAACTCATTGACTTTCTGTCTCATGGTTGTCACTTGCCTTCTTCAGCCAGCACTCGTGCGACTGATCGGCATACGCTATGCGTTAGCATTTGGCGGCGCAGGCTACTCTGTCTACGCAGCAGGTCTCTACCTTAATAGCGCGTACAAAGTAACGTGGCTCATTGTTTTTGGAGCTGCATGCTGCGGAATCAGCGCCGGCGTGTTTTGGAGCACAGAGGGCGCGGTTATCCTTGCGTACCCGGAGAGGAAGAACCAGGGACGCTACCTCAGCTATTGGCTGGCGTATCGGGTGCTCGGACAGGTTCTAGGGGTGAGTGTGTCCCTTCCATACCTAATGAGACGCTCTCGCTCTCGACTAACGTTGGCATCTCACCACAATGGGCAGGGCGCAATCAACCTCGGTTTAAATGCGAACAATGCCAATGCTGGCAGTGTCAGCGTTCAGACGTACCTTGTCTTTGTCATTCTCCAAGCCCTGGCACCATTTGCCGCACTGCTTCTCAGCCCGCCGCACAAGGTTCAGCGCACCGATGGTTCGCCCGTCTTTCTCGAGTGCGTTGATGGACTATCATCTTTGCTTGGTCTCGTGATCCAATGCTGACTTGCTTTACTTTGAATGCGCTGTTCTCCCCTCACTCTTTAGGGTCACAGGCTCACCCACCTCGCAGATTACTGAGCTCGTCAAGTGCCTGTTCCGACCTAAGATTCTGCTGCTACTACCACTCATCTGGTCCGGCACATTCAGCGAAGCTGTGACTGGGACATTCAACGCGACCTACTTTTCCGTCCGATCGCGCGCTCTCGGCTCTTTCCTTGCTGCCATATTGGCGATCATCGCCAACTGCCTGCTGGGTGCATTTCTCGACTTCCGGCGGTTGACCATCAACCAACGCGCCAAAATCGCTTACATGCTTGTGTACGGCCTGCAAGGCGCGTATTGGATTTACGCAATTGTTGTCATGAACAACTTCCACAATCGCCCCGAAAAGCCGACTTTTGACTGGTCAGACAGCAGCAGCGACTGGGGACGTGGATTCGGCGTCTACCTCATGCTTCAGATCGGATTCAACACCTGCTACGAGCTGGCATACTTCATCGTCAGTGGATGCTCGGATGACCCGGAGGACATCATCCGACTCACTGCCATTATCCGTGGCGTAGAGTCTGCGGGCCAGGCCGTATCGTACGGCATCAACTCGACTTCACTGCGACTCGACGCTGTTGCAGGCATCAACATGGGCCTCTGGGTGATTGCGATCAGTGAGTCGTCAAGTTCCAGTTGTTTCCTTCAGAGTTCTGTTCTCAGAAACCGTCTCGCTCTCGCTTGAAACAGTTCCAGCATGGCTTGTCGTGCGGAAGCTCGGCATCACCCCCGACGGTACCCACATACATCAGTATGCCATCTACGCCCGCTCCGAGCAGCGCAAGGAGCTTGTGGACCAGGGCCTGGCCGTTGCCGCGCCGGACCAAAAAGGCGCCGAAGTAGACGCAAGCGACGCGGTGCGGGCTACGTCTCGCTTGTGAGGTGCTAACAGCTAATTAGCAGTTGGGCCTTCAACAGCTTCAGAACTACGTGACACACAGAAGTCAAAGGCAGGTGTGGGAAGAGTAAAATATATATAATACAGTGAATACTCGAGTGTGCTATGTTGGATTCGCGCTGCGTAGCTAACAAATCTTAAAGAGTAGTAGAGTAGTCCACAGTGAGAATTGAATTTTGAACCCTGTAGGCGTTTCGTGATCATGGTCATCGTCCCCCCCCCCCCCCAATATGAAAATGAGGTAGTGAAATCGAGATAGTAGAGAGTTATTCCGAAATCCGCAGCCCATTTACGCACTGCCGTCTGCCTGGGAAGTGCCTCCATCGGTTGCTCGTGCAGACGTAAGCGTAAGCACTTGCAACCGCACGACCATCATGTATAATCAACCGATATTCGAGCAACAAGCGTGGGCTGCCGCGGTGAAGGTACCCCTTCCGAGGTGCTCTGAAGGGGTGGCGATACTGTGATCGAACAGGTGGCAAACTGGGAGGGTCGGATATGTGAAGCTGCTTCAATGCCGAAGTGCGTAGTTTTTGACACCTAGTCGTTCGACCAAATGTGACAGATGCCGACGCCCGATGGGCACTAGTACCTTCTGACTGCTATGGCACCGTTTGGGTGCTATGCAATGATGACGATTGCACTCTTCCAATGCCCGTCACTTCGCAAGCTGCGCAGCCAATAATGAGATTGGTGAGCATGTCGGGGACCGCATCGGTGCGAACGTCCTCCGCCATCACCTTCATGTATTCGAGCTTACCAGTCTTCCACTCCATTTGTTCGATGATAATATTGCCTCCACTTCGGACCGGATTCGTCAGCGCTACCTCCCGCGGGCGTTGCTCGAACATGAGTGATTTTATATTCTACCCGCACGATAGTCATGGCTTCACAATTATTGTACATCTGCGGGAGCAACGGTCTGCGACAGCCAACAGGAGCACAATGCACCGCACAACTGCAAAGGGGGAGTAGTCATAAGCCAGAAGATCACGTGACAGCTTATCGACTTCGGTCTTCCGGCCTTTGGTGCTTGCCGGGGGGGGAGGGTCTGAATCTCTCACTATACAAGGATATGGTTCGGCTGGTCGGCCTCTCGAACTGTCTATCGCTTTACTGTACACACTGCTGACTGCACACAGAATCTAAGGTCCATAAGTATGTGTTAGTGTATACCGCCGACCTAGATTTTCGGTTGCCTTTCCAGATTGGTGACGAGACAGGAGTGCAGAAGGTTCGCGCGAAATGAACTCTCGGACCCCGGGCCACGCAACCGAGTATTGAGAAGTGTCGCTATCTACCAAACACGCCCTAGGGAAAGGTGAAGTGATCTTCGTAACCCTCTACTTTTATCGTCCCACTGCCTCTTACCGCCTGGTTCCTGAAGGTAGCACCTTCGACTCTGTACCAAGGCCTCCTGGGGTTCCGTCTCGTTTTCTCGCACCAGTGACAAAATGCCGCCTCCATCACCACAACCCTTTGATGCGGCCAAGCAGCATATTCAAGAGATGCTCGAGGCCATGTGCTCGCCGGGCTCAGGGCAGTTTAATCCATCTACGCTCGATGTCGAGACGGTCAAGCTGGTTCACGCCGAACGCAGCAACAACAACAAGCAGTCCCAGATTGTAGTCGAGATGCAAATCAAGGAGAAGCACTGTAATCAGCTGGGGAACTTGCATGGTACGTGAATACATGAGGCGGAGTGAGGAATGAGACTCTAGAGCAGCTAATGTACGTGTTATTTTGCTGATGCTACAGGCGGCTGTGCAGCGTCTCTATTAGACAACATCACGTCGATAGGTCTCTATTTTCACACATCCGGTGTATTCGGCGACCCATGGTCATTACTGGGCGTTTCCCAATCCATCAACATCCAATACCTAGCCCCGGCACCACTAGGATCATGGATCGACATCGAGACGCAGGTTGTGGCCGTCGGTAAGACGGTCAGCTTGATGACTTGCGAGATCTGGACAAAAGACGGTCCGGGGAAGGATGCAAAGCGACTGGTCAAGACGAGCATCGGAACTCACACAAAGATCGATAATTCATATCAGGCTAAAATGTAGAGGGCTGTATGGGGGCAAGAATCTCCAAATAGTACACTTAACTAACTCTTCTAAATTTAATATCTTGCATGGGAATATGCCCCGCATGGCATTGTCACCATAGATGGTAATTCTGCAGAGCAGAGCAGATGGGACTCGTGCAGGTCTCATAGCTTGGCCTTCTCGCCATCCAACCACCCCACGATCGCTTTGGCCCATCCATCTGCGCCATCTTTCCCGAAATCGAAGAACCAGTGCCCGTAAAGCCGCCCGAGTTCAGGGTGGTCGAGCCACTCAGCATGCTGGATGCCTTGTTCCAAGTCTCGCGTTTCTGCATATGTGATGACACAGTCGCGCTCGCCATGGATCAGCAAGATAGGCAGCGAGGCGGGGATGGACGAGAGTAGAGGACGCATATCCAGCCTTGCGCACGCTGCTATCTGCAGACCGATGACTTCGGCTGGACGGCTGCGTGGGGACAGGCGCCAAGACAGGATAGCAGAGCAAAGTATATAAGCACCCCCACATGAATCTCTCCGAAGAGCTGTACCCAAGAGCGGGAGAACTCACTCGACTTTTAGATCCATGTCAATGCGATGCTGAATGATGTTTCGGTTTGTCTCACTAGCTTCAATCCACTCTGGATAGTACTGCAACTTGAAGAATTCATTTTTGATTTTTCGGATACGTTCGTCCTCGTCTTTGATAGCCCACGCGCTACGAGCGGAAGATACCATTACGCGGGTCAGAATTGCGAGTATAAGGGCCACATTTGAACAAACTTACGCTGCAGCCAGAGCTTTAGGGTCGAAGTTAACGTGCGGTCGCTTGGCAGCGGTGGCGGCGAGGATTGCCTTGCGAATTTTGACGCCTCGGATTTCTCGCTTGCCGTCTGAGTCGGTGCGTGCCTCTGGCGATGTGAGCAAAATCTGGACGATGAAGCCGCCCATGCCTGTAAGGGTCGCAAGAGATGAGCATGCTCGCCATTAGCATATCACATGCCACTGAGGATTAGAAGTGTCTCATGGCCTAGATACGCACTCCAGCCAAGCATATCCACTGCTGTCTTTCCCAGGTCCCGCACGACGCAGAGTACGTCTAGGGCCATTCGTTGTAACGTTAAGTTGCCATCCCAGTCATCTGGAAATTTAGAGTTGCCGATGCCGCGGTTGTCGACTATGATTACTTCGCGCGTCCGCGCAAGCAATTGCGCGAGCGGGTAAAAATCGCGACCAATGCCCGCCATGCCCATGATCTGCAAATTGCGAGCGTGATCGAAGTGTTGGTTGAGCCGAAACCGGGAAGTCGATCATTGGGTCAGTGAGACATGTTCACGCGTTAAACTTGAAAGAAGAGCTCACTAGCACCAAAGGTACATTGCATGCGTTGTTGAGATTCGCAGGGGCGTGGACCTCGTACCAGATGGTTGCGCCATCCTCCGCCCGAACGGATCTCTCTGTAGGCATCTTGCTTGCACTTTCCCCCTGTACTACGTACCCTGTCAGACGAGGGGACACGGGCAGCAGAGGCGACGGTGGAAAATGAGTCCGTTGCGAAGCCTTTCCCCGAAGAGATGTTTGACTAGTTGTATTCCCGCAGCGAGCGCTTCTGACTCCTGATCAATGCAATGCGTTTCGGCGATATCAACAGGTGATCACAAAATCAATCCCGCATTCCTTGCTTCTGTGGCGAGAAAGAACCCCCTTGGTCCTGTGTGTGTGTCTCCACAAGGCAAAGTTAGAGGATGACCTAGGTCAGTACCGTGTATGAAAGAGGTGCAGCATGTTGACTAGCGATCTGATCTGCTACAGGTCTTGACAATTGATAGCCGGTGGATCGTGAGTCCATTGCGAGTGGGGCGGTAGATAATGGATGGAGTTCTGAAAGCGATGTTCTCACCTGGTCGCAGGGTTGAAAAGAGCTTTGCAACCCTACTTTATTTGGGCTTCGGGCACTTGGCCGGTTGGCACGGAGCCCCGCATTAGGGCCGCAGCGTATCACGTCAGCAGCGCTCATCAAACATATCGTGACAGCGGGCGATTCCATTCGTTCGCTCCTCTCCGAAAGCCGTTCACATGCTCCTCCTTTAGAAGACGTTTCTCCGAGGATCACAAGACAGGCTCGAACTGGAAAGGAGACCAAGGTGCAGGCCACGATACCCGCAGCAGGTGACCCCAAACGGAGGAGGATCAGGCGCAGAAGAGGCTCACACTACCTCTCGTAGACGGGCAAAGACAAAGATGTTGCTGTACCAAGGTTATCGGATGTGGGTGTCTCAAATGACTCCATAGAGCTACCCACTCGCCAACGACAAGACGCGTCATGGCCGCCGAGCTGAATCTCTTTCACCCTTTCTTTCATGCTTGACCTGATCGACGACTTGCATCTGTCATCCACAGGTTCATCTCTTCAGGTAAATTGACATCGAACGAGCCAGACGCGGCGGAGCTGACCTTCAGACGTTCGCATCGTTTCTTATATGCTCAACGTACTCGTGCCACCGAATACCGGCTGCTTGTCCGTGATTGATTAGATGCATACATTCTGGAGCCAACGGGCCCGGGGTCAGACAAGGCCGCTTCGCTCAAGATTGATAGGCGAAAGAATGGCATCGGACTAATCAGTGAGTATTCAGTTCAGACGTTTGCGCAGGCTGTGCGCCACTCCACTCTTTGTCTTCCAGAGTGGACAAATAAATTGAATTTGGACTGCCGTCACAAATCCCTGGCACCCATATCATCTCGCGATGAAACGAATCTGTTGACACGGACATCTTGTCCTTGCAGCCACAAAGGAAGGGCGGGGCGACAAAGTCATGGAGGCTCACGGTGAGTGCAGCCATTGAAGCTTGAAGATCGCTAGCTGCAACTGCCAATTAACATGGGAAACAACCTCTCCCGCTGCCCACCTTGGACTTGCTAGCCATCCTTGGTATCATCTCCCTTCAAACCTCCGACTTTCTGATTGTCGTTACATCGCGCAAGAAGGTCGGCTCGATCCTCGGCTCCGACATCTTCCTTGCGACAGATTTCCGTGTGCTGCCCATATCTGCTGACGCCAAGCGGGCGTTGCTCATGCGGAACCCGGTCGAAAAGACGCTGCTGGACCTTCTCAAGACACATCTGTACTCAGCCCCCTTCTACTTTTCCTACACCTATGACCTAACGAGCAGCATGCAGCGCCAGACGCGCCTGGCCGAGCAGCTTGGCGGGCCGGAGCAGCTGAACGGCCTGCCGATGTGGAAGCGCGCGGACGACCGCTTCTTCTGGAACAGGCACCTGCAGGAGCGCCTCATCTCGCTATCCGAGACAGATGCGCGTGTCGCGAGTTTCATCCAGCCCTGCCTCTTTGGTTTCCTCGAAGTCAAATCTGCCACGATCAATGCGCGCGACTTTATATTTGGCCTCATCGCGCGACGTAGTCGGTTCCGTGCGGGCACTCGCTACTTTAGCAGGGGTATCGACGAAGATGGACATGTCTCCAACTTTAATGAGACCGAACAGTTCGCCCTGCTCGACCCTCAAGCTTTAGATGGCAGCATTCGGCCCGCCAAAGTGCAGGGGAAGCTTCGACTTTCGTATGTCCAGACGCGAGGAAGCGTTCCCGTCTTCTGGGCCGAGGTGAACAATCTCCGGTACAAGCCAGACTTGCTCGTGATGGAGAAGGATGGCACTGTAAGTCCCTTTGCGAAGTGCGCTTTACTTTGCTCGGCTTCAAGTTCTTAATATTCGCGGCCCCCGCTCTTCATTCACTTTTTATCAGCTTGAAGCGGCCAAACTGCACTTTTCGGAGCAGACCTCGTTATACGGCGACGTCTACATCGCCAATCTGGTCAACCAGTCCGGCTACGAGAAACCCGTCAAGGAAGCATACGAGCGACTTGTGAAGAAGTTAGCCAATTCGCAAGTACACTACACTTATTATGATTTCCACCACGAGTGCAATGGCATGAAATTCGAACGCGTCATGGAGCTCGTGCAGAGGATGAACGAACAAGGGCTCGAGAGCGATGAGTGAGTGCAGGTGCAGACTCAATACTCAAGTGCATCGTCAATCTAGATCCTTTGGGAATACGGAATGGTTACTCACCTTGCTTAACCACCCGCATACCCGTTCACAGCTACTTTTACCAAGACGCATCCAGCTCGATTCCAAACACCAACCGCCAGCAAAAGGCCGTCCTGCGGACTAACTGCATGGACTGCCTGGATAGGACAAATGTGGTCCAGAGCACATTTGCACGCGCCGTGCTCAACGAGCAGCTGGCAGAAGTTGGCATCGTTCAGAAAGGTGAAGGGATTGAACAGCACGCCGAATTCTGGCACCTCTTCAGGAATGGTGAGTCCTGCTGAAGGCGCGCGTGTTCCTGCGGCAGGCATGCCCAACCATGGTAGCCCATATTGAGCGATTTACTTTCTGTGTGCTCGGCTTCAGTCTGGGCGGACCACGCGGACGTCATCTCGAAAGCGTACTCCGGCACGGGGGCGCTCAAGACGGACTTTACGCGCACCGGCAAGCGATCCAAAGAGGGAGCGCTGCAAGACGGCCTCAACTCTTTGATGCGCTACATCAAGAATAACTTCTTCGATGGTAGCAGACAAGACGCCTACGATCTCTTCACCGGCGCTTGGAAGGCTGATTTAGGGCAGCTCGTTGTCGATGAGCGGACGGTCGTCGTACGGTCTATGCCATGGGTCGCCTTCTTCGCGGCCGTCATGATTCTTTCCGCTACTTTCTTGCCGCGAGATTCGGGTGAGTTGCGCGACTCGCGGGATCGAAGAAAAGTTTCGCACTGACGCCATGTTACTTTCGCAGCAACCTCCATGACTTACTTTGTCGCTGCGTGGATCGTCATCGCGATGGCTGCTGTCCAGTTCATGGTATCCCGGGGCATCGATTACGTCGACTGGCCGAAGCTGAACAGGCCAGTCGAGGCGCTCTTCTACGAGGGACCGGGGTACTATTCGGGTCGTAAAGGGCGTGCGAGTGTTGTAGGCCATGCTGGAAGGAACATGAAACGCACCGAGCGCATGATGTCGGTCACCAAAACGGAGGGCGAGAAGTCGTCGAGGCGAGGCGGACGCAGAGGTGCTTATTACCAAGATGACAAACAGGAATAGCAACTGGAAGGAATGTATTATTTGCATAGATGAAGCAGAGGTCTACAGAAGCATCTCGTCGACATTTCAGGAGATGGAAGACTTGTACACAGAGGCGAGTAGTTGCTAACCACCAGCAGGTGTTCCTGAACGCCTCAATGAGCAAGGTCTATTGTACATCTGTACGAGTGCGGGTATTGCAACATTGCAGAGACATGATGCCATATTAATAGATTCGATTTGAAGAGATGACGAGTGATGATTGCGTCTGGAAAGACTCGAGCTGGGATGGGTGTCGTTGTTGATCACGAGAGGAACTTCTTGTACCGTAGGAAGACTTTCGCACTTTGGATGAAACGCTGTCTGGAACATGTTTATGTTACATCTGAAGCTGTGCAAGTCATTGCTGCAGTTTGTGCTGCAGCTGAAGTCCGTCTTTTCGCATTCTCCGTCTCGCTTCCTCCTCCAGTTCCTCGTGTAGGAGACGTTCGACCACTTCATTCTTCTTGGTCCGAGAGTTACCGATGGAGATCAGGATGCCGCCAATCGCGCTGCACGACAGAGAAGCGGTGACAATGCTTGCGGTGAGCGCCGTAGGACGGTGTTGATAACCTGCGGATTTCGGGAGATAGGGGAAGAAACGGCCATGTCAACGTCTTGCCACAAGGAACGAGAACACATGGACGTGAGGCTCACGAATACCCCATGTCAAACCACCCAGGCAAGCTTGCAAACACGAGTGTATATCGAGAATGAGGACGATCGCAATCATTAATTTGAGGCTGAATGCGCGGTGCGTGATGCTCTCGTTGAAACGATAGTAGTGGTGGGCATGATAGAACTTGCGCTGATGGTACACGAGCTTCATCTCATTTTTCAAGGAGAGCAGAGAGGCATCGTCTGCTGAGGTGTGCGACGCAACGATCCGCGAACTTCGGTGCAAGGTGTCATCATGAGTCGATGCAATGCCGGTAAGATATGACGCTACTGCGTTAATCTTGCCCGAATTGACGTCAATCTTAATACACAAACCTTGCACCTCACTACCGATCGTCTCTTCATTACACCTGAGATCTTTTGCTCCGTTAGCGTGGTTCTTGCGAAGGTGCAAAATATTGGATGCGCGGACCGAGACGCGTTTCTTGGAAGCTGTGTTGGGTGTTGCAACGTTGTTGCCACAATGCGAAACCGATATACCCAATGGAAGCTCTTGGCACAGCTTGGATTCGTGCGCCCGGAATGCCGCGCTGCGCGGCAAGTCGTTCGGGTCCTCCAGCGTCGGGAGACCGAGCTCATACCTTCGCCGCAAAGCCCTGCGGTGCAAGTGCACGATATTGATCATGCGATATGTGTCGACTGCTCGAAAAGGTGCAAAGCCGAGACCGATGAGTGTGAAGAGCGCCGTGAGGACCTGGTCGCAGATCTCGATCCAGTGGCGTCGGTGGCGTGGGTTCCACCATCGGACGATCAGTGCAAAGATCAGGACACCCCAGACGAAGACGGCGAAACCGTAGCAGAGAAAGAAGAAGCCCATTGGCGTCGTAATGTAGTTCCAAAAGCCCTTGAGGCGGTGCTTGAATTTCTCCTTGCATGTCAGCAGCTGGCGTATGTGCTCTTCCAGTCGCTGCTGCTCTCTCTCAGCCTCATCCTCGTCGTCTGCGTGCTTGCAGGCCGTGGCATCGCCTACGGCCCTCTTGGAAGTTTCAGCTTTGGGCTGTGGGCTTCGCTTTACACCGGACACAGTGATGTTGCTCGGCGTCCGCACCAATGACAGCGCGCAAGATGGTGTAATCGGCGCGGCCTGCTGCCATTGCTGGTCAGGGGAAGGTGCCACACGCCGGCTAAAGAGAATCGAAGCTGCGATAGGCGGCCTCGGCAGCGGCGGAGGGAAAGTACCAAGTCCAGCAGAGCCAGGAGCTTCGAGGTCGACAGAAGAGCTTGGAGAGCTGAATGACGTCGACTGTCTAAGCCGACCATACTCCCTATCCCCGAAAGTGCCGATTGCAGGAGAAGGGGTAGAAGCAGGCGTGGGAAACATTGCACTCAGCGAGGCCAGCGTGGGTAGCCCGATGCCGATGCTGTCCATACTCGGCAGGCGAGAGAAAGGCGGGGCAAAAATCTCATTCTGGATGTCCATCAGCGTGCGCCGCATTGCGACTTCCGGATCGACTACATCCAAGACGTGGTGGAAGTCCTCGTACAGCCCGCAGTCGAGGTCCTCAGCATCTTGTGAACGCCGTGAGCGCCGACAAAGACGATGATGCTGATTATGGGATTGGGTTGAATGCATGTCGGGTTGCGTGGCGGAGAGGCGATGCCATTGACTTGCGTGCTCACCATGTTCATGAAGTCCCGAAACGCTCTCGCCGTACCTCTCGCCGCCTAGCTGGTCGGCACCAAAGTCGATCACACTTTGCAGGCGCGTCTGCTGGCCAACCCGGCTGTTCCTCTGCGCTGTGATACTGCCAAGCAAGGATGAACGCCGGAGTCCTTTGCTGCCAGCTAGAACTGGAGGGGAAGCGGTACCAGTGGGGCTGTAGGCCAAGGTGCTCAACGCGTAAGCTGGAGCCTCTAAGGTGTCTGCGAAGTTCACTTGTGTGTGAGGTGGCATCGTCGGCAGCGGTTCCGAGGTACGTCTACTTGATCCCGTCGCGGAGCTACTGACTGTATGGGCACGGTGCTCTTGGCGCAGCTTCGCTCCGTTTGCGTTGGGCCCATTGCACCCTACGGCCGTTGCGCCGCTGAGTGTGTATGCATGCGTGAGTGGCAAAAAACTGCTGAAATGGCCTCCGTCACTATCGAGAGATTGCTCATCCAGATGCTGCATTGTTACCCGTTGCTTTGACGCGTTCCCCCCACGTCCTTGAGCATTGCTCGCCCTCATGTCTCGTCAATGTCCCTTTGAACAGCACATCTGCAAGACACATCTGAAGCGTCAAGCTTTCTATTTCGCTAAAAGGGGGAAATCGAATTAGCATACACTCAGAGGATGTGTTTCGGGATTGCAAACGGCCTTACCTTCAGGCGTTAAGTAGATGCTGCTACCTTGCCACGACTGTGACTGCAAGGGACGCTTCGAACATTACTCGCAAGAGATAAGCTGTGCGCCGTTGATGTCGTTAAGCGGGTCTTAGGCGGTGCGTATGCGCTTCCTTGAAACTTTCTGGTATGCTGGACAGGGTATGTGCGACGTTCACAACGATCGTTCGAAAGAACTGGAACGCAGCGCGCCCAGAATTGCCATTCGCCTTCGATCGTCACCGTGAAGCCTGGTTGCCCGTTGACTGAACTGACCTGTGAAGTCGTAATAAGCATGAAGGTCACGAAAGGGAGAGAACAGAGAGTGTGGTCAAAAACATAATTACTTGGTGAAATGTAGGATGCTGAACAATGATGGGGCCCAAAGTCAAACATCTATACTGGCACAATGGTAAACGATGCATGTGATATGTTAACCCTCTTCACCGGCGCCTTTCTGGAGCATCTCTTTCATTGGTTGGTTTCTCTTGATACACCGCGCTTCATGAATAACGCATGTCGTCCAGTGTCAGCCCTGGTTCCCCAGAATCCTCCCGAAACCTCTTCGCTCGAGTTGAGCCTTCTCGACGAGTCGCGGCCCAATCTTTAGTCATGCAGATTAGGGGAGGAACTGGTTCAAGTTTGGGATTGAAAAGCGAGCTGACGGGCGGGGTTCCAGTCATGCGGCAGCCGGCATGGCTAATCCATCCGAGTACCCAGACTGCAGCGTGTGTTTCCAGGTAGACTCCCATCCCGATGCAGCTCCAGATTCCAGAGGCAGGCCAATGATGCCGACAGCCGAGAATAAGATGGACTTACAAAACGGGTGCGCCGCTCGGAGCTAGCGCTCTCACGCGTCCCCTCTCCTGATGGAATAACAGTACCATTACGGGGAATCAACTCAAAAAGCTCCTAAATTCCTTTCGCTAGCTCCGAAAGGGTGTCACATTTTGCTGGAATTTTAGGCGGCCACCCGCACTTTCCACCAACGGACTTGCGGCGACCCGGCGGCACGCGGCATGCGGCACGGCGCCAGCAACAACTCTCAGATCGGCACGGTACTGCGCAATCCACACAGCAAACAGCACGCGGCACAGGCCACTGCCGACAACCTTGCGACAGCCTGAGATACCCGCAAAGCGTGCTAGATCGAAGAGTGTGAACCTGTAAACCCGATTGAAGCAGCGCAGGAATCCGATGTGGGCAGTTGAACAAAAGCGTGGGATGACGGGATCATAGGAAGAGTCTGCGAAGGCGGGCAGGCCCTTGAGCCCTGGAGAACCCAGACAGGCCTAGGTTTACATGTATGAGCCTATTTGTCTGGATAAGCTTGCCTTAGAGCAGCGCAGGCGCACTCGACCGGGGCGACGCTTGAAGCTGGCGAGATTGCGGGCGGGTGGTTGTGCTAGCGAGACACCGTCCGCCACCCAGTATGTATGCAACCACAGAATACAGATAACACGTCAGCAGGCTCACTCCAGAGCGCGGCTGAGAACGCAGCTGCAGCCTGCATCGTGGTTAACTGCATCAAGCACTACTGCGCCAACAGCCTCACCACTAGCAGTTCTTTTCCACTGGTACCAAACAAAGGATGCCAAGGCGTCAATTAGGATGGAAGCCTTTAAGAGCTGCAATACATGAGACAATTTCCGAGGCTCTGAGGCGCACTTGCAAAAGTGAAGAGTCTCATACAAACCACAGCTGATGCTCATCTCGGAGGATCCGCGTCTTGTACCTCCTTGTCTTCGGCGCGGCCTCTGGCGCCCCTTCGAGTCTTGTCTCACCATCTCTTTGTGGTGCCGAAATGGAACCGTCAATAGTGAATTGCTTGCACATTTCTCTCATTCCGACACCTCGCTAGCATCTTTCATTCTTCACGCTGCACTGACCATGGAAGTAGTGCGCAATGAGGTACACTAGCTACGCCACAGATTGTAGGGTTGCGCTCTGCTCACGTCCGGAAGCATCACGCTGACTATGTCGACGCAGATCACAGCTGATCGCGGCGTTGCTGCCCGTTCAGCCTCAGCTTCCGGTGGCGGCTCAGTAACAACCGCAGCAGACCAAGCGTGTAAGGCGGCCTCGGCACCTTTCACATTGACTGCTGCCGCTGGAAGCCAAGGCGATGGGTCAGAGGCGAAAGATCTGAGGATGGACCCGTCGAATTCCGTCCCTCAGGCGAACGGCTCAGCTGGACACCAGGTCTTCGAAAAGGGTCAATTATCCCATCCAGGACAAGGGACAGCAAGACAAGCAGAGAATGATCACGCCGTCAGCTACTTTGAGCGATGTTCACTACGCATCAAGCGCTGTGATGACAGGGTAGCAGCTTACAATGAGCGCTCCCGCGATCGAAGAAAGTACGGCACTGGAAAACGCACTCGGGTGGGGATGCCTGACGTGGCTTCGGCGCTGGACTCATCGGCTATGGGTCCTATCAATATGCAGGCGGCAGCATCAACACATGTGCAGGCGCAACCACAAGCGCATGCTACTGGGCAGGAAGGGCGGGTGATCGGCACCAAGGGAGAGACGTTCCTACAGCGGCACATCGTTGTTGTCCTTGTCGCTGTCATATACTCTTGGGCGTACATTGGTGAGCTTCAAGATCCGTGGCTCATTACCTTTTTGCTTTCCTGGAGTCATATACTAACAAAGTAATCACGCATCGACTTGGGACCACAATTCAAGTCTACGTTTGGCGCCTATGCGCGCCCATGTTGCAGCACAGAAAGGTGGCCTTGAACAGTCAAGGGGCGGGAGGTACGTCAGTGCGCAAAGTTCTTATACAGCTTTTACTCATCGTATTCCATGCCTTGTATGCTGGAGCAGTGTTATTGCTTGTCATCTTCAACATCCTCTTCTTGATGGCGATCTGGTCCTACATCCGAGTTGTGCTCTCCCAACCGGGCTTTGCGCGTGATTGTGTGCAGCCTTCTGACCCACCTGCACCATATGATGGCCCCAGAGCGACGACGGCTATTCAAGAGGCACCCCAAAGCAGCGGTCCTCAAGAGCCGCTGAGTGAGTCCATTCCCATTGAGCATTCAGCACTAGCGCCGCAGCCAGCACCGCAATCAGCCCACGGCGCGCGAATTGCTGTCGCAAATGAAAGTGAAAAGGATGAAGAAAGAGCCACGGAGTCTGCGCTGGCTGCTACCATTGACTCTACTGGAGTAGCCGTTGTCAGCGCAGACAAAGAAGCGCCGCAGGTGAAGTACGAGGTGCAAAACTTTGGGCAGAACCCCACATCAACCCAAGCAGCTACTGTGCAGTCAAGTATTGCTGCATCACAACCGCAGCAGACGACTGTACTGAACAACCAGAACCCCGCTCCTCAGCTCTTGCCTGAGCCGGTGCGCATCCCGCCTGATATCCCGCCGCTCCATCCATCACAGCGGTACTGCCACCAGTGCAGAATCATCAAGCCGCTGCGGACGCATCACTGTCGTAAATGCGGAACATGCGTGCTGCGCATGGACCACCATTGCACCTGGGTCGCCGGCTGCGTCGGCGCACGCAACCACAAGTTTTTCCACAATTTTCTCGTCTGGACGACCCTGCTCGAGGTGTACATCCTCATTACGCTCGCCTACCACTTTGCACAGGGCATGCAGCGGCGGGATACGTGGCCCATCGACGGATACATGATCAGCTTGTTCCCTCTCATTGGTTGGTTCGTCATCTTCACAGGCACGCTGCTTGGCCTGCACACCTACCTCTTTCTCACGAATCAAACGACGATTGAGCAGCTTGACAAGCAGCGACGCGACTCGCGCGAGGCGATCATGCTCTCCATGTACTTTTCGCCCAAGGGCGAAGGTGGCGCCGAACTGGCACGCCGCAAAGGCGCGCGGAAGGCGTCATTGTGGAAGTTTAAGGAGAAGCAGAAGATCAAGAGGAAGTGGGACGAGGCGTGGGGGACTCCGAGCACGCAGGGCAACATGTGGTGGCTCGGTGGGCCGGGCGAGCTTGCGCTCGCTACAGCCGCAGCGGAAGGTGGCTCGAATACATCCGAAACGTATCTGCTGACAGAAACCACGGCCAAAGAAATGGGGGTAGCGGGAAGGGGAGCCTGGCTGACCAACTTTAAAGAGGTCATGGGCACCAATCTGATGCAGTGGCTCTGTGAGTGTTGCAGCTCGCAGCGTCGTTGCATGCTCGAGCGTTGGGGCTACAATTCTGACTTTGCCTCCTCCTTGCTGGCAACCACAAAGTCCCGATCGGACAGACGCCGCACAATGGATTGTGGTACCCGCTAAACCCACGCTTCAAAGAGGACGGATCGTGGACGCCGCGGGAGCACTGGTTGGATATCTTGCGATAAAGATGGCAGGAAGCCTCACGCTTGTGGAGCTTTGGACTTGCGATACCCCAGTATATGGTGTCCGATCTTCATTTCGCAAGCGCTCGCTTTTCAGCCGAACTCAGACACCTATTCTGTTTTGAACACAAGGCATATGCTTGTTGAAGTTACGAAAGGTCTGAGCTTTTGTGTCAAACCTTTCGATCTTTGGCGAAGGAACGGTACAGGGACACATTGAAGATGCAATGTTCGTGTGTCAGGTGAAGCCATTTCGGGCCTGGAGGTGGCGCAGCGGGAGCACGGGAAGGGCAGGACAGTTGCTTGCCACGACCCAGATCTCTGTCCCAAGCTTGCATCTCTAACGAAGACTTTCCCAATCAAACCCCGCAAAATCCTTGAAGCGCGGGCAGTTTGTGCGCGGCGCAATCGTGGCTCACGTGTTCGAATTCCCAGATATCGATCCTCTTGGCGTTCCTCGGCGGACCGCGGCTCTGCTGCGGGTGTATAAACAATTCTGCTTGCCGTATGAGTATGAGATCTGGCGCTTGGTGCCTGCTGAGATCCGATACCCATGAATTTCTTGATGCTGGACCTTGCGAGACTTGGGTTACTTTTAGCTATACATGCCCTCCTCCCCTCGCTTGCGATGTAGATCGATTTTTGAGCGAAGCGGATGAAAGCGATTATAGCTGGTAATGCAGTAGAATGTGATCGAACATCTCTTGGAGCCTTAGATGGAGCTGACACTGTTGACATGCGAAGTTGAACTTCATCCATAGATGTCGATACCATGGAGAGGAGGCGAATGTGGAGATGATGGCATATACGCTTGTTGAATTTCCAAGAATTCAGTAGAGGGAAAAAACTCTCCAACATACATCGATCATGCTAGCTCGACACCGTGCGGACCGCGCGTCCCTCGCGCACCTTTGCAATGATCAGCGGACCCACGGTGGTTCCTCAACGGAAGAAGACGGAGAGCACCTCCGACATGGAAGGGGGACGTTGGTACCAGTACCTGCTCTTGATGACATTCAAGATGAAAAGTATTAGCCGAGTGTCCTTCGCCTTTCATTGAGGTCAGAAGGAGACCCAGCAACACAAGCGAGTTCTTCCGACACCGAGAAAGTATGCGATGGAACTTGTATATGAATCGGGCGAGCAACGAAGGAATGGCCGAATTCTTTTCGTCTCCTTTCCCCAGAAGTTTCTATCTCTCAGCTTCTTTGTGCTTCCTAATTGACTCTCGCAGCCAGACAAAAACTGTTCATTTCACTCTTTTCGTCTACATCCTTCGCCCATATGCAGGACAGAACTTGTCTTGACCCCTTCTTCTAATTTAAAGCATCAGTACTTTCAGTAATTTGTCAATAAGAAACGCTTATTATAAAGGTTTCACTCGCTGCAATCACGCTTTTTACCCTTTTCATGACGGCTAAAGCCGCCCCCATCCTGTAGCGCACCTCAAGCATCGGTATTAGCAACGGCTGTGGAGTGGATATGGTTCGCAGGTCTCCTAGCATCTGCTGGTCCAACAATAAAAGCATTGGAGGACCGTGAGGGACCGAGGTACCAAAGGACACCCACTGTACATGAGCAAGGTAAATATCTATGCGTCATGAGAACTGAGGAGGCGATCCTAAAATTGGAAGGCGCATATTCCGTTCTATGCCCTCTTTTCTCTCAAGCAAGTTCTCGACAATAAAACCGTTCCGTCCGGTAAACCAGCTTCGAAATCCAACCTGACAGCCCACTATCTGCCTACCTGCGAGCCTTCTGGATCTTCGAGAGGAGTTAGTACAATGTGAATACGAACAAATAAAAGACCCTCGCACGAGAAGAGGTGGGTGTGTTAGGTGTCTTCTTCTTTGAGACTCCTCGGTTCGTCATCAATCACGTTTCGAGTTCGGACGACAGTTTTATTCTGGACCCAAATCAATTGCGGATCGTAATATGTGGCTGAACACGAAAAATCGACGCTTGCATGCAAGCATTCTACGAGGTACTGATCAGCGAGTAGAGGGACGAACATGCATCAGCAAGCAAGATATGCCGAAAGGCCAATCGCATCCCCGCAGCTTCTGGCCGCGGGTGGAAACAATCAGCCACGTAAATAGTTGCCCTTTGGGCCAAATGAGCAGAAACAAAAGAGCAGATGAGCGCGAGGAGCTGCGACCTGCGAGGAGTGAGCCAAATGATGCACGGCTTTCGCCAACACATTGCCTTGGCGTTGCCTTTCGATCATGCTCATTGTCCAAGGGTTGGAGAAGGCCCGAAGCATAGAGACACAAGCACATGAGCAGGAATAAGCTGGGCGCGCTCCATCAGAGAGGGGGGGGCTTGCGAACTTCGAAGCTGGCTGAACCCACGAGGCGGGCCAGAGAGTCACTTCCATTCCTTCAGAGGTGGCAAGTGGGTGAACCAGAGTGTCGTCTTCTGCATTAAAGAATTCATGAACATAAGGGGGCATCTGACCGAATATGGATTGAGGCTGGATATCAATGGATGTGTTGTCAACCGGATTTCTCCCACCTCTCGTGTCTTCTTTTCTCAGAGCGTCTCAATGTCGTCGCTGACACTGCTGGCCAGAAACAGAAGTTACTCATATCCTGCTCGTCTTGGCATTCGCACTCGTCTGCTGTACAGAACAAATCCCACAGCCATTTTCCGAACCTATCCTCATCCCACGTGCATCATGGCTTCACATTCTGAAATACCGTCGATAATTCAAGCAGACAGTTTTTCACCATAAAGCTTTCAACCGTCACCCACACCGATCCTCGCTCTTGCAATGACGGCTCAAGCAGTCCCCATCCTAGAGCTCGGTTCAAGCGGCGCCGCCATGCGGACCCGTGACGCATCCTTGTCGGACGGTCACATTTCTATCTTTGCCCAGTACCCCTCTAGCTCAGGAGATGGACCGATTTGTTGAACCGATCAACCGCAACCTGCGCAGAGAGCTGATGACGGGGTCTCTCGATTCCTTTGCGTCTCTTGATTGGTGTATTATAGACGACGGTGATAGTGACAATGGCAGGAAGGAAGCCCTTGATCTGCCTCTATTCAGTGCGCCGATTCCAGTCCTCTTAATCAATCGAGGCCAATCAGAATCCTCGTCAGTCCCGCATCGCTCACAACCGAATTTCGAGCCTGGAGCCACAAGCATCGGATTCTTAGCACCATGAAACTTCGTGTCGGTAATGGGAGATTGATTAACACTGATGATCGAAGGGAATCAGAATATGTACAGAGTAGCCGTGATCATGAAGCCCGTAGCTTAGGAGGCATGGGCAACTGCGATGTCAATGTGGACTGCCGATTCCCCATCAGAGACAGGGACGCAGCAAAGAAATGAAGAATCACCAAGGTCATCCGCGACGTAGTAGTTCCAAGTCTATACCGCTTTTCGAGACCTGGGGTCCAGAAGCGGCCGAGGTGTACGCCCTGCCCGTCGAACGCCTTCATAGTGATGAGCCAACGGCGCGACTCGGTGGCAAGTCGTGCAGCCAGCTCCAGCTCCAGCCCAGTTCCAGTCATAGCGCCTACTGCTGACTCCTTGATGCGCAAGGAGGATAGTACCGAAGAAGACGATAACGAAGGCGTCAACGACGAGCCGCTGCATGAATACGAGATTGGCGAAGGGGCGGATGTGCTTGGCTGCGATGACGATGCGACGAGGCGCTTTTCGTCAGACGTAATTGAGGGCCAGTCTCCCGGCCGATAAAGCAATGAATCTCTCGGCCGAAAGCTGGTATGCAGTGCCTTCTTGTCCTCTCTTTCACGCCCGCCCTGTGTAAGTCCAGTCGCCGAGGTGAGGCTGGAGATGGGGACGGGACGTAGCGCAGCGCAGCGCGGCACAGCGGACGGATGAGTAGGCCCGAGCGCCGAGGCGGGGATGGCGGGCTGGTGCGAGCGTGCGCGCGGGCCTGCCAATAACCAACCAACTACATACCCGGTGAGCCGGTGGCGACTTTGGCTCGACACAGCCAGAAGACTGCTCTCATGCCGTATATCCTACCGATGGCATTGTTGCCTCTTTCATCCGGTGTTGGTTGCGATGGCCCTCCCATCCCCCCCGCATGACCATCCTCATCCTCAATTGCTTCCATCCATCCTTTCTTTCTTCCCTCCTTCCCTCCTTCCTTCCCTCCTTCCTTCCTTTCCACCCCATCCCATTCACCCACAGATAGGCAAAGCCTTGTTACGCCCTCAGGACAGCAATACCCCCCACCCGGGAGCCTTGAGCCGCTGTTGTTCAGGTCCCCTCAGCTCGCTCGCTGGCCGTTGTTGTTGCAACACACACCCCTCCGCCTTGCAGACCCCCACCACCGCTTGACCGACGTATCCCCCTTTCCCCCCAGGCACCATGTCTGAATTTCCAGAGATAGAGAACGGCAAGATCTCCTTCAAGGGGAGGACCGCCATCGTGTCCGGCGCCGGCAATGGTCTTGGACGAGCGTGAGTGTTTGCAAGTGAACTCCTGCATTTATGCAGACTCTGCGCGCAGCGCAGCGTGGAGCCATTCAGACGCGCTTCTTGATTGCTTGCCATCGCACCGGATTTCAGCTTGCTTCTGCGTGCAGGGCTGCATTCGCTTCAATTCTTTTGGGGAAAAGGGGCTTCAGCAAAATGGCAAGCCGAGCTTCTGGCTCCCTTCGCATTGCATAGCTTTTCAGGCTCGGTGGCCCAGACTCTTCGCACTCGCTTCCAAATTTATTCTGCAGCTCTATGGAAAAATAGAACCGGTCCACTGACCCATCTTTTTGCTTGCCCTACAGATACGCCATCATGCTTGCCCAGCGCGGCTGCAAGGTCCTCGTCAACGACTTGGGCCCCAGCATGACCGACAAGTCGCGGAAGGCAGCCGATGTCGTCGTTGAAGAGATCAAGAAGGCTGGCGGTGAGGCTGTCGCCAACTACGATTCTAATGTCGAAGGCCACAAGTTGGTCAAGCAGGCCATCGACACGTGGGGCCGCATCGACATTGTCATCAACAATGCCGGCATCCTCCGCGACAAGTCCTTCAAGAGCATGACCGACGCAGAGTTTGACGCCATCGTCGCTGTGCATATCACCGGCTCCTACGCAATCGCCCATGCAGCTTGGCCATACATGAGGAAGCAGAAGGTGAGGGACTGAACTTCATTCTATTACGTAGGAGAGCGCGAGAGAGGCGTGGCTGACTCGTCGCTCCTTCTCTTCAGTACGGCCGCATCATTAACATTTCTTCCGCTGCCGGCATCTACGGCAACTTTGGTCAGGCCAACTACTCGGCTGCCAAGCTGGCCATGAACTCTTTCTCGAAGACGCTCGCCATCGAGGGAGCAAAGTACAACATCATCGCCAACACAGTCGCACCGATCGCTGCGTCGCAGATGCTCGCGACGATCATGCCTCCCGAAGTGCTTGAGCAGCTCAAGCCCGAATTTGTCTCGCCGCTTGTCGCTTACCTCGTCTCAGCAGCCAACAAGGACGTCACCGGCCAGCTCGTCGAGGCCGGTGCCGGCTTCATGGCCGGCCTGCGCCGCGAGCGCTCCAAGGGCGCCGTCTTCCGCGCCGACGACACATTCACTCCATCAGCAGTGCGCGCGCGTATCGATGAGATCCTCAACTTTGAGAATGACCCCCAGTACCCCGAGAAGCTTACTGATGCCAACCATCTTGAGTTCCTCGAGCGCGCCAAAGGCGCCAAGGCCAACGACCAGGGCGATGTTAAGGTCCGTTATGACGGCAAGACTGTGCTCGTCACCGGCGCCGGCGCCGGCCTCGGAAAGGCATACGCGCTCATGTTCGCCAAGCTCGGCGCCAACGTCGTTGTCAATGACTTTTCCGAGAAAGCCGCAGCGGCTGTCGTGGAGGAGATCAAAAAGGCCGGCGGAAAGGCTGCGCCCGCAATCGGCTCCGTCGAGGATGGTGCCAAGATCGTCAAGGCGGCGACCGACGCGTACGGCGGGCTGCACGTCATCATCAACAACGCCGGCATCCTGCGCGACAAGTCGTTCGCCAGCATGAACGACGACGACTGGCACGCGGTCGTCAAGGTACACTTACGCGGAACGTACGCAGTGTGCAAAGCTGCCTGGCCCATCTTCCTGCAGCAAAAGTACGGCAGAATCGTCAACACGACCTCCGCCGTTGGCATCTACGGAAACTTTGGCCAGGCCAACTACTCAGCAGCTAAGGGCGCTATCCTCGGCCTAACGCAGACGCTCGCGATCGAGGGGAAAAAGTATAATATCCTCGCCAACACCATCGCGCCCAACGCTGGCACGGCCATGACCGCAACCATTTGGCCGCAGGAGATGGTGGACGCGTTCAAACCGGACTTTGTCGCGCCCGTCGTCGGCTTCCTCGCATCTGAGGCTAACACGGAGGTGAGCAAACAACTTTTCGAGGTCTCCGGCGGCTGGGTCGCCGCCGTGCGCTGGCAGCGCTCTGGCGGGCATGCTTTCAGTCACGCCAAGATCCCGCAGCCAGAGGCGGTGCAGAGGAAGATCGGAAGGATCTTAGACTTTGACTCCGAGCGCGCCTCGTGGCCCCAGGACAACCAGGAGGCTATGCAGCAGGTCATGGCTAACATTGGCCAGGAGGGTGAGGGTGACGATGATGGTGACGATGATGGAGACCACATCGACCCCGAGGACCCGGCCATTGTCAAGGAGGCCAAGAAGCAAAAGGTCGAGTCGACCGAGTTTGCCTACTCGGAGCGCGACGTCATCCTTTACAACCTCGGCCTCGGCGCCAAAGCGACCGACCTCAACTTGACGTACGAACAGGCCGACGACTTCCATGCACTTCCCACTTTTGGCGTCATCCCGCAATTTGCAGCCAGCTCATCGATCCCGCTCGACTGGCTCCCCAACTTCTCGCCAATGATGCTCCTGCACGGCGAGCAGTACCTTGCGATCAAGAAACCTATCCCCACGTCCGCCACGCTCGTCAACAAGCCGCGCCTACTCGAGGTGCTCGACAAGGGCAAGGCCGCCGCCGTCACAACGGTCACGCACACCGTCGATAAGGAGAGCGGTGATGTCATCTTTGAGAACCAGAGCACCGTTTTCATCCGCGGCGCCGGAGGCTTTGGCGGAAAGAAGAACGGTAAGGATCGCGGAGACGCCACAGCACTCAACAAGCCACCCACCCGAAAGCCCGACGCAGTCATCGAGGAGAAGACTAGCGAGGACCAGGCGGCGCTGTACCGGCTCAGCGGCGACTACAACCCGTTGCACATCGACCCCGAGTTCAGCAAGGTCGGTGGCTTCGAGAGGCCGATCCTGCACGGGCTCTGCTTCTTTGGCATCAGTGGAAAGCACGTGTTCCAGAAGTACGGCGCGTTCAGCAGCATCAAAGTCCGCTTCGCGTCCACAGTCCTACCCGGGCAGACGCTCGTCACGGAGATGTGGAAGGAGGGGAACAAGGTCATATTCCAAAGCAAAGTTAAGGAGTCCGGCAGTATCGTCCTCAGCAACGCGGCATGCACGTTCTCTTCGTGAGAGAAGCCCGCGCGTCGTTTTCTGGCCACATCAATGTCAATGTGTAGTGAGGGGTGGTCTTGAGGTTGTTCAATGTAATTCCTATACAGATCGTTTCCATTGCGTTCTAACCTTGCGTCCGCTGCTTCATAATTACTGCTTACTTAAGCGACTTGGGGTGCTCTCTTAGGGTTGCGTCGCGCGTTGGACATGCGCTCGCCAAAGCCACGCAAGGCTTTGCGGTACATCAAATAGTCGTACACATGAATACGCTATCCTTTACTGAGATGCGAATTGTGAATGGTGCTGCCTAAACAAAGTCTTGGAACGCTCTATCCTAGGGTTCTGCATCCTGCATCCTTCCCCACCCGTGCACGACGAGCAGCTGATATAACAGTGGGCCATTCATGAAGCGAGGCAAAGACCGATCCAACTCGAGTCCCGCTTGCCTTGCAAAGCCCCACACTTGTTGGAGAATCTTGTCGGCACACAATTGCAATTCGAAGACCTGGAGGTGTTCCTGTATGGGGAACGGCGATTCCAAGCCTGATGGGATGGAACTAACTTCGGCTGCGGCTGCATCGGAAACGAGCTCCTCCAACGCGCCTTGAAGACTCTTGACGGCGCGCAAGCACTTTTGGTACGCATGTATATGGCACCAAGACCCGACCAGAGTCCCACCCTTGCGTCGCAGTCTGGGCCCAGATCGGCAGAAGCTCTGCAAGCGTCCATGCCTACTAATGCCACAATTGAAAGCACACCAGTTTTCCGCAACTTGTCATCAAGTTCGATACAGCGTCGCCATGGGCACTCCCACAAAGTGCGAGTCCTCCTCTGGTCCATCACCAGAGTCCTCGTACCGAAGATATTGACCTGGATCGAGGATACTCAGCCTGTCTGCTTGCTCTTTACATACGATAAGGGGCTTACCGATCTCGCTCGGCGCGCCGGATACCAGATATTGCTCTGAGGCCTTGATGGCGTCTGGAAACGGACAGCTCTCGACTTCCATAGACAGGAATCCGAGCGGTCGATCTCGCTCTTCAAAAATGAGCTAGAGGTGACTCTGTGATAGTGCTGTGTGGTCGACAAGTATAGTCAGCCCGCAAACGAGCATAATCCACGCCCTTTCTCACTCATGCAGAAGGATTCCTCTTGAAGGCCCATGTACAGTAACTGAAGATGTGTGGCCCGTCCAAGCACTCGGCACGTTCGTTCGGTCGTCGGTATGATCTCTGTCTCCAAGCAAAAGTAGTGAGATTAGTCATTTCCTCAATTAACGACTCCAGCTTTCTCCGGCAATCGGCGATGCTCTTGAGCAGCGCGTCCTCTCCTTCATTCAGCTAATCACCCCAATGCATAAGGTCTTCACTTTGCATGAACTCTTCCCATTCCTCTTCACTAAACTTTTCGGCCAGAGCCGCCTGCTCATCAGATATCAGCCTTTGCTTGCAGGAGCCTCTAGGGTTTCAGGCTGCGATTACAAAGTACCTATCTTCGGGCTTGCCAAAGAACTCTCAATCGTGTACGTTACCTGAATCTCAACCCCAGTCGACAGAGATCAACACATGCTTGACGTGGCTGAGGCCAGCGAGGTTGAGGTTGATGCGCTCGAGCAAAAGACGGATGCTGGCAACGTGACGTAAAGAGAGTCTCATTCATAAGCTTTTATCGAAAGCAAGCGCAACGTTGCAGTCCCCCAGGTGTCAAAGCAAAATGTATGGCAAGATGTGCTTACCGTGCATCAACGAGGATATGCAGGCTTTGGAACGAAGCACGAAGTCCTAAAAGCGTGGTCTCTAGACCGAACTTTACAGGAGGTTCAAAGCGGGAATCCGCTAAGGCAACCCGCCAGATTGGAAGATGGCATTGCTGAATCAAGTGGAGCGTTAAACAACGCACTGCGTCTTTGGTCTCTAAAACACGTATTTGTCCTTGTATGCACCCATTCAGATGTCTTAGAGGAAGGTCCCAAAGCTGCTGCCTATATCTGCAAGTGGCCGTTAATTGGGTATCCTCTCACGCCATCTAAGCTTCATTAAGTGTTTGGAACTGTGACCGTGGTATCAAATGTTGTCCCACATCCGAAGCAAGGGTCGAAAAGTGGTTTTGCTCGGACATCTGAAGGGTGATGCGTGACGCCTTGGTTAAGGAGTGCAGTTGTTTCACTTACACAGACAGGTGGTCGTTGTTTGGACTAGCACTAGCAGCACGGTGACACTGCGCTCTCTTTAGGAAAAGTGAATGATAGGAGGAGGTCTTACACGGACGAATATACTGCAGCAATGCGCATCAAATGTCGTTGCTCTCGCGGAAGAGTTAGGGCGCGCTATCTTCGCAATCGAAGAGGATAATACCCCCTTCAGGCGGGTGCAGTTGATAAGCAACAACGCACGTCAAGCAGGAGAACTTGGTGACTCGTTTCGTTGTCCCGTGTGTCTTCAGGAAAATCTTCCTGGTATCCTGGTTTCAGTATCTCAGCCAAGCTCTCAGTAAGAAGTCTAGCGCGGGTGGCTCGGCCTTCCAGTTTCGGTCCTTGGCCAGCCTGCAGCGAATCACATGGCTGGCTGATGACAAGTTGATATTTGCGTCCGGCGTCCGCGAGTCCACGAATGCTCCGTCAGCACGAAAGGAAGGGTGACAGCTGACATTGGTGGGCTCTGTGACAAAGGTGCTAAGATTTAGGAATCCGGAATTGATGGTACTGCGTACCTGTTTAAGTGCGTAACCGAAGGCGCCCTTTACCGAGGAAATGTGCTCAACCAGAAGTTCATCTTTCCGCAGGTTTACTCTCTCTCTACAAGGTCCCATCCGTTAACGACTTACTACAGACTGCACTTGTAAGCTCC